ATTAGAATTAAATTCTTAAATTGAATTGTTATATACAAGGGTAATTAAAAAGTATTATTATAGCTATTTGTTTATGCGTTAATTATAAATTTAATTAGGATTATTATTAAGAAAAACTCCATTTAAATGAATTTAATCCAAGAATCTATACGAATGCTAATAATTATTACTGTTAAATAGTGATATATATATTTTATTATTTAATACTACTAATTCAAGAAAAAAAAATTGAAGATCGAAAAAAGATTAAATATACAGTGAATTAAAATTTTTATTGATAAATATTAGGCATTTTTAATTCATTTATATATGATCTGGAACCAACTAAATTCTCAATTATCAGATAAGATATAAACTATCTCTATTATTTATTGTCTAAATTTTTTGATATAATAATTTTTAAATCTTAATATAAAGTCAGCCTTCCTTATTTTCTACTAATTGGATATGTCCAATATAATAGGCTCATCTAAACACTCCAAATAAAAGAGAGAAAAATTTCAACAAAAATAATAATAGATACTTTTGATTTTTAACTTTAATTATTAGTCTAATTATTTATATGATTTTCAAACTAATACAAGGATTAGACTTTTAAAGCGATGATGAAATTTTCTTAATTATGTCAGGATAGATTTAAAATTCTAAAATATCTTTCTCTTTATCTAACTATATTAATTTGTAATCACAATTTTAAGTATGTGAATCTCTTTGGTATCTATAAATAATACCTAAATGAAATATAATAAAGAATGAGATTTTCAATTAAAAATACTATAAATCATATTTAACTGTTGAATTACACTTATGAATTATTTTAGTTTTCTTTTTACATTAATATTATTATCATAGTTTTCTAAACATTATAAATATCAGAACATCATATTTTTTAGAAGAAATTTCAATACATTAAATTAACTTCCAACAAATTTAGAAGAACATGCTTTTAGGATCTTAATTAAATGATTACAATAATCAAAAATAATAATTGGATATTCATTTATAATCTTTACTAATTGATGACATAATGGTTGATTATATAATATTTTAAAATATAAATAATAGATTGCGAAAGTATTAATTAATTGTAAATTTTCATAAATCCTAATTTCAATTTATTGGAATCATATTTTATTTTTTCAGAGGGGAAGAAGCTGATAAAAAAAGAGGATTGTTAGAATCCATTATACTATTAAAAATAATATTTGTTTAGTTAACTTAACTTATTAAAAAATGCAATTGTTTATTAAATTATATTAAAAAATTGGGGAATGGATTCAGTTTCAACATGATAAAATAGAATTTTACTAAGAAAATAAAAGTAAATAAAAATTTGATAGAATGGTGATAACTTTTGAATGATATTATTGAATAGATCATGCTCCTTTGAGTTATGATTTAACATAATCTTAAAATCTTGGTTAGTTGAGCAATTCTAAGGCTTGGTTGGCAGCATTGATTTCTTTGTTGTATTCTGCAACAGTTGAATTATAGACATCAGTGGCAAAGGCATAGTCATCATTTTCAGCTTATAATTATCCATTAAGGGTTGCTAAATCAGCATCGAGTTCATCGATAAGGTCAAGAGTTTATTCAATCTTGTCTATATGAATTAGATATGTTATTAGTACTTGCATTAGCTTCAATTTCAGCATTCTTAACAACAACTGCTCTTTAGAATTCAGCATGTTCTGAGTTCAATTAGATAACTTATGCATTGAAGTCAGTAACAGCTTAAGCTTCATCTGCTGTGATTTAGTTGAGAGAATCAACTAATTCAACTCTCAAGTTATTGAAAGCAACAACAATCTAAGAATGAATATATATGTTACATCTCTAAGAGCACCTTGATCAGCAAAGTTAGATTCAACTGTGATTTCCAAAAGTACTTTAACAAAGATTTGGAATTAGTTGTGCTTTTTCAATGAATTTTGGATTTTGGTGAGGTTCTTTTAAACCTTCTTGATTTAAGCAAGAGATGGGGTTGCGATTGTGCTCAATAATTAGAGACATTCATCAATGGCACCAATGGCATCATTGTGTTCTGCAACTTAAGCTTCAAAGGTCTCGTGATCATTTTCTCTTTAGACTGTGGCTTCTTGGAGTGTTCTTCTGTTTTAGGCAATATTTTCTTATAATTATTCAAGTTAGGCAGCAAATCTATCTCTTTATGGGATAAGGACATTATCATAGAAATCATGAGCATTGAAGAGTTCTAAAAAGGATCAAAAAGAATTAGTACCTCTTTCTTTATCTTAGATTTCTTATTCAAGTCTTGATACTTCTCTGTTATGAACGTCAGTTCTTCTGTTAAATTCGTGATGGACACCAGCTAATTCCTCTTCTAATTCATCAACCTTAATTATTAATGATATAGGTTTACAAGTTTTGCAATTTCGCTGTTGAGTTCAGAGAGAATACCTCCAGTTGACAAATGAAGTTCAGCAAAATTCAAAATGAACTTTCCCCAACCAGATGAGTGAATTTAAGCAAGAGCCTTTTAGTCACGGTTAGTCCAGATGGAGGATTAGACATTGATGGCTGTTGCACCAAGCACCAACAATACACAAAGAGTTAGTTTTAGCATTTATTGTAATTATTATTGACATACGTTTAAGGATTATTTTGTGCTAAAAAATCGAAAAACGAATATTTATTTTCATATATATAATATAAATAAATTATATTATTTTTAATGATCAATCCATTAACATTTGATGAATATAATCATAAATCAATAAAGCTCTTTTATTTGCTCTTAGATCTAATAAATTCTTGTACATATTCCTCTTTAATAGAGATTTCACCAGTTTAAGGATTGATCATCACTCTTTTTTCATCACAAAAGTAGGCAGCAGGAGTCAATTTTATAACACAATGTAACGGTATATCTAGAGTAGGTACTTCTGGTATCTCATTTTAATGAAAGTATGCATATAAACATCTTAAAATGGCCTAATGTGCTATTATCATAACTGGTTGTCTTGATCTTTCAATTTCAAATATAACAGGTTCAATTCTACTAATTAAATCTAAATATGATTCTCCTCTTGGATATCTATAACCTAATTTATTGATTTTTCTTTCCTAATAAATATTTATATTAATAAATGATTACTTAGAAATCATTAGGGAATTTCTATGCAATTTCAGTATAAGTCATTCCATCACAAATTCCTACATTAATTTCATCTAATGTTTTAAGTTGTAATGGTTAGATTTCTAATTTCTAAGCAACTACATCTGATGTATGAATAGCTCTTCTCATTGTTGATGTTAAAAATATGATTTCATTTTTTATTTCTTTAGTAGGGAATTCTTAATTGAAGAAATCTGCCAATTTGTCTGCATACATCTCTCCTAATTCTGATAAATCGGAATCTCCTCCAACCCTATCATCAACATTGTATTGGCTCTCTCCATGTCTAGATAAGTAGATTGGTCTTGGATAGGTATGCAGATTCATAATAAAGGATACGACCTTGGACAACAGAAAGCCATAAACTTAATGAACAATAATCTAAGCATGGAAACATGTTTTGTACGTCTGCTCCGACGTTCATAGTCTTGATATATGAGAGATCCTCATCGTCGGTTATAGTTTTATAGATTTGTTCGTACATCTTTATTCTATTAAGAAAATCTATTGTAGCTTGTTCAGAATCCATGTTACAATAATCTGGATTATTAATCTTAGTTAATCGAATGTTATTTTGAATCACTTTAGAATCATTACATATTGATTCAATCCATAAAGTTTGAATTCCATTAAAAGAGGATTTCAAATCACTTTCAATCTAATGTCTTCTTTCTTTTGTAATGTTTGTTCCATCTAGTATTCCAATATCTCCTCCATTTTTAAGAAATTATATTAAATCTTATAATGCCATTTTTGCACAATCACTCCTTGCTTTTTAAGCCTAATTTGATATTACATCATTATACTTCTTCGTTATTAGGATCAAAAAATAAAGAATTGCATTCAGTACCACATATTTCTCTTCTGTAATTACCATTAATGAATACTCTACTCTTATAACCTAACCAATTGAAATAACGATTCAATTTTCGAGAAATATATGTTTTCCCTCTAGCAGGTAAACCAACTGTACAGATGGCTATTTTTTATGATCTATTGCATTCTTACATATTATAAAATTTTAATAATTCTTAGCCTTAAAATAATTTTAATGTTCAAGTGGTTGAAAAGAGATAAAGAATAACCATTAACAAATTAAAAAAAGCCATACAATCAATTATCCAAAGAATAAGCTTAAGAAATTCTAGCTAATTTTTCATATAGAACTATGGCTGATCTTATTTTTAAAGATGATTCTAATCCAGATTTGAACGTAGAATAAGAATAAAAAAAGAAAATTCAATTAAAAACTGAATGCTATATGGATGAATAAGGAAATCTGCATTTCAATTAAGAAGAGCAATTATCTTGGGTTGATGATGATTCTCATTATGAAGAAGATGAATTAGATAAGCAAATATATGAATAAATGTATGAGGAAATGTAGGAAGAATTAAATTAAAGAGGAGAACGAGAACATTTCAGACCAATTACTGGCCCTGAAAATAATGATAATGATGAATGGGAAACAGATAGTGATGAACAAAATTGATTTTTTTTATATATATTTATTTATCAACAAAAATAACTATAAATCTCTTTATAAATTCAATCCCTTTAATTATTATCTTATTTAAATTCTATAAACTCTCCATCAGTTTTTGAAAATCATTCTAAAAAACATTCTTTAATAAAAGAATTCATAAATTAAATACTATTTCATTGTATTATTTCCATAATAATAAAATAAATTTTTTTTATTTTTTTGATTTATGAATAATGCCTAATACATTTTGAAAAAATGATTGATTCTCTCTCTATTTTTTGGCCTTCTCTACTTAAATATAACCTTAAAATAAGTTACGATATACTTCTTTATTTTGTTTACGGAATCAGATTTTTGGAAACATAAATTTATTAAATGAATCTACAAGCTATAAAGGAAGCTGCTCTATAAATGTATTTATTTTAAATTAAACCAATAGTAAAGATAAACTTACAAAGCCTCCACTTGCTGATACCTTAATAGAAGCTACATCAAATGAAAATTGGAACACACCTACAAAATTATTATAAGAGATTTCAGAGGCATCATTTGGATTGTATAAGACAAGCAATAAAATATAGCACATAATGTGATACAATTATGAAATTTATCTGGAAGAGACTTGATTCAGACAATAAAGAATGGAGAAGAATTTTGAAAGTATGCATAAGAATGCTATTAGACATTAGACACTCAATTTGATTGATTATTTGACTAAAAATGGAGCACCACGTTGTGTTGGAGAGTTCAGGGATTCTATATTTAAAATAAGAAGTTTTTCAGATTTCATTTTAATTGAATAAGGTTCTGATAAAGGACTTTCAAGTAGAATTTAATCATTAATATTAGTTCGAGAAAAGAGTAAGTAACTTGTTGATTTACTCTGTGACGAGAAATTAATTGAAGAAGAACGAGATAATGCTAAAAAGATTCGTGAACGTTTGGCAGGCATCTTATTTAAATTTATTAAATTTTAGCTGCAGGAGGAATAGGAGCTATAGGAAGTAATACTAATTATTAAGGTTATGGAAGAGACACTTATAAGAATGACTCATATAAGGGATATGGAAATGATTCTTAAATGAATGAGGCCTCTAAAAATAATGCTAATAAATCAAATAATAATACTAAATCTGATTAATAAACTTATTGTAAAACATATATAAATTAAATTTAGAGTAAAAGTATGGAATTTGGAATGATGATGGTATTGATAAATCTAAGAAAGCAGAAACTAATAATAATAATAATATTAAAAATAATAATACTATTTAATGGAATGTACCTTAAACAGAAGTAATTTAACCACCATTCTAAGAAACTATTCAAAAACTTGCAAAACCAATCGAAAAATGGGATGTTCCAGCATCAAAATCAATCTAATAATAACCTTAATAAATATAATAAGCAAAATAAAATACTTAATCATCATAATAAACCTAAAAGCAAAATATAATTGATATATTTGATTTTGAACCTTAATAAAATCAATAACCATAAGCTCCACCACAGATTTAGCCACTTTAACCTCCTCCAACATAAAAATCAACTAATAATGATTGGGGATCTTTTGATAATGTAAAACCTTAGGTCTTTCCTTAATAATAAACATAATCATAAGTTCTTTTGCCTTTAGATGTATTTAGTTAATAAGTTTAATAATAATAATCGATGTAACAATAATAAAATAATATTTTTGGATAAGAACAATAATAGAATCAATAATAATAACTATAATAACTTTATTAATAATAATAATATTCTCAACCACAATAATATTATTAGCAACATTAAAATTAATAAACAAATTTGAATCTTTATTAATAAAATTAACAATAGTCTTTATAAATGAACTATAATTAATCACAATATAATTCTATAAATAATCAATAGTAATACTTTTAAGTTAATCAATAATAGTTTAATTAAAATTAGTAAAAACTATAATAAACAAAGTAGGAAGATTAAGTATTTGGAGATTTTATTTCTACTTAATAATAAAAATAAACAAATAACAATCCAAATGATCTTCTTGGTATGTTAGATTTGAAAAAAGAAAAAGAAGAATTAGAAAGTAAAAAATAAATTCCAATTGTAAATCAATAGATATAGTAAAATTAAATTTACCCTGACATTGATACATTTACATATAACTATCAAAAAAAATAATAAACATTTAGCAATTGTAATAAATTTCAATTATTTTAGATCAATATCCATAAGGAAGATGAAATTATGATAAACAATTACATTATATTAATTATTAATTATCTTTCAATGCAATTTTTAATAAATTTTGATTTCAAATTGTATTAAAATACAAAAAATTGAACAACATTAGTATGATTTGATAGGTATATGATGTTATTTCATCTGAATAATGATTAAATTAATTAAAAATCAATCTTCCCTGACTGCCATAAGCAATTCTATACCATCTTCTTTATAAATTGGTGCAATGGCGGCATATAATGGAACTTCCTTTAGCTCTTTACATTCAAAGGCAATTCCCTGATTCTCTCCATTTATTGAAAAAGATAACTATCCCTTTTAAAATTGAATTAGTTAATTTGTACATCAATCATATTAAGCATTACTCCAATAATATCTCCTTTCTTGTATTATTTGCCATATTTATTGCCACTGGAATTAGAATTGTGTCTCAGTTCGCCATTATAGATTGCCCATCCTTCTTCATTATCACTGAAAGCTTGCTTAGGTGGAGCATTGAGTTTACATCTTAGAACAGCCCATTCTTGGTGCATACGCCAATCTTTATTAAACTGCCCTTCAAGATTTTAATCTCATAGTAATATTTATAACCTGGAGTGAATTCCTTAAAGTAGTTATTTTCATACCTAATCACCAATGGCACTTTTAAATCCAGATCCATCAGTAGCTATCACTTATAATTGGTCTTGGCACAATTTCAATTTAGTACTAGTTCTTTTAAAATCCCAAGAAAAAAGAGCTTGATTAGTAGATATTCTTACGTAGTAGGTACCCATCTGGGTATTCCATTTTTATATATTTTTTATTTAATTTAATGTAAAAGCCTTACATCGTGATAGTTGGTGTTTCACTCTTTTTTATCACTCTGTTCCTCATTAATACAATCCATTAATATGATGAAATACCATAATAAATCCAAGAAGCCCAATATATAAAAGCAACAGATTTGCTAGCTGTTTAAGTTCCATTCCCTTGGGAAATCAAATAGCCAGATGAAGAGCATTTAAAAATATTAGATTAAAATGAAACTGATATAATTGAAGGTTACTCTTTAATAAAAAATCAAATTAGAAAAGAAATTTACCAATGGAATTACCAGAGAAGAATTAGGTCGAGCAGGATGGACTCTTTTGCACATGATTTCAGCCACTCTTCCAGTTGATTTTGATGAAGAATTCACATTCAAAATCAATGTCTTTTTGAATCTATTGTAAGACAAAAATGCTATTTTTTCCACGTTAGTGGACAGTTCTTCCCCTGTAAAGAGTGTGCAGGACATTTTCTGAATATGACTACCGTTTTGCCATACGAAGGAACCACTAGAGTCGATTTCATGTAATATCTTTGCATGTTGCATAACGAAGTAAATGAAAGATTACAAAAAGTACATTAAAAATTATATGATAAGCCAACCTTTAATTGTAGTGAAATACATTAAAGATGGGGTGGAGATTGTGGTTGTAAAAGTGCATTGGAGGAGAGCATTAAAAAATATAGTAAGGGGTAAAATTGATCATATAGAAATATAATTCAATATTCTTAAATTTAATTCAATTGCTAATTATATTATAAATAATTGAAAAATGAACTAAATATAGAATCTCATTTTTAGTTCTTATTTTTAATATCTATTTGAATATATATCTACATTCGATCAATAAATTAATTTTATTACATATCTAGTTTTCTTAAATAAAATATCTATTAGGCTTAATATTATATTTTAAATAAATATTATCTATAGCTTATAAACTATTTTTTAAACTGCTTAAGGAATATATAGTTCAAATTCAATACTTCAATCTCTTATAATTAGTATATTAGTCTAACAATTGATTTTTATCAAATTTAATAATCTTTTTAGACTAAAAATCTTTGATACAATAATCAATTATTATATCAAAGATATTTAATCATTCAAAGTATTATATTCATAATTTTATTAAATATATTTGCTTTAAGAATCTATATCTTACATACTGACAGATTATAATAACAAAGAAATATTTAACTGAGATCCAGCATAAGAATAATATAATTTCAGTCTAATTAATATTATCACCAAATTTTTTTTGGTTTATATAACTTTTAAAATATAAATTAAAATTTCTTAAGAATATATACATTTGAATAATTCAAATGCATAATTTATTTTAAATTATTAGCTTTAGCTTTTTAATCATCTAAATATTTTTAGAGATTCTAGAATTTTTAAATCACAAAAAGTTGAAATAGTAATAAATTATTTGTAAACAATATTTACTTATGTTGAAAATCATAAAGATAGGTTTCCTTTAATAAATACTGTTCAGTTATGTGTAAAATATTTCAACAAAGAATTTATATGATTGGAAAATTAATAAATAATTAAAAAATAGAGTTTATGACTTTAGTTGATAGTGAAGACATTCTGATTTTTTATTAATAATATTATTTAAGGTCAATAGTTTTAATATTTTGTATTTATGCATGTTAGATTCTTATATTAAAGTTAAAAATATCTTTTTATAAAGAATTTGTTTAATTATGAATTTACTTGATTCAAATAAATGTTTCGCAATGGATTAGTGAAGATGGGGACAATAACAATAATCTAATTAGTATAAATGTTATGAAACATTTACATAGTCTAGAATTATAAAAATAATTATATATACCAACATTAAAACGAAGAAATTTTATTCCGTTTTTGGTATTATTAAAAATAAATATGAAAACATTCGTTGTGATTTGCCTCGTAGCAGCTGTGTTTGCACTTGACACAAACAAATTCGCCGTGCTTCTCCAAGCAGGCACAAGAGGAAATGATGCTGTTGAATCCGTTTACAATCTCTTAAGAGATTTGAAAACAGAAAATGTGAATGTGTAAGCTGCTGCTGACAAAAAGAACAATACAGACGAAGGTATATAGTATTATTATTTGTAGAAATCTTTTCATAAGTTATTGGTGACTTGACTAATGTTGCCTCACTCAATAAGTAATAATGGGAAGCTCTCGGTGCTGTCAGAACCGATGTTGAAGCTTAAGTCAGAGTAAGCAAAATAATTAATTTATTAAGGATGGATATTAATGGTTGGCCTGGGCAGAAGCCAGACTTGCTGAAATCGAAAGAAGAAATGCTTAACTCCAAGATTAAAGATGTTGGGCCAATGGACTTTTTGTTAGATCCTTAGCTGATCATGCTGATGCCATCGGAGTCGTCTAACTCTTATAATAAGATGTTGCTGGTTTCTTAACAAACAATGCTGGAGTTGAACTTGTTGAAAAGGCTTAAACAATCGCCGATAAATTATCAGCATACAGTCATCTTTTCTAATAAGATGCTATCTAAAAATTCTAATCACTTGCTGAAGTAAAGAGAGAAGGAACAACTGGAGAATAAGTCCTTTAAATCTTATAAGATTTATAAGTTGAATTAGAATCAACTCTTGCTACCTTATAAGAATAAGAAATCCATGCAGCATTTGCTCTTGCCAAATACGTTTCAGATACAAATGCTGAAGTTGCTTGGTTGAATTCTGAACACGAAAGAAGAACTGGTTTAGTTGAAAAATTAGAAACTGTACAATTTTATTTAATATTATTTTATAGCAACTCCCAGCTGTCCTTGCTTAATAAGCCAAAGCCCTCAAACTCTGGAAAGATTCTTTGAACGCCGTTGCAGGAGCTACCGCTGATTTGGAAGAGAAGAGAGAATTCTATGCCTCCGAAACTGCCAGAAGAGCCGGTACCATTTATCACAATAATCAATAGAGGAAAACGCTATCATCGATGTTGTCATCTAATTGTTCAAAGACTAAGTTAGATCCTTAGCTTCATAAACCAGCCTTGGAAGAAAATGATTTCCATAATAATACAAATATATTCAATTTAAAAAATGAATAATTAGACTTAATTGCTTTTCTTTCTTCATTTGTTTTAGAAATAATCTTAATTATTTCAAAGAATTTTAGTTAAGTAATAAACCCATTTTTAGCGTATATTGCTAAAATAAAAATTCTGAGGATTTGAATTTGTTGTTTTATTTATTTTCTATAATATTTTTTCTTAAATATAGAATCAAAAATTGAAAATATTCATTTTTAAAATCAATACAAACAATATAAATATATCATATAGCCCTAATCATGACTTCTTAAGTTTAAGAAAATCTCAGTCTATTATAGAAAATTTTTATATTTTATTATACACACAATAAAATGTGAAAAAAACTTCAAAATAAAGTAATATTAATAATATATGACTTAAAAAATGCAAAATTTGTAATTAACTCAAACAAGTTAAAATTGTTTTAAATAATTATTTATAGACAAAATAGTAAAACCTTTTCAACTAATCTAATTTATAAAACAAAAATTTTACGAATATTTAATGTAAAAAAACAAATAAATCTTATTTATTTAATTAAAATATACAAAAAAACCTAATACTCAAAAGTTAATAACAGTTAAATTTTTAGGACCTTTTATAAAATTTGAGAATTGAATACTAAACATCAAGTTAAGATTATTATTCATAGATGAGAAAGCTAATACAGGATAAATTATATTTCTAACGTAATCAATCATTATATTTGAAATAAAATATCATCAAATCTAAAATAAAATAATTTATATAAATAGATAATTTTTTCAGTATCTCATTTTTAAGATCTTTTTAAATTCATTCTGATTCAAATAATCAATTATTACTATATTTTTAGATAAGTGTCTTTATCAATATGATTTTCTAAACATTAATTTTTTATAAAATTTGACCCATATAAAAGGGGGAAATATAAATTTTATTACACATAAATAAAATTATGTTAACTCAATCTATCTTGAGCGTTGAATCCAGCAAAGTTTACAAACCAAAAAACAGTTAAATTGGGTTGTTATCAACTGCAATTAGTAAACTTGGAGACTCTAACTATACAACAAAAACCAGAGAGTCAACTAATATGTCTCCAGTCAGAATGAGATTATTTAGAGACTCTTCACCAAAGTAAAGCAAAGGCTTATAAGGAGTAGTAGTTGGGGAATACCAGTATTTATTTTAATTAGTTTAGTGCTTTAACTCCTGCTCATATTGTATTTAGTAGCATTCATAAAAGTACGTCTCCTATTAGAGCAAATAGAAATTATAATGAATCTCCTTAAAGAGCTAAAGTTAGATTGGATAGATTCAAAAATTGGGACTCAAAATTAGGACTAGAGCTCTAAATCCAAAACACAAAATTTACTAGACTTAATAATGAATTATCTTATTCAAGTTATCAATCTCATCATTTATCCACTAAATCATCCATTTTCTTAGGTAATAATCAGAGTGGATTGGGTTTTGGTGGAAATTAAAGTGATATAAGATTATTGAGTGCAAAATTAAATGCAATTCCACCTACTTAAATAGGAGCATTTAGTGTTGGGTATATATTATAATATATATTAATAGACATAATCATGAATTAGCTGATTTGTAGCAATCGCTAAGTAGAATTTTAAAATAAAGTCGATAGTATTGAAATAAATTGATAATTATTTTATATTAAAAAGAATTTTATATGGATATAAAAATATAAACTAAAAGTGAAACATTCTTAATTTTTATTGAAAATTTAACTATCCGTGAACTTAAATGTAAATTAAATAGATTAGGAATAGAATTGAAAGATATTGTGATATAGTAAAATTTTGAAAGCATAGTTTAGTTTTTATGATAATGATTATGATAAAATTGTGATTATTGATGATAAAGATGTTGGGTATGCATTTCAATAAGGAAAAATAAAATATAGAAATAGAATTAAATTTTATATTTACTATAAGCTAAAGTAACCTAAAATAAATAAAACATTGGGTCAAATATAGGATTAGAAAGAATTGGCTTTATCTGATTAAAGTGAAACAATAAGAGAATCTATTGATAATTTGATAGTATTTCCTTTTCCTACTGTATAGAAAAGAGAAGAAATATTAAAAAATAAAATAGAAAATTATATCGATACTCTTTTACGGGAATAGTATGAAATTTGATTTTATATATAAAATATATATTTATGATTATAATCCTGTATATTTATTAATGTACTTATGTGATGTATTATAAATCATTTTCTGGCAGCTAAGGCAACTTGAGTTGCAATTCTATTTAAATCTTATTATCCTTCTTTGGTAACAATTCTTGAACCTTTCTTTAAAAGTGATTTGTTATCTTTCTTTAAAACTTTAATTGTTTCCAATTATTAGAGTAAATATCTAATAACTTTTCCAGATCCTGATTCATGCTTTCCATTATCATTAACTGAGCCAAACATATGAGTCAGATTTCCAACACCCTAAAGTTAATTATTTAATTATTAATACCCAATGGCCTCTAACATAAATTTTACGAGCAAGTGCTGCAGCTCTAACATACATCCAATCTTAATCAATTGGTGAGATTTCTTTTCCAAGTCCTGTTTTTACTATTGAACCCCACTCTGGAATCTTGATCTTGTTATTTTTTTTCAAGTATTCTGCATAAGCACGAATGAAATCTTAAGCTGGTACATCCTTTTATAAATTTCATGAGTTTACTTTCACTGTATAAAAAGGTGCTGACATTAGAAAAATTAAATTATTTTTTGAATATTTTTTGCAAGATTTTAATTAATAATTAAACAACTTTATAAAATACTAACAATCTCATCTCCTGTATTCAAATGTTAACATATTTATAAAAAACATTGAAGAATATATTATTTGACTAAAATATTTACAAATTTAATTTGATATCATTTGTAATTTAAATAGTTATCTTAATTTTTCTTATGATTATTCTTAATTTTTTTAAGGTTTTTAAAGAGATTTTATTAAACAAAATAATGATGGATTCCTTATGGAATAATAAATCAAATAAAACTAATTAATAGAAGATTAATCTAGTAAGAGTAATTTGATATATTAATAATAAGGATTAAGTTTAAGTTAGATGAAAATATTAAGATGGGAATAATACAATATCCAATTCAATTATATACATTAAGTATTAATGAGTCAAATAGATAATATAAAGTTTTGCACAATATTAAAACAAAAATTGTCTAAAAATGAGGATTTAATTTACTTAAAATTACATAAAAATAATGATCCAATAAGGGTAAAGAAGGAGATAAATTTATTAAAAAAATGGATTGATTGTATGATATGAAAAATTGATTATATGATTTAAGTAATATTATAAGAAAATGGGGATAATAAATTATAAATTAATTACATACATAAGCATTTTCGATCCGTTTTTAAAACATTAAATTAAATATATGCAAAAACTAGCCATCTTGACATTGGTTCTTGCTCTTGCAGCTTCCAAGTTTGTAGATACACATGCAAGCTTGGCTTAGATTGATTCTAATCCATTTGGAAATGTTGTGTTGTCAGCAATCAAGGCACACTTATAAGCTTAAACACCAGCCAATGAGGTCAATATGTTATTGAATGGTGTTGCTGCTGGATTATAATAAGATTAAAATGACCATGATCATGCTTTTGAACTTGATACAACCACAAACAATAGAGTAAGAATATTAAACCATATAATAGATCGTTGAAGATTTAGAAAAGGAAATCTTGTATCACTAAAATCAAATCTCATCTAACACTTAATTGAGAGATGACACAATTGAAGCATTGGCTGTTTCTGAAGAAGACATTAGAGTCACAATTTCAGACATTGCAACAAATGAATAAACTTATGCTAGAGAAGAAGCCACAAGAAACTAATAACACGAAACCTTTGTTGCTAAAGTCGCTGCCATCGATGATGTTATTGATGCTATTGATGATGCTGCCAAACTCGTCTAACATTTGAGCTTAGGTGCTTCATTTGTCTAAGTTAAATCAAAGTATGAAACAGTTCACAAGAGACTTACTGACAACACCTCACATAGCCAACTCTTATAAGTAAATTATATCTTTCTATAATCTATTTTTTAGCCAGTTGTTGTTGCTCTTGCTGAATTAGCTACTCACGGAGTTAACTAAAAGGCCTTAACCAAGATTGCTTAATTATTGAGCGAAATCAGATAATAATTAGTCTAAGAAAAGGCTGTCAAGACAGTAATTAAATTAATTAAAATAAATAGGACGTTGAAGATAGATAAGCTGCACATTGGGCTGAATTCAGCGCTCATTTGAGCAATGAACACACCAGATTGGTTGAAAGAAAAGCTTAATTGGAAGTCTAAATCTAAGAATAAAAGGATACAATTGAAGATGCTTAATCATGGATCGAATTCCACACCTTAGAATTAGAGAACAGTGAAGAAAGACTTGCTGGATAATAAGCATGGTATGCAGTCTAATCAGAAATCTATGAAACTTAAACTGCTGAAAGGTAATATATAAGTAATATCATATTTTAGAGCTGCTTAAAATGAAATCGTTGATAGACTTTAAGAACACATCAGTGAAAAATTATCAACCACCGCTCAATTCATCAGCAAAAGAAATTGATTTATTAAAAACAATAAATTATGAACAATAGTTCTTAGTTCAAACAGTTAAACTTAAAATTTCTAGTTTGTTATACTCTTATTATATTCTAATATAAAATAATTAATAGAATACCTATTTATTCTTTAATTATTTATATAAAGAGTTTGGATATTATTTATAGAGTATTTAATTAAAAGTGATTGAAATAATGTAAATTATTTATTGTTTCTCATTCCTAAAGGATCTAAAAAAAACAAAATACTTATTTGTTTAAATTAATTTTCTCAATAAATAAACTATATTTATACTTATGAACAATTATTCAAAATAAATAGTTAAACAAAATAATAAAATTAGTATTTAATTTTACAATTAGTTAATATCAAATATTATATTTGTATATCAATCTATGATATTCTAAATTGAAAACAAAAGCTTAAATTTCATTATAAAGTGATCTTTGATTGTATTAATTATTTATTAAATATCTGAAAAAACAATAAGAAGTTTATGAATTGAGAATTAAAAGATAAATAAAATTACAAAAATGAGATAAATAATTTTGTTACAACATCACTTTTCTTCTATATTTTGATGTTCGTCCTTTTTTTAAATATCCAATAATTATTATCTTTATTTTTCAAATTATCTCCTTAATACTTCTAAATCATCTCTAGAAATTCGCTTTAATAAATTTAGCCACTTAATTTCCATATTTGTTAAACTTAGAACTTACTCATCTTATTCTTCTGAATAAACTTGCGAGTAAGCTTATGAATGATTTTTTGAATTCATACTCAAATTTACTATTCAAATTAATTATTTTCTTAATTACTATGAAGAATAAGTTATATACTTAATCAATATATAAATACATACATCTAAGGAATAAGTATATTATTTTATGGGTTCCTTATCAAATATGGAATATTTAGATATAAATTGTAATTAAATATACTGATAAAATGATAATTTGCTTCTAATTTGAACTTGGTGATATAGCTTTATTTGATTAAGAATAATTAATCAATCTAATCCAAACTTGAATTTAGAATTTATCCAATTAGAAATTCTAAATTAAAAAGGACATCCATAAGATCTAGTCTTATTATAAAAGGAAATTCTTATGATTAGAATTAATGTTATTAGAAAAGGAGTTAATTTAGAATAAAAAATTCTATATCAATAAAGGTTGCAGAAAATTATAATTTACCTTAATAACAATTCCCATTAAAGAAATCTCTTTGAATTCAAATACAATATTTTCACTAAGAAAAAGTATTTTATAGTTTTTAATTAACCTAAGTTATTTTAATAGCAAGATAACGTTAAGTATTGTTTATTGTGATAAAAAGAAAAGATACCTATTTTTATAAAAATGATGAGAAAAAAAAATTAATTTCTAAAAGAATGAGAACATTAACATATGGGGCACTAAAGTTTATTCGTTTGATCTATTTATAAGTAATAAAGAATGTTATTTGAACAATATATTATTTTAAGAAATAATCAATTTTATTAGCGATTTATTTGTTTTTATAAGAAATGTCAAAATATTTCTAAAATGATGATAAATAAATTACATAATTTAGAACTTAGATTTTAATGATTCTATTATAAAATTGCCTTATTTTAAAAGATTTCTTCCTTCATTTTATTTTAGGATGTTATGTTCCTGTTGAGTTATGACATTTAATTATAAAGATTTAAGAATATTTGCATATGATACCATTAGAGAAAGTACGGTTTATTTATAATTTAAAGAAATTCTGAATACACATTAATATATCATATAAGCTAAATAATTAATCATGGATTTGGTTTACAACATTTTTAAATATTATCTTGTTATATATGATCAATTATTCTCTTATAATTTTAGTATTCAATTAGATTAAGTAATATAATATATTTATGATTAGGAATTATAGAATGAATATGTTATTTCGAAACATATATGCAATATAATAGTATGAAAAACTATATAGTTATATTTATATTTATTAATAAAAACGGAAATGAATTGGTTTATTATTCTAGGTTTGATTTATTTGTGTTAGGCTGAGCATTTTCTATATGAATCTGAGACAGGAGTTACAATTCAAAATATCATTAATAAAGATGTTGATATTAATATCAAATTCAAAAAACAATTCTAAAGAATTCCAAAGATTGCATATTCAATTGGCTTATTAGACATGAGTGGTTCTTCATTTATGAGTGAAATTTTGAATGTTAATTAATAAGGTATTTCTTAAAATTAAAGTAGGTTTCACAATTAGAGTTAGAGGAGATCATCTTGATTAAATATCATACAATTGGATGGCCACTGATAATCCTTTAGTACATATTGAATATGTTAAGTCATAAGAATCAGAAATCTAACTACCTCTTTTCAATTATGATAGTGATACAACTCCTTTAGTAAATTCGTATTTGGTTGGAGTCACATTTGAAGACAAGAAACAATTCAATCAAGAAATAGTGGAATTAAATAAAGAAATTGTAAAAATTGCAACAAAAGGTGCAAAAGAATACAAACTTTGTTTATTAATATCTAACTTTGAGAACAGTTTTAAGACTGATGATTTAGGAATTATAGTTGATGCTGATGATCACACATGGTTTTCTAGTTCTAAAGATGCATAAAAAATATTGGTTTCATCATATGAAATTCCTAGTGATATTGTAGATTTTGTATAATTGATGGGTATTTCAGGATTTACATCATTAAGTGATCATATTAGAATAGAAGTTAATGAAGAATAAGAGAATGATGATAATAATATCAAAGTTGAATTTGGAACTTGTAAAAATATATATATATAATAATTTAGGGGATGAATCAACAATCAAATCACTTAGTTTTTATGGCTTTTATATTGGTAATTAGGAAGTTAAATATTATGATTAAAATTGTGCTTATTTATATAGCGAATGCGATTATTAAGGAGAGGAAGTGAAGATTTGTGACAATAAAGCAAGATTAGATTATAATGGGTAAATAAAAAGTATCAGATTACCAAAAGATGCTGTATTCACTCTTTATGGAAAAGAAGAATTTGAGGGAAAGAGATTTAGAATTGAATCTAGTAAATCATGTATGGATGCATTGTATCTTGGAAAATGATAATTTTATATATAATGAACAAATTAATCATGATACTAGTATTATATTAAAATATATATACATTCAAAGAGTCTTTCAATAAACTATTAATTTGATATGGTTTTGTTATAAATTATTAAATAAATATAAAAATGGATGAATTTTTTGATGATCCAGCTGGCACTATTGAAACATATATAGTTCCAGAAGTTGCTGCTCAACCTTTAATGTTTAATGATGCAGGTATGGTATTTTTGAAATTTTTAATAAAGCTAGATAACCATTTGAAATGTCAATTGCACCTAATGCTGGAGTTACTGTATTAGTGGTAGAAATAGCATATAAATTATTATCTATTTTAGAGTGCTGAACAATAACAAAGAAGAGAAAAATTGAGAGAGGTTGAAGAAGAACGAATTAAATTGATAAGAGAAAGAGATTAGGAAGAAAGAATTTAAAAATAATAAAAAAAAGAGAAGGCATAATAATATTTATTGCAATTCTAAACGTATTTAATTAAATAATATATATAAAGACAATTGAAAAGTGATATTCAAGCACGTAAAGATGCAAATAAATAAGCATAAGAGCTACGGTCTCTAAATAAAAGTCAATATGTATTGTGTAATTCTACTCAAAGAAAAACTCTTGGGATTAGATAGCTTAGAATGTAGCTTTGAAAGATGGTGAATATCCTGGAGAAAAGGATGTAACCAAAATGAGACAAGCCATACTTAACAAGAGAAAAGACTTGACTAAGTGAAAATGTATATTGTAAAATATATATAATAAATAATAATATTTAATAGTAACTAATTCATAATTTAATTATTATACATCTATTCTTTATAGTTCATAATTTATATTGTATTGTTAATTATAACAATAAATTTAGAAAAGCTTATTATAAATTTTAATATCATCTAATTATCAAGATGAATTCTATTTTATTTAAATTCTATATGTATATTAAGACATATTAAAATCATAATCTATTAAAACTTGATTTGAATCAAACTTATATTAATTATCATTTTTATATTCATTTTTAATAGAGTCTTATTTTTTTTAAATTTTGCATTGACAAAAATATAAAAATGTAAAAATAATATATGGATATTATTTTAACATGTCTTTTTGGTTAGTTTAAAAAAATGAATCAAGAATAATTAAATTTAAGATTTGATTAGATAAAAAATTAAATGACAGAAATTTAATAATTTAGTAAAAACGAATAGTGTGATTGGAAAAATGAATATTAGTATGATTGTAAAACATAAATTAAATATGAAATTGATTCTTATTGCTCTTTTGGGATTAACACTCACACAAGCTGTCTTTGTTAAGAGATCTAACGATCCAAGCAAAGCAGTTTTCACATAATTGGAAGCAATGGAAGAACACGAATTAGGAAGAAAATTGTTAGACACAATTGCTCTCTAATTGAACAACAAGGCCCCATTGGGAGATATTGCTAAAATGTTATAATAATTAAGAGAAAACCTCATCCTCAACTAATAAGAAGCTGACTAAAAGCATGCTTAAGATGAAGTTGACTGTGAAACAGAAATTTATTAATATAACAGAAGAATTGACTTCGCCTCCAACGAAATCACTGAATCCACCTAAGAAATCTAAACCCTCAGTGCCAAGGTTGAATAATTGACATAAGATGTTGAAAACAAATAAGTTTAATTAGACATCTTAAACGAATAAGAAACTTAAATCAGAGAATAAAGAGCTGAAGATGCTGAAAGTTTCAGAACATTTGAAAATGAAACAGAAAACGTCATCGAAGCTGTTGAAGTCATCATCTAAAAGTTGAGCTCAATCCAACCAGATTAAGAAGTCTTGGCTGCTTTGACCTAATTGAACAAGATTGGTGCATCCAACCCAATCCTTGCTCTTATGTAAGTTGCTTCAACATTCTCAGCTGAATAATTGAACAATGTCCTCGGAAAATTAGGTGAAGTCAGCACTTAATTAGCTGAAGCTCTTGATGATGCTAGAACAGCTGAAATCTAAGCTTAATTAGACTTTGAAGCTTTAGTTGTTGAAATCGCCTCATAAAGAGAATCATTGAGCGCTGCCAGAGAAGATTCTGAAAGATAACTCTAAGATAACTAATAAGCTTTGGACTTATAAAAGAAGAGAAAGGAAGATGCTACCGATGAATTGAACGCTGCCTCATCAGGAAAAGAATAAAAGGAAGCTGAATGCGATTCATGGAGAACTTAATATGCTGAAGATTCTGAACACAGATAATAAGAAATCTCAATCATCAGATAAGTTGAAGAAATCTTAGCTACCAAATTATCCAACGTAAAAGTTTATCTCTAAGAGAGATCATCAGCTTGATTTAAATTTAATTCTTCAATAAATAAATCAAACTTAATTATTTTTCCTTTCTTATTGTTTACTTTAATCATTCAATACTATAGTTAATTTATTAGGTTACAAATTACTCTTTTATTCTAAATTTAGTTCTACATGTCTTTTCATTTAATATATATATATATATAAATTTTAACAAAATTTATTAATTTCATCCATTTCTTGATATAAGTTACTATCCTATTGATATTTATTTCTTTGGAGAAGCTTCTACTTATTCTGATGATTTAATAAAATCACGTTGTTTTTCCATCTTAGTATCTGAGGCAGATATTGGACTTGATGCTTAAACTGAGATTTATTATTATTGCTATTATTATTATTATTCTTAATGAGTATTTACAATTTGATCACATAATGAGATCAATTTATTTAAATATTCAAGATTACTAGGATTATTATCCCATTAATATATTTCATCAAATGCTTTTCTATCTTTAAATAATTTTAAGTTATTCTGTAATTATTGCAATTTGAATTTAATATGTGAAGATTTATACAAAGAAACCAATATCTCTTATTTGTAAGGAGTTATTTAATAATTTAAATTGATCATATTATTATAAAATGACTTTGCAGTTTATTATAATTGCTAATGTAATTGATTTGGAGTTAATTGATTTGTTCTTGCAAATAGAGTAGCTTAAATAATCTTCTCATTTAAGTTCTAACTCATTTCAATTAATAGTTTTGTATCAGTTATCTATTATAGATTAATTTAAGATTGTTTATCCTAAATTAACTTACAAACTTCAACATTCATTAATGAATTTACAGAATACATTTTCTCTAATGTATAAGTACTACTTTATCTCATAGGTGAGGTAATAGCATTCATTACACTTGCTATTAAAGAATTGTAATCATTATAAGTTAATGTTGATTTGTATTATCTTGAATAGTATTCATTTAACCCATAATTATCAAATGCTACTACATTTAATCCTTCAAGAGCACTAAAATTTTAAGCACTTTTAACAATGTCATGTCCATATTCTTGATTAGGAAAGATTGTAAAGGTTTAAATGACATTTTTATAATCTTGAAGAAGTTCCTTAAAGATACTAATATCAGTGCTTAAATGATGAGTTATCTATATTCCTTGACAGTTATCACAAATTTCCATTTCTTTACGTAAACATTCATCTATATCTAATTAATAGTTATTTGGATTAAAAATTAATGATTATGGATTTGCAAGTATTTATTCAACATCTCTAGAACATAAGATTGACCTAGGAACATATTTTTTATCACCAATTTCACTAAAATGTACTTCAATTCCTTCTGCAGGTTTTTCACATGTCCTATTGTTTTCAATTTAATAATCTTATATAAGTTATTCATAAAATTTGCATCCAATTCTCACTCCACAATTGCCCAAACCAATATGTATTATTTCTCTCATATATTTAATAATTAATACTTTATTATTATAAATAATTTCTTATTTATATATAGAAATATAAGAATTATAAATATAATCATATTTAATTTAAGATTAGAATAATTAAGAGTTCAATTTAAAAGTATTTACTTTCTTAAAGTGTAATGATTGTAATCATAAATTATAAAATAATCAAATTTATTATTATTATTATTATTATTATTATTATTATTATTATTATTAAATTGGAATTACTTAAACTTTCTTTTCTTCTTCTAATTGTTTTTCTGTAATAAGTTTAGATATATATCCAAATATTTTAGTTCTGCCTTCTCTAATCACAAGAATCTATTCAGTTTTTAAATATTCTGCTGCATATAGAAATCGTAATCTTTTAATTATTTAAATTATTTACCTCACTGTGTCTACATCTCCAGTACGTAATACTTCATGTTAGAATATTTTCTTCATTTCTACAGCTTATCTAATAACACCACAATGCATCACTGCTTAATATCCATGACTCATTGTTGTTGGATGATGGAGTATATGAATATTAGCCTTAAATCATTATATATCTATACTTCGAATTCTATAACTGGTTCAGGTTTCACAGCAGGATCAATTAATATCATTCCCTTTCTGAAATCAGCTCTATCTAATTTCTCACCAGCTTTAGATGGTTTAAGTGCAAAACATGCAAATTCTCCTACTTATGCAGATTCAACTGCTACTCTATTTATGTGTATAGATTTGATCGTTACTGGCTTAAATGCTAAATTATAATATATTTAATATATACTTTTTCCTTTATCTGGTCCCAATAAAGTATGTTAATTCAATCCTGCTTTTCCACTTCTTACTATTCCACTAACAACAACACCAACTCCAGGAACATTAAAATTCTCTTGTATATCAAATTAGAATGGATCATTTACTGATTAATAAGCTTTATTTATATCATCTCTATTTGGTACTCTACTTACAAATCTAGTTAATTATGATAATCCATTTCCTGTCACACTAGATACTTAAAATATTGGAACAACATTATTTCCATGCATAAGTGCTGCCCATTTATCAATTTCATCCATTCCAGATTTCTCATCAAATAAAACTGCTGTTCTCTTTATTGCTGGACTACGAATCAAAGCTTTTATATTTTCAATTGTCTCATTATAAACATTTTATGGAGCTATATCAATTTTTGTTAACACTATTGCGAATGGTATTTTCAAAAATAAACTCACTCCTAAATGTTCTCTTGTCATTTTTGATACTCCCATATTAGCTCCAACTATAATTAAAGAATAATCTGGAATCATAGCTACTAAACCAAATATTGTAGTTTTTAAATATTTTTCATGACCACAGAGATCCAAAAATGTAACTATCTTTGCACTCTTTTCGACTACGAGACTCCAATATTTGTTTTTATTTTAATTGAATCTTTCAGGAACAACTTACTTTAAATTTTCATCAAATCCCATAATTTCTTAAGCTACAGATGATGTCCTTCCATTCTCTTTTTCATGTTTATAATTAAAAACGCGCTGCATAATTTAAAATTCGAACCTCTCTTGCTCCTCCTCTTCCATCATCTAAAATTCCTTTTGTTAGTACACCAACCAAAGTTGATTTACCAGAATCAACATTACCAATAATAGCTAACTTACTATGTTCTAATCTCTTATCTTGCATAATATTAATATACGTATTATTATTTAATGTTTGAATTTAGATACCAAATAATTCTTTCTTAAAATTTATATAATATATATATATTTATATATATATATATATTTGTTTAAAAGCATAGTCAATTTTTTTCAACTGAAAAATTGATATTTTTATCATTTAGAAATTTGCAAATATCTTCAAATTATACTTGATTAGCATCAACCCTAATTAAATATTTATCTTTCTTAATTAAATTTGGTTTTTTTTTATTTTAGTTTTATTATTGATTTGTTTTCTGAGAATATTAATTATAGTGTTATTATGAGTATTTATCCATTTATTGTTTACAGTAAATTTTAGCAAATGTATCTAAATTCATTATCTCTGATTTACCTGCTCCTTAAAATTGACTAGATAAATCAGAAATATTAGATGATTTCTAATTAACTTTTTAGTTAATGTTATTGAATTATTATGCTTGACCATAAGTTGTAAAAGATTGTGAAAAAACTCCTTAATTTGAATTTTTTTAGTCATTTTTCGTAATATAATTGGTTGGCATTTCTACAATATGAATTTTCTTTGAATCATGTTTTTGAGTTTATTTTTAGGGTGATTATTCAAACTATTTAGAATGGAAATTATTAGAGAACTCCTTAATATTTATAATCTCTGCTTATTATTTTATATTGCTAATATCATTCTATAATTTAGAAATTTCGATTGCTCGGCTTGATTCCACTATTAATTATTTAGTTTATTTTACATAACTTTTGACCACTTAAACCCCTATAAAAGATTAAAGTTGACTTATTTAGATAGCTTAAATATTTTTAAATTGGACTATTCCTGTTGTCAAAGTAATATTCTGTATCTTTGATCTTGAAATAAAATATTTCACTCAGATTAAAATTTCTAAAGAATTTGAAAAGTAAGTCTACTCATAATAATGTGCATCTTGGATTAATTATGCCAATCTAATAGGAGTTGTTGTTTAATCATAAGTGGTAAAGAATTGCTCATTTCGATCATAGATTAGAATTTATAGATTTTACATTATTTTAATATGAATATTTATCAATATAAATTGAGTAAATCGTCAGCAAAGAATACTTCTATTTCTACGACTGACAATATTTTATAATATGAACTATTTGTGGGAATAGTTTACCTATAACTTGTCATATATCTTAACTTAATGTATTACTTTAAAATATTTAAATCATTGTCAAATTTACTAGCATCTTCATGATCCTTAATTACATATTTATAAACCAAATAAAATGTGAAACACCAATCATCTGGTTGAAAATCATTTATATTTTTAGCAACATATGTTAAAGTTGATTCTAAAAATTCTGTTAAATAATAGACTAAATCATTTTAATCTAATTATTTAAGAAAGACAATTAAATCTTCATGAGTAAAATTAACATCATCTAAATTAAGATTAGATTTGGCTAAAACTGATAAAATTTGATCTTTATCATCTAATTTTTCAAATATTTGATATATGCTTAGAAGATCTTACTTTTTTTTCTTAATATTTTTTAAATTAACCAAAGACAATTCATTAATCATTAAAATAACTTCATTAGCAAATTTAAAACATTTTTAATTTTATATCTTTTCAACCAAAATATTTAAGTTTTTAAGAGAATCATATGATACATTCTCTAATTCCCCTTTTAAGAATAGGTTTAGAATTCTATCAGCAAACTAATCTCTAAATGGTTAATCAATCTCTTCATGATATTTTAACATCATATTGATTAATAATATATAATCTTCAAAATTAGAGATTAGTTTATTGATATCTTAGAATTCATTGAGTTCCATATGAAATTGTTATATTAATTTAAGAAATAATGCACGATTGGCCTAATCTAATTCTTGTATAGAGAGGTGATCCATACAAAAGAAAAAGATGAACTAATATGTTTCCAAAGATACAGGTGGTTATTTTAAAGCATACATAAAATATTGCATAATAACAAGCATTTAATTTTTAGTGGCAAATACCTTAAACTTTCTTAAATGTTAATATGCTCTATTCAATTCTTTCTCACAAAGATCAAGATTTCTTTTATTTTCTACAAAACCTATAAAATCACAAAAAGCTTCTTGTGAAATGTCTTTTACAATATTTAAATGCCATATTTCATTTAAGAATCCAGAAAAATCATATACGGCATGGGTAAACTCAGTGTATTGATACCAATTTAGCACACCTTATTTGTGGTAATTGTCCATGGCTGCAATCCAAGATTATTAGTCATAATACTTTATCTGATGGAGGATATTAATGAACTACGAAATGTTGTATTCTATAAATTAAAGAGCGAGATTTACCATCAGTATCTGAATAGTTTAAACTCTTAAGCTCTTTTGTTAATGAGCTAATTATTGATGGTACACCATAAAAGGAAAGATATTTGAATTCACTATTCTAATTAACCATGTTCTAAAGAATGTCCATTTTATCATCAAATGTCATCGAAGATCCATAACAGTGAAATTTAAAATATAGATCTTCTAATGTACCAGGATAGATTTTTTGTGGTTTTGGATGTTTGAGATATTGTTTTTATATGTATTTCTTTTGTTGAAGAATCTCATTTGGAGTTTATTGTTTAACGAGTGATGTACATTTGTATAAATTGAATGTGTTCTTTTTGAACATTATTATAAAAAACTAAAAAATGCCTAAATACATTGATGTTTTAACAATTGAATAGGCTTTAATAAAAGCTGGAAATGGACACTAATTTTAAAGAAGAGCCCTTATTATCATGGGTTTGTAATATATGATTGCAGGAATGCTTCATATAGCAATGACAGAGCTATTCTTTCATCAATAATAATACAAATGTCTTTCAGAAGATCTGAATTATTAGAATTGTACAGAAGGAGCATTTTGTGAATAATATAAAACTAAGGAAAATAAAGTGTCATTAGTTGATCACTCTGATTTAGGTAGTTTGATCAAATACTTCTTAATGGTGTGTGGTAATAAAATTCAAATATTCATATTGGTCACATCCTATTATATTGGAGGCAGTATGGGTTCCTTGTATTATGGTGAATAAATGGAAATCAGATAAGGCAGATAGTACTTTTAATATATATACTATTAGCACCGTAATGATTGAAACATTATTAATCATGGGCTTTGTTTGTTGTATAAGTATGCTCTCCCCTTCAGCATATATTTTGAGTGTGGCATTATTCGCAATCAATTTCTTTTAAAGAGGGTTTTTTAACTCATCTATGATCTTATTTTTTGAGATTTCAAGTGAGAATCTATAGAAATTCGGGCCTGCTTTATTATTAACATGTTATGGAGTTGGTGAAGTGATATCTCCAAGACTTATAGAAATGTTTAATTTAAATTGGTAATATTCAATGCTACTATTATTTGGATTACCAGCAGTGTTATTTTCAGTGTTAATCAAATTTATGTAGGAATCACCAAGAATTTTGGTAATCAGACGTAAATTTGAAGAAGCAAGATTAACAATTAATTATATTGCGAGTGTAAATGATAGATAAATGCCAGAAAATTGGTTATTAGAAGATGAAGTCAGAATTTAAGAATTGAAATAGAAAATGAAAGATATCTTACTTTAAGAGGATATTCATGAATAACCAAAAGGATATAACTTTTCTTCTATATTCAGATATAAATCAATTAGAATTAGAATGTTCTGTCTTCTTTATTTGTATAGCATTGTAGTTTTAGGTTAATTTTAAACTGCCAAAGAGATAGAAAGATTTTCAAGATTAGAAAGACATCACACATATCTACTATTATCATTAGTATCTACTGCTGGATATTTAATTAGTGGATACGCTTCATTAAATTACTTAAGAAAGGAAGTAATTAAAGCCATTCTTATTTTGGGTGCTATATTTCATTTTTTGATTGCTGCACTGCCTTTATTAATTTTAAATAAAACAGCCAGTGATTTAATAACATTCTATGATAAATTAGTGTACACTTTTATAATGATGGTTTTAGTTATGTGTAGATTGACCTTAAGTTTTGCATATGGATTTATTAATGTATTTATATTTTTTTATTATTTCTAGATCTACGCATTAGAAATATTCCCTACTTCATTAAGACATTATGGATTTTGCGGACTTACTTTTTTGACTGAATTCCTATTTATATTTTAAGACTCCTATGTGATCTTTTGTCATGCTTTCGGATTGAATTCATCAATTGGAATGTTTGCCTTATTACTTTTAGGATTATTAACATTATAGAAATTGAGGGAAACTCAAGATTTACCACTTAAAGAAAATGTAGATGAGATGTAAGATGAGTTAATTAATAACATATATTCTGCTTGATATTTATATACATTCTATATATATTACATAAATTGTTTGTTCAGATTTTCTTTATCTTTTCATATGTATATTAAATTAGTATTTTAGACATAATATTCTTTTATTTCATTTTTTTCTATAATATAAATTATAATATAGTTTTGAATTTTAATTGGTATTAAATATTAAATTATTTCATACATATATTTTCAATCATTTTGAAAGGATTATTAAAAATGATTTGAATCAAAAATGACTAATATGAGAATGATAATAAAAGTCTTTTATTAATGACTTTGTCTAGATGATATAACAATATTAATTAGTGAAAAATAATATTTCACTTCTTTTATTTCTTAATCAATTTTATATCTTCTGTCAATTTCTAATTATCTTTGAATATTAAGGATGTCATATTTTTAATCAATGTGCCAAACTCAAAAAGCTCCTCTTTAGAATTGTAACTCTTAAATGCCAAAGATAGGATCTACAATAATTCATTGTATTTATTCTAGAATCTAAACATATTTGATATTATATATATACCTATCTTGCTAAAGAATAAACTATGTATGTCCCTCCAATTATTAAATTGTATTTTTTAAATTGGCCTTTTCAGTATCAATCAAGCCTTAGAACTTCTAAATTTGAACCTAATTCTCGGATTTCTTTAAATTCTCTTAGTTACGTAAAAGTGCTTCATGATGAGCAGATATTTTATTTAGAGACTAATACATTACATATTAAGTTTACTTTTTTTAATAAATCTAAGACTTCCTTGTATTGCATTAACAACTTGTATTCTGGACCAAAATCCTACTCCTGGGGATTCAAATAATTTTGTAAATCCTTACATTTTATGATGCATTCTATTATACCTGTTCAGGGTACATTGTTGGCATTGATTCAGGTATTCTTTATCCTCCTACTGGAACTACTGTTGGATTGCCTTGATGAAAATTGGCTGAATTTCTGTCGAATTACTCAATAAATGCTTCTTCTGATTCAATCAAGTCTTTTTGAAAATTGCTTTAATCCATTTATAAAAGAAAATATTTATCACAATTTATTCTTAAAATTAAAATTTGAACTCAAAAATTTGTAGAATTAAGAAGATAAATAATGTTTAAAATGAATTCTGAGAATTCTAAATTTAAAAAAAGGAACATATATCTAGAAGATAAATAGAAATATTTACTAAAAATGTAAAAATTATGAAAGATATAAATCAGTTTATCTAAATTAGAATGATAATTATTGTAAGAGAAAAATAAAATATAAAAGAGATATCAATTTAAATATTTTATTTGATGTTATATAGATAATTTTATAAAATATGTGTAACAAAAACATTAAGTATTTATTTTTTTGTTTAAATAAATAATTTTCATATAAATTGTAATTATTATAGTAAAAGATATTTAAACTAGAAATAAAATATATTATTTTGAATCTCAATGTTAATGATGAAAACTTTTGGTTTATCTATAATTAAAATCTTTGTCTTAGTTATTTTCAATTTTACGAATTTCTACTTATCCTAATAATTATAAGAAACTCAAGACATCTTCTTTTACAGGTCCATTAGTTCTAATTTTAATTTCATATTAATCTTCCATTCTATTAGATTCTTACAATAATTATAATCCTTGTTAATTGATATAATTTTGCTTTGATTACTATAAATTTTAATAATTCATTGATGTAGCTAAATCAAATGGATTTTCACCAAGATTAATTTTAACATCACTTTTTGATTCAAATAAGATTCTATTATTGGATTTAGAATTATCTACTCTATATTTTTATTCACTATTATTTTAGCAAGACTTCTAGCTTGACAAAAATTAACTATTCTCACTATTCTAAATTCTTGATGTATTTCGACTAGTTTGAGATTAAAAATTAAGCAAATAGTCATAGGCATTCTTAAAATTCATTTAACGATATAAAAATTTATTAATAAAATAAAAATGCCTATTTCTTTAATTTCTATTTAATTATTCTTTTTCTAAAATCAATCAAGTTTTAATTTCTTTTATAAATTTGAAATAATTAAAGGAAACTAAAAAATAAAAATATTTTATTTAAAGAAATCTTTTATCTAAGATACCTATAATTATGATTATATTTATAATTGTATTAAATAATGACTAAATGGATAATATCATTACATTTTTAAGATCTAATAGTTAATAAATTATCTAATACTTAAACAATCAAATTAACTCAATTATACTTGCTTTGTTAAGCATATCCTATACTTTATTTGAAACTAAAGGATGATATAAATATTTATCTTCTTCAAACCATTACTTTGCTAAATCTCTTAAATAATATTATGAGAAATTACAAATAATTTTATATCAAAACTTCATAAATTCCAACAATATAAGATCTAACTCCAATACTTTATAAAAATTATCTAACTGCCCAAAATGATTCCTCATATTAACAAAGTACAATAGTTCGATACCATTTAAATCCAATCTATACTCCTTACTTTGCTCCTGAAAACTTATAAAAGTCATCTAGAGATTAAATTTTTGATTTGGTTAACTTATTCCAATTAGCCATAATCTACTACATAAATATAGTTTATTAATTTGGCATATATTCTTTGTATTCATTAGCATTTTAGGGTTACTCATTGGTTTATATCCATGCATTTGCTAATAATATTGCCTATTCATATTTTGGTGTAGTTTAATTGAATTATCTTGGTGGTAATCCTAAATTATATCTATATAATACCCTAGTCATACACCCAAGGTTTATATATAAGAATGATCTCATTAATGATCATTTACTGATTGTTTTATATATTTAATCTGACCCATCTTAGTAGATATTTGTAAAAGTCATCTTCGTCTATACTTTAAAATTTAAAGTTATCTAAATAAGATCTAAGAAATTATTTAAAATTTTCTTCTCCTATAAGTTATTCAAGATAGTAGAGCAATTAATATCCTTTTTCATAAGGAACCAAAGAGAAAGAATCATTAGGGTTTTTCCAAGCAGTATTTGGATGCAAAGATTTATAGGTTATTTTTTCTGGATCAACAAAACTTTCAATGTCTTCAATCATATCTATATTTCCATTTATTGCTTCAATAACATCATAATCTTTTGGTCTTACAAATTAATAAGTCTTCCTCTCTAAAAATACACATAAGCTCTCCATTATCCATAAATTTGACCAATTATTACCAGTTACAGTATTACCCATCCAAGAATGAGCAATTTCATGTATTGCTATTCCAACACCACTTTTATCTCCTACAATCATCATAGGACTTGCAAATGTTAATAATGGATGTTCCATTCCTCCAAAAGGGCAAGATTATGGCAGAATTACTATTTTATACTCACCCCAAATATATGGACCTATATATTCAGACATTTTTTGAAGAAACAAAGGAAGTTCTTCTAATTCTCGAGTGTAATCATCTAAAAAATAAGGTTCAGAAATAACATAACAATTTCCTCCTACATTCTTTTATTCAACTTCTCCTGCAACTATTCCTATCAAATATGCAGGAATAGGAATATCTAATTTAAAAGAATATTAGTATAATTTTGTTTCTTCATAATGCTCTATCAATTACAAAGAATCTACCTAGTGTCCTGTCATAAACACTTTAATGAGAGGGTCTTTACTTAAAACTGTTGAAGAATAGGTAAACTTAACGCTAGGTGTGTCTTAGAGAGGCATTAATGATCTACATTTTATTGCTTCACATTATGAAAACATATAAGGAACCTTCTTACTTTAAGTTTATTCTTTTGTTAAAAAACCTGCAGCTCTTGCCTTTTCTGTATATGCATATTTTATTCTAATTATCAAATTTTCTAAGGCTCTATATTAACGATCAAGTTTTATAATTAGTTTATCTCCTTACACAAGAGTTTAATTTTAAACAACTTGTATTTAAAATTCAAGAGAATTTCCATTTAATAGATAGACATTAAAAATATCTAGCAAATAGATATCCAAATCAATCTTGTTTTATAATATTTAGTTATACATGATCTACATTCTTTAACACTTTTAATTGATATTCTGCTGTCCCATTCACTAACTTATTATCTAAATCTAATAACCATTCCAAATGTAAATGACTAATTCTCACCTCTAAATAATTACTAAATGTATTTGGATCCAAATCAATAGTAAAACAACTTAAGACTAGAGTAGAAATAATTAAATATTTTATCATATTTATTATGCTATTTATTGTTTTATGTAAAAATAAACAATCTAAATAATAACTATAGGATTTGCTTAATACAATTTCATAATAACTAGAATAAGAACTTTTAAATTAATATTAAAACAAATAAAAGTTAAATTCTTAAAAGTCTTAATATATGTAATCTAATATTTATAAAATAAAATAGAATTAAAATATAATTTAGAAAACTGTATTTAGCAGAATTCTATAAGTTTTAAGTAAAGTACTTTAAAATATATTCAAAAATACAATAAATATTATATAAAAGACTTATAAATCTTTAATAAAATTTCAAATAATAATATATATTATAAAGTATTTAATTTTATGAAATTTGATAATTCTTTTGTCAAAGTTATTCTATTATCTATAATATTAGTAACAGTTTTTATCATTTTTCCATAATTATGATTATTATTATCTTATTATTTAATTGAAAAATAATTATATAATTTTATGAATTTAAGTTTTTCTTAAAAATCTGATTCTATGTCAATTACATTAAAAAAAGGTTTGCTATTTGAAATTATATAAAGTACTTGATGAATTCACACAATTAAATGAAACAACAAAAGAACATTATGCTGTAATTTTAATAAAGGTGATGATTAATTTGATCACCAATAGTAAAGGTATATTGATGTTTTAATGAAGAAATGACTATGTAAGGTCTAACACATGAAATTAAGACAGCAGGAGAATATTTAATTAATAATGCACAAGCTGGTCATGGCAGATCAGAATTAGTATTAAGATCAACTTAGACCATTTATTAACATTATATTAGTAAAGGTTTGTAACACTCAAAAGCTGATAGCATGGAAGCATTAAAATATTCACTTTTGGAAATTTCATAAGAACTAATAGACATTATAATTCGTTCTAAAGATAACATTAAGACTTAATGCTTGAAATTCTTTAATAATAGATTTGTAAATTAGAATTTTTATTTTAGAAAGTTTTGGTAGTTGGATATTCAAATGTTGTAATCTATTCTTTGATAGAAGCATTTAAGGCTGGAATAGTAATGGAAATATATATTCCAGAAGGCAGACCAAAATCAGAGGGAATAGAAACATATAGATAATTGACAGAAATTGGATATCCTTGTAAATTAATATTTGATTCTGCCATTGGATAAGTAATGGAAAATATAGATATGGTTTTGACAGGAGCAGAGGCTGTTGTTGAAAATGGAGGTATAATAAATAGAGTTGGAACTTATACTACTGCAATTTGTGCTAAATTTTAGAAGAAACCATTTTATGTTTTAGCTGAAAGTTTTAAATTTACACGTTTATTCCCTTTATCATAAAAAGATTTAAGTGATTCAATTAGATATAGCTAAGAAGAACCATGCTTTTCAGAAAAATTGTAATTGCCTGAAAATATGGATGTAATTTAATATATATAATGAATATTAGTTTATTAATCCTTTGTGTGATTATACTCCTCCAGATTTGATAACATTATTATTTACAGATGTAGGAGTTTTTACACCATCTGCTGTTTCTGAAGAATTAATATTAATATTTAATACCTGAGAAATAATTATATAATTAAATGTAAATAAATAAAAATTAAAACATTCATTATTATAATTTAATTACATTCTAGAATAACAAATCAGTTTAGATAATTAAACTATATATATATTTTCAATCTTATGTTAATTTATTTTGTTTCAAGAGATATATTTATAGAGTTTCAAATTTAATAAACAAAATCCTTTAAATCCATTCTTAACAATTAAACAAATTTTCCATCTTAATTTATAAATTCTTTTAAAGATTTTATATCTATTTCAATTTAGTTATTTTCTTAAGTTAAGAATGTACTAACTATTTTTTTTAAGTTTTATATCAAATTTTTAATCTCATTATCATTTAATTTACCTATCATATAAATTTTCTCTTAGTATTTTAAACAAAAGATTCTTTTAATTTTTCTTTATAATTCTACTTTTATTTCTTATTTTCTTATTTGTCCTTTATATATTTGATAGTAATCAATTTTTAATGTTCTTATTGTTTAAAATTAAAAAATTGTATCTTAGATATATTTTACAAAGTTTTCATCTTTTTATTCATAATAAATTACACAATTTTCATTATTACTTTGTATTATAAAAGACTAATTATATTTTTTAATCAATACTCGATTTAATAAATTTTATGAAAATGATATAATTTGGTCTCCTTATATTGACTTAGGTATATCAACTTAAGCAGGTTAAGTCTTTCGATTGTCACTAGCTATAATTATTTTTTTGTGGACTGAATCATAAATTCCATTTAATAAGCCAAAACCAATAAATTCAAAGGTATGTTATGGTTTTTACAATTTAAAAATTTTAGCTTAAATTACTATTGAATTTACCTTATAAATTTTAAGCTAAAATTCTATGTTATGGTTCTTAAAGCAAATAAATCCCTTTTTCTTCAGAATACTTAAGATTATTTAATACTCTAAATGAAATTTTATTAACAAATTGACTATAATTTTCATTTCTAAAAGTATAAGAATTTCTTTGTTAAGTAGTTTTAGTTTCAATAGCTAAATAAATTACTTATTTTCGTGAACCTACATATAATCCACCTTCTATATTAGTTTTAGCTAATTTAAAAGATATATGTCTTCTATAATGATCAAATTTAAATTTTTTTTATAGTTTAAGAATAGCTTTTTCATGTGATTTTGTATAAACTTTTAAAACAATTTCATTTTTCCAATTAACTAAATATCCCTTTAAATACTTTTATGGCTTTTTAAGTGTTTTCTCTACATTTTCAACTTTAAAATAAGTTGGTTTAACTTTAATATCATCTATTTATGTCTTTGCCTAAAATAATTATGATTCCTTATTGATAAGTATATTTATCAATATTAAGGTCCCATTAATCTTATTGATACCAGTAATTGTTCCTATAAATTCATATTAATAAGGTTTTGTCAATGACACTAAATGATAAATAAATAAAATAATTACTATCTTAATCAGAATCAATATTTTCTTTCATTAAATCTGGTATTTGCAAACTAGTTTATTTACTATAATTTTTATTTTCCTTAAAAGGGATTTAAATCAAATTAACCTAAGATTTTTCATCATATAAAGTTTAACTATTTTACTAATTCAATTAATCTTGATTTTAATTTGAATCTACTTATTAATCAGAGCTTGAATAAAGAGAAGAATTATTTCTCTAATTTTCTTTCTACTTCTCTTATTTACTAATATTAGCATTTTATTCTAATTCTTTTTGATCCTCTTCGTCCTCTTCTAAAATAGTTTAATTAACTGAAGGTTTCTCTTTATCTTTATTTTTATTAATATTATCTGTTTATAAATATTAATAATTATCTACTTCATTAGTTTTCATAGTATCCATCATAGAATTATTATTCATATTATATTCATTATATTGAAGTGTGAAATCTAGATTTTAGTTATTTTCTTTTATTTAAATTTATTATTATTTTAAATTCTCATTATCTTCATCTGGTTTATCTAAATCCTATTAAGATTGCAATTTTTAGGAAGACAAGACATTAATATTAAATTATCCAGTCTTATTAATTTTATCAACATCATCACTTCCATTTTTACTTTCCTATTGACTTTCGCTAAATTGAATTTCTTAATCAACCGATTATTATTCCTATTTAATTTGTACTTCACTCACCTATTTTTCAACATTAATTTATCTTTCAACTTATTCCTCAATTAAAGGAATTTCTTAAAAAGGATGTTGATTTAATTCTTAATTGATTTAAGCTGATTTTTATACAACAATAGAATCTGTATTAAATGATTAAATATCAGCTATAGTGGTTGGAAGTTATAGATTTTATATGCTCTCTTCAATTTTATAGAGATATTCATAAATTCTTAATTGGTTAACATCAAACCTTAATTAAATTTATTTTTCAATTTATTAAATTTCAATTTCTAACAAATTACTTTGGATAATAAGTTATTATTAATTAATAAGAATAATAGATGATAATTTGTTTTCAATATTATCCAAAATATCTTTAGTTATTGATATAATACATGAAACAGTTAAAATTAATATATGTTAAAGTTTTTCATTTAAATTTGAGCATTTCCTCTAAGATTTTCTTAAAGTATAAAAATCAATAAACACAAAATCTATATAGTTATTACTCTATTTAAAACCTAAAAATAGAATTCCATTATGGATATTGTTTTTCTCATCTATAATTTTAAAGTACTACTTTTCTGTTACCATTAAATATTCAGATTATAACTTTTATATTCGTTAATTAAATTTTATTTAACTATATTTCCAAAATTTTTGTATATAACAAATCTTTTATAATTTTTATTCTTCTTCTAATTGTTTAGCCTTTAGTTAAATTATTTCATCAACTTAATTTTCAACATTTTATTATTATTATTATTATTAATTAACTTCATTAATTTCTTCTGTTATTTCTTCTAAATCTTCAATTTATTTGCATGACATATTTTATTAAAAATAATTGTTTTTCATAGATGAATCTTATTCAAATTCTAATTTTCTTGTAAAGCTCTAAATTGTTTCATCTTAAAATCCCTTTTATTCAAGAGTTGTAGTAAAAGACATTCTTTTTTCTTCTTAGATATTTTTATCTTGTTTTAGATTTTAATCATTAGTATTAATTTAATAGTTCAATTTATTTTCATCTACTTCTGTTTTTGTTACTCTATTCTATTCTTAAATAGTAACTAAAGGTTATGGTTCACTTTCATCTAAAACTTCTTAAATTTATGGATCTGTATTAAAAATTTACTTCATTTAATCTATTGATGACTTCATTTCTCTAGAGGTTTAATTTGAGTTTTTTTATAATCTCTATTGCTGTATTTATTAATTGATATATCTAAAAGCTTCTAATTTTTATAATTCTTTTTATTTTTCTTCTTAAATTTTATTCAATTCTTCTTATTCTTTTTAAGCTTGCTTATAATTATATTATAAATTATTACTGATTATAAATTTTAGATGCATTATTGTAATGATTTAGTCTTTTCTAATTTATCTATTTCAATCTTTGCATTATCTTCATTTAATGTACGATTAGTAGCAGATAATTATTTTCTAAATGTATGTCCTTCTCTTTTAGTAAAATCAAATGATTTTAATTTAGGTACTTATGTTTGATTCATAATAGCTGATTATGGTCTAAGTGAATGGCCTAATCCTTTAGATTCTGATTAAAAAAGTCTTTCAGTAACATTTTTAACTGTATCTTAAGGTTAGTTCCTTAATACACTTTAAGCATATTGACTAGTGACATTTGCTCTAATTTAAAATTTATGATTTAATGATGTAATGGCAATTTTTTAACCTTCTGCAATAGCCAATTATCTAGCAAATTCTTCATATATATTTTTAAGTTGAATTGTTAGATAATGATGAATTCCTAAATTATCTTCAGCTACTTTAAATGCTGATGCATATGCCTATAATGCAAATTAATATTTTTAAAAATATTATTCTTAAACTCCAACATTATAAAAAGCTATTGCTAATGAACTTACACATCGTTGAAATTTGAATGCTTACATAGATACATGATTTTTAATATAGTATTAGTATTCTTTATGACTTTCAGTAACAGCCTTCTTTGCATTTTCTAATGCTCCTTCATGTCTAATTACTAATAAAATTTATATAATACTCTTCCACTAAAGATAATACTACAGATAAATTTAGATGTGTTACTGCAACCTCTTTCAAAGCATATTTTTTAATCACAGCCAAAGCACATTCTAATTCTTTTAATGCCTTTTCCAATTATCCTACTCTTCTATAATAACAACCAAGTCCATTTAGAATCTAAACTCTTAAGTAACCTTATTATTTTGGTGTTAATCCTTTAAACATCTAATCACAGCCTAGAAGTAGAAGTAATGCTGAAGCTGGATCATTCTCTAAAATTGACATTGAACTTGATACAACCAATAATGTAACTTTCATTACCAATTATACTTGAGATTGTTATCCCAAATATTTTTTCCCATCAGAAACCACTATGTTATAATTAATAATAATACTTTAGTTTAATATTAAAATTGCTTGATTTACTTAGTGATTATTAATTAGATGCAAAGCTTCATTCAAAATTGGGTCATCTTGACAATCTAATTCTTATCCAATTTAATTAATATCCCAAATAGCATTTATTGTATTACATTAAGGAGTTGCTATTCCTGAATATCTTAGGTTTGAATGCCCTGATACATTCGATACAGAGCGTGTTTATATTTTTGATTAAAGTTATTTGATAAACATAATTAATGAGTGAATTGATAATTAAATTTATCAAAAATGTTGTTATAAAATAGAGATCTATGAAAGGTTAATCAAAAATGTAGAACCCAAAAGAAATAATACTTATTTAATTTTTTATTTTCAACTTCTCTATAAATTTTAATCTTTTCAATATTTAACCTTTACATTTATCATCTTTTATTATTGTATTGTGAATCTCTTTGATTAAACAATTTGAAATTATATAATTCATATAAATGATAGAATTGATATTATCAATTAATTATTAATATTACTTAAAATTAGATATAATGTTGAGTTTAAAGTTACTTAAATAAATTCAACAATAAGATTATGGATAATATAGAAATTTGAAGTATTATAAAATAATAATGATGAGGTTAAGTCATCATGATGGATAGTTTGATAAATAGATAAATAAACTAAAATCTAATATCTTATAAATAATATAAATATTTCATGCAATAGATAACATAATTTATAGAAATTCTTCTTGAGCAATTTAACCATCTCCATCTTAATCTAATTGTTTCGACAATTAATCAAGTTTTTCTTTTGGTACTTACATGTCTCTCAATAATTTCTTAACTTCTAATTTACTTAATTATCCACTATGATCTCTATCGATTTATTAAAATAGCATTAGCAATTTTTCTCTATTAAAATATTTTTTTTGATCTATTGTTGCTAATACAAACTCTAAAAATTAATAATTTTTAATACCTTGATAGTCTATTCTTCCACTACCATTTTGATCAATTTTCGAGAATATGGCTTCAACCTCTTAATTAGCTTATTCGGATGAATACATTGTAGTATATACTGTTAAGAGTTCTTATTTTGTAAGTTATCCATCCTTATTTAAATCAAATTTTTAGAACTCTTCCATTAACTTCTTCTTATCTTATTCTTACAACATGTTTTCTGCAATATAATTTAACATAGCACTTTGCATTTATGATTATTACTAATATTATAAAGAATCTAAATACTTTAAAGTCTTTCATCTATTTAGAGAGTTGTTTATTTGGCTTAGTTATAATTTTTGCTCTATTCAAAAATATTGGATGATTAATAACTTCAGATGCAGTTGGACGAAGTTATGGATTCGAGCTAAGCATTTTACTAACTAATTATTTCATATCTGGATTAATGTTAGTCCATTCAGACCCTTCAAAATTAACTATTCCTCTTTATATTGCCGTTTTTAAAGCTTGAACATCTCTTGATTAAAATGGCATATGAGAAGTCAAAAAGAAGTACAGGAGACATCCACATGACCATATATCAGATTTAAAACTTGTAAGGTTTGATTATTTCAAGGCTTCAGGTGATTTGAAGGATATTTCTTAAATACCTCCATTAGGTCTCCANTTATATAATTCATATAAATGATAGAATTGATATTATCAATTAATTATTAATATTACTTAAAATTAGATATAATGTTGAGTTTAAAGTTACTTAAATAAATTCAACAATAAGATTATGGATAATATAGAAATTTGAAGTATTATAAAATAATAATGATGAGGTTAAGTCATCATGATGGATAGTTTGATAAATAGATAAATAAACTAAAATCTAATATCTTATAAATAATATAAATATTTCATGCAATAGATAACATAATTTATAGAAATTCTTCTTGAGCAATTTAACCATCTCCATCTTAATCTAATTGTTTCGACAATTAATCAAGTTTTTCTTTTGGTACTTACATGTCTCTCAATAATTTCTTAACTTCTAATTTACTTAATTATCCACTATGATCTCTATCGATTTATTAAAATAGCATTAGCAATTTTTCTCTATTAAAATATTTTTTTTGATCTATTGTTGCTAATACAAACTCTAAAAATTAATAATTTTTAATACCTTGATAGTCTATTCTTCCACTACCATTTTGATCAATTTTCGAGAATATGGCTTCAACCTCTTAATTAGCTTATTCGGATGAATACATTGTAGTATATACTGTTAAGAGTTCTTATTTTGTAAGTTATCCATCCTTATTTAAATCAAATTTTTAGAACTCTTCCATTAACTTCTTCTTATCTTATTCTTACAACATGTTTTCTGCAATATAATTTAACATAGCACTTTGCATTTATGATTATTACTAATATTATAAAGAATCTAAATACTTTAAAGTCTTTCATCTATTTAGAGAGTTGTTTATTTGGCTTAGTTATAATTTTTGCTCTATTCAAAAATATTGGATGATTAATAACTTCAGATGCAGTTGGACGAAGTTATGGATTCGAGCTAAGCATTTTACTAACTAATTATTTCATATCTGGATTAATGTTAGTCCATTCAGACCCTTCAAAATTAACTATTCCTCTTTATATTGCCGTTTTTAAAGCTTGAACATCTCTTGATTAAAATGGCATATGAGAAGTCAAAAAGAAGTACAGGAGACATCCACATGACCATATATCAGATTTAAAACTTGTAAGGTTTGATTATTTCAAGGCTTCAGGTGATTTGAAGGATATTTCTTAAATACCTCCATTAGGTCTCCATTATAAACATGTAGATTTCAAGGAACTTGATATACCATAGTCTATTAGTTTGACATTCTACATGCTTTTATCTGTAAATACTATACTTTCAAGTTGGATGTTTCTAAAATACCACAACTTAACATACCCATGTGCAATTCCTTTATTATGTAAGAATTAGACTCCTGCCATAATCTAACAAAACACATCAAACATATTATGTTATTGTAGTTGACTAAAATGATCCAAACGGGATAATAGATTGCCACCATCACAAAAGTCACTAACTAAGAACAATTTATTATCATTATAATAGTATTATTATTGGCTGACTAAGTTTAAATGTTTCTTAAATATATGATAAGACTTACAATTTATAATAGATGATTAACTATTCTTTCTAGTTCTTACTTTTCAGTAGTTGTAAGATTTAAACAATTATAAACCTTAACTATTCGACTTGCATTATTGCTTTTAGAAACTGCTTTCTTTATGTAATTTCTTCTTGCTATTTTATTAATTAGATAGCTTACTTACTAAAGGATCCAAACTATGGAAAATATAATCTGATTCTATTTTATCAGTTTCTTACATCAATGAGATCGATGGAGTAGCCTCTTTAGGATGAGAGCAAGGAGAGTTTTGTTTACTAAGTGATCTTTCTTATTTTTCTGGTTTTGCTGCAGCACAACCCATCTTAAATCAAGTAATGATATTTTTTATTATGTGATAAATATATTCAATAACTACTTTAAAAATGACAAAACTAGCGTTAATTTAGAATAAATTATACTATTGATTTTAATTGTCAAACAAAGGTTAAAATACTATTCATTATTTATTCATACAAAAATATAAAATACATATTCAATTTTAATTAAATATTTCTCTATATAGAATACTAAATTTTACTTTAGATTTCCTAATTTCTCACATCATATTCTCTCAAGAATCAATACTAAATAAATAGTAACCATTATTTTGAAAGGTATTTATTAATTATTTGTGATTCTATTATTCCAATTATGTCGTCATTCTATAATCATTAAATTTATTAATTAATTTAATTTATCACTTTTTTCTCAATCAATATTACATAATATTGATTTTAATATTACTTACAAAGTCTCATTTTCTTCTTAATACATATTTTTTATGTTTAAGAAATTGCAATCTAAATAAATCAGATTTTCATTTTTTATTCTATAGATTTTATTATATTATATTTATGAGTCTATAATATTATTATCATATAATGGTAGATCAATCAAATAATGTCAATATATATATTATATCAATATATTAAATATTTTTATATGAATAACCAAAAAGAAAATTATTACTAATATTTCTCTTGAGAATATTAGTTTGAATATTAAGTTTCAAGTATGTATTTCCTCTTTATATACAAAAAAAAAGTATAATTTTATTTATAATTATAAGCTAATTTTATATAATATAATATTTTTATATGAAAGAAGGCTAAAATATAAAAGTTGTTGCAAGATTGAGACCGCTCAATGCTCTTGAAATGTAATAAGGAGGTGAATGTTGTGTTTCATACAATGATAAACAAATTACTGTTACAGTATGAGATCTGAGTTTATCAATTATTTTAGGTTGGTTCCAATGATAAATAAGATTTTACATTTGATAGAATATTTGGACCTGATTCAGAATAGGCAGATGTATTTGAAGAAGTAGGAAGACCAATTTTAGACAGTGTAATGAATGGTTATAATGGAACCATCTTTGCTTATGGTTAAACTTCATCAGGAAAAACATTTACAATGGAAGTACTATATAGAATGAAAATATATATAGGGTCCAGATAATCCTAATGAAAGGACTAAAGGATTAATACCAAGAGTCATGACTGAATTATTTGATGTTGTGCATAATAAATCTCATGACTTAATATATATTGTAAAGGTTTCTTTTTTGGAGATTTACAATGAGAAAATTATGGATTTATTGGATACTAATAAAACAAACTTAAAAATAAAAGAGGATAGACTTAGAGGTCTATTTGTATAGAATCTTACAGAGATTAAAGTTGAATCTCCAGAAGAAATGAAATAAGTTATGATGACTGGATCAAATAATAGAACAATAGCTGCAACAAGAATGAATGAAAGATCTTCTAGATCTCATTCTTTATTCTAAATTTAAGTTAGTGAAAAAAATTTGAAAACAGATTCCAGTAAATTAAGTAAATTGTATTTTGTGGATTTGGCAGGTTCAGAAAAAGTAGCAAAAACTAATGTTTCTGGTTAATAATTAGAAGAAGCTAAAAATATTAATAAATCATTAACTTGTTTAGGTATGGTTATAAATGCCTTAACTTCTGATAAAAAAGAGCATATTCCTTATAGAGATTCTAAATTAACAAGAATATTAAGTGAATCACTTGGAGGAAATGCTAAAACTACATTAGTAGTTGCATGTTCAATGTGTTCATACAATGACAAAGAAACAATAAGTACATTAAGATTTGGAGCAAGAGCCAAAGCTATAAAAAATAAACCTACTATTAATGCAGAGAAAAGTGCTAAAGAATTATAAGCCTTATTAGATATTGCTGAATAAAAGATATTAGAATAAGATGAAATAATAAATAAATTAATGGAAAAAGTAGAGAACAGCACTTCAGTCATAATAGACAAAGGAAATCCAAACTCAAATATAGGAACTTAATAAAATATTGCATAATCTAAATAACATTCATCTCTATAATTATTAAAAGAACATAAATTAGTTGTTAATTTACAAGAAGAATTAGAATTTCAAAAAACAGAAATGGCTGCTTTTTAAATAAATTATTAAAGTAGGATTGATGAATTATAAGAAAAAATTATAAAATAGAAATTAAATGAAGAACATATAAAATAATAATTATCTGAATGTTTAAAAAATAATTAAAAATTCATTTTTGAAAATGAATAATTAAAAACTCAAATATTAGAGAATGAATAAAAGCTATTTGATTTTCGTAGGGCATTGTCATCAACTAAATAAGATTTAGATTTTTTCCTTGCCAATCTGAATTTAAAGAATCAATTTAATTATTGTCCTTCTGATTCTGAATCAACAAAAGATATTTTCATGACTGAATAATAGGATAAAGAAATTGAAGAAAGAACCTTTTAGAGTATAGTAAATTTTTAAGAAACTCTTACAAAATTAGATTCAATTTTAACAAAAGATCTTACTTAAGATTAAATTTGTCCATAAATTATAAATCCATAACATAAAAAAAAGAATGTATCATTTTAAATGGATTCTTAACCTCCTTCACCAAAATCAAATAAATTATTAGATATTGATAATTTCTCTTTTTAAACAGATGAAGATGAATTAAATATAAAATTTGATGAAAATGAATAAACATTAATAAAATCAACTTAAGAAAATGAAGAAATATCAGATGTTGAAAAATTATTAGCTATGTTAGGTGATAAAATGGAGGATTCACTTGTATTATTATAAATTCAAGAAGTTTTTTCAAAATTAAGGAGATAACTTTAAGTAGAATAAGAGAAAGTTTAGGAAATATATTAAATTATGGTTACAATTAAAGATTAGTATTCTATGTATTAAATAAAGGAAAGAGAAAAATTGTAAAAATTGAAATTATCTTATAATTAAAAGAAAAGTGAAATGACTTAAATGAAATAGAGTCTATAAAAATAATTAGTAAAAATTTGATCAATTATTTCTTAGGAAGATTTAACAATAGATTTTCAAAAATATAAGTATGAATCAGAAAAATAATAACAATTTCTTACTTAAATTAATCAGTAACTCATGTTTACATTAGAAACTCAAAAATCTTAGTATTATATAATTCTTATTTTTTATATTGTAATAACAGGAAAGTTCAGCCTTTAATCCACTTTCAAGAGAATATTAACTAGAATGTACTGTCAAATAATTGATGCAAGAAAGAAATGAAATGCATAGCTCATTATTATAAACGAGATAATAATTGGAAAATGCCATAAAATAAAAAAATACCTAAGCAGAAGAAATTATTAAATTACAAAAGAAAATCGATACAATAGAACTGTAATTGTAACATAAGAAGCTCTAGGAATAAGATCTAATTAGAAAGTAATTCCAAAGGAGATTCATTAGAGATACAAAAAAAACCTACTCAGAGACTTAAGGATGGAGTTTCGACTAAATTATTAAAGATGATCATGCAAGGAACATTGCAAGATTAGAAACAGTTTTAGGATATTCTGGATTAGAAACAAATTAAACAGGAGCATGTGTAGGAAAAGCCGATTTAATAATAAATGAGTTTTAGGTAAAGATTCAAATAATATTATAGAAAATATATAACTTAAGCAGCTAGTAATAAGGAAATTAATAAGAGTTTGATGATCTCAGTCCAGTCATTGGTACACGCACCATAATTTCAAAAGAAATTGGAGAATGCAAAGGATAAAATATAGAGATATTCGAATAACATCCACCTTAACCAGAATAAATAAGCATAGCATTAGACGTAATAATATAATAATAATAATGACAGGAATTTCACGAATAACTTGTCGATGACATTGGAACGACCCCCTTTAGAAGAATTCTAAGAAAGTTACTATCATGAATGAATAATTATAAATTCATCAAAATTGTTTTTATATTTTTGAGTTTGTTCAAAAAATACTATTATTTATAAATTGTTAGATTTTAAAAATAAAATTAAAAAAATATATAAAATTTTCCTGTTTAAAAAAATGATTAATGATGTTTTATTTATTATTAGATATAGCTTCAGAAACCTAAAAAATAATCGGTATCGACTCCCCAAATGGGTTATCTAGATTTTTAACAGCTGTTATTGTTGCTAGACGATATTTCAGTTGATGCCTTACTAATAGGTGAAGTGCTTGAATTTTTATTTTCTAATTGTAGATACAATATATACTTATTCTTTTAGCACTTGAAGCCCTTTTATATAGTTGACGTAGCATTTTATCACATTTAGGATTTTCAGAATCCTTTAATATATCTTTGATTTTCACAAACGAAGTTAGATCATGAGACTTATAGCTAATCAACAGATCAGGATTGAGGAGATTTTTTCGATACCAGTTATCCATTTCAACACAAGAAAATGGACCTAAAAATTTTAGATAAGGCTAGACCTTACCTTAAACATTATTACTATTGTCCAAGTAATACCAATATCGACTTGTCAAAGATTGAAAATGAGAGTAATTTGAAAAAGAAAATGGACTCATATTGGCTTTTTGAACTGGCCACTCTATTTAAACTATTACATGATTATTACTTTAAGGAAAAAAAGTTCTGATCTTTCCCTTGGAACTTTTAGATTGCACTGACCTTAATTATTGGGCTGAGATCTAAGGTGTGTTACTTTAACTTATAGCTGACACAAATATTAAACCATTCTCATAATCTAAGGTCAGTTTTATAAAAAAAAATACTTTCAGGAGATTCATTTGTTAGAGGATTTTGTTATTAGACAGTAAAAAAAGCAGTGAAATTATCAAGTAAAGTTTTTGGAATTGAGCACTATATGTTTTCATATCCAAGTAATTCTAAAGTCTCTTTCTTAAAATTCATTAATTAATATATGAGATTATATTTATATTGAGAATTGGCTTTATTACATCATTTGATAATTTTAAATTTTATCATCATCATATACATACTCAGAATGGGAATAATTTAAATTCTTTGTTGTCTTCTGTTTAATTTGATTATAATTTATACAATTTTGAGGAATTTATATTAATTGTAAAAATTAAAATATTTATTAATTTATATATGCTTGAAGTTTCATCAACTGAGATTATTTTTGACTTAAAAAATGACATATATATCCCTTACAACTTAAGTTTAAAAAATGTCACATCCCTTTACTTAGCATATAAAGTTTAAAGAAAAACTTATTCGATAGATTAAATCCACAAAACCAGAACTATTTTCTGTTAAATAAAGTAGGGGATTAATATCACCACATTAATCTGAAGTTGTAGAATTTAGTACAACAGATAGAGCTAAAGTACATTATAAATAAGAATATAGGAAGAATTCAGATCCAAAGTATATCGTGAATCAAAAATTCTAAATTTATGTTATTAGTGTTTAAGAAAAGAAATCAGTAAAACCAATCATATAGTTAGATTGCTGAAATTGACAATCTCTTTCAATCTCAAGCTTGTTTTAATATTAGATTATGTACAAGTATTTTGAAAGAAGAATTTGGTAAAAAAATTCCAATTTTTGGGAATAATTTGGCTTCTAGTCATGCATCAGTTTTAGTATTAAATTAATTTATAATTTTAATTAGTCAAATAGTAGAACAGAATCTTAGGCTACTATGCAGTCAATTATATATCCAACTCCATTAACTAATTAAGTTTAATGTGTTTAAAGACTAAAATAAATTGAATTAGATCTAGTAATATTTATTTATAATAAAATAAGGCAGAAGAAAAACGAAAGAGAGAATAACTTTATAATACAATTGAAATATCAAAATTAAAGAAAGGTTTATTAGTTTGTTTAATTAATAGGATCTTCCCTTTTTAAATTTATTTTGCCAATAATTTTAGGGATTCTCTTATCCAATATTTACTAAATGAGTCTTTAATATTATGAATGAGATTAAGATATAAGTTTTTTGATAAATATGCAAAAAATAATATTTTATTTATATAAAATTTCTAATTGTAATATTTTTTAACCTAAAAATAATTGAAATATAAAGAATATATATATTGTTAATTATAAATTATTTAGATACCTACCATAGATGATTCATTTTAATTATTCATATTCCATTTGATCTTTAAGTTTAGCTATTTCACTATGTAATTTTGAAAATTATTAATTTAAAACAATTGCATCATTAAGTACATACAGATAAGGTTTATTTGATAATTAAATATCTGAATTCCCTTAAATTAATTCTGCACCTTCTTCATAACTTACACATTAATATGCTACATGAACACCACATTCTTCACAACACCATCTATATTATTTTTCAACAGCTTTAAAATCATAGGATGAATAATTATACAATTAGAACGTTTTATGTATTTTATTCCTTCTTATTTAAGAAATAATCTGATAAAAATTTGTTTTAAATTAATTGCAATGCTATTATCTGATCTTCTTGTTGGAAGGGTATCTAATCCAATATTTGCTCCTATTGCTTTCTTTCCACAGAGAGAACAGAAATATATTTTAATATTTTCTGATTTTAATGTAGTTTCATTTAAAGTTCTTAATTTTACTACAGTTTATAAATCAACATCTCTGTTATATATGGCAGATTTTAAAGTTTTTAAAGATGCTAAAGTTACCTAGATTTAAATAGATTAATATAGTATACTGGATTTTTATCTTATGCTTTGTCAAGTTCTTTTAATTATTCTAAAATTTTTTCTTCGTCTTACATTAATATAAAATAAATAATACATATATAAAACAGTTAACCTTAAAATTAAATTTAAAAATAATGTTCAAAAGTGCTACTGCGAATAAGAAACAAGATGAATCTGATTATTCAAATGTATAGATTTGATCATAAATTGATAGAGAAATGCATCACCTAGTTAAAATTAAGATCGTATCAATGAATTGAATAGAGTATTATAAGGATTATCCACTAATAATAAAGATGATAAAGTAATTAATATTTTTAATTAATTTTAGAATAGAAGAGATTTATATTTTCAAAAAATAAAAATACTTGAGGAGAGAATTCAAAAAGGAGAAATTAATGATAATTAAAAATTTAGAGTATACATATATATATAAATTTTTAGTTACTTTATGAACAATATGAAAAGTTAGAAGAAACTTTATATAGCGAAAGAGATTAAAGATAGGTAAAATAGAAATTAATTGTAGTTAATATGTGAAAAAAGTTTGAAATCATTAACTTTAATTGAGAAAAACTTTTCATTATCTTTGAATGAAGAATATTCTAGTAGAAAAGTAAATGAATAAGAGATTTTTGCTGAAATTGATGATAAAATTTAAGCAATGAAAGGAGAATTAAAAAAAGATAATATTTAAAGAACTGAATATGAAGAAAAACAAATTGAAAATATTGAAAAAGAACTTGAAGAATTAAGATATTATTTTGAATAAGAAAAATAAATAAGAGATCAAAATGCTGAAAAATTAATAAGAGGGTTTGGTGAAGAAATATTAAGATTGTAAGAATAATTGAGTGAAGAAAAAAGAATCTCAGAAGAATCATACGAAACAACAATTAGATTATTATAAGACTTAGATTAATCTATTTAAAATGATTTAGAAGTATATATATTATTCTATTTATTTTTTTTAGTAAGAGTAATTTTTAAGAGAGAAACAAGAGAAATCTTTATTAAAATTATTGGAATCAACATGCTAAAAGATTGAATAATCTTTATTATCATGATATATAAACTTATTTATCCATATTAATTAATTAGAATAAATTAAATGGGAAATTAGATCAATGTAAAGGCAAAATTTGTGAATTTATTGAAATAAGAAGAAGAAAATGCATTAGCAGAAGAATTGAAATCTATACTGCTTCTTGATATCTCTCAAGAAGATTATCTTAGTGCTTTTTATCCTTCAGACATTAGGGATATATTAAAATAATCTCCAAAAAGGATATTAGGCATAATCCACTATTTACATTAATTTCTTTGTGATACATAAACTGATTTAGCATCTCATATTCAATATAGATAATGGAAGAACAGTTTAAGAATATTAACTTCAATAATCCCAGTTTTATATGAAGAATAATTTAAAGAACAAATGAAAGAGATACTGTGGTATACTAAAATTCCTAAGCCTAATGAGGAAATTTAAGAACGAGACCCTCCACTTATAATTTCATTACTTTCTAGATTATTTTAAATGTCCTTCCATTTTGGATTTACAATTGATGCTTTAGAATATAATGTATTTATAATAACTAATTTTAAAAGGAATCAGTTATAAAGAATGATACACTCTTACAATATTTTGCATAATATTATCATGATGTATGGAATTCTTATAAATTATAATTTGGTTATATATGGAAGGGTTTTAATCCTTAGTGTAAATATCCAAATGATATAGCAAAATATTTCGAAAATCGCTATCTTGTTTTATCTTGTATATTTTCTTTAGTTAGTTCAACATTATTTACATCATAGTTTTTTTTTGAATAAGAAATTCATGAAATAAATGAAGAAAACAAAGATGAAAACAAAGAAAAAATAAATCAACCTGAATAAGAAATTAATGAATAATTTTAAGAATAATAAACTCAAGAATAATAAAATAAACAAACTAATCTTAATAATGAAACAAAAATTCAAAAATTATTAGTTTAAACTCCTAATGCTGCTTTGTTTACATTACAAAAAATACAATTTTTCCCAGAATTATTTGTTTCAATGATAGCATTTTCATTATTCTCAACTGAAAGAATCAAATAATTTCTCAGAGGTTTAGTCAACATGCCCAATTAAATTGAAGATAATCTTTAAAATTTATGTTTAAAGTTAACATCTCTTATAATAGGAGGATAGGGTATTTTACATTAAAATAAATCATAGGTTTTGTATCTAAAGAGATATTGCCTCTTGAAAAAGAATTTGAAGAGATGGTCAAAGCAAAAGAGCACTTTCAACTATATAACATTCCATTCCCTTAGTTTATTAATCTACCTTAACAAGTGTAGGAAGGAATAATAGTTTAGTTAACATAAAAATTTTATTCTTATTACAAATCTTAATAATAATTTATAAGAGGAACCTTTGAAAAATAATTATCCAATTTTGAAAACTGTTTCATTTTTTTAAGTTATTTATCCTCAAAAACTGAACAGAATGGTATTTATAATTATATATTAAAATAGTCCCAAATCTAATGATTGTTTTTTTATTGTCTTACTTCAACCAAAAAAAATATATTAAAAAAGTATCTTTAAAGATACTTAAATTGTTAAGTGCTTAACCATAATTAAATAGATAATTATGTGTTTAGTAAGAATTTACTTTGACATTTACAGATGCTCCTGTAATAATAGGTACATGGGGAGACTTGTTGATTACAGCATTGTGTAATACAGTTTTGAAGGATTTATAATCAATTAAAGAAAATAAACTATTAGAAATATCTTAAATATTATTTAATATATCATCAGAGATTGGAAAATTGAATATCGAAAGTTGTTAGATAATTTGTAATTTAATTAAAAAATTGGCAAACTATGATTTTGTATTAAAATCTCCAGATATCTTAATTAGTTTATAGAATTTAATAGGAGCTGTATCTTAAATGATTTACTTTTTTCCTGATGAAAATTTTGATCTTATATATAATTTAATTAAGATTAAGGATAGTGTGAAATTTATTCATGAATTATAAGTCACTTAAAAGAAGCTTTAAGTATGGTGGGGTAAGTATGCTCCTCATAATCCAATTGTTAATTAGAGTTTCATTAAGAGTCAGTAATTTTAAAATGATGTTCATGATATAAGGGAATCTTAAGTAAGATCTATCACTCAATAATAATAAGCTATTAATTAAAAGAAATAATCTAAATAATTTTAACAAGAAGAGATATAAAGTTTATCACAAATGGAATAAATTCAATCAGATAGACTATAAAGACCCTCTATTGAATAAGATAAATATTTTGGATAATGGAAATGTTTCAATTAAGAATCATTAAAACAATTTGTTCCTTTAAATAGTTTAGTGAAATTACTTGAAAATCTATTTAAATTGTGTTTGGATCCAACGGATGAAACACAATTAAAAATAGTATTTTAATCACATGATTTACGATCTTTGATGATTAAATAATTGAGCTTTTAAATAACAGTTGATAAATTTAAAATATTCAAAACTTTAACAAAATAAATTTGGTTAAATTGCCTAAGAAATTCTGATAAATTTCCTTATTTTGAAAAGTCTTAATGTCCATGTTTTAATCTATCATGTGTAGAGAAATGAGATATAAAGTTAAAAGTTTATAAATTATTTTGTTAAATAAAATTGAGGTTTTGACTTATTTTATTAATTTAATATAAAATGAAAAGATAAAAATAATTTGAATTCAACTTCACAGAAAAAATAACATAGCATCATCAACCCTTAAGAATGAGTCCAAGTTTTCGTATTAAATTTTACAGCCCTATAAAAGTTTAAAAGATTAAATTGAATTATTAAAAGGATATAAAAGTATATTAAAGTCATTGTTTTGGTCAGTTTATTGATACTTATCATATCCCAACAATACATACTTAAAGGGCGTAATTTTAATAATATTATAATATTAGAGCAAGTTAAAAAAAAGCCTATATGTACTCTAGATAACAAACTCCAAACTATTCTTAGATTAATTAAAAAGATTCTGATATTGAGAATAATAAATTTTTAGAGTCCTCTAGAATAATTAGACTAAAAAAATAAATTAGAATTATTGATAATATGTAATGAATTAAATTTTAGTCTTCTTAATTATATAAGAACAAAAAATGTTATGGTCGATCTAGTAATAATATGAAAAGTTTAAAACAAAATTTATCACTTTATATATTTCATTTTTTATTTTATCAATTATTATATTATATAATCTAATGATTTTTGCATCAGAAGAACATATCGAATAAGTAGTGAATTTGTAATTGATCAATAAAGAAAAATTGAAAGATAACTTTTTAAAAAAGATGAGAAATAGAGAAAATATAGATTTAACTTATAATGAAAGAAGAAAAAGTATAAATCAATTGAATTATTTACACTTAGAAATTAAATTGGAGCAATAATCAAGACCTAAATTTGAAGATTTAATTTGTCCAATATGTCTAGAAATCTTTTAAAAAGTTACTACTACTTAATGTGGCCATGCATTTTGTGAAATGTGTATTTTTGATAGTTTAATGCGAAAAGCAGTATATAGTTATTTTAATAATAGGAATGTCCTGTTTGTAGAGTGAAAATTAAAACACACTCATTCTAATATTGTGAAAGTTTTGATAATAGAATCATTGATTTAGTTAATTAATATGGAGATAAAACATAAATAGAACATTTTAAAAATAGATAGTAAGAGATGGAATAATGGAATAAATCTAAATTGTATTAAAATATTTCTAAAATAGAATAGATAATTTGGCCATCAATTAAAAAGTTGATATAATGGATTAATAATTTATATGGTGTGTAGCAACTATTAAACAAATAGGTAAAAAAGAACTCTTTATTCATTATGATGGATGGGGGAAAGAGTATGATGAATTCATTCCATTACAATCAAATAGAATTGCTCCATTAGGTCTATATACTAGTAGAGAGGATATTCCAAAATATTAACCAGAACAAAGATAATTTGCAGAAATTATAGAATATATTAACCAACATGGAGAACTTCCAACATAAAATATACTTCATGATTGATTAGATATTAAATTATGTTAAAATATGAATAACTTTTTTTAAATAAAAAGATGTTCTAAATTATTATATTACCAATTATATATTTTTTATAATATATAAATGATGAAGTTTATGTATATGTTAAAAATAAAAAGTATTATGATTATATATATATATATCATAAATATATAGCCAAAGATTTTGGTTTGTAATAGTATACAAATTAATTAATATTAATTTATCCTCTTTCATCAATATCTTGTAATACAAGTGAAGCCTCTTCAATTGTCACCAAATAACCAAATTACTCTAGATATTGATAATTTTAATTTATTACATAACAATTTAGTGATTTCAAATGCTTTAATCCATCCATCTCTGTCTTAATCTATAAATTCAAAAATCTAAACTAAATTAATAAGAGATTTATCAATCTTTTATCTATAGTATTCAAGTGTAGACATCATTTACAATTTCATTTATATTAATCTACAAAATATTTCCATTTATTCTTATGTAGGATGATCTTATTGATATTTTAAATCACCAGGATCTGGCATTTCTTCATATTTTACATAAGGAATAATTAATTATAGAAATTATCCATAAGTAATTGATTAAGAACGTTTCCAATTATTTAAGTAATTGAATAATAATTCTAAATCACAAATTTTGATATCATCTTGATATGATTACAATACTTCTAAAAATTTAAACTTTTCTATTTTCTAATAATTTAAATAAATTATTACATAATGATTATCAGATGTAAATGCAAAAAATAATTATAATAAATTTGTTTTAAGTTGTTTTAGTTTTTTATTGATTTGCACAAATTCTTTTCTAAATTAGATTTCTTCTTAAAATACATAAGAAACGAATCTAATATCCTAATCTGTGATTTAATTGTATTTTTCTGAAATAGTTGGTTCTTATTATTAATTGTTCTTTTATTTATTGTCATATGTTGAATTCATATTATCAGAATCTTATTTAAATTGATTGTATTTGTTTAAAGTTCTATCCAATTTTTGATATTCTTGTTGAGATTAAGCCAAATCTTATTATTATTGATTTTAGATTTAGTTTCTATAATATTTATCTTCTATTTCATATCTTGAATCATATATTAACTTTGGGAACTCTCTTTAAGGTAATTCTGGTAATGTTGGATATTGAAGGGCAAAGTAATGAGATAAAGGTTTTGATAAATACATTGCTGTTAATTATTTGAATTGTAAATAATGTATATATTTTATGATGAATAATATTATTTCATTATAATATTGCATATATTATCATTGTAGATAATATTTAAAGATAACTAACAACAGTTGTATTTGTATTATCCACTTATTAAGGAGAACAAGACTCACAGGTATTGTTAACTGGATTCCATCTATATGTATTTAATGTGTTGAAATTGCATTCAGTACTTTGGAAATACCTTGGATCTACTGATTAACATATTTCATTTGACCATAAACATGTAGTTATGGTTAATCCATTAAAATCTTTGATATAATTGCATTGATTGAGAACTCCCTTAGTTTAACATGTGTGTTTGAGACAAGATGATGTACCATTAGCATATGAGATCCAATTACATAAGTCACCCATTCTTTAACAGGCTATCATATCTATATTTGCATCCTCACAAGATTTCATCAAAATACAATTAGATCCATTCCAAGTACATTATCCATCTAATCCTTTGTAAGTACAAGCTAATTAATTTGGATACTCTTCGCACTTAACTTAGGATATGCATTTTTCTCCATTAGAAATACAAGTTGAATTTTAACTTTAACATATAAAGTGATTAGTTCCATTTTTAATATCAGTGCATTCGAGAGTTCTGCAACCAAAATTGGAAAAAAAACATTTCCCATCAGTTCCTAATGCAAGATTACAGGTGATAATATTAGAATATTATTAACATGGTTGCATGGTAATACAATTTGAACCATCTGAAGTACAACCTTTAAGTTTTGTTTGACATGATTCATGTGTTTCACCACTTAAATCTTCACATAATTGATCTCTACATTTATTATTTACCCATGCACACTATCCTGTTTGTAATACTTAATTATCAATCAATTTTTGTTGTTAAGAACTGATTTTACATTATTCTTTCTGTTTATAATTGAAACATTATTATAAATTAATGCATCCATTCAAAGTATCTGTAGTACATTTAGATGAAGCCTTTTGACATTCATCATGAGTTAAAAAAGGTAAATCAGAACATTGGACAAATAATAGACATTCATTTAAAGATTCTATCCATTAACAATTTCCATCTAAACCTATTTTACAAGCTTCTTATATTCTATAATTAGCACATTTATCTAATCCAACACATTTTAATCCATCAGTAGNTAAATAATGTATATATTTTATGATGAATAATATTATTTCATTATAATATTGCATATATTATCATTGTAGATAATATTTAAAGATAACTAACAACAGTTGTATTTGTATTATCCACTTATTAAGGAGAACAAGACTCACAGGTATTGTTAACTGGATTCCATCTATATGTATTTAATGTGTTGAAATTGCATTCAGTACTTTGGAAATACCTTGGATCTACTGATTAACATATTTCATTTGACCATAAACATGTAGTTATGGTTAATCCATTAAAATCTTTGATATAATTGCATTGATTGAGAACTCCCTTAGTTTAACATGTGTGTTTGAGACAAGATGATGTACCATTAGCATATGAGATCCAATTACATAAGTCACCCATTCTTTAACAGGCTATCATATCTATATTTGCATCCTCACAAGATTTCATCAAAATACAATTAGATCCATTCCAAGTACATTATCCATCTAATCCTTTGTAAGTACAAGCTAATTAATTTGGATACTCTTCGCACTTAACTTAGGATATGCATTTTTCTCCATTAGAAATACAAGTTGAATTTTAACTTTAACATATAAAGTGATTAGTTCCATTTTTAATATCAGTGCATTCGAGAGTTCTGCAACCAAAATTGGAAAAAAAACATTTCCCATCAGTTCCTAATGCAAGATTACAGGTGATAATATTAGAATATTATTAACATGGTTGCATGGTAATACAATTTGAACCATCTGAAGTACAACCTTTAAGTTTTGTTTGACATGATTCATGTGTTTCACCACTTAAATCTTCACATAATTGATCTCTACATTTATTATTTACCCATGCACACTATCCTGTTTGTAATACTTAATTATCAATCAATTTTTGTTGTTAAGAACTGATTTTACATTATTCTTTCTGTTTATAATTGAAACATTATTATAAATTAATGCATCCATTCAAAGTATCTGTAGTACATTTAGATGAAGCCTTTTGACATTCATCATGAGTTAAAAAAGGTAAATCAGAACATTGGACAAATAATAGACATTCATTTAAAGATTCTATCCATTAACAATTTCCATCTAAACCTATTTTACAAGCTTCTTATATTCTATAATTAGCACATTTATCTAATCCAACACATTTTAATCCATCAGTAGTACATAAACTATTAGCAGACTTACAAACTCTATCTAGATCACTTATTATGCTTTAACAAGAGAGAAATAGAGTACAACCTAGTTCATACCATACACATGGTCCATCAACTCCTTTTAGACATTAATCTTTATCTAGTATTTATGAACAATATTTTGGTAAAATACATTTAGTTCCATCACTAACACATCCTTTTTTTTATGTATCACATATTTCATCATAACTACCATCAAAATCTTCACATTTTTATACTCTACAAAAACTCTGTTCCCAGACACATATCTCACCAGTTTTGGAGGTTGTGCATGCTGATTCAGCATTTACATCTTAACAAGTAGTCTTTTCACGACAACCACCAAATAATTTAGTTGTACAACCTTCTTTATAGAGATTACATTCAAGTTCAGTAGTATATGCTGGTGCTGTTTAACAGGTTTTTAATACACACAATTAATTATACCATTCACATTCATTAAATTAATCATCTGTAATACAACCAGCACTATTCTTTACATCTTAACATTTCTTTCTGATTACACAATTAATACCATCAGTTGTACATTTACTATTAAAGTATTTACATTCAAAGTCTGTTCTATATGGAAGATCTTCACATTCTTCTAATCTACAATATTACATATTAGAATAACAGAGATGTAAGTGTTATTCACATAAAATAGGAGTAAGAGAATTACTAGGTGCATTAAAACATGTTCTATTCTCACAAGCAGGTAGAGGCAATTCCATATTCCAATAGCATAATTAATTTGATATTGTTTTTACACACTATTTACTTACTATATAATCAGAACACTCTGATTTTCTAGATTAACAACCATATCCAGTTTCTACTACTGTGCAACCATCCATATAATCTTAACAAGCACTATCATTACTATATGTTACAGTTGGAGGAGCAGTAGAACAAGATCTATTAGCACATACTGAACCATTCCATCCACATAATGAACCACTAGTATTGATTTTGCATTATCTTTCTGATGTATAAGTGTTACAATCATTAAGAGCAACACAACCACCTATTCCAGTAGCAACAACTGTGCAATTTGGAAGATAGTCTTGGCATTCTTCATGAGTATCTCTAGTTGCATCTAATGCAGCAGTTGTACAAGATTTAATATTGCAAGTACCTGATTACCATTCACAAGTATCTCCAGTATTAGATATAACACAAGATAATGATGTTGTGTATAGATTACATGCTACAAGAGGAATACAACCTCCTGAAGTATTTACTGTGCAAGTATTCAAGAAAGTTTAACAATCTTAATGCGTAGTTAGTGTTGATAATGCATTTGTGCAAATAGCATCTGCACATAATGAAGTTAAAGTATTCCAATAACATTTAACTCCAGATGAACTCTAATAACATTATGATTATTATTTGTAAGATGAACAAGTACTTAATTTATCTGTACATCCTCCAAATCTAGCAACAGTACATGTATTCAAAAAATTGATACATTTAGTATGATCATTATAATCAGTAGTTTGAGGAGCATGTTCACATGTTCTAGTAACACAAGTAGTAGTATCCCAAAAACAAACTGTACCAGAACTAGTTATATTACATTAAGCCTAGATGGTGTAGGAAGTACATGTAGATGATAATGTTTAACAAGCATTTTAAGCACTATTAACAGTACAAGTATTTAACCAATCATTACAATTAGCATGGTTAAATGTATCTGAAAATTATGCACATGTTCTATTTACACAAGTACCTCCAATCCATGCACATTTTACATTAGAATTACTGACAACACATTAGTCTTAAGTCACACCTCCAGTTGTGCAATTAGTAGGTTTAGTTACACATCCATCATTGGTTGTATTGACTGTACAAGTACTTAACCAAATTTCACAATTAGTATGATTTGCTGTTCCAATAAAATTATTACATGCTCTATCTTTACATGAATTTTAATGCCATACACATATATCATTATTAGTATCTTTAACACATTAATTATATGTTGCAGATGAACAATTACTTACATTATTTGTACAAGTAGTAGGTTTACTTAATTAACAAACACTCAACCAAGCCTAACAATTAGCTTATGTCCAAGTGCTAATACCAGTAGTATTTAAACATGTTTTATTAACACATGCACTTTAAGTTGAATTGGCTGTGCATTTAGATAGCCAGGCTAAACAATTAGAATGAGTATAAACAACAACATTAGCACCATAATTAGAACATGTTTTTAATTCACAATCTGTACCAGTTGCATTAACAGTGCAATCAAACATCCAATTTTAACAATTTGAATGATTGAATGTAGTTACTTAAATTCCATGATTTGTACATGTCATTTCTTCACATGCTGTTCCTGCAGCATTTACAGTACATTTAGTTAACCAATATTAACAATTAGCATGATTAAAAATAGTAACTGCACTTCCATGATTTGTACATGTTCTTGTAGATCCACAAGATGTAGAATCTGCAACAGTACATTAATCTAAATAATTATAACAATTAGTATGATTGAATACACTAACATTATTCTTCCAACAAGTATATGGTTCACATGCATTACCTAATGTAGTTACTTTACAATATTTCTACCATCCAGAACAATTGGCATTACTAAATATAATTATATTGTTTCCATAATTTGTACATGATCTAATTTCACAACCAGTTCCATCCATATTGGCTGTACAAGTTGATAACCAATCTGAACAAGTTGCATGACTAAATTTTGTTAAATTATTATTATAACAAGTCTTTTCAATACATCCATCATTTGTAGTATTGACTGTACATAATGGAGACCATGAACTACATGTACTCACATTAAATGTACTTAAATTATGATTATAACAATTCCTCAAACTATAGCATTATGTTTGAGATGCAGAATCAGCATAACAATATGATAACCATCCAATACAATTTGTTTAATTGATTGTACCTGTATAATTTGCACATGTCTTATTAATACATGCATTCTTTCCATTTGTACAAGTACTTAACCAAGCTGTACAATTAGATTATGTAAATTAAGTAACAGTACTATTACTACAAGTTTTAGCAGTACAGCCATCATTAGTATCATTTACAGTACATGAACTTAACCAATTAGAACAACTATTATAATTATAAAATGATAGACTTGCATTTTGACATGTTCTATCAATACAACTATCATTAGTTGAATTCACAGTGCAACTATTTAACCAATTTGTACAATTTTAATGTGTATATGATGGTAATTCTTATGCATTACTACAAGTTCTTGCTTAACAAGATGATTTAGTAGGATCAGGAACACAATTACTCAAATATTCTGAACATGTCTACATTGTAAATGTTTAGATTTAATTAGTATAACTAGTACATGTTCTAACTGTCTTACAACCTGTAGATGAATTATTCGTACATTAATATAACCAATATGAACAAGTTACAGCAGTATAACTGGTTAATTAATTACCATAATTTGTACAAGTTCTTATATCACATCCTGTATTAGATGAATTAGCTTTACAAGTATTCAACCATTACCCACAAGTTTGATCATTAAACACACTTAAATTAGTATTAAAACAAGTTTTATTCATACATCCATTATTTGTTGTATTTACTGTACAATAAGATGACCAAGCTTCACAATTAATATGATTGAATGTTAATATATTTATTCCATAATTACTACATGTACGATCAGTCATACAAGCTGTTCCTGCTGAATTTACTCTACAATATGATAACCAATTTTAACAATTTGCTTAATTTATTGTTCCTAATGAATGATTTTAACATGTCTTTAATTCACAATATTATGGCCAAATAGCATTATTAGCTTTACAATAAGGTAACCAATCACTACAATTAGTTAGAGTGACATCACTACCAACCAAATCTGAATTACTACAAGTCTTTTCCACACAACTTCCATTAATATAAGCACAAGTTGATTTCCAAGCAGTGCATGTATATGAATTTATTTATATAACAGCACTTGTATTTATATTACTACAAGTTTTTTCAATGCAAGCAGTATTATCACTATTAATAGTACAATGGCTATTCCAATTTTCACAATTGACATGAGTAAAAGTTGTAACTGCAGATCCATGATTAGTACAAGTTCTTCTAGTTATGCATTTTGTTTTTGTTGTATTTGCTAGACAATAAGATAGATAAGATTAACAATTGCTATCATTGATAACACCAGAATAATTATCACATGTTTTAGGCATACAACCTTAAGTCTTGTAATTAGTACATGTTGATAACCAAGATTGACAATTATTGGCAGTATATAATAATAGATTTGTGGAATAATTATAACATGTTCTATCTATACATCCTGTATTACTATTATTAGTACAAGTAGATAACCAAGATGAACATGTAATATCTGTATAAGATGCAAGTTAAGGATTTGAACAACTTCTTCTTTCACAATTTGAATTATCACTATTAACAGAGCACATAGTGTCCCAATCTTGACAATTTTCAAAATTAAATGGAGTAACACTAGTTGTAGTACAACTTGCCTCACAACCAGTTTTTGATGAATTAGCTCTACAATTAACATACCATGATTCACAACTAGGATCATTAAAAACTTGATAAACTAATGAATAGTTAGTGCAATTTTTCTTTTCGCAACCTGTCGATGTTGAATTGATAGTACATAAAAAATGCCAAGCTTAACAATTAGCAAAGGAAGGTGATGATTAAGAAAAGTTAGAACAAGTTTTTTCAACACATATTTAATTTGAACTATCAAAAGTGCATGTTGATAACCAACTATTACATTATGCATAAGATGTTGGATTAGATTGATTAGCACTGACATAATTAGAACATGATCTTGCTTCACAGCCATAATTGCCAGAACCTCTGTATGCACAACCAGCTTTCCAAGAATCACATCCTGATTAATCTACAATATCATAACCATTATCATGAGCCGTAACAGCACTAGCACATGTTCTAACTGTAGTAGTACAAGAAGAAGTATTATCATAATTTCCATAATAAGTACATCCAATAAAGTAATTATTACAATTTGTAGTGGATAATGACCCTCTATAAGTAAGACAAGTTTTATCAATACAATTATTATTAGATGAATTTAATTCACAAGTAGACATCCAAGAGTTTGTACAACTATAAGATGAATCAATAATTTGAGAGTATGATGCATTGGCACAAGTCATAGTCTCACATCCATCTGCTGAACTATTGATTGTACAAGATGATAACCATCCATAACAATCAGAATGAGTATAGGATCCACTTGAAATTGATAAAGTACGTGAAGCATTACTACAAGTAATATCTTCACAATTGTCTCCAGAACTATTTACTGTACATGAAGATTTATAATTATTACAATCAGTGTGTGTAAATGAGGATATAGTATTGATAGCAGTTGAACAAATAAAATCAGTACATCCATCATTAGTTGAATTCACTGTACAAGTGTTCTTGTAATTATTACAATTAGTATGATCAAAAGTAGACAACTATGCATTAGCACATATAAATTCGATACAACTAGTTCCAGTATCACCAGTTCCAGCTTTATTGTATGTACAAGAACTCTTCCAACCAGAACAAGTAGTATGATCAAAAGTAGTTAGATTAGATACTGCATTTTAGCAAGTTTTCACAGTCTCACAATTATCTGCTGTAGAATTAGCAATACATCCAGTTAACCATGAATTACAATTATTTAAATTGAAATTTCCAGCAGTTATATTACTATTAGTACAAGTCTTAGTTTCACAATTAAGTCCATCAGCTGTGACTGTACAATTTGATAACCAAGAATTACAATTTGAATGATCAAATGTAGTAATATTACCTGCATGATTTGTACAAGTACGTGTACTTATACAATTAGTAAGTGTTTAATTTACTTGACAATATGAATACCATTTATAACAATTGGCTTCAGTGTATGAAATGATTCCAGTTGAAGAATTACTACAAGATCTTGCTTCACATGCACTACCTGTTCCAGTACAACCATCTAACCAAGCATTACAATTAGTGTAATCAAATACAGTTACATTACTTCCATAATTTGTACATGTTCGATCTATGCAAGCTGTGTTACCAGAGTCAACTGTACATGTACTTAACCAATTACTACAATTTTCATGAGTAAATTCTTATATATAAGTTCCATAATTAGAACATGTACGTTCATTAATACATCCATCATTTGTTGAATTAACATTACAACCCTATAGCCAATTCTAACAAGTAGTAGATGTAAATGTAGTTACATAATCTCCATGATTATAACATGTTCTATATTAACATCCAGTACCATCTGAATTAGCTGTACATTCCAAATACCATTCACTACATTTTTAATGATTGAATACTGTTAAACCACCTTAAGATGCTAATGAACAAGTTCTAACTATACATTTTGTACTACCAGAATTTGTGCATGTATTTAAATGAGTTGAACAATTTGAATGATTTATAGTTCCTGAATAAGATCCACAAGTTGTAGTTGAAGAACTTCTACATGTAGTTCCTCCTCCAACACAACCACTTTTCCAACTATTACAATTTGAATTATCTATCACAGTTACTTAAGTTCCATGATTATAACATGTTATGGTTTCACATGCAGTACCTGCAATATTGCTAGTGCAACTTGATAACCAAGCATTACATGTTGCATGACTTATTGTACTTAATTAATCCTTATAATTTGTACAAGTTCTACTAGTACAAGCAGAACCTGTAGCATCAGATGTACATGAACTTAACCATTCTGAACAAATAGCATGAGAATATGTTGAAAATACTAAATTTGCTTTAGAACAAGTTTTAGTCATACAACTTGTAGCTGTATTTTTAGTACAACTTAAAGAATATGCTTCACAATTAGTATGTTCATATTGATAGCCTGATGGAGCACTTGTACATGTTCTACTTTCTTAACATGTTGTGGTTGCTCCATTACAAGAAGGATGCCATTTATTACAATCTGCATTTGTAAATGATGTTACATGACTTCCATAATTAGTACATGTCTTTACTGTACATCCTGTATTAGTACTATTGACTGTACATTAAAATAACCAATTTTCACATGATTCATGTGTAAAATAAGAGATAAATCCTTTATGATTATAACAAGTCCTCCATTCACAACCATTAGATGCTGAATTACTAGTACATAATTTATAAAAGTTTGTGCATGTTTTATGATTGTAAGTTGAAATTCCTGATGGAGATGAACAGTTTTTATTTGTGCAATTAGATCCACCGACATAGGTACATGATTCAAGATAATTGCCACAATTAACAGCAGTAGTAAATGCTCCAGAAGGACAAGTATTGGATGATTCACAAGCAGTTCCATTTACATTGGCTTGACATTCAGATAACCATGCTTAACAATTAGTATTATCAAATGTAGTTATTTATTGACCATAGTTAGTACATGTTTTAGTTTCACAACCTAATTAATCCCATGTTACTGTACATGTAGATAACCAAGTATTACAAGTATCATGAGAAAAGAATAGAATATTTTATCCATAATTTGTACAAGTTCTAGCTGTACAAGCTGTATTTGTATTTGTACATGATGATAACCAATTTGTACAATTTGTATGATTAAATATAGTAACTTTGCTTCCATGATTAGTACAAGTTCTAGCACTCTTACAACCAGTTGATCCATCATTTGTACATTCACTAAACCATGTTGAACATGTTGAACTATTAAATAAAGTCACATTTGAATCATGATTAGTACAAGTTTTATTTACACATTAAGTTCCATTAGTTGTGCAATCACTTAACCAAGAATTACAATCAGAATGTGTAAATGTAGATCCTGTATAATTAGCACAAGTTCTTGTAGTTTCACAAGCAGTATTACCTGGATTAACAGAACAAGATGATAACCAATTATTACAATTAGTTTAATTAAATACAGTAACAAAATATCCATGATTAATACAAGTTTTTTCAATACATGCATCATTAACCCAAGTACAAGGATGATCAGAATAATTCTTATAACATTAATCATAATTAACATAATCTGAACAATTAGTTGGTTTCTAAATACAACTAGTAGGAGGACCTGCAGTACATGAAGATAACCAAGTATTACAAGTTGTATGATTAAAATCAGTGATATTTTAAGTAGTAGCACAAGTTCTAGTAACACAAGATGAACCATTCCATGTACAATAACCATTACTAGTAGATAATTCACAATTATCTATATTTGTATACTGACTACACAATGATTACTTATTCATACAACTTGTATGAGGTGAATTATTATCAACAACACATCCAGATAACCAATTTTTACAATTATCTTATGTATAAGTATATCCTATCATTAAGGAACAGGATCTATTCTTACAATAAGGTGTTGGTAGAGTTGTATCCCAAGTACATAAATTGTTTGCACTATCACTAATACATTATTATTCTGTAAGATCTTAACAAGAACTTAATCTTGATGTACAACCTAAATTACTAATTCTTCTGACAACAGTACAAGAATTAAGGAAATTATTACATTCTGTATCAGAATCAAATTCATTAGTATCAGGAGCATATGAACATTATCGATTTTAACAATAATTATATTACCAAGCACATTTCTAACCATTAGATGCTAATTGACAAGATCTAAATGTTGTATATTAAGCACAAGTGCTTAATTATGTCATACAACCTCCTATACCTGTAGATACTACAGTACATGAAGACAGAAATGTATAACATTCTTAATGAGTATCATAATTAGTAGAAATTGGAGCATTAGCACAAGTTCTATTTACACAAGATCCAATCCAGACACATGGTCCTCCAAGTGAATTAGTTGAAGTATCTGTGCATTAAGTGCTTGTACTCATCAATCCACAACTATTAGGTTTTGAAATACATCCCTAACCACTTGGAGCAACAATACATCCTATTAAATAGGCCTCACACTCTTCATTTGAATCATGATCAGCATCTTAAGGAGCTGTTGTACATGATTTATCATAACAAGCATTGCCAGTCCATTCACATAATTAATTTAAATTATTAAATCGACAACTTCTTTATGCAGTGTAAGTAGTACATGAATCCAAAAGAATACAACCTCCATTACCTTCACTTGCAACTGTACATCCACTTAAATACATATCACATTCTTCATATGTATCATAATCAGATGTGTAAGGTGCAGTAAAACAAGCTTTATCATAACAGGCTCCTTCAAACCAGCCACAAATTTAACCACTCGATGTAATATAACATTATTCTTCTAAGACTAATTGATTACATTAAGCTGGTCTTATTATACATCCACGTCCACTATTAGCAATAGTACATTAACTCAAATAAGTTTTACATTTCAAATCTGAATCATATTCAAATGGAGCATTAGCACATGTCTTTGAATAACAAAGACCAGTCCAAAAACAACGATTACCATTTAAATCAACTTTACAAGTACTTTATGATGTAAGTATTTGACATGTCATTTTGACACATCCAATAAGTGTTCTTGCTACAGTACATTCTTAATTAAATTCTTAACATTATTCATGACTATTAAAAGATAAGGGTGCATTTTCACATATTCTTAATGCACATTAACCATTATAAAAAAAACAATTTCTTCCATATTTATCTACTACACAAGCAATTTCAACATCTATATCACTGCATTCATTTAATTATTTACATCCTCCTCCAAGTTTTGTGATACAACCTTCTTTATATTTATTACAATCATAATTTGTTTATAGAAATGTTGTTGATGTAGTTGGAGCATTATTACATGTTCTTTCTGAACATCCTTTAAAAGTAGTATTATTAACTGTACAATCTTCTTTGTAAACAGTACATTATTCATGAGTAACATAATCTAAAGGTGCATTTTGACATATATGTAATACACAAATACTACCTGTCCAAAAACATTTATTATTTAAAGTATCTACTTTACAACTCTCTTCAAGATCATATTTTGAACATTCAGAAATACTCATACATCCTCCAATAGATTTAGGTACACAATTTTCTAAAAATGAAGAACATATAATATTTTATGGTGCATTTTCACATCTTTTATCATAACATTTATCTTCATTCCAAAAACATAATGATCCATTTGCATTATATGTACATGATTCCTTTATTTATACATCATTACATTATGTTCTTTATCTACAACCTCCATTAACATCTAAAGTACAAATCTAAAAATATTCTTAACAAGCAATATCTGTTCTAATTGATTTTGGTGCAGTTTAACATGAACGATCCATACATTTACCATCAACCCATGCACATAATCCCAATTTCTGATTATAATAACATTACATCTCAAATTCTTAATCTTCACAATTGTATCCACTAACCTGACATCCACCTCTTGGATTTACTGTACAATATTATAGTTATTCACGACATTCAGCATCTGTCTTAAATTAAACTGGTAATTTGCCACAATCAGTTGCATCCATACAATACTAATCCCAAAAACAATATTTTCCCTTTGAATTTTTAACACATGATATAGGAGTAGAATATTAATAACAATCACTTATTTCAACACATTTTTCACCATCAGTGATACACTTACTCGAAACCATTTAGCAAAGTTTTTAAACACTGAAAGGATAACTAGAACATGATGTAAATTAAACACATTCATTTAAAATATAAGCACATCCATCCATTTACCAACATTTATCTGATCCAAATTTAGTACAATATGTATTATTTTTAATGTTAGTCTCTGTATTCTATTCTTCAGTTGCTGATTTCATTTCACATCTTAACTATAGGTTATTCCAAACACAATTTAAATTTCTATAGCAATCATATTCAAAAAGTTGTGAACATGAACATGGCTAACTTAAACTAATATTTGTTGTGTTAATCTATACTAGATAAATACACATCAACAAAAATACTAATACTAACTTCATTATAAAATTATATTATTTATATATATATATATTTAAAAAGTAGTTCACAATTTAATTAACCAACTCATTATTTTCAAAAAGTGAATTCAACTAAAACATCTTAATTATCAATCAATTAAATAACTATATAAACCAATCTTGTTTATTTTTAAATAATTTATAACTTATTAACAAAATAAATATATTTATATCCATTTAATTCTTTTATCCAAAATGAATTCTTATATTTATAAATTAATTGTAAAAATAATTTAATTTAACATATGACATCTTCTACATCCTTTAATTCTTTATCTAAAACTTCCAAAGAATAAATTTTAAAGTTTCCTATTAATGTCCTAATGAGATATTAATTTTTGTTGAAATTCAATTATAACTGTAATTTTATATATTGAATAAAATTTGAGTAAGATACCATATTTAATTAGTATTATTTAATAATTATAATACAAGCAATCATCACATAACCAAGTATTTATTAGTTCTACCAACATATTATTCATAAAGATCTCCTCTTTTCTTTTTCATATGAGCTTCTGTTAATGGAGTTGTGAGAAATTCCATTACACAAAATAAAGCAACTGGTCCAATTAAAGCACAAACACTTATTGCATCATGTATTGCTGCCAAAGCAAAACAGAACCAAGTTACTAAATCAAAAAATAAATTTGGATGACGACTCTTTCTCCAAAGTCCAGTTTCCATTAATTCATCTTTTGGTATCAAACCTTATTGTTTTAATTTCTTAAATCTTTCTAATTGTATATCTAAATTTTTTTAATGAAAATTACCTGCAGTTGCTTCAAAGCAAATACTGAAAGGTATGATTGATAATGCAATGTAATTCATCACATTCAAACCATTAAAACTATCTGGTTCCCAAGTGAGATCATTTAGAAACAAGAAATATAATGGTATGCTTGTTACAAATACAATCAATCCTTAGAACATAAATTACACGAAGACCATTACATCCTTCTTAAATTTATCTGCGTTATATTCACTAAAGATATTATCATATCTCTCATCCTTAAATCCAACCAATACTCTAGTCACACATAAGAAACCACCAAGTCTTAATGACCATATTGCAACAAGAACAATATTAATCTTAAAATATAAAACATATTATTACAATTCTTGCTGGAGTTGATATAGTTGAGAAAATACAATAGACTACTCCTGCAACTAAATGACTTATAGAGTAGGCTACATCAACTATACATTCATGATTTCCACCAATCTTATAAACCAAATAGAAAACCAATTTGTTAATCAGGATGGCTGGCAGTGCCCATATTAAAGCAACTTCTACAAAATAAATCATGTGTTTATTATTATTATATGGTTTTTATTATTATTTTAGAATTTCTTAAACTTCTGTTTATGAATTAGATTATTCCTAATTCATTTTTAGACAGTATGATAAAATACTATATGTTTTTATAATAAAAATATTTAATGGCTGTTCATTTAAATTATCCATTCTCATCAATATGTCCCATTTCAGATAACATCAATGTACAAAAATCTTCAAAATCTTTATCATTTTAGATGCATGTATTTAATTCTTTAAATCTATACTTGCTATTATCAATATGAATCAATAATTTTTAAAGACGCTTATTGGTAACAAATTTTCTAATTTTTTAACTTCTTTCTATTCATATAGATTAATATTACTAAGTAATTCTAATTTCTCTTTAGATAATTTATACTCATCATCAATATAATCACTTTTGAAAGGTTCTTGCTCTTAAATCTAAGGTTTCTTTTAAATAGGTTTGCAATTATGAAGCTTGAAACATGCAGCACTACAATAGGGCTATTCACATTTAGGACATTTATATTTTTTAGGCTCATTACAACAAATACATAATTAATTAATCATTTAGCAGAAGATAATTAACGATGACGCTCTTGAAGTTTTTTCTTTTCCTCTTCTTATGCCAATTATTATCCAACTTTCAAGATCATATTATTGACCTTTTCAATTCTTACTAATCTTTCAGAATTTCTACTTCTACAATGTTCAACCATACTTGTATCATCTTTTATTAAGAGAGGAATAAAAGTTTTATCCTTCTCTAATAAGAATTATTCAGGATGAAGCATTTCTTTAGTCAAAATGGCTTATTTAGAATTTTGTTTTGAAAGTCTATGAGACATTGAAGACGCTTGATAACTTTTGAAAGAGGAATTAAAATCAACCTATTAATCTGAATGATTTGATTTATGTAATGAATTAATAAGAGATACAGGACCTCCTTTAATACTTGATGGAGCTGCAGGAGGTAATTTACCACTTTTATGAGAACCATGTTATGATCTTATATTAATTTATAGACATACCCAATTCTTTATTGACTTCCTCTTTATTAACTTCCTCTTTATTAACTAGGTCTATGTTCTTAACCAGGGATTTTTAATTGATTATTAGCATTCCCTTGTAAATTTGGAATATCGAATTATGGATTTTATAATTCACTTTTGGATATTTTTTCAAATAGATTCATGACTTTATCTTTTTCAATTCCTTTTCTATAAATATTAGCTAATCCTGGAAATAAATTAACCAAATTGTCAAATATCTTATAAATTTGTAAAGTTGTATATTGATTAACTTGTAAAACATCAGCTGAAATTAAAATTTCATTTTTATAACATGCCACTAATGGTTTCTCTTAAACCCATTATCTTAATTTATCGTCCATAACTTATTAAGGAGTAAGTTTCCCTATTTTTTCACCATGCCAAACATCATAAATTCTAACTTCTTATTAAGCATCCAATGCAGCTGCCACTCCAGTATGACTAACACTCATTCCAATAATTCTCCACAATCCTTACTTTTATTCTTCCATTTTTACTTTACTACCCTTTCTAAATTGATGTGTTCTTTTACACAATAACTTACCTTCCTTTATATCATATATATTAACACCTCCATCATATGAAGATGAAACCAATCTATTATCATCACAAAATTGAATCTATGTACAATTATACATATGCTTATCTAAATAAAATCTCTCTTATTCCAATATCATATCATAAACAAATACACTTCCTTATTATAACCCAGCAGCTAAATATACTGATGATTTTGATATGGCCATACAACTCAAAGGATAAAGAATTTAGACCTCTGTAATTGATGCTTATTATTTTATTAGCTATTAAGATGGTAATCCAAAAGAAGCACTTAAGTATTCTGGAAGTGATGATCTCTTAGCACTAGTAAAACGATGTAATTCAAGTTTTGTAGTATTAGTCCAACCAACTACTATTCCTGTTATGCATTCATGCTATTTATATGAATTAAATGTTTTGTTTCCATTTTGTATACTGAATCTTTCAATAATAAATTCAACTATTGCTCTATATTTTTAAATTGGATAATCATCATCATTAGGTACAGCTCCATTTTCATTTTCATCATAAAGTATTTCTTCTACAACTGGTACAGGTGCTATTTCCACTGCTTTTTTTTAAGGAACTGGAGCCTTCTTTTTAGGATCAACCTTTTCTTCAGGAGGAGGCTCTTTAGGAGTAGTAAAATCTTATTTAATTTTAGCTATTATTCCATTATAATCTAATGTTTTCTTGATTCCATTGAATTTCACCTAATAAATCAAATCAGTTAATTCAGAACATGTAATATCCATAGGAGATGTTAAAATCTGCTATTATTGTACAGGAGGCACTATTGGTTATTCTTTCCCTTTTATAGGAGATGGCTTGAATTGACTTTATAAGTGTCTTGGACTTTGTGCTCCAACACTGTTACTTGATATTTGACTTGAATTTGATTATTAATCTATTTTCAAATCTGGAATTCTAAACACTTTGACACTTCCATTATATTATGTAACAGTTATATATTAAGAAAATTAACTTATGTCTATATCTACTGGATATTCACCTATTACATTCTTGTCCTTTGACATTGTAATAGTGTGATGAAGTAATAATTTATTTTCTAATGGCCTGAAACGATAAATGTACACTACTGGATCATTATGTTAAACAACTCCAATCCTAAATTAGTAATGACTTTCTACACACAAACATTCTTATAATCATCTATTGCTTAATCTCTACTACTTAAACATACTTTAAGTATTCTTTTCCCATTTGTTTCTTTCTTGGCAATTCTTAGTTTCTTACTTAAATCTAATATCATTAAATTTCCCTAAGTATCTCCTGCTGCTACTAAATTGCTTGAACTATCTCGACTCACACAACTCAATTATGGAATGTCAAAAACACCTTATGGAGGCAATGTTCTTAATTATCCTTCATAGTTTGGGTCAGAACGATATTTTTCAATTTCGAAAACTTTGTTATAGACTTCATTAAGTATCATAGTATTTAAGATTTTGTTTATGAATCTATCAACATAATAAACTGAAATACTTATATGGTTTTGGAAGTTTATCTTCCCAATTAGTTGGATTACAATAACCCCATGAATTTAATTAATCCATTATTATTTTTAATTTATAATCTCAAAAATTTAAGACTTCCTGATTGCCAATATTAAATACATTAAAGAATAATAATAATTATATTATATTAAGAAACAGATACTCATTAAGGTTTAATTAGATAAATCAATTACAAATAAGTTCTTATTAAAATATTTTTATTTTATTTTTGATATTTAATTATGTAAATAAATTAAGTAGAATATAAATAACTTTAAAAAGCACATCCTATCAATATATGATTTCTGTTTACCTCTAATATGGAAATATAAAATATTGTAATTCAATTGAAGAATGCAATTAATCATAATAAGGATTTATAAGTAAATATATTAACAATTAATAAAAATTTAATAATTCATTTGATAATATGTAAAAATTTTAGTATTAATTTTAATTTGTTATAAATAAATATATTTTTATGAAAACTCAAAAAACGGAACTCGTTCTTATTTTACTATTGTGCACAATAAATTGCGTAAATATTAGTAAACAGGATGGCGTGGAAGAACTGAAAGTAAATAGATAATAATGAAATAGACAAGAAAACAAGTTGGGGTAAGATTGCATGGAATCTTAGTTAATTAGCTTTTTCTGGTGACTCAGCTCTAAAAGAATTAGCAGATGTTTTGACATCAGTGGTATAGATATAGTTATTATAATTAATTAGAAAGAATAAGTAAAAGATTTGAAACATGATCATGAATTTGCTAGTGATAAAGCTATTAATGTTTATTTTAGCAAAAATGAGAAATTAGATTTAGGAATAGATGAAACAGTTACATTTATTGCTAGGAATACAGATTATTTAGACTCATAGATGCATGATTATATTGTTAATATAAATAAGAGATTAGAGAATCTAGATTAAAATGTGAATGAAAATAGAAAATAATTAGAATATCTAACATTCACAAGATAAAAGCAAAATGAGAAATTTTTAGATACTTGTATATTATTATATATATTAATAATAGTGACATAATATGAACATATGATTGCATAAGTTGATATGTGCATAGCTTTACTTTAAGGAATATTTGCAAATGAATAATTTATTTAAGTTGATAGAGTTAAGATTATTACAAGAAAGATATTTGCTGCTACAATGTTAATTGGAGGAATAGAAATGAAAGAATTATTAGAAACAACTGAATCAGCTAATTATACAGATACTAGAGTTTAAAAATATGTATAATTTATTATTTATTTTTTTTAGATACTAGAAGCTTTTAATAATTTAAGAAAATAATTTGTTGATCATAAAAATTCAGATATTGCTTATGATGCTGAATAATAAAAATAATATGAAGATTAAAAACATTAATTAGATGGAGAACTTTTGATTTTCAAGAGAGATATTGCAGAATTAATATATAATCTATCAGTTGCAGAAGAGAAAATAAGATAAATTAAAGAAGATATTGAATCAAATAAAAAAGATTAAGAATTTTATTAAAAAGAGAAACAATTTATTAATAATGGTAATTAAATTGAAGAAAAATGGAAAGCTAAATTAACTTAAGAATATAACAATTAATTATAATCAATAGAGAATGCTATGAATTTAATAAGTTAATCTGATTTTTGGGCAAGGAACGATTAAATTAAGTTAAATTATTGAAAATTGATATAGATAATAAACATAATCATTCATTTTTTCACTATTTATTATTAATATAATCATCTAAGATTTAATTAATTATAAAGGTAGTTTATATTGTATTATTAATGTACATTTTAATAATTTATCATTTCTTTCCTTTTGGTTTACCAGCTCCTTTAGCAGCAGCCTTTTATGCTGCTTTTGTTTCAGCCTTTTAAGCAGTCTTTTGAGTTGTTGTAACACCTTTTCTTTGTTACTTTTATACCTCTATTTATTTCTATTTTCTATCTTTAATCTCTCTTGCAGCTTATTCAGCTTAAGCTTTTCTTGTTTCTATTTAAAAAAATATAAATATCATAATTTACTATCATCTTCCTTTCTTCTTCTTCTAATTTCTTCTAATGATATACCAACAATAGCTCTTTAGACTTTAAGATTTCTAATTCTTCTTTTTTTTGCTCCTTCATCTGTTTTAATCTTCTTATTTAATCTTCTCCAAGCAACAGTCCATTAAATTTCTTGGCTTTTAATCTTGTATTTAAAATTATTATTATACTTTTCTAGCAGAAAATGCTCTACTCTTTTGATTCAAGTAGTAAAATAATCTACCATCTTTAGCCACAAATCTACGTCCATGTCCAGGGTAAATACGCCATTCACTAAATGAGCACAAATCAGTCTTGATAACCATTTTAAATTAAAATAAAAATCTTTTTTTAATGAATTTAATCACTAGTGTACAAGATAAACTCAAGTAATAAGTCCCTACAGATAAACAATTATAAATGAGTCATTTTGCAAGATTAGTAGAGTTGTTGAATGAAAGTGCAAAAAATTAATAAAATTCAGAATTAAACCAATTAGTACAAATACTTATTTAATTTTCATTTCCTCAACATACTTATTAGATGATTTGCAATTCTTTCTCTTTATTGATTGCTAAAACAGGAAATGAATAAATTAAATAAGTAGTGGAAGCTTTATTGTAATATATAAATAAGAAGGGATCATAAAAAAGTATTGCTTTAACTTTACTTGTTACATTAATTTAACTAACTAAACATGAAATTCAATCATTTTCCTATACTTTAACTTAGGATATTAGTACTGCTTTAATGAAATTATTAAAGAATTCTGATTATCGTTTGCTTCTTTGTAATTCATTGAAATTCTTAATTGAATCATAAAGAAATGAAATTCTTAAAATAGCCTTGAAATTTACACTAAATGAGAAACATGAAATTCTCTAATAAGCAGGAATGCAAACTCTAATACATTTAATGGAAAATGAAGTAATATCAGAACAAATGTATTTAATAGCCTATAAATCAGATGATTCGTCCTTATTTTATAAATATTTTGCTAGATACTTATTTTAATAATAAAATATAGTGGCTTTAACTAAAAAAGATAAATTAAAGTAGTAAGTACAACTTTAACCAAGAGAATAAGCATAAAAAATATTTTAATTATTTGATGAAAATTTATCTAAATTTCCTTCAAATATAGTAGGAAACATATTTCTGGCTTATAAAAAGTATAATATATATACTTAATATTTAAGATATTTGACTTATGAATTCAAAAAATTAGGACTTTCAATAATTAGAGGATCATTTGAAATATCTTGTTCATATTTAGGATCGATGGCATTAGATGATCCATATCTTCATACAGTTTATAAAAAGTATTTAATTATTATAATAATTTAGAACAGTTAATTTATGTCTCTTTATGGTTTAACAAGTTTAATTGAATGAAAGAAAGGATATATTGGAGTATTTCTTTGATAAGATTTCTAAAGCAAAGAGTTAGAAATGGAATGTTTATATATATAAATTACTCTTAAAAGGAATGAATTTCTTATTTGATACATTAGGTTCAAATGTTTTTGATGATAAAAGAACAAAACCATCTGAATTTATAGATATATTAACTCCTATTTTTAAAATCAATGATATTTTATAACATCCAATGAGTATAGATAAACCTATTTGTATTAGTGTAAGTAGAAATTTATTCAATACTTTTGAATCTTTATTTTAAGAGAATAAAAAATGGTAATAAAGTATTTTATCAGCCTTACTTAATTATGCTAAAATTACATTGGCAGAACTTAATGTTAAAGAAACTAATTAATAAATAAATTAATTAAGAGTTTAATGTGCATTATTATCAAAATTATTCTCTTAATTAGATTTATAATTACATTCAATATCAAGTGAATTAATAAATCATTTATGGGAAACTGCAAAATCATTTCTAGATAAATCTTCATAATTAAGAAGAATTGGTTGGATCATAATTGCAGAATTATTAATGGTTCCATATTTTGGAACAACTAATAAAGTAAAGGAAATTGGAATATTAATTGAAAAAAACTTAACTTCTAAAGATGAAATAAAAGATGAATAATAATTATAAAGTTATTGTAGTGTTGGTCTTGTCATTATTTCAATATTAAATAGTAGTTCATTATCAAAATAAATTAAGGATACTACTAGAAAGTTTTTGGCTTAATAAACAATTTTAATGTTTAGTAAATTATAATAAAGTAAATTTGATAAATAATCACCATTTGTGATATCATCTAAATATATTTTTTATTAGGCAATTAGATAAATTCAACCAAAATATTATTCTAATGAATTAAATTCACTTGTATAATTCTGTCTTGAAGATATAATAAATGGTAATTCAATTTGGAATTAAGTAAATGTTCATAAAAATAATCATTATGTTGATGAACTTTTAGGAATTCCTAGATCAGAATTTTAGTTAGTTTTAGCAGCTAGTAAATTTTTAGGTCATATCATATCTTCATAATCATTTACTCTAAAAAATAAAATTAATTTTATTAGATATGTAAATGGTACTTTATAAACATAAGTTATTAACATAAAAGAAGTCTAATAGAAATAATCTAAGTAATAATGTTATTTATTTTGTCTTTATTAAATTGCACTTAAAATATATTAAGCAAATTCTATTGTATCTCAAGAATTTAATGAACAAATATTTTAAGTTATTAATTTATGTTAATGTGTTGATAATTAAATTTAATAATTATGTGCTTACCTTTATTGTTCAATGTTATAAATTAAAGATGTTGATTAAGTAGAATAATTAAATTAATTATTATCTTAAAAATCATAAGCTAATTATACCTATTTGGTTTTAGAGATTCTTAAAAAGAAACTTACTGGAGTATAATTATAAGTGTAAAATCTTCTTATGAAAGTATTATCATAAATGACAACTGATGTGGCTAAAGTTATTTAACTCTTTTAATAGATTGATCCAAGTTTACTCAAAAATGTTTGGGTATTCCTTGTATTTGCAATAAGTTAAAGTGATAAACCTATCTAAATATGTTAATTTAAAATACTTTCAGGAATTATTTTGAATTATATTAGAAATGGAGGAATTAAGGATAATTATTTTAATATCATCTATCAAGAATGTAGATGTAGATTATAGTCAAAACAATTCTAAATTTTATAATTGGATTTTGCATTAGAATAAGATACAGAATAAACTGTTACAAAAGCTATTAATTTATTATTAAAAAAACCTTCTTATAAAATAGCAGTCTTTATAGATTAACTAACTGATAAATATAACATGCCTTCATTAGTTTCACCTATTTTATTTGTTTTAAATAATTTATTTTCTAATTAAAGAGTTCATTCCACAAGTGAAGAAATGGAACTTCGAAATCTAATGAAAAATATATTCATTAAGGTTTATAATCAACCTATTGCAGAGTTACTTTAACTTTTATAACCTTATATTTTAGATGAAGTGATACCTGAATAATAAGAGAGAATACCAATCCATATAAAAACAAGAATCTTTCTCTTAAAAAGATTGTAAAAGCTATTTAAATAATGTGATACTTCAAATTAAGTATTTGATTTTCTATTCAAAATTACAACTTCAATATATGAGGAAGCTAAGGAAATATCATTTGATATGTTCTAACACTTTTTTTACAAGGAAAAGGATTTATTAAGTTTTGCAGCTTAAATAGATTCAATATTATGTGATACAATTAGAAGGGAAAATCAAAATCCTCCTTCAGTAAATCTAACAAATATGAAACTTATCAGTAAATTTGCTAAAATTGTAAAAGATGAATTTTTGGCTACAAAATTAATTTAATTATTATCTAAGCCTTTGTTAAATGAATGTAGAAAGAAATTAGTGCCTAGCTAATTTTTTAGTGAAAAGTCATAGCTCAATATTCTAATTTAAAGAATAGTTTCATTGGGAAGTATATATAGAAAAATACCTAATTACTTTGATTAAACTCTTATAGAATAATTAAAATGTTATGTTGAAGAATTATTGGAAGACATATTTGTAATTCTATGTACACCAAGATCTCATATAAGAGAATATTAGTCTTATAATTTTATTTACAATGGAAAAAAATATAGCTATGATCAAGGATTTCTTCATTAATCATTACCAAAACTATTGAGAATTTCAAACCTTGATAAGCCAATCCACTTTACTTTAATTGGATATATAATTACATAATATGTAAAATTATTATTTATCATTTGTAGGGAGCATTTGAATAAAATGAGAATATGTTTAAAAAAACTATAGAGGGTCTTACTAAAGAAAGAATTTTATAAAATAGAATGTATAGAATAAAGGGAATACAATTACTAACTGAAGTTATCAATAAAAATCCACAAAATTAATTACTGATAAATGGAATTCAAAGTTTATTACCTATTATTGCTGCAGAAGCACCTTATTCTTTAGTAATTTGTTAGCAACTTTATTAAAGTCTTATTCATCATTAAATTGATTTCTAACTAATTCTTGAACCTTTGATTCAAATTTATTAATTGACAGTTGATTAGAATTAAAAATTAAATTGTTTAGCATCTTTATTAAAAATATCTTAATAAAATCATTAGGCTTTAGATTAAATCAATATTATATTTTGGGATTTTTTGTTAACATAAGAATATGAATTTATGAGATGCACACAATTAATTTAATTTTATAAGGATAAAATATATAGTATAAAATATAGTGGTTATATATAAACAATTTTATAAACAATATCTAATGCTTAAAAAATGAGATAAGAGGATTATTACTTATTATTAAATTTAGATATTTTAATCAACAATCATTAAGATAATTAGAGATACTATTAAATAATTGACAGTAATAAAATTTCTTATTATTTTAATAGTTCATTTTACTAATCTAATATAGATTGCCTTAGCCTTAATTAAATAAATTAAATAGAATGTTTAACCAATTTTAAACTCATTACTTCCAGCAATATATCGTAAAATATAAATTAAAGAAATTGATTCATATATATTGATAGGAAAGTTTTTATTGCTCAGTTATTTATTGAGCAATTAAAAATTATTATTATTTTAGAGTACTTTCAGAATTATGTATCTTTTCACAGATGAAAGCTTGGATTCTTCTATTGTTGAAGCTTCAAAATAAAATCTGAAAATCATATTGATAAATACTTAAATGAATTAGGTGAATTTACCAGATGACTTATCTGATAAAGTTTAATTAATTTAAGAAGATATTTAAAGAGAAATGTAAATAAAATATCTATAAAAATAGGTAAGAAAAATAATAGAGAGAAGCCAAATAAAAATAACCTTAGCAATCTGGTTAAATAGTATTAAAGATGTTTGGATGATTGTATTAAATAATTAAATTAATTAATGTCTCATTTTTCTGATCGATGCAAAACAGATCCTGATGAAGATAGCGAGATAAAACGTAAAAGAAAATAGGTTTAACAATTTATCTAAAATTCAAAAGAGGAATAGAAAAAAATGGCATTTCTTTTTAAAAAAGACTTAGACTTATAAAGTTAGAAAATAAAAGAAAGAATTCAAAAAAGAAATTTCAAAAAGCCTATTGCTAAATCTTCAAGTTGTGGTGTCTATATGTCAAGCAATCCTATTAGTGAGTCTTAGTCATTGGCTGATACTGAAGATTATTAAGAGACTTTATATGAAGATGCTTTATTGGAATTAGATAACCAAAGAGATGAAAAAATCTATAGAATAGTTTAACATTATAACAATTAAATAAATAATCTAAGAATGATAGATTATACTGAAGAAACTCTACAACAAATGTTACTTTTTGAAAAAAAAAAATGGGAAGAAATCTAAAATATATAAGAATAATATGAATTAATAAAGAGTAATTAATTAAATCAATGACTTTATATCATTTAAAATGTGATCAATATTCTATTGTGCTTAATTTCTATTTTATAAATGATAAATGATAATTTTATTAAATATTTAAATGATAAATAATAAGGTAATCTTAAGATTCATAAATATTTATTGAGGAATGCATTAATTTTGATTAAATTCATTTAATATTATATTATAAAATTGAATAAATAAACTTATTTAATGAATAGCTTAGATAAAGAGAAGGTTTTGTTCTTTTGTTGTGATATTTAGGATGTTTTTAATAATGAAGCAAATTAAAAGAATTATAATTGTTTGTAAGTTATAGAATGTGCATGTTTGATGAATGAATTTGCTAAAGTTTTTGACATACCCATTATTGTTTCGGAATAAAACCCTAAGGTTTTTGGAAGTACAGTTCAATAATTAAAGAACACTTTCACATAAAACACTCATTTTTATGAAAAGTTTACTTTTACAATGCTTTCTGATAAAGGATTAGAAATATTAAAACAATATCCTAATAGAAATCAAGTTGTAATTTATGGATTAGAAACTCATATTTGTGTTTAATAAACATGCTTGGATCTCATTAAATTAGGTTATTAAGTTTATATATTGACTGATGGTACATCAAGTAGTAAACCATTATATAGATCAACTGCTTATGAAAGATTAAAATAATGTAATGTATATTTAGAGACTTCATAATCTGTAATGTACACATTAATGTAAACTTCATAAAATGAGAAATTTAGAGAGGTTTTAAAATTAATAAAAAAATATCAATTTTAAAACATATTTCCAAGTTTATGATTAATTTATTATATTATTAAAATCATAAATTATGAAGATTAGTTAATTATTATAAAATAGAAAACTCTTTTTCAATTTTGATATCTAAACTGTCTTTAATAATCCTAAACATATGTATAAACCAGGTTAAACAATATGATATGCTTAATTAATGAATGAAGTATATACCTTCAATAGGATATAAATTACATATCCTAACTGATGGGACATCAAGCAACAAACCTTTATATAGATCAATATGTTGTTAAATATGAACTTAATAGGGATTGGTAATAAACAATTCATAATCAGTTTTTATATGAATTATTATAGTCATATAAAGATGAAAAGTTCAAAGCAATTTTTAGTTTATTTAAATATGAAGAGGTATTACAAAATTATGTATAATAATTATAAAGATTAAAAATAAACAAATAATATCACACTAAATTAGCTTTTTCCATATATTCTTCTTTTAATTTTGATTTACCAATTTTATAATATTTTTATTAGAATATTGAGTATTTTTTGAGCATTTCTAAATGTAAATATCTCATTTATGCTGATCTAGTTTTATCTATAAATTATGAATCTGCATATTTATCAATAATAGCCATAGTTTCTGGAAAATAATAATCTTATTATTCAGGATCAATTTCTTCTTCTATGTCTCCATAATACATCGCATCTAATATTGCATGTCTTTCAACTAAATCTTCACATGTTAAATCTTTGAAAAGAGTTTTCTTTATTTTTGGAATTTCCAATTCATACTTTAAATGGGATGCACATTTATTATCTAATAAATCTACAATAGCATCAGATTACATATTGCCAAATATACCAAAAACTCTTTTATATTATTTCTTTACTGCTAAATATTCTATTAAAGTAGTCATGAATTCATCTGATCTTTTTAAAAATATATGAGGTATAATTTAATATGCAACATTCATAGGAGTATTTGGAAAAATGTCTGGATTTTAAGGTGTTGCCATACATGCAATTTAAAAATATTATTATAATTAAGGTAATGTTAATTAATTACATAAGGATTCTCTGAAAATTAGAGCTGGAATATCTGCTAACATTATTTTGGCATTAAACTTTTTAGCATAATATGAAATTGTAGCTATTTTATCATAATCTATTCTTTCCTTATTTATATATGGCTCATATTCTTAAAATTCTAACTTATCATGTTATAATATTTCTGCTATCTTTTCATGATATCCAACAGGCATAATCTCTTCAGGATCTCTGATAATCTAATTAATGTAATCCTTTGATGATTTAAATTAATAATTAAAGCCTTTAAGTATTTAATCAGGTTTCATTTAAAGCATAATTAATGAAGGTCTGGAAAACAATAATAGCTTATAAAGATTTTTTATAGGAACATGTTCCCATTAAGATCCTGCTAATGTGAAATTAACATCTTAATATTTAAAAATATGAACTTTGCCATGAGGGTTCTTATATGCAAATTCCCTATATTATTCTTAAGTCAAAAAATAATCATTTTATCTTCCAATTTTGTTTGCTTGATATTAATATTGAAAATCTAAATTAGTTTATTCTTTCAATTCTTAAGGATTTATATCATTCTATTCTTTTAATACTGGAGATAACAAATATTTTGAAGGCAATTTACCAATGCGTTCTAAAGTTTTGTTTATTTTAATTGGTTTGACTGCTACAATGAAAAATTGTTTCAATTTCATTTGTGGTGAATAATATAATGAATATTAATATCAATTTTATTATTATTGTTATTAAGCATTAGGATCTTAATGAGGTCTAGAACCAGCACTATATAACAATACTATAATCACAACTAGAGTAACATTCCTATTATATTTATAATAATTACCTTTTGAATTTATATATATATATTAAAATGTTTTTCATAATTTCTGTAACAAAGTAATTATGCCACAAAAGAATAGCCTAAATTTATAAACAATATTACATCCTTCCATTATTTCCTTATTAAACTTAGGATGCTTTTTTCACTTCTTTATCAGCTTCTTTCACTTTCTATTTAGAATTTTTCACTTCTAAACTTATTATATCAATTTTTAATCCTTGTTCTTTTATCATTTTAGCTCCATCTGTCATCATTTAATTTAATTAATATATAACTCTAACATCTATAATAATAATACTATCCCATTTCACTTATCTATTAATTCCATCTTTATATAAATTATTCATCATATAATATTTCATCTAACAATTATACATCTATTTAATTATCATTATGATGATCTTTAAAAGATTGTTTAGCAGATTATAAACTTGTCCTCTATCTTGATAATAACTGATCAGTTAATTTTTTTAGTTTTTTATTTGAATCTTAGAATACTTGAATCAACTTCTATACATTTTGTTATCTTTGTGACTATATTTCAATTATAAATATTATTTACATTCTCTGACTTTTTAATAATTGAATAGATTGCATCTATTGTATTATTTTTAGCATTTCATCTAAATCATTTTTTGCTTCTGTTACTAAAGTTGGTCTAAATAAAAATCTCTTCAATCAAATACATATCATCCATTCCTTTTGAAGATTTATTATCAATAATCTATTTAAAAACCATAAAAAATACTTCATCTTTTAATTAATGATAGAACTTTTCAAAATTAAGTATTCTTGCTTATGCCATCTAAGTCATCTTAGTTATTTAAGTCTCTCCATCATTTTTACGAAGATCCTAAAGCTCAAAAGTATCTTATTATTTCTGATTTAATATATATTTTTACTTTCACTTTGTTAAACTCTTATAAAAATGACATATAAATATTTTATAATCTTTTATTTTAATTCATTTCCATGAACAAAGAGTGATCAACTAATTTTTATAGATGTCAATTCATTACCTAAAATTCACATCTTTTCAAATAGATTGGAATTATTAAATATCAAGATGAAATTCTTTGCTAATATTTATCATTACATACTAGATTTATTCTCAAAACAAATGGCAATATTGTGATTTAAACTAAAACTTAGAATCATTATAATCATAATAATCAATTTTTGATTTTTAATAATAAAGAGGATTGATTAAAAGACTTTAAGATAAATTCTTTGATTGGATATCTGGTTTGCTAAGAGAGTAATAAAATCTAGTTAATTTTTCTGAAACATTAACAATTTCTAATATTATTAGTTATAGCTTATTATTTATAAATCTTTTTATCTTAACCAATTTGCAAATGAGTTTTTAAGCGATTAAATTAATAAATCTTTAAATTCCTTTCATTTCAAATCAAAAAATCAATATATAATTTTTTTATAAAATTAAACACAAATGAAACAGACAAACATCTTTATTTAGAGCTCTCAATATATTGCAGAATAATCAGAACCAATTAAATTTATAGAATTTTCAAGTAAGCCTTATTTGGATGAATCAAATATATATACTTATAGAAATTAAGAAAAGTTTGGAAGATTTAAATTGGTTCATAGAAGTTATTATTATATAATATAATTTAGATAGAGAATCCATATAGATCAAGTTGGGCTAACTAAATTTTAAATAAACATTATAATATTGAAATTGTTGAAAAGGAGAGTAAAATTAAAATAAAGAAATTGCCAGCCACTGAAGGTGCATCTTAAACTTTAATAAATCATTTACCTGCTATTTAGACATAAAATAAAAGAGACAGAAGTTAATTTCTATCTAGCATCTCTCATTATGCTAAAAATAATTAAGAAAACTTCTTTAAACAAAAAAGAAAATATCATATTTCTACATCTAGAGAAAACAATAGTTCTAATATACAAAATTCATTATATCAATAAACAGAAGTGAATGATGTATTATCTCTATTATAAGTCAAAAGTTAAGATAGATTAATGCCAATTTTTGATGTTAATTTTAAAACAAATCTTTTATAATACGATTTATGAATTCCTTATTTTTTTTTATAATGATATTTCATATTTAAATAAAATTAGTAAAATTAATTAGACTCAACCTGCTGCATTTACATCAGAAAATAAATAAAAAATATGGTTGATAGTAAATTAAAATCATATAATAAATATAGTTTATACCTTAGTATTCATATACTCATTGATATTTTATTAAATCTATTTGTATGATTGCAACGTATTTAGAATGAAAAATGTTTTTAATTTATATAAAATAAAAAAAATTGATTTTATATATTTAAAAACAATTTATAGTTACATTGGTATTATAAATCATAATATTCTTTATAGTGATTTTATATTTCTTTACAATCTATAGGGAAAATAATATATTATTTATAATTATTTTAAATAATTAAATTTATGAATTTTATTCGTAAAAGACTTGGACTGTTGCCCTAAACAACAGCTATAATGGAAATATACCAATCAGAATAATCAAATGAAGTTATTTATTTATATAGGAGAATTTTAAAATAAATCTCAATTACTTATGAAAGAAGATTAGAAAGAATGCAAAAATTAAAAGAAGCATAATGGATATTTAGAGAATGTAAAGATGAAAAGGAGTAAGAATAAATTAAATACTTGAAGAATTAAGGATATTTAGGTATAATTATTTTTTATTGTGCATAATAATAGTATTAAAGATGTTAGAATAGAATTAAGTTTTGCCTTCCTTTTATCCTAATCCATTAGATTTAGTTGAACCTGAAGTTCATAATTAATTTGGAAAATAATTATATAATAGAGTTAAGTTTTGATTTTTAAAGAATTTATTGTATTTAGAAATTAGAAGAAAAGTTTATTCATAAAAATATTTAATTCATTTTCTAGTAAAAAAATTTAATTAACTTTTATTCATTTTCTAGTTTTAGAATGCTTGTTAATTTTTCTTAGTTTTAGAATAAAATTTAAAATTTATTTCTCATTCCCTTTCATAGTTTATGAACAAATAAAATTCTTGTCTTTATTATCATTTTCTTTCAATGTTTATTAAAAGTATGATTTTCCTATAAAATTCTTTTAAGCTCTTAATATCTAAGATAGAAATGTTTAGAATTATTTTATAAACTATAAACAATTATATATATAATAATATTCTAATTAAGTTTTTCATTTATATACAACGGAATAGAAATAATAAATGTATATAAATAATTTTATAATCTTTAATGAAAAGCAAGGGTGATTAAAGTAAAGGAAATATAAAATAATAACCTGAAAAATAAGGTAATACTTATAAGGAAATTCAATGTCATTATCATCCAAATGAAAAACTAAAATATTTCTGTAAGAAACCTGATTGTCTTTAACCTTTATGCAAAATTTGTTTAGATATTCATATAGAAGAACATTAGGAATAAAATGATACTAAGGATGTAATTTCTTATTAGAAATGTTTGTCTGAGGTTTCTAAGAAAATGTCAGATAATTTAGAATATTTTTCAGACAAAATTGGATAATTGCATAATTATATTGATAGAATCATTAATTTTTAATGTCCATAAAATTGGATGAATTTAATACAGACTTCAGAGAATCAAATTATTGATTTAATTAAAAGCTATTTTAGCAATCTAAAATCATATTTATTTTCAACCACTCCTGAAATTAATAAATTATATTCAGCTTAGGATCGTTTAATTATATGTTCAACAAGACTTGATTAACTTAAGTCAGAATTAGAAAATCTAAAGAATGAAAACTCAGTCACTTAAATAATTTTATATTATTAAGGAGATGTAGAAAAACTAAATAATAAATATTTATAATATCTTGAATAAACTTTTGATGAACTAAAATAAATTGATTTTTCTACTATAAATGCACCTAAAATTTTAATAAATCATAATAAATTAAATAATCTATTAGAATTATTGAATGAATATATTAATTATGAATAATAATAAGAAGTATAAGAAGAATAAGAAGTATAAGTTGAATAAGATTAATATGATGAAGAACCATAAATTGATTAATCTGATTAAAGAGAATAAACCATTCAAAATGATTAATCAGAAAGAGAAGAAGAATAACCTATTGATATTATTATAGCATAAGAAGAATTATCAGATTAAAATGAATATCCTTAATAATCTAATGAAGAGGATTTAGAATATTGAATTTTAATTTTTTTAACTGTTTTAAATTAACTGAAATAATAAAAATTAAATATGAATAACTCGTCTATACCACAACTCCCTTAAGCTTCTATCTATGAACCAACAATATCAATTTAAAAAATTTAGCCACATTATCGATTTGATTCTAATAATATGCCTAGAATTTAATGTTATTATCATTAAGACAATCCAAATAATTACATCAAATACTTTTGCAGATAACCTGAATGTTTAATGCCATTATGTGATAAATGTGTTTAGCAGCATTTAACTTAATATCATACTTAAACATAAAGTAATTTCCTATTTAATAAACTTTAGGTAATATTATACCTTTTGAAACCATACTTTCAGAAATTTATTAAAATTTAGCTGCAGATTGTAATGAAATGTGTGATCAAATAAATAAAATTTAATAATTATCAGAAAGAACAACTACTGATAAATTAGTTGGAAAGAAATCATTATATACAAATCCAACTAAATTAATAGAATCTGCAAGAGATTAAGTTATAGCAATTGTTAATAATTATTTTGAAACTTTAAAAACTTATCTTCTAACATAAATTGAAGAACCTTTACCTGATATTAATGTTAAACCTGCTATAAAAGATTTAAAATTAAAATGGGAATAAAATATCAAAGATCTAGAATCCATAAATAATCCAGTAGCATCAATTGAAAAAGTAATTGAATACTGTGAAGAAGAATTAAGAAAAAAAAATGATACCATTTTGAATGAAGCAGAAAAATTAATCAAAATGCTTGAAACATCAACACCTCAATATAGACAATATGGAGTGGATATTCCTCAATTATTTGTCGATCCATCATTTTTACCAAGATTTTTATGGGTCTTAGAGAGATATGCCTTTTTCAATCTTCAACCTTTAGAACCAGAAGTTCTTCCTCCTCCAAGAATTATTGAACCAATGCCAGTTTATGATATTCCACCTCCACCAAGATATTATGATCCATATCCCCCTGTTGATTAAGTTGTTTATAGAGATCCAATTGTTATTAGGGAACCTGTATTTAGAGATAGTTTAATCAGAGAAAATGAATATCCAGAAGAAATGGATGATGCAAATCGTTAACGAAGATATAGAGGAAGATAATAATAATACGATTATTTTCCTGATAATGAAAATGATGCCTTTTTCATGAAGAGTGTGTCAAAGGAAAAAGAAAAAAAGAGAAAATCAAAAGTTGAAGAATCTCCAAAACCAGTATACAAAATAACTGAATAATATGAATCACAGAAAAAAAAAAAAACTAACAAATCAAAAGGTCCAAAAGAAATACTAATTAATCATAATGTTTCAACTACCTAATTACCATAATAATAATAGTATTAGACTATATAAGCATCAACTTATTAAGTTTAACCTACTTATTAACCTCTATAAACAGCAAATATCTTATTGCAAACCAATACCTAAATTGACTAGTCTCAAAAAGCACCTTCTGGGATGACAAAATCAAAAATTACAAACTAAGCCTATAAAAACATATGATTATTTTTAATATATTATTCAAAATATAATTTAGAATTTTTTTAATTTAACTATATATTATAGATAATCATTACAACTTCGTTAATAAAATAATAAATAAATTTTATCAATCATTTAATAAAAAACTTAACAAATTGTCTTTTAATGATTATTGTTATTATTCTTATTTTTATTGTATATCTTATTAATTTAATTTTTGTATTTGAATTCCTTAAAATAAATTAAAAAAATACCTATTTTTGCAGCCTCTTATTCTGTCATTGTCAAAATGCAACATAATTATTATAAAATAGATTATCTTATTTTTTAAGGAGCCCTGTTATCAAAATAATTTAATAAGGCCTCTTTTATTATTCGTTTATCAATTAAATTTTATTAATTTTAAGAAATCATCTAAAATTTTTTATTACAATTTTCAAGAATTTATTCCTTTTCATATTACAATTACACTATTATTTCTTCTTTCTTTCTAATCTTTTATGATAACTCTTAAATTTAAATCTAAACACCTTCATCTAAATGTCTTTCTGCTAATTATTTATTTAATTAATTAATATTTTCCTTATATTCTTTAATTTTATTTTCATATTCTTCCTCTTTAATATCAAACTTTTATTAAGCAGTTTCATTAACAAATTAAAAGTTAATAATACTCTAATTCAGTGTCTCTATTGTCTCTTCATAAGATGATATCTTTTTTGTTAATTATTGAATTTCACAATTCTTATTAACAATTACTTTATTTTATTCATTTAATTTTTATATATCTTATTATTAATTAGATAATTAAGTCTATAGAGTAATAATCTATAATAATTCTAATAATAATTACTTCATTTTATTTTTTATTAATTTAATTTTTCAAATTTTCTATTTCACTCTATTTTGTTTTAATCTCTTCTAATTAATCTTTCCTAATTTTTTCTGAATCTTAAACTTACTTTTCTAAATCCTTCTTTTTTTATTCAACTTTTTATAATTAATTGTATATTTGATTAGCCCTTTCAACTTATTCATTGAATTTTGTTTAACTTTGTTATAATTCTTNTTATAGATAATCATTACAACTTCGTTAATAAAATAATAAATAAATTTTATCAATCATTTAATAAAAAACTTAACAAATTGTCTTTTAATGATTATTGTTATTATTCTTATTTTTATTGTATATCTTATTAATTTAATTTTTGTATTTGAATTCCTTAAAATAAATTAAAAAAATACCTATTTTTGCAGCCTCTTATTCTGTCATTGTCAAAATGCAACATAATTATTATAAAATAGATTATCTTATTTTTTAAGGAGCCCTGTTATCAAAATAATTTAATAAGGCCTCTTTTATTATTCGTTTATCAATTAAATTTTATTAATTTTAAGAAATCATCTAAAATTTTTTATTACAATTTTCAAGAATTTATTCCTTTTCATATTACAATTACACTATTATTTCTTCTTTCTTTCTAATCTTTTATGATAACTCTTAAATTTAAATCTAAACACCTTCATCTAAATGTCTTTCTGCTAATTATTTATTTAATTAATTAATATTTTCCTTATATTCTTTAATTTTATTTTCATATTCTTCCTCTTTAATATCAAACTTTTATTAAGCAGTTTCATTAACAAATTAAAAGTTAATAATACTCTAATTCAGTGTCTCTATTGTCTCTTCATAAGATGATATCTTTTTTGTTAATTATTGAATTTCACAATTCTTATTAACAATTACTTTATTTTATTCATTTAATTTTTATATATCTTATTATTAATTAGATAATTAAGTCTATAGAGTAATAATCTATAATAATTCTAATAATAATTACTTCATTTTATTTTTTATTAATTTAATTTTTCAAATTTTCTATTTCACTCTATTTTGTTTTAATCTCTTCTAATTAATCTTTCCTAATTTTTTCTGAATCTTAAACTTACTTTTCTAAATCCTTCTTTTTTTATTCAACTTTTTATAATTAATTGTATATTTGATTAGCCCTTTCAACTTATTCATTGAATTTTGTTTAACTTTGTTATAATTCTTAATTTATCTACTATTCCTTCTTAGAATATTCTGTACCACATAAAATAAGTTTCTATTAATAATCCCCTAACTATTATTTGGCCTCTTAACCTGCCTTTTAAGACTATTTGAGTTATTATGTTAAATTATCAATTTCTTTTTTAAAAGATTCTCTAATTTGACTGATATTACTTAAAATATTAGATTTTATTTTATCTAAAGAGTTTATATCAAGACTTTATATTGCTTCTTAAGATAGATTTTAATATATTTCTGTAAATGCAATTTCTATTTATTTTATAAATGCATTTTATTCTTCATTCTATTTTTATAAAATCTAGATTTGATGCTATTTCCCTTTAACTTAATCATTTAAATTATTAGATTCTTCATATAAAGTAATATATTGCTCATTTTTCTAAATGTAATTTTATTCTAAATGAGAAATTTTATCTTTAATTTACTAATATTCTTTTTCCATCTCATTCCTCTAATATACAGCCTTCTCAAACTTACTTTCTAATTCAACAATCATATCAGCATTACTTTAATTTTCTTATTCCTCTTTCTATAACAAGGATTATAATTCTTCTTTTTCTTGTTTCAATTTACCTTCTTATTCTGTCAGAATTTCTTATTTTTTTTTTAATTCATTATTATTTAAGTTCAATTCATCTAAATGTTTTTACAATACTTAGATTTCTAGTTTAAGATTTATGATTTCATTTTCTTTCTCTTATATTTGCTCATTTAATCTATCTATTTCTTCTGATGATTATTATTCTAATTTAACTAAAGTTTAAGATATTTGTTAGTAATCTTATTAAATTAATTAAATCTTGATCTCATTTTCATTATTAATTTCATTTAATTTTAGATTTTTAAGTTATTCTTCATTGATCTCATTGGTTAATTATTGATATTAACTTTAAAGTTAATTTATTATTGATTAAAATTATTGAATTTATTATGTTTAATTTTAATTTTGTTGATCTTATTATTCAATTTAAATTTATAATTGTTTATCTTTTTCAGATAAGTCTTTAATAGTATTCTCTAATTAATGTTTCTCTTCTTAATCATTTTCTATAATGGATTCTAGTTATTATATTTTTTTATAACTATTTTCAAGTTCTAAACTAGTTGTTTGTATTTCAAGTTAAGCTTCTTATAAAGCAGTTTAATGTTAATGATTTTTTTCTTCATTTTATTAAACAAGATCTTTTAATTATTTCAACTATTCCTCATTATCAGTTTGTTAACCTTCAATTTATTATTACTTTATTAATTAAGATTCAGAATTTTTCAAAGCTTCAATTAAATTCTATATTTATAGATTTAATTCATTTATTTCTTAGGTTTTCAAATTTTAGAAATCATTTAATATATGTTGCTATTCTTAATTTGATTATAATAATTAATTAATTTAATTATTTAGATCTTCTTCTTTTATTTGATTTTGATTCAATTGTTATCTTAATTCATCCAATTACAATTCCAAGTTTTAATTTTTTATCTCTTTTTCTTAAAGTATTTCTCTAAGTTCTTATTCGTTTTATTTATTTTTAGAAATTAAATCTTATAATTATTAGATTTCTTCTAATTTTTATTAGATTATTTAATTTGTAGAATTTAATGTAATTTATAAGTTATTTATTTCATTATTATTATTAATTTCATTCTATTTATCTAATTAATTTTGTTCATTTTCTTATTTAATTTATAAATTTTCAATATCTCCTTCCTCTTATTAATGAGAATGTTCTATTAATTTATCAGTTTAATTATTAATATTTAAATTTTAAATCTCTTACTCATTTCTAATATTAGTATTTATAAAATCTACATCTATTTGTTGTTTTTCAATATCATCACTTTATTCAATTTTTTAAATTATTTCAATTTATTCTTCTTAAACTGAATTTTGAATTTCATTTTGAATTTGATTATGATTTTATTCTATTTCTTATTATTATTATAAAATTTATTGATCGAATTTCTATATAAATCCATCTTATTCATTCATAGATGTTGATTTATTTAAAAGTTATAATTTATTTTCAGTTTAGAAATCTTCTTCTTATACTTAAGATTCTGCTAATAAATTTTATAATTCTTTAATTCTTGTTTAAGATTATGTGAATATTTATTCGAGATATTCATAATCTGATTATAATTTCTCTGATTCATTAAATTTATTTTCGAACTCTTCCACTTAAGATTAAATTTATTGATATTTTATTTTTAATTCTTAATTTTCAGAAATAATCTATTTAATATCTTAATTTTCATTAGATAGATCTGATAATTTGTATTATAAACTTTCAATATCTTATTATAAAATTTAATTTTTCTCTTAAAATTCTTATATTATTTAATTTGATTAATTATTTTATTATTTCAATTCTTAGTTTATACTCATTTATTCTTGAAATTTTTACATAATATCATCTACTTATGAGAGCAATAATTCAACTTTTAATTCAATTTATTTATTTTATGTATCCTTCTGAACTAAATGATTTTAATAAGTGATAATATCTTTTTTTTAATCTTCAATTCTTACTAATTATTCATATAATTATGCTTATAAATCCTCAATTAACATATTACTTTAATTACATTAAACAAAATCATCTCCTTAATATTTATCAATTTACATTAACAAATTATTCAATAATAATTATTATTATTCTTTTTGTTCAGATAGAGATTAAACCAATTTATTTAAATTTTCAATTTCACGAATTTAATCTAATTGTTTTTCAGTCTCCATTTAGTTATTTTATTATTATATATTAATTTAATCCTTTAGTTTTTCAATTTCTTAATTTAATTCATCCAATGTGTGTATTTCATTAATAACATTAATTTTATCTTAATTATAATCAACAGTTTGAATTTCTTAATTCTCTTAGATTATTTTTTTGTTGATTTGATCATCATTCTCTTAAAGAGATATTTAAGTATTTTGATCAAAAGTTTGGATGATATTTTGTTGTTCATTTGTTTAAGTATTTTAATTTTCTTATGATGTAACATATTAAGTATTTTAATCTTCTGTTTCAATTTATACCTAAGTTTCTTAAGTTTCTTATTGAGGAATAGTTTAAATTCTTTTTTCTCCTGTTTCTATACTTATTTAAGTTACTTAATTTTGATGATTAAGTTCATGTTAGGTAAATTAAGTATTAGTTTCAATAAGGTTACTAATTTAAGTTTCTTGATTTTCAGTTTTGATTTAAATTTGAGTAACTTAATCATTCTAATCAATAAAGGTTTATTACTATTAATCAGTCAAATTGATTTATTTTTCTTCATCTATTTCTGATTAAGTTTATGTATTTTAATCTTCTTAGGCTGCTGTATATTATGTAGTTTAATGATCAATGTTAATTTATGCTTAAGTTTCTTAGGTTTCTTATTCAGTTATTACTTATATTGTTTTATTGTCTGTTTCTATATTAATTTAAGTGTCTTAATTTTCTTGGCTTATTTCATGTTATGTAAATTAAGTTGTTGTTTCAATTACTTAAGATATTTAAGTCTTTTGATCTTCTGTTTTTAATAAAATTTAAGTTGTTTAATCACATTATTCAATTGTAGTTTATATTGATTAATCATTTTAATTTAATTATTTTTCATCATCATCTTTTTCATTAATTTTGATTGGAATATTCTCAGTTTGAATTTAATCTTAAATAAGATTATTATCATGAATATCATCATTTATTTGATTATCTTAAGAAGGTGAATTTATTTTAATTTCTTTATCATTAGATTATTCATCAATTTATTAAGATTAATTATTTATTATAATTTAAAGTTCTTCTTCATTTAATTAAATTGTTTATGTTTCTTAATTTAGAATTATTTTTTCAATTTAATTTTCTTTATTTTAATTTTCATTAAATAATTTATTTATTTCATCAATTTTTGCTTATTTCTCTATATTATAATTAGTTAAATCTTCTACTTACATATTTAAAGCTTCAATTTATGCTTTTGATTCTGCTAATTCAGCTTAAATCTTGTATAATTCATTACTTGTTTAATTCAATTATTGTTATAATTCTAATGTAATTACATCTTAATTTTATTCACTTGAACTATGATTTTATTAATATGACCATGTTGGTTATTCTCTTAATACTTCTAATTCATTTTATAAATGTTATATATATTTTAAAAGTCTTGGTAATAATTCTTATTTATTTTAGATAATATCTTTATCTCCTTATTCAGATTATTTTCTATTATAAATTCTAATTAATTATTAGACTGATTTCATATCTTCATCAGTTAATTCATCTTCATATTCTTATTATTCAATTTTTTGATTTTCTTATTTTTTTTAGTTTTATATAAAATTAATCAATTATGTTTCTATAAGACTTTATATATTTTAGAATTGATTTCTTAAATCTTCAACATCAATTTAATTTGTTTTTAAATCTTTGATCTATTTTACAATATTTAATAAAATTGATTATTTTTATTTGTTATTTTACATAGAATTAATCTATTAGATATATTCATCAATATCTCTATTTAATTACTATTTTTCTAATAAAAATAAATCTCTTTAAGAAACCATTTCTTAATTTAATCTTTATATTTATTCTTAAAATTGAATTTCTAATTAATTATAATCAGTTTAGAATTATTTCTTTGAATATTCTTTCTCTTCTTTCAAAGATTCAATTATTTTTTACAATTCTAGAATTTTCTAATCTTAATTTTATGATGATAATTTAGCCTTTAATTATTTATTTTCTTTAACTAAAGGTGCATATTTGATTTAACTTAATTATTTGATATCTGCAGATAATTTATTTAATTTTTCATTAAATTAATTCCAACTTATAATTGATTGAAACTCAAATTAAATTGGTAATTAATCTAATACTTTTATGATGAATTCAATTTTTTATCTCTCAATAATTTATGCACTGTCCCATAAATCCTATGAGTATTACTCTAATTATTGATTAAAGTCAGATCTGATTCCTAAGATTTTGCTTTTCAATAATTAAAATTAATTTTCATAATTTTTCCATGAATCAAATTGTTACTACAAACATATGCAATCATTCTATTAGAATCTTTAAATCAATTCTGCAATTGTCATTTCTTATGTAATTTAATCATCCATATCTAAAAGATTTACATCCTATTATTTTTATGTTTAACCTTATGTCTATTCCTATTTCTTATCAGAATCACTTTGCTTTTCTTATAATAGATTTGAAGTCACATTTTTTACTGTTCCTGCAGCATTTTTTATTTTCTATCCAAGCCACATTTTGTTGATTGTCTTATTATATATTATGAATATAAATTTTTAATTTTGCACATGTTAATTGCTCAATAAGAATCCCAATACTACAATTAATAAAACATTTGAACCTAATAATAAAATATTAAAATTATTGTTTATGAATATAAAGTTAATTCAATACTCTATTGCTTTGTCTCTATAACAATTTCAATCTGATAGTTCATAACTATATTAACTATAATGGAAAATAGGTTTATTTCAATTCATACTTAGATAATAATGTAATCAATATCCCCTTAACAACTGATGACTTTAATAAACCATAATATGCATAATCAAATCTCATTTTAGATTAAAACAGAATATTTGAAGAAAAGAATACAACCATCATTTTTAGTGCCAATCAAGATATACTTAAAGAATACAAAATTAATATAAGTAAATACCTTAACTCTAAATTAAAATGTATAATAAATTATCTAAAATAGAGGTAGATGATATATTACATATAAATGAGACTATAAAATTGCATATCTAATGGAAATTTGAGAAGCTCTATGCAATAGATTTAGGGTATTTAGACCAATTATTCTACTAGGGATAATTAGGAAAAGCAAGTCAATTTCAGCCCAACTAATAATGAAAGAAAATCTCAAGTCATTTCTAAAAAATCTGTTACTTTTATTTCTCCTCATAATCAAAAAGGTAATGAATAAGTTATTGAATTTGAAAAAAAGTCAATAGAAGAAACTAATGCTACGATTATAAAGTTGATTGCTGAAAATAAGAAATTAAAAGCTTAAGTGATAGAGTTAAAGAGGTAAATTGATTCGCTTTCTTAATCAAAACCAATCTATATTTAAGCAGAAGTTGAAGGGTTTTTAAGAGAATATTAAATGGAAAATGAGAAATTAAGAGAGCTTTTGAAATAATAAATTGAGAAAAATGAATCATTATAAGAAGAATTAAAAATTGTTAATTCTTCTTATCTTCAAAATACTAAAAGATTTTAATTACACATTTAACAATTAGAATAGAGATTTTAAGAAATATTAATTAATTGCCATAATTATAGTGAGAATATAGATAATTTTGAATAATCAACCCTTTAAGATAAATAAAAATTATAAGACTTAGAAGATTAAGAAATATAAAGAAAAACAGAACTTTAAAAATTATTTAAAGGGAAAATAATCAAAAATATTTCTGAAATTAATAATGGATAATAAAATACTACATCAATTAATTCATCTTAAGGATAATAATAAATTAATTAATAAACTAATGAAATTTATGAATTATTAGATAATGATTGATATTTATTATATTAAAATTTTGTTTATATAATTAAAATATATGAAAAGCAAAAGTGATGCAATAGTTGTTGTACCAACACCCTTTAGTAATAGCAATTATTATTGGATTAGACTCTATTAAAGCTTTTGCCATCTTCAAAAATGATTGGATTATAGCAGATTAAAAATACCTTTATTAAATGTCTAAAAATGCATAAAAATTAATCAATAAATTAGAAATTTAAGAAACATAATACATATATACAACATCAGATAAAATAATCATTTAAACAAAAGAAGGATGGATTCATATAATAAATGAAGATTTTTCAAAATTAAATTTTTTTCATTTGAATATATTTAGTTTTTGTAGATTATGCATACATCAAGATCTTCTATTTTCTATAAATTCTAATCAATTAGAAACAAGAAATATAAATAGTCTTGATATAGAATTTTATGAATATTAATCTGAAATATTTTGTACATCTATTAAAGTAATAAATTCAGAATTTGATTAATTTATAATAATAGTATTAGACAATGGAATTATAGATGTTTTAAAAAATAAAACTTAAATACATAAATATTAATTAAGTTAAAATAAATAAAATCCAATTTTTGTATATGATTGTATTCCAATAATTTAAAATAAAGAATTAGTAATTGCTATTTCAACTAATTAATAATCAATAATAATATTGAAAAATTAAGTTGAATAATAAACTGTTAATCTTAGTTTTAGTCCTACAACTATATTTTCATATTTTAAAACTAAATTAAGCCCATTAATAGCATTTAATAAAAATAGATTTGCTCTTATTACAAATAAAGAAATTTGTAAATTTAATTTTACAGATATAACTAATTATTACTTTCNAAATGGAAAATGAGAAATTAAGAGAGCTTTTGAAATAATAAATTGAGAAAAATGAATCATTATAAGAAGAATTAAAAATTGTTAATTCTTCTTATCTTCAAAATACTAAAAGATTTTAATTACACATTTAACAATTAGAATAGAGATTTTAAGAAATATTAATTAATTGCCATAATTATAGTGAGAATATAGATAATTTTGAATAATCAACCCTTTAAGATAAATAAAAATTATAAGACTTAGAAGATTAAGAAATATAAAGAAAAACAGAACTTTAAAAATTATTTAAAGGGAAAATAATCAAAAATATTTCTGAAATTAATAATGGATAATAAAATACTACATCAATTAATTCATCTTAAGGATAATAATAAATTAATTAATAAACTAATGAAATTTATGAATTATTAGATAATGATTGATATTTATTATATTAAAATTTTGTTTATATAATTAAAATATATGAAAAGCAAAAGTGATGCAATAGTTGTTGTACCAACACCCTTTAGTAAAAGCAATTATTATTGGATTAGACTCTATTAAAGCTTTTGCCATCTTCAAAAATGATTGGATTATAGCAGATTAAAAATACCTTTATTAAATGTCTAAAAATGCATAAAAATTAATCAATAAATTAGAAATTTAAGAAACATAATACATATATACAACATCAGATAAAATAATCATTTAAACAAAAGAAGGATGGATTCATATAATAAATGAAGATTTTTCAAAATTAAATTTTTTTCATTTGAATATATTTAGTTTTTGTAGATTATGCATACATTAAGATCTTCTATTTTCTATAAATTCTAATCTATTAGAAACAAGAAATATAAATAGTCTTGATATAGAATTTTATGAATATTAATCTGAAATATTTTGTACATCTATTAAAGTAATAAATTCAGAATTTGATTAATTTATAATAATAGTATTAGACAATGGAATTATAGATGTTTTAAAAAATAAAACTTAAATACATAAATATTAATTAAGTTAAAATAAATAAAATCCAATTTTTGTATATGATTGTATTCCAATAATTTAAAATAAAGAATTAGTAATTGCTATTTCAACTAATTAATAATCAATAATAATATTGAAAAATTAAGTTGAATAATAAACTGTTAATCTTAGTTTTAGTCCTACAACTATATTTTCATATTTTAAAACTAAATTAAGCCCATTAATAGCATTTAATAAAAATAGATTTGCTCTTATTACAAATAAAGAAATTTGTAAATTTAATTTTACAGATATAACTAATTATTACTTTCAAAAATATTGTTATTTAAGTACAAATGAATAAATTATTATTATTGATTTTGATTATTTAAAATAATGAGTTTAATATTATTTATTGAATATCTTTGAATTATAATTTAATTTAATAGTCTAAAATTTTAATCATTAAAATTGTATAAATTTATTTATTAATAAGATCGATATAGTCTAATGGTAAAACAACAGGTTTTCACCCTGTAATTCCGAGTTCAAATCCCGGTATCGATTTTTTTTTATTTATTCTAATTTTATAAATCAAAGTATTATTAACAATTAAAACCATTATTTATATTATAAAATAAAAATAGAAGTAATAAGTAATAAATAAATAAGTATAATAAAAGATCATGTTGATTTTTTAATATTAATTATTTTCAAATAAAATCATTTCCAACATTCTTTATAGCTTGTTAAGTTTAGTATTACAATGGCAAATGATTATTTTTTTAAGGTAAAGGTACAACATGACTTTAATCATAAAATTATTTTAAGGATCTATGGCCAAGACTATCAAATTTAATATTGATTTTACATCTTTCCATTTGGTAATTATAATTCTCCATTTGGCAATACTTTTGCTCTATTTTAATTTATGATATCTATGTAATGCATCAATTAGGCTCTTCTTGCTTATTATTCTGGAGTTTATTCTACAACTTCAAATTCAGAAATTCTTGAATCTGATTTTAAAGAATCTAATTCAAGAATTTCTTCAAATGATAGTTCACTTAATTCAGGAATTTCATCAAGTTATAACAATTTTNATTAGAAACAAGAAATATAAATAGTCTTGATATAGAATTTTATGAATATTAATCTGAAATATTTTGTACATCTATTAAAGTAATAAATTCAGAATTTGATTAATTTATAATAATAGTATTAGACAATGGAATTATAGATGTTTTAAAAAATAAAACTTAAATACATAAATATTAATTAAGTTAAAATAAATAAAATCCAATTTTTGTATATGATTGTATTCCAATAATTTAAAATAAAGAATTAGTAATTGCTATTTCAACTAATTAATAATCAATAATAATATTGAAAAATTAAGTTGAATAATAAACTGTTAATCTTAGTTTTAGTCCTACAACTATATTTTCATATTTTAAAACTAAATTAAGCCCATTAATAGCATTTAATAAAAATAGATTTGCTCTTATTACAAATAAAGAAATTTGTAAATTTAATTTTACAGATATAACTAATTATTACTTTCAAAAATATTGTTATTTAAGTACAAATGAATAAATTATTATTATTGATTTTGATTATTTAAAATAATGAGTTTAATATTATTTATTGAATATCTTTGAATTATAATTTAATTTAATAGTCTAAAATTTTAATCATTAAAATTGTATAAATTTATTTATTAATAAGATCGATATAGTCTAATGGTAAAACAACAGGTTTTCACCCTGTAATTCCGAGTTCAAATCCCGGTATCGATTTTTTTTTATTTATTCTAATTTTATAAATCAAAGTATTATTAACAATTAAAACCATTATTTATATAATAGAAGTAATAAGTAATAAATAAATAAGTATAATAAATTGAATTTTTTCATTAATCATATTTGTTTTGTTTTTATTTATGTTAATTGATATATATAATAATTACCTTATTATAATGATTTTTTGATAATATACAAATTAGCAGATCATGTTGATTTTTTAATATTAATTATTTTCAAATAAAATCATTTCCAACATTCTTTATAGCTTGTTAAGTTTAGTATTACAATGGCAAATGATTATTTTTTTAAGGTAAAGGTACAACATGACTTTAATCATAAAATTATTTTAAGGATCTATGGCCAAGACTATCAAATTTAATATTGATTTTACATCTTTCCATTTGGTAATTATAATTCTCCATTTGGCAATACTTTTGCTCTATTTTAATTTATGATATCTATGTAATGCATCAATTAGGCTCTTCTTGCTTATTATTCTGGAGTTTATTCTACAACTTCAAATTCAGAAATTCTTGAATCTGATTTTAAAGAATCTAATTCAAGAATTTCTTCAAATGATAGTTCACTTAATTCAGGAATTTCATCAAGTTATAACAATTTTTTAATTTTTTCTGTGAAATCATAAAAATGACAAAGTTCATCATAATGTTCATTAGGCATAAAACAATGACCTAATATATATAATATAATCATAGATACCTTTATCTAACATATGTTATTTAGCTGAATCTGATGAAGCAAAAATAGATGGACAAGATAAACAATAAAATTGTTTTTCTATAATATTTCTTAAACATTCTATCAATCCTTTCATATCAACAAGAGAATCTTTTTCACGAATAAAAAATCCATGATCAGTATTCATATGATTGTATACTTAATCCACTGTTTCATATGTATATTCACAGAATAAGCATTACTCTGGTAAATTTTAAATTTATTTTTTTTCTAAAGAATCTGAATTTTTTCTATTGTCCTTTAACACTTATTTATGTTTAGCAGAATTCAAATGTTGGGAATAGGTTCCTGAAGAAAAAAAGTTTTTCCTAAATAATGAAATTAACATATTACTTGCATGTAGTACAAGAATATGTTTATGCTTGACTTGATGAGCAGGAAGTATTACTTTGTGATTCAAGAAATTCTATTGTAAAATATAAATAATACTTTTCTAAAAGATTTCAAACGATACAGACTCTAAATTCATTAGTCTTCTTCTAATATTATATCGATGAAAATCTGATCTATAATGAGCCTAGTACTCTTAATCATTTGGTATTGTGATTTAACAATTAGAGCAATAATGTGTATTTCTTTCTTACATATATTTATTATATAACAAATAAAGATAATTCTTATATAAATATTTGATTTATCAGATAAAATCAGTATTTAATAATGTAATAATAATAAAAAAAATTCACTACTTAAACACGTGTCATAATGATGATTAATAAATGAGAGATATGATGAAAATATAATTTATAGATATAGAATACTTAATATATTTGATTTTTTAACTCATTTATTTAAATTTTATAATTGATCACTATATTCATCCAATTTAACAATAATATATTAAAAATATATTGTAGATTAAGTTTATACTATTATTAAGTTAATAATATAAAGCATAAATTATAATATTTAAATATATGTTTTTTTAGTATTTCAATCTCTATTTATTATTAATCCTTAGGTGCAATAATTATATAATATAATATATAAACATAATTAATGTTCAAATTGCAGTTGGTTGTTATTTTTCAGTATCATTTTCATATGCAATTCTAATTGTTTTATTTGTTCTAGAGCAACAATTTGCTATTCTTTTAAGGATGAAATCAATTTTAGCCTCCCAATAGCATACCATATTGAAGAAGTAATGGGAAAAAATGTATCCTCCTGGTACCTATGATTTAAATAAGAGATTACATCAATGGTATAATGGATTGCAAAGGAGATAACAATAAAGGCTTGAAAGATTGAACAAATAAAAAAAAACAATGCCATATATCTTTTTCCTACTTTCCTCATTTCAAGAGCACATATAGTTAAAAAGCCAACATGTCCCTAAGATTATTTATATGAATATACTGAATAAAAGAAATCTGAATATTTTCCATATTTTACAACTAAACTTGGTACTAATGGATCTTCCCAATAATAATTAGGTGAATATTCCAATTTAAATATGTTTAAGTGAATTGCTCTGATTGCATAAAATAAGATAAGAACTGCAAATAATCTAAAATTTCTCTCATATAAAACCCAATAGAGTGAAACATAAAAAAATGCAAAATCTAAAATAAGTGCTGAAGATATTTGCATCATTGCAGAGAACCTAAAATAATTTAAAGTTTTTATACCATCTATGTTCTTGATATAATTAATTGACTGGAGTGGTCAATAAATGTCCCCAATCCCATATTCCATTAATATTATCACTTGGAGTACCAAATATTTCACCTAATTAAGTAACAACAATATAAGTAAAGAAAATAAAGATTCTAAATCTAAAATTATAACATGGATTTCCTGGAACAGCACTTTAGCGATGATCAAATTTGTTTGGAAAATAAAATGATTTTAAATCTTCACCATTATAATGAACAGCTTCATCATTTTTTGTTGCCATATTAAATAAATTAAATAAATGTATTTATTTCATTTTTATTCATTTTTTTTTTTTAAGTATGCTTAAAAAAATAACTTATTGAATTTTTATCTCTCAAAGTGACTTTTCAATCTATAATAACTACAATTCATTTATGTAAAAGTTAATTTTAAATTATCTTATGCTTCATTCTCTTCAGTCTTTAATTTATTATATCTATCTTCTAATATTTTAATGTATTAAGATTTCTCTTCTAAGTCATAGATTCTAGAGTATCTATATTAAACACCATGAGGTAGATTTTTCTCAAATTTCTTTTAATATTGACTATCTTAAACCCATTCTTCATTATTCTAACTTCTAATTATAGTTCCTATTTTCACTGGAGTAACTTTTCTACTTTAAAATCCTGAGATTCTCATCTTTACTTATTATTCTTCTAAACTTTCTTAAAATTGTTTATCATATTCTTATTGTAGATTATGTGCTTTCTTAATTCGTACATTTAATAGCTTTTTAATTTCAATCTATAAAAAGAATCTATATTTATAATTTGATTACTTAAAATAATTATCTAGTTAATTAATCATAAAATCTATCTTCAATAGTGCTTATTTTTAAAAAATAAACACTAACATGATTAGAATAACAGACAGCTTCATAAATTCCTTTGCTTTTTTAACATGTTTAAATAAATTCTTTAGTTTCAGGTTCTGCTGCACTTTTTACATAAGGTTTATTATATTTATTTATCATAAATTTTAAATTTCCTTCTTCATCCAAAAAATTTAATTCTCCTATTATTTTATTTTCATCCAATATTTCTACTGATAATTAATGTTTCATTAATTTAGAAATCTTCATTGGATGATCTTAAATTCCTCTTTTTTCTATCACTCTTTTCAATTCAACTTATCCTTTATTTATCATTCCAATATGATTTTTTAAATTTATCCTATCTCCATAATCATATTGTTTTTCATTAAGTTCATAAGCAAGCATTTTCATTTCTCTTAATGACCATTATTAAAACCAAGGGTATTTTGAAAGAAACGCTATTTTTTAATCTAACTGATTTTTATTATAATCTCCAATTAATTGTTTATATGTTGTTTTATCAATTGTGGCAAAATGACAATCAGTAACAGAAATACTTGTGGCAGTTCTTGCTTAACTACTTTGTAAAGCCAATTCTCCAAATGATCCCCCTTCTGTTATTGTCGCAACTTCTTTTGGTACAAATATATCCTCTTATGGAATATTTATTTAAATTGAAACAGTTCCTTAAGATTTTTTATTAATATTATACCTTAAAGCACAATGTAAAATAAATCTCCTTAATCACCTTATTTAAAGATTATTTCATTTTGTTGAACAAATTTATATTGAAGAGCATCGGCAATATCATATATTAGTTATTACTTTGATTGAAATAGTTGGGCAAAATATTTGATTGTGCTAAGTAATTCTTATAATTTAATTGGTTATACAATGTAGCAGTAATTTATCATTCAAACTTCTATATATTAAAGGTTTTTGAATAATTTTGATAGATTTTACTAAAATTTATTCTCTGTTCAAGTCTTCATATTTTTCATTTTATAGAGTTTTGCTTCTTATTTTATTCTCTAATTTTGGAGAAGAACATCTTCTGTCTTAAAATTTGGACGCCATTAATTGTTAGAACAATAAACAAATAATAATAATTATAATATTAACTTAATTTTAGATATGATTGTTAGAAATTCTGTTGTTCTTTTTATATTTAGTATTTTCATAAAAAAATAATAACAAAATAATATGAATATTTAATTGACAGACATATTAACAGCTTATGAAGCAGAACATTATATTGAAAGTCTTCAAATATTTGAAATTACTGAATTAGGATGTAAAAAGTAATAATATTTATAATAATTAGATGGTTTACATAAGATGAGATTTTATAAAAATTAAATTTCTAAGCACACATAAATGCAATAACTAGATCAGATGAATTCATTATGGAAGCCTTCTGTACTTTCGATAAAATCAAACCATTAATTTATGATCTAATAATGACAGAAATGTGGAAATAATATGTATTTCCTTATTTGAAATCTCATTTTACTGAATTGTCATCAATTAGATCTTACACAATACTTTAACATGAAGCTATTGTCTGTAATTTATTGTAAATTTGCTTATTTCACAGAACTTCAATTGAATCATCAGAAGGATATATTCTCGAAGTTGTAGATTATTGTAATAGAAAATTAACAGCATTACTATAAAAGTACTGAATTGTAAAAAAGATTTAGGCCACCTGCAAAAAAGATTGATAAAAAAAACATTGATTATTATAAGAATAGAACGAAAGAAGATGAAATAGATGAATAATTTTAAAATGTTGAATTTTAAATTTAAATGATGTGTTTAAGCATCATTAGATTTATAACTGATCATATTAAGCATTTACCAATTAATATACTCCATCAAATTATTGTTGAAAATGACTTTTTCTTTTTATTAGTTCCTTTGATTGAAGAGAAACCTTGGTTAAGAATTAATCATAATAATGAAAGAGAAGTATTTGAATAATCAAAATGGATTACTTTAAATAAAGAAGATTATAGTAAATTACCTAAAATTGAAGCTTAATTGTGGATTACAATATATAATTTATTTATGGATCCTGAAAGTAGAAGGAAATATGAATTGAATGATTTTAAAAAGAGTAACTTATTAAGATTAAGAAAATTTATGAATGAATTATTATTAGATTAAATTCCATAACTTGTTGATATGTTAAGATCTTTAGAAGAATTATCCCTTATGTAAGTATAGACTTAAAGTAAAAATACTATAGTAGTTCAATAATTGCCTGAATTACGTATGGCAATATGTAAAGATAAGAATTGGAGTTCTATTGCTTAGAAATAGAAAGAAGAATATTTCTAAATTAATGATCCAAGTATAAAAGAAGGTATTATATATTAATAATCTAAATAGATATTAAAAGAATGGCTGAACTCTATTCAAATACAGTATTTGAAGGTATTATTGATGGATTTAAATGTGAAAAATGCACAAAAGAAGCTACTAAAAGATGTTCTCGTTGCAAATAAGTATGGTATTGTAGCAAAGATTGTTAAGTTGGTGATTGGCCAAAACATAAATTGAATTGTTAAATAATCAATACATAAAAATAAGAGGATACTAAATAAGTGGATAAATAATCAGATAAATTATTAGATTAAATTGATTGAGTATATTATTAATTTAATAAATGAATAATACTTAAAATATTGAGAATCTTAAAAATTTAGTTGCAAAAAATATAGAAGCTGGAGGTTTCTTAAACTCATTAAGAGCTTAACTAAAAGTAGAAGTTTATAAAGTAATATCTATAATATTAATATATAAAGATTATTGAATCTTAAGATTAACGATTAAAAGAAAATGTTGGTTTTTAATGGGAACATCCTTTATTAAATTAAATCAAAGGAATGACAGAGGGAATGAAAAGTCTTGAATTAATTTTGGAATATCTTGAATTTTTCAAATTTGATTATACTGCATAAGTTTTAAGAAAAGAAGCTAACTTTAATGATCCTATTATTAAAGAATCTTTAGCTAGGAAATTAGGATTAAATTCATCTCTTGATAGTTTGAGACCTCTATTAATGATTTTGGTTTCTGAGTTTTCAAAAGGAGGTTCTGCAATTAACATTCAAAGTCCTATTAATAATGCAGCTCCTCCTGAAACAAATATATCTAGGAATTAATAGAATAAAAAATAATAAGAAGAGGAATAAAAAAGAAAATAAGAAGAAGAATAAAAGAAAAAAGAATAAGAAGAGAAGAAAAAGTTAGAAGAAAAATAAAAGAAAGAATAAGCTGATTCAAAAAAAACTACCAAAAAAGAAGGTAAAGATAGACCTTAAACTGCTCCAACAAAACCAGAATAACCAGCTCCAAATGTTAATAAAATAAGAGGAGTTTAAACTAAATAAAATGCTCTAACTTCAATGTTTGGACTTGATTTAGGAGGTAACTAAAATTAATTTGAAGAAGATGATATCTTCTCAAATAAACCTAAATAATAATAATAATAATAATAACAAACTAAACCTTAATAAAATACAAAGATGAATAATTAAATAAAAAATAATGCTTATGCTTATGATGTAGGAGCTGATACTCAAGCTAAAAATTAAAAGAATTAAAATACAAAAGGGAATGCTACAAAATAAGTATCATCTGATCCTTATGCATTTGATTTAGATGAACAACCTAAATAATAATAAAAGAAATATGATTATGATCTTAATTAGACAATAGGAAAGAAATTCAATAACCCATATGCTATTGGAGATCCTTTAAAAGGATAGGCTTAAAAAGGAAATAAAAATGATGAGATTGAAGAAGATATTGATGATTTCTAATAATCTAGAGATGATAGAGCTAAATAATCAGTAATTTAAATTATTATCATAGAATTAATTATTTACATCTGATGATGACTATTAAAGAGCAACCTAATCTTTGGGTGTTGATGAAAGTGTTGACTCATTAGCACTTGAAGAATACGATTATTATGAAGATGTATATCGTAAGAGATGAGGATGATTATCAATACTTTAAATACATTTTTATATAATCTTTATTAATAAATTTAATAATTCAACAGTTATTGATTGTAAATTTGAAATCTCTTATATAAAAATAAATTTATAAATGTTAAGTAACTTTTATGAATAATTATAAAAATAATAATAATTATGATGTTCATATTTATACTTATACTTAAAAACTCATTATTATTTATTAGTGTTTTCATTTGGCTCAACAATTGTTTCTTATTCTGCTTATTTCTTTTTATATACTTTTTTTGCTTTCTTTTCAACAGGTTTCTCCACCAATAATGGATCTTCTATTGATTTTAACATTGAAATAGAAGTTCTTGATCTTGAACTTCTTTTACGAATTGGATCATCCTTTCTTCTGACTGGTTTTCCTTTTTTCATAATTGGTGTAATAAATTATTGTTTAGCCAATCTCTTTGTAAATAAAGCAACTTTATTTCTAATATTACCTGTTCCCTTTTTAAGAATAGTAACTTCTTTAAGATAAGGAGAATTTTATTTGACATTCATGAAAACATCAACACCACAATATCTGAATATAAATTTGAATGAAGCATCTAATGAGTTTGATCTTCTTTTTCCAACACATAAACCTTAGTAAGTATTCATAGTTGGTTCACTCATATTATGAATCCATTTAACTTAAATTACATCTCCAACTCTAAAATCAGGGAATGTCATAGGCTTTAATTATTGAATGGAAATACTTTGATTATTTGGAGTCTTTCATATTCTTCTTTTTCTAATTATTATAACAACTTTTTTCTTGTTACAATTGGTGATGGAGGAATAATTGGCCATACTGTTTATTCATCATCCCATTATGGTAATCTTGGTCTTCTTGATTTGGGATAAGGAATTTATCTGGGTATGTAATTCTCAATGTAATGAGTCTTATCAAAGGGTGATCTCTTTGGTACATAGCCATAAACTATGTTGAATCTAGGAATAGTATTCACTAGTGATCTGTAAAATCCAATCATATATTTATATTAAATTATATTTATGCAAAAAATTCAAAACTTTATAGAAAACAATAAAGCAGTCGTTGCTATTGCTGCTGTTGCTGCTGCTATAGGTATTGTTGGAATTAAAGCATTAAATTCGGATAATAGAGGGAGTGGTAATAGTTTTTCTATATTTAGCTAAGATCTTGGATGCAAGTATATAAAAAGTTCCCTTAATTGAAAGATTAGGAGGTGAATAAGCAGTTTAACCTTTAATATCTTTAATATTTGATCGTATCTCAAATAATAAAGATTTGAAGCCACTATTCTAAAATGTTGAAAAGAGTGTATATTAATTTGATCTAATTATTTAGAAAGTTTAATAGCATTTTAATGCAGTAGTTTTATATTTATTTGGAGGTAAACCAACATAAACATAAACAAATTTTTCAGATCATTGCAAACTTAATATAACAGAAGCTTAATTTGAATTAATTCTAAATCTTTTAGATCAAATTCTTAGATCAGTAGGAGTAGACAATAGAGAAATCAATGATGCAAGAGAAGCATTTTTAAACAAGAAATACTAAATTGTTATTCCAAATAAAAATGCTTGATAATTTTAAAATCAATATATAATACAATATATTTATATCCATTAAAATAAAATGATATATATAAATGATTTAATTTCATAATTCATAACATAAAATAGTAGATTGTATATTTTTGATTAAATTAAACTAAATTTTGTGTATATTTTCATTATTTTGATATTAATTTATATTATTATTTAGATCTTATATATAAATATATTTGATTTAAAAATCTTAAGGTTGTTATAAAAACAATAATGAATTATAAATTTAAATGTATACAGTTATAATTGCTCATAAATATTTGATTTATTTATCTTTACCATAAATCTGTAAATTATAAGTAAATAACTACCATCTATTAGAATTAAATATCATATTTATTACAAATTAATTAAATATTAATTGTTAAACCTTTTCTTAATTATTAAGTAGATAATAATAAATAATCCATCAGTTTTAAGACATTAAAGATATTTATTTAATTAGAATTGAGAATACTACTTATATAGTCAAAATTTATTTGTAATATCCTTAGTTTAATAGGGAGAGAAGAATAAAAAAAGATAATTAATTTAAATTAAATGAAACAATAAAAATGGGCTAATTTCATTGAAGAATTAGGAGAATCTAAGTACGAAGAGTTGAATGAAAAACATCTAAAGTCTATTGTCAAGTTGCCAAAAGAAAAAATGACATTTCTTGAATTATAACATTATTTAAGCAATGACTTTTAAGTGCTTTTTAATGAGGATAGCACAAGAAGTAAGTGGCATTAGAAAGATTAATATTTGCTGATTTGGTGTGTTGTTAAATTAGTAGAGAAAAGAAACATACAATATAATGAATCGGTATTTATGAGGGTTAAGTTTGCATTATAGCTTTAAAAGGGTGTTTTTGAATACTTGTCTAGTTTCCTAGGACTCTCTGCGGATTTCCTTTTAGAAAAATGGATGAGTCTACTAAAACAATCCTTAAAAGAAATGCCCTGGAAACAAGAAGAAGATGAAATAATGATTGAATTAAGGAAGTATTGATTAATATTAAAGAAAGATAATACCCAAACAAAGGTTGGACTTATATAGCGAAAGAATTTAATCGAAAAACTAAAAATATAAGGTATTAAAAGTAGATACGCGAAAGGTATAATAATGTCATTAATCCAAATATAAATAAGTAAATCTTAATTATATTCAATAGAAAGCCATTCACTCATTAAGAGAAATAATTAATCATGCTGAAAGCTTACTAATTAAAGAAGAATTGGGCAGGTATCTCAAAATTAATGCCAGGACGCACTGATAATAAAATTAAAAACTGTTATAACTCAATAGTCAAAAAAATTGCAAAAAAAATACATTTTGTATGTCTCAAATATATCTTAGGATAAAGCTAATCCCAAATAAGAGTAACTAATTTTAGAATATATATAACAATACAATACTTATGAACCTGATGAGTTAGCTAATCAGATAGATTTAGATTAAAAAAATTAAAGTCTTATCAAAGTTGAACATGTTAATGAAAACTCCAATACCTCTAATAATCAGCATAATATCTCCCCTTTTATCCCAAGTCTTTAGCCATTACCAATCATATATGGCCATTATTATTAGAACTTATATTAACCTTAATATATTGGATATCCTATTTATTTTTTTAAAAAAGCTGAAACAAGACAATTATGAACTCTTATTGCTTTATTTAATATATCAGCATAAAATTTAGACATTTTTTTTTAATAGATCTTTCAGTATTTTTTAAATTTTCTATTAATTTTCATAGTTTCATAGTTTCAAAATTCTTTAATGGTCTATTTTTATGTCAAAAACAAGTTTTATATAGTTTCTAATTATATGTCTTTAAATAATCTCATTTTTTTTTTTGATTCATTTCTATATTAGTATTTAAAAAAAATTTATTCTATTTGAGTTAACTCTTGAAAATTGATGACAGTTATATAGTTTAGACATTTTCGTATTTAAAATAGAATTGCTTTGAGTAAATAAGAAATCTTTTGGAATATTTCAGAAAATCTAATATGCTAAATTCTTTTATACTTCATTAATACAAACATTTTTAATATTCTTTTTCAATATACCATTAGTATACTTTAGAGTTATCTAAGGTAAAATATCTATTCTGATCAAAAAGGGGATTAGAAATGAACATTCAATTCATTATTTTTATAATTCAACATTAATTCTACAAAATTAATAATATGTCATTAATAAATAAATTTTCATTCAAATATTCTTCTTCTTTTTTAATATTAAGAGATGCTATTAAGAGATGCTATTAAGAGATGCTGCATCAACATGATCTCCTCCATCAAATGACTCTGAAAGAACATCAAATCTAATACTATTGAGTAGAATTCCATTTTCATAATGATAAGCTGATCTTAAATAAATTTTATATTAAGTAGAATTATTTTTAGTATCATGATTTTCAACACATAAATTTTGATCCCCTGGTTTTGTAACCAGAATACTTAATGCATTTGCTAATGTATTCATTATTCTCAATCTTCTCAATAGAGCGCATAACCTACAGCATCTTTTCCAAATACTTATGTTTTACAATCTTTAACTATGTTGCCAACTTTCTTATTTCTTTATATAGCTAATTACTTTACTTCTTTAGTTAAAAAATCAACATCTAGTTGTAAATAATATAACTGATATGTGTTTAGTAAATAATATAAAATAATTTCTAATATTTGAAGGAATTATTATATTTTAAAAAAAGAAAATTTATTTCATGAAAGTCTATACTTGCAGCGTTTTTTATGCTTACTATCATGAATAGATTGTCTATTCCTGATACTTTATTTAAGAATTAATATTTTTTCTATTTTATAATCTAGAATTCCATTTACACATGTTTAAAACTTTTCAGTTAGTAACAATAAATTTTCTCATGTTCTTCCAAAATAATCAAACCATTATTAAAATTGAAGATAAAGAATCATAATTTTAAAATTGTATTATTTTCTAAACTTAATTAGAATCTTCGCTTAATTTAATAAACATATAATATATATCCTAAATTGTTGGAATAGAATAAGCTCATATTTTGATCTTCAATTGGTTTATTCTTGATAAATAATTTCTAGCTTATACTCTTATGGTTTTTAGATTTCTTTTGATATTTTAGAGAGTTCTGTTTTGAGTAATTTTAGGTATTATTGGATAGTCCAGTTATCCATTCTGATTTATACAAGAATAAGTAATAAAAATTCTGTTAATGAATAAATTCCATCCAAACAATATATCACATATATTTTGCTTAAGGGTTCTTTATTTTACACAGTACAATAATATTTGAAGGTTTCCTCTTTTGAAATTGATTTTGTCAAAGTGTTTTTTGTTAAATTATTAAATTAATGGAATCGAAACTTAATGAATTTGAAATTTTGAATAAATTAGGTGAGGGTAGTTTTGGATAAGTGTATAAAGTAAGACGTAAAGCTGATAAGTAAACATATGTCATGAAATAAATCAACATTTCAAAAATGAATGCTAGAATGAAAAATGAAGCTTTAAATGAAGCAAGTATCTTAGCTAAATTAGACAGTTCATATATTGTCAAATATTATGAATCTTTTATAGATAAGTAATTGTTATGTATAGTAATGGAATTTTGTGAAGGAGGAGATTTACATAAACTATTAAAAATGCAAATGGGAAGACCATTACCAGAAAATTAAGTATGGAGATTTTTTATCTAAATAACATTGGGATTGGCATTCCTTCATTAAAATAAAGTTCTACATAGAGATATTAAATCAATGAATATATTTCTATCCAAAGATCAAGTTAGGATTGGAGACCTTGGAGTAGCTAAACTATTAAATGATTAAAATAACTTTGCAAATACAATGGTAGGAACTCCATATTACTTATCACCAGAAATGTGTGAGGAGAAACCTTATAATGAGAAAAGTGATATTTGGGCATTAGGTTGTGTGATATATGAATTATGCACTTTTAAACATCCATTTGAAGCCAATAGTCAAGGAGCTCTTGTACTTAAAATAATAAGAGGGAGGTATGAGCCAATTGGATAAATGTATTCATAATCATTAGCATAATTGATAGATTAATGCTTGTAAAAAGATTATAGATAAAGACCTGATGCATTTAAATTATTATAATAATCAAGTAATTATAAATATCACATTAGACAGGTCTGATTTAATAAGCTTAAAACTTAAGAATGCAATTAAACTTAAATTAACCTCATCCAAACTCAAAATAAACCTCATAAATATAACCAATATAAACTCCTGTAATCAGCAAACCTAAAGAAATATAACCACCTTTAGCCACACCTGTTCCAGTATCTATAAAAAGTACTCCTCAAGGAAAACCTTTGAAAACAAAAGCTCCTTAATCTTCTTAAAATTTGTAACTAGAAATAAAAGGAAAGTAAGAACCTGTTAGAGATACTCCGATTGTTTAAAAAAAAATAGTATAAATTCCACCTTCATCTGCTCCTAATCAAGTTCAAAATTAAAAAAATGATGATTTTTATAAGGATTGGAGAGATAAGGTATCTGAATTGCAAAAATAAAAATAAGATGATCGAATAATAGTTTCTAGACCTGAATTATTAAAGGCAGAATTTCAGCCTAATAAAATTCCTATAAATTCATCTTAATCTAATAATAATCAATCCAATTAATAATAAAATATTTTCTCAAGTTAATAAGTATAACCTACTAAGAAACCTGTTTTATAAGTAAAAGCTAAGGTTTCTAATCCTAATTTAGAAGAAGTTGATAAAAAAAGAGTACGAAAAGGTGCTCCAAAAGAACCTGCAAGATAAGTCAAAGAACCTTTAAGAAAGGCTGATAATATTGAAATGATAAAAGAAACACCAAAATAAAATAAAACTAAAAGCACAAAATAATAAACTTGTTCATAAGAAGAAGTTGATATGGTAATGAATTTACCTGAATTTGTTGCTAAAGAAGAAAGTAATATAAAAGCATTTCAACCAGAAAGAGAAATTATAGATATAACTTCATTTGCTGATGAGATTCCCACAACTTTTGTTGAATCTCAAGATGATATGGAATCTAATAATTATGTACAATTTAGATCAGAATCAAATACAGTAAATAAATAGGATAGTTAAAATAATGATGAAAATTAATAGGATTCAGACAAAGGAGTAAATATGATTATTAAATTACTAGGCTTATACAGACCCAGAGGATTGTGAATATGAAAATGATGAATAAGAAAAGGATGATACTGCTGATTATGGAGATGAAATACCTATTTAAAATAGAAATATTCAAACAATTTAAGAAGAACCTTTTGAAGATACAAATTAATGCAATCAATTTATTGAACTCTGTATTGATAATAAGAAAATGGATTTAAATAAATAATTGTTGGAAGCTGAATAAAGAAAAATGGAATTAGATTAGTTCTTATAAATCAAAAGAAAAGAATGTATACAGGATTTAGGATAAAAACTTTTTGAAGAAGTAATCAATTTCTTAAGGGCTAAATTAAATGTAAATTTTCATAAAGATTCTTTAGTCTTAAGAAGAGTTAAATGATAAAGATTAAGAAGAAATAGACGACTTGATTCAAAATAAGTTACTTAATACAAAAAATCCATAAATTATTTATGTAATATACAAAATTTTACATTTTGAAATAGAAATCACAAAGAGTATTGATAAAATTAAGGATCTATCTGAATAATTAATTAACTTATGATAATCATTAAAATACAGATAACTATTCTATTAATTTTCTTAGAAATTACTAAAATCTATGAATTAAGAAGCAATAATTATCTTTTGTTTTTCTCATCTTATATATCAACTCTTTTAATTTTAATTCACAAATAATACTTATTTTTCCTCCATTTTTTTATTTTATCAATACTTAAATAATCAATATTATTATTAAATTATTAATCTTCTAAAACAAAGAAACATCTTATAAATAAATCAAAACTAGAATTCAAATATTTAAAAGAAGATTTTAGCTTTTTAGATTTTTTTACATTGAGGAATAAAAAGTCTTTTAAAAAGACAATAATTATTTTAAGGATAATGATACTTCATTATTTCATAATTTAATAATAAAATTAATAAAATAATCATTTAATGGGAATAATTCAACCAAAACTAAATAACTTTTTCAACTTACAGATTAAATATCATTTATAGAATTTTGAATCTTATACAATAACATTATGTGAAATCTTTGAAGGTTAAGATTTAAATCCATAACATAAAGAAGATCTCACAAAATTATTCAAATTACTATAAATATAATATAATGAAGAATTAGAAATTGATAGATATGAGTTTAGTATTATTATTGTAATGATTAAAATATAATTATAAGATATTATTTACTAAAATTACTTTGGAACATAAATTGGAACAAATATTTTGTTTAATAACTTAAACAGGAATTTTAAGTTTTTAAGAATTTTATTGGTTAACACAATCATTTGTAAGAGCTACATGTAAGGTCAATTTATTATCAATTCCAATTTTTGATTAAATACTTAAGCTTGTGTAGAAGATGTATTAATAAATGAGAAAAGATATTGATGAAAACTTAATGCTCATTGAAGTGATTGATTATATAAAAAGCAATTCTGAGATTTCTTAATTCCTACTATAATTCTATAAAATTTAAACCTATGAAAATGCTATAAGATAATAGGAAATGTAATTATAATCCTATATAAAATTATTTAATTCATCAATAGGTTTGACAAGAAAATATGTTAATATTGACTAATTAATGAAGAATTGGAATACGTGGAATACTGATAAATAACATCAACAATATTTATTATCTCTCATGTTGAAATAAAAGTAGAATAAATAAAAATAAACTAATTTTATAAAATTTTCTTAATTTTTACATGTAATATCTAATTATTTGTCATATATTGTTAATGATATAGATAATACTAATAATTTATCAATTGATTTTATAACATATTTAGTTTATGCATAAGAAGAAATTATTATTACTGCTGATAGATTTGAAAAAATTAAATATGCCCTTTGCAAAGACAGATAATTTATTACTTTGCATATGTGGATGGATTATTAATGTATACAAGAGTGTAATAAGTTTGAATCCCAATTAAGATCTTTAGTTAGATTTTATGAACAAATTTATTCAAATAAAGATTTTAATCAATTAATATAAAAAATTAAAAAATTAGTTAAAAAAAATGAAAAAAGCAATCAAACTTAAAGTTAATATATCAATAAATTTTTATAAAATTGGTTACAAAATCCAGATCTATATAATATAGGTAGTATTGAATTGAAATTAAAAATTGAACAACTTCTTAGCAAATGATTTAATATATATTATATATAGATTAGTTTTCTTAAATAAAAAAATCAATTGTAAAATTAATCAAAAGTGGGATTGAATTGTGGAAACTATTCTTTAAATTAAATTCTAGCTTAATGAATTATTTTAGTTCTTATCTTTTAGATTTTTAAGAAACCTTAATAAGCTTAATTAATCTCTTCATTTAGTTCTTCAATTAGCTAATCCATATCAGAATTTTCTTAAAATAATGAATGGTATCTTGATGTAAAAATTCTTAAAGGTTCTACTTAAGGTTAAGGTTCTAAAGGTATAATTAAACGATAAGTATCCTTTTCTATTTGTTTTCTAATTTCATCAATTAAATGTTTATTTTTTTTTTAAAGAAATTCTATTATATTGACATCACAAATATCAGTAATTTATGATTTTAGCTATTTTAGATAATCTCCACTTATTGTAATTTACTAAAGGGAATCCTAAGCAAATTCTTCAATTCTATTAATTTAATTCCTTGTTGCTATTTAAATTTTGATATCCAAATCATTTAGTTTAGATCTATAATTGGCTGCACTCAAAGAATCTTTAATGCTTCGTACCCAATATTGAAAGTCAGTTTCTTTTAATGCTTAGAAAAAATATAATTTTCTTTCATTTTTAATTTAGAAATCAAATTTAGTACTATTCTACCATATAAAGAGTTCAACATTATCTAAACTGCTTAATTTTATTTTCTCTAAATAGTCTTAGTATTTGTACCTTTTTTATCATTCTTAAATCCAAAATATGTTTAAGACAAATAAACTTATGTTACAACATAAATTCCTAATTTATTCTTTTTCAAAAGTTTTCCATAAGCTTTAAAATTATCATCTTCATTAAACTAACATTAATACCAAAATATCTGGGTTACTTTTATCCTTATATTTGTTATTTTTTCTAAAAATCACAAATAACAAATTTGCTATTATTATTATGTAAAACATCTTCAACTTTTTCATAATCCCATAGTCTTCTTTATACAGAACAATGTATTAAAACAAGATGCAAGTTTTATTTATCATCATCTCCATGAATATATTTCAATATATCACTAATAAGCATATTTTATTTAATGTCAATTTTAATTTAACTAGTAAAGCTAGTATCTACATAGATTGGTACAGAACGATTTCCAATAGTTGGTTGAGGCTTTGTTGGAATCCATAAAGTGAAAAATCCTTAATTCATATAATAATAATTTCCCTAATTTATAATAATAATGACTCATTATTGCTTTTTAGTATTTTAAATCTAAGAAATTATAGAAATAATGTCTCATCATTTTAATAAGATAATATGATTAGTCTTTTATGAATTGGATAGTTTTATAATATTAGAAATATCTCTAAACTCTTTAATAATTATATATGGAAAATGAGCTTGAACAATTTAATCAAAGAAATTATATTTGATTAATGCATGCATATTTTTATTACAATAATAAATTTATAAATTTATAATTTAGAGAATAGTTTTATTATGTCTTTTACTAATAATTGATAGTTTACTTTAAAACTTAAGTAGAAATTTATAAAATATATAAATATATTTATTATTAACGGATACTTGGGAAACAGAAATGTTAAACCATAAAACCATCTAAATGATTCCACAAAATTACAATATGTTAGTTAAAGTTCTGTCTTTTATCAATAATGATGAAGGTATTATTTTCAACAAATATAATAGAAGAATAATCTCAATAGGAAATAGAAAAGAAATAAAAAGGTAAATTATTATCAATTATATTCAGTTTTTGAAATTCTAAGAACCAGTATGCAATTATAAGAAGTTGATGATAAAGAAAATGATTATGAGTCTGATTATATTCCTGTTATTTGTGAAGAAACGTGTCTTTCTTAATAAAGTACTCAAAAATCTTAACAATCTCAGTACTTAAGATCACCTTTGTAAACATTTACTCAACATTTTTAAAATTAAAATAAAGGTTTTGGAGGAAGACTTTTTACTCTTACTGATGAAACAGAATATACAGTTGATGATCGCAAACCAACTCATACAAGAGGTCCAAGCAAAATATAAGAAATATTATAGGATTTATAAGCTAATGTAGCTGATGACATTATGAAAATGGCAAATGATATCATTAAATTTACTGAAAATAGTTCAAATACAAATGCAAGTGCTTAATTTATTCCAAGTGATTAAAAACCAAAAAAACAATTAAGTGAATAAAAAATTAATTAATAACCAAGAGAAACAAATACTAATAATCTTAAAGATGGATTCAAAATATTTCATAAATAAAATAGTTAAAATTAACTTAAATCTGAAAATTAACTAAATAACTCAAGTTTATAATTTAATGGTCAAAATGAACCATAAAAATAAAATTAATAATTGCAAAAAGGCATTAATTAAGTAAACAAAAACAATTATAATTCAAATAATACTAATTATAATTCTAATTATAATACTAATACATCTATTTAAAAATACAAATAAAAATCAGAGAGAAATTCAGAAGAATATATGAAAAATAATAGCAATCATAATAATAATTCTAAATCTTCTAAATAAATTGTAAATACAAGAACTAGTTAATATTAGATTAATTGCAACTCTTCATAAAATTCACATCAACAAAATTCACCAAGTTAAGATGATCAAAGAAATCAATATTAGTTCTATTCTAATAAGCAAAACTCAAATAAAAATAGTAATCGAGACTCTGTTTTTAGTAAAAAAAGTAAATAGCATGAAATAGATGAATTCGACGAGAATTTTCATGTAAATTCAGATAGTTTCAAAAATAATCCAAATTACAACCAAATTAGTTAAAATTTCTATGAAATTGTTTAGAAATAATTCAATTTCTCTCAAAATTCAGATGATGAATATTAAGATTAATAATCTATTGAAAATTAAACTCCTAATTTAAATATTAGTAAGAAACTAGAAAAAGATAACTTAAGCATAAATAATAGTGGTACAATAAACTAATAAAGCGATAAAAAATCTTATTAAGAATTTTGTGAACCTTGTTAAAAATCATAAGAAAGTGATTAAAAGGAAAATAATATTGTTTAGAAAAAAAAAAATAAAAGAAGAAAAAGGTCTAGAATTCCAAAAAATATTAAATATTTTTTAGATATCATAGAGGAATAATCAAATGATTATTATACTCCAGATAAATCATTATTGGAATCAAGTGAATGTCTTGATACAATATAATCAGTCCCAAATTTTGGAGAAAGTGAACATCATAATATGAGTTACAGATCTGATCGTAAAAACTTTACAATTAGCGAAGGTAATAAAATAAAAATCAAAACTCCTAACACATAAGATATCAAGGAATAATTATAATCTTCAGATTCATATGATCGTCCCAATAGCTAACTAATTAATCAAACCTTAGTGAATTTTGAGGACATTGATTAAATCTTGAATTAAGTTTAAGGTTATAAGGCTTTGCGATGCAAAAACTAAGAAGAAGAAGCAATTCTTGCATCTTGGAATAGAGTATGCAATGAAATTATAAGAAAAAATTTACTTCCAGTAACTCTGGATCTTGAGAGGGTACTTTATTTTACTAAATATTAGATATAAAATTAACTGGAAATTTAATAATAAAATTCGCATTGTTAAAAAAGATATCAGCTAATTAATGCTTTCAATAGAAATTAGTTAAATCATACTCAAAAAACAGAATAGAATTCATTTGTGGAGAATTCCTGTATCATTGAAACTGATTAATAATAAATAGAGAAGAGTGAATCTGAAATTCAAGTAGACGATATTGATGATGCTGGGGTTGGATTACTAAATAAATAATTTAGTCCCAATTTTAGTGATGTTTGCAAAAGGATATAATTCATTAGTCCTGAGGAACCAAAAATACTACTTGGAAAAGTAACTAATTATAAGGATTAGCCAAATTTCTAAATGTATAATACTAATTATGAATAATAATAATTGAATTATTAATTTTGAGTACTTAACTTAAACATTAATTGTTTTCTTATAGTTGGAAGTCAATGGAATAATATGGAAATTTTATTAAAAATTCTTTCTAAAAATATTGATCTGGCATATGTGGAAGATTCAAGATTTTTAATGATGTCTTATGATATTTATTATTATATTTCATATTTTTATCAACTAATCAATCGAAAGTAGTTTCGCCATTAGCTGACTAATTGCATAAAATAATATTAATACTTTCAATCTTAATGCATTGAAATAATATCTAGCTGCTGCATAGACTCCAATCAATGTATTTAATCCAACATACTTCATTCTTACTCCGAATGAATGGCTATAATTATGGTTGTTTTGGATCAAGAAATATGCTTAAGTGTAGATCTGCTTTCTCATCAAAATAAATTAATTAAATTATTAAAAATATTTTGAAGGTAAAAGTATTATCATATCAAACCTAATACTAATTATAATAATTTCATTGATGTTCATAAATGAATGGGCTTTCTAGATTTTCTTTTATTCATAATTATGTTATTAATCATTAATTTAAAACTTAAAAAGAATTAATATTCTCAATCATATTGGATGCTTATCAAAGTCCTTTTTTTTTAATTATAAATTCAATTAATGATTAAATTTGATCTAAATAAGTATACTATTTTTTGTATCATATATATAATTATAAAAAGATATTAAATTTTCTGTAAGAGATAAATAGGAATCTCTATTTATACCTAAATCATAGATAATTCAATTTATTTATTTTGAATAAGGCAAAACCTTTTTTGCTATTTCAAATTATTATTGAAAAATTACTGTCAATTTGTTGCAAATAGAATAGTTGAAGTTATAACAAAAAATAAGGGTGATATTATACACTAATATATCACAATATATTAAGACTCCATCCCCATTGTAAAAGATACCTAATGGACTCTTCAAATATTATTTTCTTTACAGAGAACTTCATAAATTTAATATTAAGAATAATTAGAAATATATTACTTATATTTATCTCTTAAAGCTTGTAAAACTAACAAAATTAATTTTTATAATCTCTACATGCCTTAAATTATTTGTATATTTTATACAAATCTTGAGATATATACTATCAATTATAAATATTAATTAATTAGTATTTTTTAAACAAAGAATTCAATCGAATGTATATGTATAAATTCAACTTTAAGATCTTTGAGGGTGGCAAAAAAAACATTAAACATTTTCATTTATACCATCATCAAAATCTACTCCTGGAAACTATCGCTTTTTCTCTAACATATCTGTTTTCATCAACTCAAAAAATTGATCAAATGTTAATGTTTCTCTATCCCCAATCTTAGTATTTAACTATGGAGCATCATAAGAGTCTCTGTAAAGTTTTCGAAGTGTTCCTGTCTATATTAAACCATTCTAAAATTTTGAAATTTTGATAATTACTTTTGGATCCAAAGAATCAAAAACATTTTTAATTCCTTCAACTTCTTTAATAGATAAACCAGAATTTTGTTAATAATGATGAGCATTAAAATCACTTTAAGATGTGTTGTTACCCATTCAAATTATTTTATATTAAAAATAATAAACAAGTATATTTAATATTAAAATTGAAATATTATTATCAATAGATAATGAGAATATGATATTTTCAAACTATCAAATCTAAAAAATTGTAAAATAATTTTGATAAGGTATGTAACTCTTAATGATCTCAAATTATTACTGATGGATTTTTAACCTTAGATAAACTTAATATTTATACAATAATAGAAAGAAATTATTTTGAATATAAGAAATGATTGAAAATTAAATTAAAAATACAAAGAGTTTTTATTGCAAATTCTTAAATAAGTAAATAGATTGTTTAGATCATATAAAATATTAGAAACTAAATTAAAATAATTGAACAAAATCATTTTATTATAATAATATTTATTGCCGAACTGAATAAATTATAATTCTATAATTGTTAATAATTATTAATCTATAATGTTATTTATTCTAAAAATCTTTAAGTTTTAACACAATTTATGAAAGTAATTTTATATTTATCAATAAAATTTAAGAACTATAAATCAACTATGGAACTGCCGAAAATAAACTTGATAGAGGATTAAGAATTAAAAAAAATACCTAATTTCTCCAAATAAAACTAGAAATCCTTTACAATTTTATTATAATTATCTTTTAACATAAATTTAATATTCTTTCAAATCTAACTTCATTTCTGAGATATGAGATGAAACTTTATGAAACTACATTTAGAGTTAATCAATTTAAGATACAATTTTTCATGCTTAAATAATTTTTAAAAAGGGAAAATTTTTTATTATTTAGTATTTTACAAAAGAGCTTTTTTAATAATAAAAGAAACCTTACTAGTATCTATTTATTTAAAAAACTATACAAAAACTGATAAAATTGACAAAATCAAATTTCTTTTAACAATTTACTCTATTTTTTTTAGTATAAAATTAGAATTTAATTTATTCATTCTGTTAAGATTTTTTATAGAAGAAGTATAGTTTTTTCTATTGACTTTTTTTCAAATTCAATAACTTATTCATTACCTTTTTGATTATGAGGATAAATAAAAGTAACAGATTTTTTAGAAATGACTTGAGATTTTCTTTCATTATTATTGGGCTGAAATTGGCTTGCTTTTCCTAATTATCCCTAGTAGAATAATTAACTTAAAAAATAATCATTTGCCATTGTAATACTAAACTTAACAAGCTATAAAGAATGTTGGAAATGATTTTATTTGAAAATAATTAATATTAAAAAATCAACATGATCTTTTATTATACTTATTTATTTATTACTTATTACTTCTATTTTTATTTTATAATATAAATAATGGTTTTAATTGTTAATAATACTTTGATTTATAAAATTAGAATAAATAAAAAAAAATCGATACCGGGATTTGAACTCGGAATTACAGGGTGAAAACCTGTTGTTTTACCATTAGACTATATCGATCTTATTAATAAATAAATTTATACAATTTTAATGATTAAAATTTTAGACTATTAAATTAAATTATAATTCAAAGATATTCAATAAATAATATTAAACTCATTATTTTAAATAATCAAAATCAATAATAATAATTTATTCATTTGTACTTAAATAACAATATTTTTGAAAGTAATAATTAGTTATATCTGTAAAATTAAATTTACAAATTTCTTTATTTGTAATAAGAGCAAATCTATTTTTATTAAATGCTATTAATGGGCTTAATTTAGTTTTAAAATATGAAAATATAGTTGTAGGACTAAAACTAAGATTAACAGTTTATTATTCAACTTAATTTTTCAATATTATTATTGATTATTAATTAGTTGAAATAGCAATTACTAATTCTTTATTTTAAATTATTGGAATACAATCATATACAAAAATTGGATTTTATTTATTTTAACTTAATTAATATTTATGTATTTAAGTTTTATTTTTTAAAACATCTATAATTCCATTGTCTAATACTATTATTATAAATTAATCAAATTCTGAATTTATTACTTTAATAGATGTACAAAATATTTCAGATTAATATTCATAAAATTCTATATCAAGACTATTTATATTTCTTGTTTCTAATAGATTAGAATTTATAGAAAATAGAAGATCTTAATGTATGCATAATCTACAAAAACTAAATATATTCAAATGAAAAAAATTTAATTTTGAAAAATCTTCATTTATTATATGAATCCATCCTTCTTTTGTTTAAATGATTATTTTATCTGATGTTGTATATATGTATTATGTTTCTTAAATTTCTAATTTATTGATTAATTTTTATGCATTTTTAGACATTTAATAAAGGTATTTTTAATCTGCTATAATCCAATCATTTTTGAAGATGGCAAAAGCTTTAATAGAGTCTAATCCAATAATAATTGCTATTACTAAAGGGTGTTGGTACAACAACTATTGCATCACTTTTGCTTTTCATATATTTTAATTATATAAACAAAATTTTAATATAATAAATATCAATCATTATCTAATAATTCATAAATTTCATTAGTTTATTAATTAATTTATTATTATCCTTAAGATGAATTAATTGATGTAGTATTTTATTATCCATTATTAATTTCAGAAATATTTTTGATTATTTTCCCTTTAAATAATTTTTAAAGTTCTGTTTTTCTTTATATTTCTTAATCTTCTAAGTCTTATAATTTTTATTTATCTTAAAGGGTTGATTATTCAAAATTATCTATATTCTCACTATAATTATGGCAATTAATTAATATTTCTTAAAATCTCTATTCTAATTGTTAAATGTGTAATTAAAATCTTTTAGTATTTTGAAGATAAGAAGAATTAACAATTTTTAATTCTTCTTATAATGATTCATTTTTCTCAATTTATTATTTCAAAAGCTCTCTTAATTTCNTACTAAACTTAACAAGCTATAAAGAATGTTGGAAATGATTTTATTTGAAAATAATTAATATTAAAAAATCAACATGATCTTTTATTATACTTATTTATTTATTACTTATTACTTCTATTTTTATTTTATAATATAAATAATGGTTTTAATTGTTAATAATACTTTGATTTATAAAATTAGAATAAATAAAAAAAAATCGATACCGGGATTTGAACTCGGAATTACAGGGTGAAAACCTGTTGTTTTACCATTAGACTATATCGATCTTATTAATAAATAAATTTATACAATTTTAATGATTAAAATTTTAGACTATTAAATTAAATTATAATTCAAAGATATTCAATAAATAATATTAAACTCATTATTTTAAATAATCAAAATCAATAATAATAATTTATTCATTTGTACTTAAATAACAATATTTTTGAAAGTAATAATTAGTTATATCTGTAAAATTAAATTTACAAATTTCTTTATTTGTAATAAGAGCAAATCTATTTTTATTAAATGCTATTAATGGGCTTAATTTAGTTTTAAAATATGAAAATATAGTTGTAGGACTAAAACTAAGATTAACAGTTTATTATTCAACTTAATTTTTCAATATTATTATTGATTATTAATTAGTTGAAATAGCAATTACTAATTCTTTATTTTAAATTATTGGAATACAATCATATACAAAAATTGGATTTTATTTATTTTAACTTAATTAATATTTATGTATTTAAGTTTTATTTTTTAAAACATCTATAATTCCATTGTCTAATACTATTATTATAAATTAATCAAATTCTGAATTTATTACTTTAATAGATGTACAAAATATTTCAGATTAATATTCATAAAATTCTATATCAAGACTATTTATATTTCTTGTTTCTAATTGATTAGAATTTATAGAAAATAGAAGATCTTGATGTATGCATAATCTACAAAAACTAAATATATTCAAATGAAAAAAATTTAATTTTGAAAAATCTTCATTTATTATATGAATCCATCCTTCTTTTGTTTAAATGATTATTTTATCTGATGTTGTATATATGTATTATGTTTCTTAAATTTCTAATTTATTGATTAATTTTTATGCATTTTTAGACATTTAATAAAGGTATTTTTAATCTGCTATAATCCAATCATTTTTGAAGATGGCAAAAGCTTTAATAGAGTCTAATCCAATAATAATTGCTATTACTAAAGGGTGTTGGTACAACAACTATTGCATCACTTTTGCTTTTCATATATTTTAATTATATAAACAAAATTTTAATATAATAAATATCAATCATTATCTAATAATTCATAAATTTCATTAGTTTATTAATTAATTTATTATTATCCTTAAGATGAATTAATTGATGTAGTATTTTATTATCCATTATTAATTTCAGAAATATTTTTGATTATTTTCCCTTTAAATAATTTTTAAAGTTCTGTTTTTCTTTATATTTCTTAATCTTCTAAGTCTTATAATTTTTATTTATCTTAAAGGGTTGATTATTCAAAATTATCTATATTCTCACTATAATTATGGCAATTAATTAATATTTCTTAAAATCTCTATTCTAATTGTTAAATGTGTAATTAAAATCTTTTAGTATTTTGAAGATAAGAAGAATTAACAATTTTTAATTCTTCTTATAATGATTCATTTTTCTCAATTTATTATTTCAAAAGCTCTCTTAATTTCTCATTTTCCATTTGATATTCTCTTAAAAACCCTTCAACTTCTGCTTAAATATAGATTGGTTTTGATTAAGAAAGCGAATCAATTTACCTCTTTAACTCTATCACTTAAGCTTTTAATTTCTTATTTTCAGCAATCAACTTTATAATCGTAGCATTAATTCCATTGCTAATTTTGATTCATAATGGCTTAAAATGATATATTTTGCTTGTATGAATTCAAAATTCTTTCTAATTTTCATTTTATAAATCAATTGTTCATTATTATTAATAATATTTTTATACAATTACTCTTGTGGAATAAAGTATCACATTTTAACACGTTTATTGAATTTATCGATATTTATATAACATAAAAGTTTTATATGTAAAATATTGTTAACCTCATATAATTTGCATGAGCAAATTTTCCTTAGAAAATAAGAATTAAATTTTATTTTTTATGGAAGATTTTAATGATGATGACATCAGTATTTTTGTAGGAAAGTTTGAGAAAGAAAACTAGAATTCTATTCTAGACTCAATCATCAACTAAAAATAATCCTAAGGCTCAAACTGTAATAATATATTGAAAAATTTAGAAATAATTATCTTACAATAAGCAATTAGAACAAAAGAAGAATTAAACAAGCAAATTATCCCAATATTAAGTATTAATTGATATCATAAAAGAATATCTTTAGAATAAAAATCTGCAATATGGAGATTTAGAAAAATAAAATTAACAACTAATAATACTTTAAGAATAATCTAAATAAGATATCGCACAATTATAAGTAAATTATGATAATCTATAATAGGATTCAATTTAAGAAAAGAATTAGAAAAATGATGAATTAATGGACTAAATTTCATAGTTGGAAGATGAAATGGAAAAAATGAGAATTCAATATAGATATTTAGAATCCCAACAGCAGAATAAACTCTTATAAAACCAAGTAATTTTGTATTTAGAATTAGTAATTTCAAGGGGAAAGTTAATGGTTTTAGCAAACTTAAATTATCACTATTCAACAATAATTGTAAGATAAAGAGGAATTATTAAAAAAAACTGAAAAAGACCTTGAAGAAATGGAAAAATCTAAAAAGAAATTGGATTAGTAAAATAAGGACATTCAAAATTAATTAGACTTGATGAATTAAAGAAATAAGAGTATATATTAAAAAGATTTATTTAGATTTGATGAAAGAGTTAGAAAGGTATAAACCAGAAGTAACAGAGAATTAAAAAAAATAAACAATGACTAGGAATAAAACACTTGGAGCATTTAATACAAGAGAAATTATTTAAAAATAAAGATTATAAAATGATTTAACAAGTTAAAAGAAATTAGAACAAATTAAGACTTAAGAAATAGATAATGCTAATAATTCAGATAATTAAGAGGAAATTGATACATAATCAAAGACAACTTTAAAATAGGATAGCGAATAAGCTTAAACTTCTGTAATAAATTCTTAGATAATTATGGAGAAAGAACAAAAAATAGTTGAACTAGAAAAAATAAAAATTGAACTGGAATAGAAAATAATTGAACTGGAATATGAAATTAATGGAATTAAATCCAATAATAAAAAAGTTACATTCCAAATTAGTAAATTAGAGAAAGCAGTTGCTTTTGAAAAAGAATGTATAAATATATATATATATAATAAGAAAATGCAAGGTTATAAGAAGAAAAGGCAACGATTGAATAGGATTTAAGAGCTGAGATAGAAAAGAAGTTAAAAGAAAATATTGGATTAGTAAAATTTATAATTATTCATAGAAAAGAATGTCAGTAAAAATTAATTAAAATGACATTGGAGCTGGTCTTCTGAATGCAGATGAATCAAATTTAAAAGAAAAAAATCTTTAATTGTCAAGAGGTAATTCCAAGCAAATATATAGATCAATTTAGATTTACAACAAACAAAACAATAAAATGAAATCATTAGTGAGACATATGAAAAGCAAATTAGTTAATATAAAACTTAAATTGAAATATATGCAAAGAATAATTTAGAAATGGAAAATTAAGTTAAAGATTTATCAAAACGCTTGTAATTGGCACTGGAAGAAAAGGAAAACTAAAAAATTTAAATAGAAAAATTAGCTGATAGCAAAAATTTGGATGGAGAATCTACTTTGAAAGAATGTAGAACAAAATTAAGAAAATATGAGAGTCTGTTGTAAAAAGCTAAAGCAGAAATAGAAATAAAAGATATCTAAATACAAGAATAACATTCTAATTAATTAATAGAAATCATCAACATTATAGAAAGTTATAATAAAGAGAATCTTTAGATTAATTAATAATTATAATATTAAATTTAGTTAGTTGAAGAATTGAAATCTTAAAAAGGGATTAAAAATGAAAATATTGATTAAGAGAAAATTAAATAATTGGAGGATTAAATTGAGAAATAGAAAATGACAATATTGAAATATAAAAAATAAATCGAATAACTATAATTGAAGGCAAAGTAAGAATATTTAGTAATTAGTAATTCAAAAGTTGAATCTGAGTAGCCTATCCAAATGTAGAATATTAGTAAAGAGGCAGAATCAAAGTAAAAGGATGAACAATAATAAATTATTGATACCCTAAATGGTCAAATCTAATAATTAACTTTAAAAACACAATTTTCAGAATAAAATTAGTTATAAAATGAAACAAAATTAAAAGAGATGCAATAATAAATTTTGGAGAAGGATGAATCAATAAAATATTATGAAAAATCAAACAGTTTATTATAAACTTTAATAATTGAAAATAAAAATTAAATTGATTAAATTTAAGAAAAATTAAAGGATGAGGAATAAATTAAAAACGAGAAAGAATAAATTATTCTAAGTTTGAAAGGTTAATTATTAAATTAGGAAAAAGAAATTGAAAATTATTAATAAAAATTAATCAACTATTCTTAATAAAGTTTGGAATTAGAATAGACAAAAAAAAAAAATTTTGAGAGTGATTTTGAATTTAATCAGTAAAAAGAGAGTCTAATTAATTTAAATAATGAAAAACAACGATTACAATAATAAATCTCTGAATTGATCGAAAAAAATAATGATTAAGAATCTTTAATTTCTGAGCTTTAGACTAAAAATACTAAATTAGAATAATAAAATTCTTTATTAGAAGAAGAAGCTTTGGCTTAGTAATCAAAAATTAGGGTATAGGATTCGCGATTAACTTAACTATCATAAGAAATAATCTTGCATGAATAACAAGTGGCTGAGCTAAATAAACAATTAGATATTTTAAAGGTAGAAAATAATTCAAATAAATAAATAATATCTCAATGTCAAGATAAAATATAAGAAGAATAAAAAAATAATTTTAATTTGTAAAAAGAATATATGGAATTGTAAATATAAAACGAGGATTTAAAAAAACTTATTTAAATTAAAATTAGTGAGTCACAAGAATATTAATATAATTTATAAAACATAACAAGAGATCATGAATAACTAAAATAATAACTAATAGTAAATTAATAAAATAATTTAGATTTAGAAAATAAAATAATACATATTTTAAAAGAATAAGAATAAAATAAATAGTAATAATTACTTTAAGAAGATGAAATATAAAAGTTACAAATGTAATTGAAAGATATTAAGGATTAAAACAATGAGTAAATGATTAAAATCGAAAAATTGCAAATATAAGAAAATAGATTAATTCAAGATTTATAGCAAGAAAAATAAAGTAATGAAATTAATCAAAATCTATTTAAAAAAAAAGAAGAAGAAGATAGATATTTAATAGAAAATTAAAAATTAATTAATGATGAGTTAAAAAATGAAATATTGTTAAATAAAAATTAAATAAAATAGTTACAAAATAGTTTAAATTAAGAAATTGATAATATGAAGTTAAATAACTAAGAATTATTAAAAGAGAAAATAGTGATAATAGAAGAATATCAAGCAAGAGTAGTAAAAATAAATTAGGAAATTAAAGATGAAAAATCTTAAAATCTATAATTATAATAATTAAATGAGAAGTTATCTAATGAATTTAAAGATAAAGAAACTAAAATGATCTAAGAAATCGAACATGAAAAATCTTAAAATCTATAATTATAATAATAAAATGAGAAGTTATCTAATGAATTTAAAGATAAAGAAACTAAAATGATCTAAGAAATCGAACATGAAAAATCTTAAAATCTATAATTATAATAATAAAATGAGAAGTTATCTAATGAATTTAAAGATAAAGAAACTAAAATGATCTAAGAAATCGAACATGAAAAATCTTAAAATCTATAATTATAATAATAAAATGAGAAGTTATCTAATGAATTTAAAGATAAAGAAACTAAAATGATCTAAGAAATCGAACATGAAAAATCTTAAAATCTATAATTATAATAATAAAATGAGAAGTTATCTAATGAATTTAAAGATAAAGAAACTAAAATGATCTAAGAAATCGAACATGAAAAATCTTAAAATCTATAATTATAATAATAAAATGAGAAGTTATCTAATGAATTTAAAGATAAAGAAACTAAAATGATCTAAGAAATCGAACATGAAAAATCTTAAAATTAATAATTATTATAAAGTAAAGATATGTAAGGCAATGAACTATTATAAAAACAGCAATAGTTATTGATAGAAATTGAAAATTTAAAATAATAAAATTTATATTTAACTGAATAAGAGAAACTAAGTTAATAATAACATCATGAATAAGATTAATTGAAGTTAAAATAAATTGAAGAATTATCGTTATTACATATCTAATTAAAGTAATAAAATGAGAAGTTATCTAATGAATTTAAAGATAAAGAAACTAAAATGATCTAAGAAATCGAACATGAAAAATCTTAAAATCTATAATTATAATAATAAAATGAGAAGTTATCTAATGAATTTAAAGATAAAGAAACTAAAATGATCTAAGAAATCGAACATGAAAAATCTTAAAATCTATAATTATAATAATAAAATGAGAAGTTATCTAATGAATTTAAAGATAAAGAAACTAAAATGATCTAAGAAATCGAACATGAAAAATCTTAAAATCTATAATTATAATAATAAAATGAGAAGTTATCTAATGAATTTAAAGATAAAGAAACTAAAATGATCTAAGAAATCGAACATGAAAAATCTTAAAATCTATAATTATAATAATAAAATGAGAAGTTATCTAATGAATTTAAAGATAAAGAAACTAAAATGATCTAAGAAATCGAACATGAAAAATCTTAAAATCTATAATTATAATAATAAAATGAGAAGTTATCTAATGAATTTAAAGATAAAGAAACTAAAATGATCTAAGAAATCGAACATGAAAAATCTTAAAATCTATAATTATAATAATAAAATGAGAAGTTATCTAATGAATTTAAAGATAAAGAAACTAAAATGATCTAAGAAATCGAACATGAAAAATCTTAAAATCTATAATTATAATAATAAAATGAGAAGTTATCTAATGAATTTAAAGATAAAGAAACTAAAATGATCTAAGAAATCGAACATGAAAAATCTTAAAATCTATAATTATAATAATTAAATGAGAAGTTGTCTAATGAATTTAAAGATAAAGAAACTAAAATGATCTAAGAAATCGAACATGAAAAATCTTAAAATCTATAATTATAATAATAAAATGAGAAGTTGTCTAATGAATTTAAAGATAAAGAAACTAAAATGATCTAAGAAATCGAACATGAAAAATCTTAAAATCTATAATTATAATAATAAAATGAGAAGTTATCTAATGAATTTAAAGATAAAGAAACTAAAATGATCTAAGAAATCGAACATGAAAAATCTTAAAATCTATAATTATAATAATTAAATGAGAAGTTATCTAATGAATTTAAAGATAAAGAAACTAAAATGATCTAAGAAATCGAACATCAAAAATCTTAGAACCTATAATTATAATAATTAAATGAGAAGTTGTCTAATGAATTTAAAGATAAAGAAACTAAAATGATCTAAGAAATCGAACAAGAAAAAACTTAAAATTAATAACTAATATAAAGTAAGGATATGGAAGGAAATGAATTATTGTAAAAATAATAACAGCTAAATTTAGATCTTATTAATTTGAAATCTACTAATTAACAATTATAACAATAATATGATGTAAAACTAAATGAATAATAATAATAGTTGGATTAGTTAACTCATGAAATAGCTAGTTTGAAATAGTTAAATATTCAAAAAGAAGATTAATTTTAATCAATGAAAAATGATAATGATTAATTAACTTTATAATTGTAAGCCTAATTAAACTAAATAAATCAATTGCAACAAAGTTTATCAGTAATAACAAATGACTATCAAAAATTATTTCAAGATCATGAAAATTTAATCAAAGAAAAAATAGATTTAGAAACTAAACTTTAGGAAAATAAAAATCTTATTTCATCATTACAACTCGAAAAAGAATAATTATTGAATGAATAATAACTATTTAAAGACAGTTAAATCAATGATCTTTAAACTTAAATTTCTCAATTATAATAAAAAATTCTTACTTAATAAAATTAAATGTCAAAAGATCAAGATTAATATTTGATCTCATAAAATAAATAACAAGATCAAAGTTTATAAATATCACAATTAACTGCTGAGATCTAAAAATTGGAAGAATAACGAAATGAGTTAAATAAAGAATTAGATGTTTTAAAGGCTGAAAATTAAGCAAATTAATAATAAATTTCATAACAGTTATTATCAATTTAGGATGCAGAACAAAAATTAAATAAATTTTAATCTGATTAAATAGAATAGAATAAGTTATTAGATTAAAAAATAAACGAAATTTAAGTTTTATAATAAGCACACTAAGACTTAAATATTGCAAACAATAAACTCATTGAGGAAAACAATAGCTTTTAAATTAAGTTTGACTAAAGCACAATTGAGGTAAATAATTTGAAGGCAGAATGTTAAACAGAAAAAGACAATAATCAAAAAATTTTAGAATAAAATTAGCAGTTGTAATTATAAATAGAATAATTAAATGAAGAAATTTCTAAATTAGCAAAGGAACAATAATAATAGGAGTTAACATAAAAATAGAATTAAAATACTTAATAAGATGAATTAATTTAATTAAACTAAATTAAAGAAGAAAAAGTTCATTTATTAAAAAATATAGAAAATTTAGAAAATACAAATAAACAATTTGAAGAATAAATTATTTAATTATAATAAGAAATTTAAGCCTAAACTTCATAATTAGAGGAAAAAGAGTAACTAATAAATAATCTTAAAACTGAAAATGAATAAATGGAATTCAAATTATTATAGGATCAAAATGTCTAATAAGAAAAAGATGAATGCATTAATTAAATAAATTCAGAGCATAAAAAATTAATAAATGAGAAAGAATTAGAGCAAAGCTCTTTTGAAGAACATATCAAATAGGAGAAATTAGAATTAGAAAATTAATTAAATTAAAATGCTTCCCTGATTGCTTCCCTTTAAGAAGAGATAAGTTAATAAAATCATAAAATTGAATAGTATGAGAATAATGAAAAAAATTATCAATCACAGATAGAAGAACTTAAAGAACATATCTAAAATCTTGAGGATTTTTCATAAGTTTCAGAGAATCACATTTCTGAATAATAAGAGAAAGAATAATAATTAATTAAAGAAGTAGAAACCTTAAAATTAGAATATGAACAATTATCTCAATAAAATTCTTAATTTAAAGATTAAGTTGAAGAACTTTAGTTGCAAAACGAAAAAACCATACATTAATAAACCGAATTAGAAAATTAAATTAAAGAATTGCAATTATAATAATCAGATCTCCAAAATACGATTCATCAATAAGAGGAAAAAATTAATTCACTTTAAATAGAGAGGGAATAGGATTAATAAAAGTTAATGGAAGCTGAAGAAATTTAAAAATAAAAAACAGAATTAGAAAAACAAATTAAACATTAAAATGATGCCATATAAAAGTTATGCGAGTAAGTTGGATTACTTGAAGATGAACATCCTAATGAATATATAGCGACATAAAAAGCAAAAATGATTTAGCAATAAAAAGATATAGAAAGTTTAAAAAATGAGATTAAAAATTTATAACAAGAAATAAAAAAGTATTAAGAAAAAGAAGCTTAAATTAAAATTTATAAAGAAAAATTAGAAAGAAAATATTTAGAGCAAATATCTGAGTTATCAAATCATTAAGATGAAATGTTTGAATAAATAAAGGAATTGAGATCTAAAGCTTTAATGAGTGATGAATACCTCAAAGCAAACAAAGACCTCGAAATGACTCTTAAATTTAAATAAGATTAATTAATAAGCTATTCTTAAAAAATACAAGAATAATCCGTTTATATAGATTAGCTTGAACTTAAAGTTTAAGAACTAAAATAAACAAGTGAGTTTATGTTCACAATATGATATATTTAATGCAACCAAAATTGAATAATTTTTCTTATTCTACCATTATTTAGCTTCTAATAATAACTCTTTCAAATTCGTAAAAATTATTATAGATCATTTTTTCAATTTCGTATTTTCTATATAAAAAATTATGTCGTCTTAAGGTTGTAAAATATATATAATATCAAATTGAGTCATGTTATACAATCAAGTCTATATTATTATAAATAAAGAAGAATTCTAAAAATCAAGTTAGTACATCCAAAGAGAACATAGAAATAATTATGAAATATATTTATTTTCTATAATTGGTAGAATCTTCATTTTTTAATTTTTAAACTATTAATTGTTTGAGAACTTTTTTTTATTCAATTATCTTCAAAAAGATTATGATCAATTTTGCGAATAATTGAAATTTTATTAAAACCAATTTTTTTTGCTTTTAATATTAATATAAACTAATGCAATAAAAAAATTCCATTTTTATTTTTTATTATCCATTTAATACTCGAAAGATTGAAAGATATAAGGGTTGTTACAACTAAATCAAGATATCATCTGAATATTTCTACATAAAACTTCATTCCAATTAACAACTATAATTGTTTTCTTATTCATGAAGAAATTTACTTCAATTATGAAAAATTTTATGAGTATTATATTTTTACTCAGACTCAATAATTCTATTAATAAAAAATACATTGCCTATATTTATTTTAAATAAATAAAAATTCATTTTAGGTTTTGATTCATTCTCAGTATCCTTTCCTTATGGGCATATTAGAAGTTTATAATTATTAAGATAGTAGACAAACTGCATCACTTATTCCTAAAGATCTAAGAAAATTTAAAGATAAATTAATTGAATAAATAGGATGTTATAAAGAGAGGTCTAAAAATATAGTAAAATTTTCTGTCTATTATTAAAATAATCTATTAGCTATCAACCGATAAAAAAAGGAAGCCTAGTATTATGAGTTTTTCAATTACAAAGGGCATTTGTCTATTATAATTGGGGGTGCATTTAATTTTAGATTAAATTACATGATCCCAATTATAATTTAAATTTTAGTACTTTTCAATAATAAAGTCATTTTTGTAATTAAATTAATTTAATTCATAATCAAAAAGCATTTTCATAAATTTGTTTATCAATAAAAATTTATTGATTTTTATGTAAAATTATTTAATCTTAAGGAAATTTAAAAAATTATCATCTAAAGTATATAATTAAATATCTTTCATGAATGATATGTAATTTTAAATTTTAATTTTTCATCCATTTTATTCAAGATGTCTTTTATTAATTTTCAATAAAGTTTTATTTATTAAATTAAACTTTTTTAAAGTATAATGAAAACTATTACTGAATTTGATATATTCCTGATTTATTTTTTCAGGAGTTCTGATTATTTCTTCTCTTAAAATCTTAAAATAATAATCATATTAAAAAAATGTGATCATCTTTAAATTAATAATTTGTTTGAAATGTTAATAGTACATTCAAAGGTAAAGATTTATTAATACTATAGATAATTCATCATCTCTAAACTTTATGTCGAAGAATAGTAATTTATTCCTTATTTTGATAATTAAGATTTTAATTCTCCTTTTTGTAATATTAAGGATATGAGAAATAGATGAATGTATCAAAAATTTAAGTTAATGATAACAAAAGAGTTAAGATTATGTTAAGACTTTTATAATTTATTTCGAATTTAGTATTCTAATAAATTAATATTATATTATTACTGTTATGAAAAGTTTAAATTACCGATTTCCTCATTCAAGACAAGATTCTGGATAAATGAATATAACTAGATCATAACTACAATAAGGTTAATAAGTGATTAACGTGTTAAACAAGTAAAGAAGTTATGTAAATCAAAAGCCGCTAAAATGAATAAAATTGTGATAGATCACCCGCTCCAGTGGTACATGGCTTACAAAAATTTGCAGTACCATCTAGCTAATAATCATCAGCAAATCATTCAAAGAAGTCTTCGATATCAAAATAATAATAGCCAAAATAAATTGCATTTGTTAACTACTTGATTCTTAAAGATAAATCATAACTTATTGAGGATGAAGAAAAAGAAAGTTAAGCTCTATTTTGTTATTTTTAGATATTAATGAGCCAATCGTATAAAAGAATATGTTTAATTTTTAATTTGTTATTGGTATCGGTGGATTTGGTAAAGTTTGGAAGGTAGAATATAAAAAAACTGGTTAAATATATGCAATGAAAGAAATGTCAAAAGCTTTGTATTTTATTTGGTTACATTTTTAGAATTATTGCAAAAAAAAGTGTTAATTCAGTTATGAATGAAAGAAACATATTGAGTAATCTAAAGCATCCGTAATTATTTAATCAAATATAGATTTTTAGTTAATATATATTATGCATTTTAAGACCGTGAAAATCTTTTCTTGGTTTTAGATTATATGCAAGGAGGAGACCTAAGATATCATATTGGTAAAATGAGAAGATTTTCAGAAGATCAAACAAGTATAAATTTGTTTGAAATTATAGGATTTTTTATGGCTTGCATATTTTTAGGATTAGAATACATGCATTCTAAGAATAGTCTTCATAGAGACATTAAACCAGAAAATTTAGTGTTAGATAAAAATGGTATCTATTAAAAAGAAGATTTAGGTTATGTCAGAATAACTGATCTTGGAATAGCTAGAAATTTAAGGCCTGATAATTCATTGGATACTTCAGGAACACCTGGATATATGGGTATTATTATTATCTATATTATTAGCACCTGAAGTAATGTGTAGATAGAATCACTCTTTTGCTGTAGATTACTTCGCTTTGGGAGTGATTGGATATGAATTTATGTTAGGAAAAGTAAACTATTTTTAATAAATAAATTAGAGACCTTATACTGGTCGAACAAGAAAAGAGATTAGAGATTAAATTTTAGCAAAATAAGTTTAAATAAAAAGATCTGAGATACCTGATAATTGGTCATTAGAATCAGCAGATTTTATAAATAGAGTATAATTAATTATATGATTAAAAGCTAATACAAAGAAAGCCTGCAAATCGATTAGGATTTAATGGTCCTCATGAATTGAGATAGCATTCCTGGTTTAAAAATTTTCCATGGTAAAAATTAATGAATAAAGAATTGAAATCTCCATATATTCCTAATGTATTCAATCTAAGTATATTAGTAAAACGAAGATAATTTTGATGCTAGATAAATATCAATGGAAGATGAAGAAAATAATGAGCTAATTTAATAAAATTCAATTGTACTAAGAAGAAATTCTATATAATGTATAATTTTATATCTAAATTAGCTTAATTTTCTGGATATGAAATGGATAATTTTAGTGAAAAACAAAATACATAGTTTAATAATTTTTGATAATCATAACATTATAAATCATAAGTTCTTATTTGTAAATTCAATCAAAATAATTATGAGACTTTCTATATTAAATAATTAAAATTAAGGAATTATAAATTTTTATTTTAATAAAATGTCATTAACTTTAAGTGATTTGATCAATCAATCATTAGACAAAATCAAAAAGGCTATTACAAAAAAATAATTTGAATTAAAATAACACATAGAAGAAGCTTAGTGTAAATAAATTTATTATTAAAAAGAGGTCAAAGATTATTATGATGCAAATCACTTAATAAAGGTGTATTAACTATGTATTGAATCAAAATAAGTTAAATTGATTGAATTGGCTTTATTTGATATTAAAGTAAGTCTCTCAAATACTTTAGAATATTGTAGATTAGGGTTTTTTAGCAGGAGAACAAATCATAGGAGAAAAAAGAGCAATTGAGATAACTTTAGAATTGGTTATGTAAACTCAATTAGAGAAAGAGGAGACTGTTTAAATCTATATGATAAAAGCAATATAGGCAATAATGACTAATAGAAAGCATCATATTTATGGAGAAGCTGTCACAAGGATTTTTTCACTATTAATAAATCTACATTCAGGTAAATAACATGAATAGTTTGATTAGTTTCAAAAATAGTTGCAATTATGAATGCTAGTAAAGAGGCTTGCTAGAAAATCGTTAGTACTTATTTTTCGAGACTTGAAGATTATGGGATTTTATCTGAGGAGGAATATTAATAAGCAATTTAATAATAAGGTAATTAAGGTTTGCTTGTTTTTGGGAAATGTAAAGCCTTAGTGAATGCTGAATAATATATGAAATCTTTATTGATATCTATGGTTGATGAAGTTTAAATTTACAGTGAAAGAAGATTGATATATGAGAAACAATTAGATGATTTAAATAAAATGAAGGTGATTGATTTAAATTTACATGAACCTAATTTAAGAAATGTAATCATAGATAGAAATTAAATATAAATAAATTTAGTAAATGAATTGAATATAAAAAATGGAAAATTTGGATGGTGTGTTGTTTGCAGAAAATAAGCATCATAATATTGTAAAGATACAAAAGTACCAATCTGTAGTAAAGAATGCAAATTAATACATTTAAATCAGATGTTTAATTTTTCTTAATCTCATTAGCATTCTACATTTAGTGAATAATATGTAAAGAATGCATATGAAATTTTAGAAATGCTTTGTTAATTAAGTCAGAAAGAACCTTAAAATCCTTAATTAGCATAGATGATTATTAAATGTAAAGTTCTATCTTTGGAATTAATCTATGAAGCTTTGGTTTAAAGCGATGTAATATTATAGAATAAACCAAATTTAATATCAATATTAAAAGATTAATTATTAGAATCATTACTTAAGAATTCTCTTTCGACTGAGAAACATCTATTAATTTTGACATTAAATATTTTCATTTAATTGATCTGGAAAGTAAGAAGTCATATGAAAAAAGAATTAGAAGCTTTGATTGAAAATGTATATTTTAAATTTTTGGAGAGTAGCAATAGTTCTTTTGATCATAAATAATACACTTTAAAGGTTTTCAATAAAATTCTTACTCGTCCAAAAGTAGTCATTGAAATATTTGTAAATTACGATTGTTCAGTAGGTCAGAATAATTTACTTAAGAAAATTCTTGATATGCAATGTCGTATTATCTAAGGAAGATTTAGTAAACAAGAATTTTAAGCTTCTATATCTATAAATCAAGAGATATATCTTAAAGCATTATGTTTAGATAATTACTGTGGATATGTAAGAAGTTTAAAGGAATATTGTGAATAATATGAAGATTCTCAAAATGTAGTTTAAGTGTAATCATTTGATGAATAGGAGGATGCAATTATATAATAACAATAATTATCATAGGATCCACTTGAGAAATAGAAATAGATGAAATTAGAAATGAATAAAGCAGTTTAAAAATTTAATTTTAAACCTGAACATTGTATAAAACATTTAATAGCTTGTTAATATATGGAAAACAGAGATCCTAAATTATTTGCTTAATTTCTTTGGGAAAATAGAGATTTAAATAAAGATAAATTAGGAGAATTATTTGGTGGTTCAAATGATTTTGATTAGAAAGTGTTTTCATTATATGTAGATTTCATGAATTTTAAAGGATTATAAGTAGATGAGGGTTTGAGATATATGTTAGAATTCTTTACATTACCTGGAGAATCATAATAAATAGATAGAATAATGGAAAAATTTGCATCAAAATATTGTATAGACAATCCTGGAATTTATTAATCAGCATAAGCTGCTTATACACTTTCATATTTACTTATGATGTTGTAAACTGATTTACATAATGAGAAAAATCTAGATAAAATGACTTTAGCTCAATTTACTAATTTAGCTAGGGGAATCAATGATGGAGAAAATCTTCCTTAAGAAATGTTATAAGGCTTCTATTTAAGGATTTAAAAAACTCCTTTGGCTTTACATGCAAAAGAATAAGCCAGAAGAGCATTAGAATAAGCAAATTAAGTTGATTAAAGAAAGAGACACGCTATGTTAGCTAAGGAGGCAGAGGATGCATTAAAAAAGTGGTTTAAAGAGCATCCAAATTAAGATGCATTTTTTTATGTTAATTCAATTGAACATGTAAAATCTTTATTATAATAAACATGGAGTGTGATATTTGCTTCAATAAGTGTATTTTTAGAATAGACTGAAGATCAATAATAAATATTATTATGTTTTGAAACAATTCAAGCATTTATTTAATTAATGGGCAGATTCGATTTAGATGAAGAGAAAGATACATTTATAAGTTTTCTATATAGATATTGTACAAATATCCCAAGCACTTACAAATAAATATTAGGAGTACAAACTTTGATAAAAGTAAGTCTTTAATCTGGATAATATTTACGTAAAAGTTGGAAGATAGTATTACAACTAATATCAAGATTAGAATAGTTACATCAAGTAGTAAAGAAAATAAAAGTTGATTCACCTTACAAAGAGAATTATAATTAAGAAGACATAATTAGTATTGAAAGATTGTTTTAATAAATACAATATGATCAAATTGATAAAATATTTAATAGTTCTATTAATTTGGATTCCAACTCTATTTTAGAATTTATAAGTGCATTGTGTGAGTTGTCAAAAGAAGAAATCAAATACAATAGAGTATTCTTATTGAGTAGAGTGATTGAGGTTGCTGATTTTAATATGAATAGAATTAAAATTATTTGGTCTAGAATGTGGGAAATCATGAGAGAGCATTTCCTTGAAGTGGGTTGTCTCAAAAATGTAGATCTTGCAATATTTGCAATTGATTATTTAAAATAATTGAGTTGTAAATTCTTGTAATAACCTGAATTAACAAATTATCATTTCCAAAAGGAGTTTCTGTTACCTTTTGAATAAATATTTAGCCAAACTTAGGCATAATAGATGTAAAAGATATAATTGAGAGAATATTTATTATCTTGTATGTGTATGATTACAAACACATGTTTCAATTCGATTAAAAGTGGTTGGAAGATTATAATGAGTATAGTTAATCAAGCTCTATAAGAAGATTAATAGTAATTGGTTAGATTATGTGTTTAGATTACAGATAAAATAATGGAGGATGTAAGCAACTAATAAGTTTATTCTGAGATTTTTATGGAACTTATTTAAGCATTAATAAAATTAATCAAAAACAAGGATGTAAGTATAGTTTCAAATTCAATAAAATAATTGAAAATATTAGTTGATCACATTGTTTTGATTAAAAGAAATGATAACAAATATTTAGATTAATTATGGATTCCAGTTTTGTCAGCTCTCTCTGTTTTATATAGTGATGAAAGAGTATCTGTATAATAATAAAGTGTCAACACCTTATTTGAATTGCTCAAAATTCATGGGGCATAATAATGCAATGAATTTTGGAAGATGATTCTGAGAGGGGTGATTAGACCATTATTTGATGAGATATAATTTTCAAAGATACAATTTACAAAGTAATATTAAACAAAATAGTAAGTAATCTCAACTTGTAAAATGACTTTTGATTTATTTACTGATTTAGTTGTTCTTTATATCTAATAAATGTAGCCTTGCTTAAATGATTTAATTGATATATATATTTAGCTAGTGTTGTAAACCTAAGATGTAATATTTATAATTTATTTTAAGTTTCTTTCAACATTATGTTTAGAATCACTTAAAACCATAGTTTAAAAAGGAGGACAATCTTTTACAGAAGAAAATTGGACTGTTGTGATTTAATAAATCTAACATCTTTTGTAACAATGCTCTCCTAATGAATTGTTTGAAGCTTATAATTTGGATGAAGATTTTTAAAAGCCTTTGGATGAGTTATTAAAAGAGGAAATAAGACCAAAAAAATTTAGCTTTAAGATTAATGCATATGAATGTACTTCAAAATAAGCAATTCAATAGAAATGCTTAGAAATACTAGAAGTTTAAGCTATATAATTTAATAATTCAATATCCTAATAAAATAAAGATTAAATTTTAATGATATTTAATGAAAAATATTAAAAATTCAAGAAATTTAATATTCATTTATATATGAGATACTTTCTTGAATAATGGGCTATGTAATGGAATAGAGATAAAAATGGCCCAGAAGAATTAGAAGAGTTTTCTGATAATCAAAATATGACTAATTAATTAAGTTTTATTAAAGAAGAATTTATCTCAGCAAAAGTAATAATTTAACTCACTTCCTAACCATTAGATTTTATTGATATATTGATTTAGAGATTCACTGATGCATAAATAGGATTATAATTACCTGTACATAAACTTGAAACTTTAAATGGGAGCTTAGAATAATTAAGATATACTGAATCCTAAATTATTATTAGTAAGTCTTAAGTTTTATTTATGGAAAATGTATTTCCAATTTTAAAGATGAATTTATAATAGAAAATAGTTAGTAAATGGTTAATTTAATTATTGAAATTGGGATTAAATGCATAAAATGTAGAAAATAGAGATTATAACAAAGTTTTAGTAAATTTATTAGAAGAAATAATAAATTGTGAGAATAATTTATATTGAATCTATTAAATAAACACAATTTATTTCAAATTTATTAATCTTTTAATATTGATTTATAAATCTTTTTTACTTTTGTTATGATTAATATAATATCTAATTTCAAATAGGATATGTAGTTATTAAAATATTATCTTTTTTTTCAATTATATATATTTAATTTATACATCAATGAATGTTTACGTAGTTGGAGTTGGAATGACGAAGTTTATAAAACCTGGTCGAGATGGAAATCCTGATTATCCTGAAATGGCAGCTTAAGCTACTAAAAGAGCACTAAGAGATGCTAATATACCATACTCATCTGTTTAAGTAGCTTCTATAGGATATGTTTATGGTGACTCAACATGTGGATAGAGAGCATTATATGAAGTTGGAATGAGTGGAATTCCAGTATATAATGTTAATAACAATTGTTCAACAGGATCTAGTGCCTTACATATGGTGACTTAATTATTAAAAGGAGGACTATATGATTGTGCATTGGCACTTGGATTTGAAAAAATGGAAAAAGGATCATTGAATATGAAATTCCCAGATAGAACTTAACCTCTTGATAAGATAGTTCTAAAAACAATGGAGATGGGAGAACAAAGCACTGCTCCATTTGCACCCTAAATATTTGGAAATGCAGGAATTGAACACATGAAAAAATATGGTACAAAACCAGAACACTTTGCACTTATAGCATATAAAAACCATTTACATTCAACTAGAAACCCATATAGTTAATTCAGAGATAAATACACCCTTTAAGAAATAATTACATCACCTAAGATACATGGTCCATTAACTAAACTTTAATGTTGTCCAACATCTGATGGAGCAGCTGCAGCTATTGTCTGTACAGAAAAGTTTATGCTTTAACACAATCTACAAGATTAGGCTGTGTAGATTTTAGGGATTACTATGACTACAGATAGTGAAAAAACATTCACTGATTAGAGTTTGATGAATTTAGCTGGATATGAAATGAGTAAAAGAGCTGCTTAATAAATTTATTAATAAACAGGAGTTAAACCTTCTTAGATTGGAGTTTGTGAATTGCATGATTGTTTCTCAGCAAATGAATTGATTACATATGAAGCTTTAGGTCTATGCGAAGAAGGTAAGGCTGGAGATTTTATAGATAAAGGATATAATACTTATGGAGGACGTGTAGTTGTGAATGTAAAATATAATCTATTCTTTTAAGCCTTCTGGTGGATTAATATCAAAAGGACATCCATTAGGTGCAACTGGTTTAGCTTAATGTTCAGAATTATGTTGGTAATTAAGAGGAATGGCTGAAGAAAGATAGGTACCTGGATTGTAATATGCTTTATAACATAATATTGGTTTAGGAGGTGCGTGTATTGTTGCTCTATATAAAAAATATAATACAAAATCAGGAAGACCTAGAAAGGATCAAACTTCAAATCCTGATGTTCTTGAAAAATTAGAAAAAGAGTAACCAAAATTATGATTTGATACATCAAAAATATAGCATAATTTATACAAATTTAGTTTACTTAAAGTTTTCTTCTTAAATTTATATTTTAAAAAGATGAAATTATGAGTTTTGAGAATATCAAGATATTATCTCAATTATGTAATTCAAAATTACAAATCATTTACCAAATATTATGGTATATGTTTATTTGTATTAAATTTTATAGTATACCTTTTAAATATTATTACAAATCAACTAATAATAATAATAATAATAATAATAATAATAATATTTTATAGAAGATACTAATATTAAAAAATATATATTGCTCTGTTCAAAATTATCATATTTATTATATTATTCTAAAATAAAATAATAAAATGATTAAGTAGAACCTTATAAGAAAGATTTAATATAATATAATATAGTATTTATTTAAATAAATAAAAGATAGAATGAATTGTTATAAATATGAAAACTGTATAGATTTATTAATGTGTATCAATCAGAGGCGTTTTTTAGTAATTTAATAAAAACATCAAGTATTGGATCTATTGGATCTGATTCATTATTTGAGATAATTTTTTTAATTTAATTACCAACATCTTCAATTTCTTTTTGTTCAAATAAAGGTTTTTTATATGAAAGCACAGATTATAAATGATCCTAGTCTTTAGTCAATAATAATTGATCTAAATTTATTTAAGTTTCTTACATAAAAAATCATCCTCATCACCTCTTGTAGCTCTTATAAAATGCTCTTTAGTTAAGAACCCATAATTTCTGCATTCGATGCATTTACATTAATCTGAACAAGGTACTTTAGCTTGAAAACATTCGCAATATTTTTTCATACAACCACTCTTTTTACATTGACATCCTTTATTGTGCTTTCCAAAATTTAATGGATCTGGTTTTGAATCAGAAGTAGTTATCTTTGGTTAAAAGGCACTTGGATTTTTTTCTAATGTGTATTACATAGCCTTTTATCTTTATTTCTATCTTATTATTGGATGTTACAGCATTAGATGAATTATTAAAGCAATTATGACAATGACAATTATTATCACAAAATACTTTGTTTTGATAACATTCACAATAGAGTTTTATGCATTTTGAATTTTTACAATTACATTTCTTTGATGGTCCCTCTTCAAAAACTTAATCAGATTCTTCCTCTGACATTCTACTTAATAAATTATATGTATAAAATTGATAATTAACACACAAAATTTGAAAATGCTTTAAACATTATTATATAGAAAATAAAAAATGTCTATTAATTTATCAAAGAAATAAAACTAATAAGAGACTTATTAGAAATCAATTGTGTTTCTATAAATAAGAATCAAACTCTTATATTTTATTTTATATATTCTTTCTAGCCCTATTTGTTTCTTTCATTTTTTATTTTACTTGTAAATGAAATTGTTAGATATAAGTATCTTCAATAGGTTTAGCACTAAACTCTTCCAATGGATTCATCGATTGAGGATTCGATATAAGTGATTGATTAACTTCTCTTGTAATTTGATTCTATATTATACTATACATTTTCTCAAGTGTATTATCCTTCTTAGAAGTTGTACTCTAAGGTTGTTTATTAGATTCCTTATCTAACTGATTTTTTCTTATGAATTCTTAGATTTATTGAGAATAAGAAGGTTTCTCACTAGGTTTAATAAGAATTGATATTGATTTTGGAAGAATAGCTTAGTAATTTGGTTCATAATTAGGGAGAGAAGGCTATAATTTCTATATTTTACGATTATGCTTTCTTAATTTAGATTCATGAAATAAATAGCCAAGATTCTTACCCTTGTCTACATTACTCATTTTCCAAACAAATTTATCTTGTGTAATACTTGAATTCAGTTTTTCAATCATCTATTCTAAAACAGGACTCATAACTTTAGTTTCTTTTTTCCTTTCATACATTTCTAAAAGAGCTTTCTTTTCCATCATATCTTTGTATTACTTTGCTTTGATTTATTCTTCTGGAGAAGGTGGTTACAAGTTAACAAGAATAGATAAGTCTAAATTATGAGCACTATTTTCTTTTTTATGTTTCAAAAGAGTATTTTATTAAGTTGATTAAGATGGTTATTATTTAGTTATTGATGCTAGACTTTAAATATGTTTGATTCTAACTCTATTATTCAATTAGTTAGTAGATTTTGATTTTCTTTTGGTATTCAATAATGATCCAATATGATCCCTTTCTTATTTATATGGAAGAAATTAATCATCATCCTCTGTTTATAATTCATTTATATATCTAATAGCCTTCTATCTCACTGACTCTGACTGCATATTATACAATCAATATACTAATTTTATTATAATAGCAAAATACTTGATTAAATTACATTTTATTAAACACTAACTTTAAATATGATATTGAAACTATCCCTTACAATAGTATATTAATTTCTTGTTAAAATATAATATTGTTTAATAAATTGCGATAATAGTCATCTATTATAAACTTTCATTAAATTAATATGAATAATCTTAATGAAATATAATAAATAAAATAAAAATGATAATTTAATACTTAAATTTTGTGAATTTTATTAGAGAATATCCATAAAAGAATTATTTTATATTTTTTAATTCATGTAATCAAAAATAAAAGTAATTTCCTTATTATTCTATTTTTTTAATGTATAATTTATTATGACATAGATATTTTTCTATGAAACTATTAAAGAATAAAACTTTTTGATTGGAGATAGAAAATAATGCATATCTTTGTTAATAATTAAAAAATAACTTTTGAAACAATAGTTAATAAAAAGATAATTTTTATAAATAATATTTTTGTTGATTTTTTTGAATTATTATAAATTCATATATTAATATTCAGACCCCATAATTTAAAAATTGATGATGGATCTTAATTTATTATAAAGTGTAAATTTTTATGTTTACTCAAATTTATAATAAAATACATAGTGTTTATCATTCAATATTATTTGTAAGTTCTTCATTTGTTATACACAATTAATCTGGTTGATTTAATTCATCTTAAAGTTAGAGTTTATTATGACTTATTAGAACCTTTTAGAGAATTTTGTTATCTTTCATAACTTTATAGTTTCTTTTCAGAAGTGAAGAGCAAAGATTATGTAAGTAATCACATTTTTAGGAGAGCTATAATTTATTAATAAATTTATAGTTGTTACTTAATTGAGTTAATCTGAAGAATCATGTTAGACAGACTAATTTATAGGTATAAGTTCATTATGTTATTTTCGTTTAATTTAATTAAGTAGATCCCTAATTAATTAGATTAATACTTTCTTCCTTTTTAGAAATATTCATTTTTAAATTCATTGACACTTCCTCCTCTAGATTTATGAAAATCATACATGTTTAACTAAATATAATAATAAGAACTACTTATCTAATAAAAGAAGAGAAATTTTAATGCTTGAAGTGGATGGGTAGAACAATCGATGAGAATTGACTTATATTCTTGACAGTAAAAGATAGTCCATCTTGATTCCAACTAACTATATCTTCATACATATTATTCTAAATATGTGATCTGAGATACTTCTAAAATGTTGTATGTCTTGAGAATAAAACTAGAAATTTAATTCTTCATTTATAATATATATATTTTAATCACATAATTCTTGCTGTTTTTAATTTATATTCTGCATACATAACAGGTTATTTACTTGGTTTTGACATATGAGTTTTTCTTGAAGAATTTTCTTTTGTTTCATATTAAGTTTTAATACGTTCCCATCTATCATTTTCAGTACAAACTCTTCTTTCAGTAGATTTAGGTCTTTCTGAAATGCGATTATCATATTCTTTTTTCATAATCATAGCAGTAGTATAATTATTTTCATATGATTTTGTTTTATTATGATAAATGCTTAAATTAGGTTTACGTTCTATTGAATTTATTGGTTTATCTACAACTGATTTTATACTTTGATGAGTTCTAACTCTCTAAGTTTGTTTATTTGGTTATTGTAATTTATTTAAAAGATGATAAGTAGTAGTGATTGGATTATGTTTATTATTAATGATCATTTCTTTACATTTTTCACTATCAATTCCAATTGCTTGTAATTATTTAATTATGTTTTAATTGATTGCCAAAGTGCGATGAATTTAAATAGAATAAGAGTATTTACTAATAAAATATATATATAATTACCTTACAAAAGGATGCATCTTAATTTTGGCAATTGTAAATCTATTTAAAGGGTTCTTATTCAATAATCCTTATAATAAGTCTATTACTTAAATACTCAGATGAGAAGGTTTTTGAAAATCAGAATGTTTGATCTTCTCATAAAGTTTTCTTGTGTTTTAATCTTCAAAAGGTACATATCCACAAAGCATAGCATATAGGATTATACCACTTGCCCAAATATCTGTCTTGATACCTTAATATGAAATGCCTGAAACCATTTCTGGAGCAGCATAACAGGGAGAACCACAAGGAGTTGATAATTGATCTGTATATATATTACTTAAACCAAAGTCAACTACTTTTAAGTTGTTATTTTCTAAGAGTAAATTTTCAGGTTTAAGATCTCGATGAGCAACTTTAAGAGAATGCAAATATTCAATGGCTTCAATAATTTATGAAAAGAGTGCTGCAGCTTCATTCTCTGAGAGTCGTTTATTTTTAACTATGTGTTGGAATAGTTCACCTCCACTGACAAACTCCATGATGAGATAAATTTTAGTTTCTGATTCAAGGATTTCATATAGTTAAACAATATTTGGATGACGAAGTTTACGAAGAATATGGATTTCTCTTTAGATTCTTGTGAAATCTGCAGGCTGTTCAATTTTACTCTTCTCAAGAATCTTGATGGCTACAAATTATTGAGTAGGTTTATGAAGACCTCTATAGACTTTACCAAAAGTTCCCTTGCCAATGGACTGCTCTATATAGTTTAAATTATGCACCTATGATATAATTATCAAGTGGATTGGAAGTATTGTGATTAAGACATTGAAGATTATTCATGTTCGTTAATTAATTAATGGGAAATAAGAATATATGTTGTACTTAGGAAGAATAATAGCGATAATCATAAACCCTTGGTTCAGAATGTATTAAGACAATTTCAGAATATTAGTGAAACTTTTCCTCTCTTTTAGTTGGCATGCTCGAGTTAATGAGATCATAAATAGAAATTATAATCACATGCCTTTATTAAATGAATACAAAGTATCACCTACTCTTTAAACTATTCAATAACATTTGCATATTAGAAATCAAATGCTAAGTGATATTTTTTATAGCTTTGTTTAGAATCACAAAGAAATGCAATTTCATTCTTAAATGAAGATTTCATTTGTTTCTACATCTATTATTATATCTGATAATAGTTATCAATCATAATTAGCATAGAGTTTCATAAAGGCAACTGATTTTTAAATTTTACAATCTCTATCCTCAAGTCATCTTGATTTAAAAATGGAAATCAATTAATTTATATATTTCTTTGCTGATCTTATTCTAAAATTTTATAAATCAATTATTAAAATTGATGAAATAAAGATGCTTATTTTGGATGAGTTATTTGGTAACTAAATTTTTTATGACTTTGTCTAATTATAATATGACAAAGGATTGTATTGTTAGATAATTGCTTATTAAAAAAATATTAAGAAGTAGATTAGATCTCAAAATAAATAAGAAAAAGCAGTTGCAATTCTATAAAGTATTGTTACTAAAAGGTCTCCACGTGAAAAATTAATAGTTTTAGATAAGGCAACTTAACAATTAACTTCTTAAAGTAAGATAATAGATGCTGATAAATTTAATGAATTAGTTAATGATTTGATTGTCCATGCTAATATACCTTCATTTGTAACTGAAATAAAAATGATTCATCATTTTGCTGGGGAAATGTATAATGTATTTTTAGGTTTATTAGTGATTCTTTGGGGAGATATGGTTATGTCCTTACTGGTTTTATGGGATTATTAATGTTAATAATATAAGATATTTATTGAGAATTTTATGAGTTATTTTTGATCTATTTGTTATTATAATTTAAAATATCTGTAATATCAATATTGTTTATATTATTCGATATCATTTCTTTATTATTTTGGTTTTAGTTCTCTCAATTTTATGATTATTTTAAGCATTCCTATTAATAAGTTTTAGTATTAAACAAACATTGAATATTCAGATATAAAGGTGTGTCATCATTAGATTTCAAATATATTTATATTTTTTTTAATGAAAATTATTGTCATCTTACTTTTGTTTCTAATCTCATTTGTGTTTGCAGGAACTCTAACCAAGACAGATACATGTATTTGCAAACAAATTTTGAGTTTAATCGATTGTAATGCATAAAGTGATTGTTAATGGAATAGTGCATCAGCTGCATGTGAAATACGTAAATCAACTGATATTGAATCATACTGTTCTCAGAGCACTATCTGTCCTATTACAGGTTGTGCATTCTATAATAAAAAGTGTAAGTCATTTAGTGGTTGTACAGTTTATATAGCTACAACACATGCTGATTGTTAAGCTATCTCTCCCTTATGTACAAGTGATGGAGAAAAATGTATAAATGTAAGTACAATTTGTGATGATTATCTTGTTAAAATAGCTTGTGAAATTAATACTTAACAGTATCCGTGTTTTTGGGATAGTTAGAATAGTAAATGCTAAGAGATATCAGCATGTGATTAATATCCAACTACTTATGATTCCCATGAAAAATGTTAAACTATGGGATTAGTTAAGACAATTAAATGCACAGCCAAAGAAACAGGTGGTTGTATTAACATTGAAGATGATTGTACTAAATATACAGAAAAAGGTTGTGTTATAAATTCTTTGGGTAATTCATGTTTTTGGGATAATGGTACATGCAAAGAGAAAACATGTGTTAATGCTCCAACAACATATATTACTTAAGCATAATGTTAATAATTTATGAGTACATGTTCAGTTAATGAGAATATGTAAGGTTGTATGGATAGTCCTTAATCATGTGAAAATTATACAAAAGAAGGTTAATGTATATCTGTAAATGGATAAATATGTTTTTGGTTTTCAATAACATGTAGTGAAGGATAATAAGATTGTACTGCTAGTTAAGGATGTAAAATATGGTCATGTGAAAATGCATTGAGTACTACTAATACTGATTAATTATGCTAGTAATTTAAGAGTGAATGTACTGTGAATACATCAAATAATGGTTGTATTAAGAGAGCTATAACTTGTAATTTATATACATCATAAAATTAATGTGTAAAAACATTGGATGAATCTTAGAAATGTTATTGGAATGGTACAAGTTGTGTAAATATGACTTGTACAAATGCTGCTTTGACAACATATAATGAATCTACTTGTAATAGATTTATGCCAACATGTACATTAGTAAATGATAAATGTGGAGTCAGAACTTGTAATACATATTTAACAGAAAGTTTATGTAGTGTAGATTATTAAAATCAATAATGTGTTTGGAGTGGTTCTTGTGTTTTAAGGACTTGTTAAAATGCAGATGATGAATATAATACACATATTGAATGTTAGAGTTGGTTGAAAAGTTGTACTGTATAGAAAGATTTAACAGGTTGTTAAACTTAAGAATTAACTTGTACTAATTACTTAAAATAAGAACAATGTTATATGGCTAATAATAATACAATTTAATGTTTATGGATAGATAATAAATGTGTATAAAAGACATGTAGTACTGCTAGTACATTAACATTAACTGATAATGAATGTAATACATATTTAGGAGGATGTATGATAAATAATGATTAAGCTGGTTGTATTGTTAGAAAAACTAATTGTAACGATTTGTTATAATTTTAATGCACATTTACATCAACAGGTTAATTATGTTATTGGAATGGAACTTAATGTGTTGATAGATAATGTATTTAAGCCAAATATAATACTTATAGGGCTTGTTAAACATTTTTATCAACTTGTACTGTTAGTTACGCAGGTACAAACTTTGATGGATGTACAAATAAATTATCATTATGTTCTGAATATCAATATGAATAGAATTGTATAGAGAGTTTAACAGAAGGCAAATGTATTTGGAATAAAAAAGCATCTCCTAATGCATGTTAAGTGAGAAGTTGTGCAAATTCAGATTAAACAACAAGTGATGTAGCTTGTAATAGTCATCTAAATACATGTACTGTAAATGTTGCTAAAACTGGTTGTATTGAGAGATATGATAAATGTTCCTCATTTACAAGTTAAATTAATTGTATTAAAAATAAAATAGGAGAAGAATGTTTATGGTATAATAATGCATGTACAGATAGAACTTGTGATAAAGCAGATAAAACATTTACAACTCATGAGGCTTGTTAATCATATAGTACTAAATGTACAACTAATGGAAAAGGATGCATAAATACTGATGTCTGTACTTCTTATACATTAAAATCTGGATGTGTTATAGATAAAAATAATTAACATTGTGCATTTCAACCTAGTTGCAATGTATTATAATGTTCAGATGCTCCTCAATCTTATTCAACTGATGAAGAATGTAGAAAATTCAAAAATGAATGTACTACTAATGGAAGTGGATGTGTACTTAGAACAACTTGTACTGATGCATATATCTAAGAAGCTTGTATTACTGATTCAACTAATAACAAATGTGCATGGATCAATAATAAATGTGTAAATTTTGGATGCAGCAGTGCTCCAAGTAAATATATTACAGAAAAAGAATGTTAATTATATAAATTGGGTTGTACAGTAAATCAATCAGGTGGATGTATTGAAAAGGGTACTTGTAAAGATGCTAAATTATAAGCAGCATGTACTACTGATAAAGATGGAAATGAATGTGAATTTTCTGCTGCTGGATGTAGAGATAAAGTTTGTAGTGATTACAATTTTACAACTCATAAAGAATGTTAATAAGCAAAGAGTACATGTACTACAGATGGAATTAAATGTGTTAATTAATAAACTTGTAGTCAAAAAACAAAGAATGGATGTTTTTATGGAACTGATGGACCATGTTTATGGATTAATGATGCATGTTATCCTTATACATCATGTTAATCACTTATATTTAGTGATCATACATAATGTTATTCATTTAGTAATGAATGCACTACTGATGGATTATCATGTATTGCAATTGATAAATGTTCCAATTTTTCTGAATAAAGTTGTTTTTAAGGAACAGATGGTAGGTGTGTATATACACCTGATTCATTAAATGGATAAAGTAAATGTAAAGTATATGATGGATGTAAATCTGCTTTTTTTAATACTCATATTTAATGTTAACTTGTTGATCCTACTTGTACAACTGATGAAGTTAGTTGTGTTGATTTATAAGATTGTACTTCATATACTAAATAAAGTACTTGTAATATTGATCAAAAAAGAAATAAATGCTATTATGATGAGAAAGAAAAGAAATGTGTTCAATTAGAATGTAAACATGTAACTCTAACAACACATTAAGAATGCTATGATAGTTTATCAACTTGCACTACAGATAATACTAAATGTATTAATATGGGTAAATGTGAAACATATGCTAAAGAATATTGCAATACTTCATTAGGTACAGATGGTAGATGTTTATATGATCCAAATATTACCAAATGTCGTATTGCATAATGCACAGAATTAAATAATAATTGTTCTTAAATAACTAATTGTGTTGACAGTGGTATTGGCTGTGTTATTAAAGCAACTTGTGATAAATATTAAACTGCAATTGCATGTTCATAAGGAGGAACTAATGGTTTATGTGTATGGTATTTAAACAATGGAGAAGGAGCTTGTAAACTAATGTCTTCCTGTTCTGATGGCTCATCAAATAAAGAAGCTTGTTTATTAAAATCATGGAATTGTTAATGGACTGAAACATCATCTCAAACTGCCTGTGCTTAACACACTTGCTCATCTAAATTTAAAGAAACAGGAGTATGCTAACCTATTCTAGATTTTGAATAAAAAAATTATGAATTATGTGCTTTGACAAGTTCCTAATGTATTTCAATGGAATTTGCATCATTAACCGAAAGTAATTGCTTCTCAGCCACAGCTTATACCTACACTTGGGATTCTGCTAATTCTATATGTTTAAAATGTGGAACAACTTTTACAAACAACTCTAATAATCAAAATAATAATTCTGATAACTAAACCAATTAAACAGATTCTAACAATCATTCCCCTATATTATTTACATTCATCATAATGATTATTAGTATATATATATGAATTTCATAAATCTTCCAAATTAAGTATATCAAAGTTCTCCTTTTATACTTCTTACTAATTATCATACCATTTCAACAGCTTTCCTTCTTGCCATTCACCAAATCTTGTTTACCCATTTTCTAATACTACCTTACCCTTCCCATTAGGCTTAGATGACTTAAAACTACCCTCATAACTCCTTCCATCTAATATATTCTTGAATCTTATACTTCCCCACTTGAATATTCCATACCCATTTGGAGCATCTTTATTAAATAAGCCTAGATATTAACAACCATTGGCCCATTTCATCTATCCTTATCCACACATATAATCTTCAAACCACTCCCCCTAATATTCCTTACCATTCTTCCAAATTTGTACTCCTTAACCATGTCGCTTATTATTTATCCATAATCCTGTATATTATGAACCATCACTCCATTTATATGTACCCTATCCTTATTTTATACCTTCATAAAAATATCCTTCATAGCTACTTCCATCCTCCCAAGTTTCAATTCCAAATCCTTATTATAGATCATCTTTCCATTACCCTTCGTACTTACCTCCATTCTAAGATTAAAAAGTTCCTTAACCATTCTATTTATCATTCTCCCATTCTCCTTCATAATAATCACCATCTGGATATATAAATTTGCCCTATCCATTTGCTTTATTATTTTTCCATTCCCCTTAATATTCAGAACCATCTGGCCATTTCAATATTCCATAACCTTCCCTCTTATTGCCAATCCAATCTCCCAAGTACACTCCTCCACTCTTTAAAGTCACAGCTAACTACTTTGTTCTCTCTTAAGTTTTTGTGGCTTGACTGGAATCCATCCCTTTTTACTTCTTCTTGTAATTGTACTTAATATTAATTTATCGAGCATCAAGACGTTTCGATTCTACATCATCACATGGTTCCATATCTTCGGGATACTAGTAATTGTTACAACACTATGCTCCCATTAAATATAAAAAATATAAAATGAATTAAGACGGATTCGAATATTTTGATGAAGGTAATCATTGACTAAATTTATTAAATAGATATTATAAGTAGTAGGCCCTTGGAACATTTTCACTAAGTGAATCAATCTCCTCAATAAAAGAATTTCAATTTTCTAGTTGTTTAAAAAATGAATGTAGAAGGACCTAGTATAATGTAAAAATACTTAGTTGAGCCACTATAACATGTTGGTTAGACAGCAGTTGAAGTAGAATTTTAATAAATATACAATAGGGTACAAAAAATGCTCTATTCTAACTCCCATAATGGTTTAAATGGGGAGCATCGGAATTATTCAATAAATTATCATCTACTTTACATAAAACTCTAGAATCAAAACAACCTCAATAAGAGTAGAACTAATAAATACAACCAAATCCACCTTAAGAAGATAATATAGATGAAATTCCTATTGTTTTTGTTGTTCCAAAGGAAGTTATGGAAGGACCAATCGCTGATAGATTAAGATGGATTGATAAACACAGAGATAACTGTGAAGTTTTCATTCCTTTCGAAAAACCATTAAAGTATGAATTATTTATTCATAAAGATTGGAAAATTTTAATGGGATACAAAGTTCTTCATCATCTTCAAGTAGTCCTGATGATTGTGATTTTTAAGTTAGAAGAATTTCATAAGAATTTAGATCTGAATATTCTGCGTCTGAATTATTTCCATCTACATAAAGTATGAAATCAAAATTGATGTAATCAAACAAAAGATTTATCATGTCTTAAGATGATTATAAATTATTAACTTAATAGAATAATGAAAATTAAAATTAAACTGAACCTTAAAATATTATACTTTATCCCTTTTTAGGTGATTTGATTCCAAAAGAATAAGTATTAGAACAAATTAAATAATACTAATTTTAATAATCAACTTTTACTGTTATTTAACCAGATATGGAATAAATATAAACCTAATAAATTCCATAATAGAATTAATATGATCAATAAGATCAAAATAAATAAAATTAATTTGTTCCTCTATCGTTAAATGGAATAAAATTTGAAGAGAATGATTGGAAATTAAAATAACAATAATAATAATAATAATAATAATAATAATATAAATTAATATAAGAATAAGATTAAGAATAATAATTAGAGGCTATGTTAGAAGTTTGATTATTCTTATTTTTTTAACTATAGATGATAAAAAATTTTAAAAACTAAAAATTTTGTATAATATCATCAAATTTTTGTTATATATTTGAATTAATAGAATTTCATTAAAATTGAGAAAAGTTCTTTTATAATTTTAGCAAAAAATAAATAATCTTGATAAATAAACTTTATAATGATATTATGAATTTTGAATTTTTATAATTCATTCATTTTCCATATCCATCTCTTAATCAATCAAATTTAATGCAAACTTTTAGGCATCAATTATTTCTTATAAAGACCATGGAATCTTACATTTTGAATTTTTCAAAATAGACTACTCCATTTTCAATCTTATAAAATTTCTAAAATATTCTTCATCATCATTTTTAGCACTATTCATCTAATAATCTTTTAAAGCTTCCTAATACATTCTAGAACAAAACTTTATAAATTTTGATAGCTTGTAACTCATTTCTTCTTGAACTTCTCTGACGAAATGATTTAGAACATAATCTTTGATTTCCGATCTAAAACTTTACGATTTTAATATTGTTCTTATGTAGGGCTAGTTGAATGATTTAAAGCCTGATTAATAAGTTATGATCCCTATTTACATTTTTCTTTAATAGTAATAGACACTTACTTTTAAGGGTGAATAAAATATGTCAGATGTTTATTCATTTTCAAAGAGAGCTCTTTGAAATGATTCTCGTAAAAATCAATTTATTATTGATTTTACTTCTTTTTTTTGGCAATTTTCAATTAATTCTAATAAAACTTCTGTTCTGCTTTCTTGAAACCTTTCTTGAATACTAGTTTTTATTTCTCTTCAACTCTTTTGTTGTTTAAGGCAGATTTTTAGGTGTACATTTCATATGTTAGTCTTTCTTCATCATTCAATTTTTATAGCTCTTAGTCTGTAGAAGGAAGTCCTTATTAAGCATAATTGAGTTAATAAAAAAGAGGGTTATTTTTCATCTATTCATATATATCTGGATTATGACCATTTTTCTCTATTTAAGATAACATCGCTTGTGATTCTTCATCTGGTGTATCTATAAATTAAGGTGTAATTTTTGATACTTAATCCATTTTTTTTTATTATATTATTTGCATTTAATATTTGCAGATTAATTTAAAAGTCTAGATATTCTTTTATAAGTTATATTGTATCAATCAGAATTCTATACTTAAAATATGAAATTCACAATCAATTGAATATACACTGTACAATTTATACAATAATTTAATAAACGAATTCTGTAAAACTATAATAGAGAATTCTAAATTTATGATTATACTACTATATGTTAATAAAGTTAATTGTATAACTAAAATTATTTAAAATTTTAGACAAGTAAAATTTCTTGAATAAAAAGAAAGAAAAAATAAAACAGTCAATCATTTTAAATTAAATTGTTTATGTAGAATTGAATAATGAAAATAGTTTAAGTCAATATTAATAAACTAAATTTATATATAAAGAATATAAAATTAACAATGAAATTAAGTAATTATTATTCTTTATTAATAGTTAGATTAAGTTACTAATAAATTTGTTTAAATAATTTTAAACTGAATTAAAAATAATTTAAGATGAAATCATTAATTTCATAACTTTTTAAGATAATTAAATAAAGAGTATAAATTATATTTAATAAATATCTTTCAGTCAATAATTATATTTATACTCTATATTTATTCCATTTGTTAATGATAAATGAATATTATACCCAAACAATTTTATTTGTAATTTTCTAAAAGAGATAGCAAGAACCAACTTGAATGTATTCTAATTTTGGTTGACTAAGATATTAGTTAAGGGAAACGTTTTCAAATTTATGATTTTGTTATTATTTAAAAGCTTATTATGTTTCACCCAAAAGCGAAACATAAATTGAATTAATTATCCATTTTAATTTGATTTATAAATAAAATAGGTTTTTATTAATCAGCAATATTTTTTAATATTTTGAGTTTGGATTTGTAATTTATTAAAATCAAATTTAAAAGAGAATCATAAAGATTTGAAATAATTTCATTTTCTCCTTTGATTTGCAAAATTTGAAATGTAACTACTAAGTAAAAAAAATAAATGAATGCATTAATCAATTTTTGTATTATATTAATATTTAACAGTTAATATATATATATATATATAAATCATAGCATTTATCTAATTTCACAAAGTTATCCCCTAAAATCTTCACTCATTTTATCAAGTGCATTTTTGATAGTTTAATTCACAACAATCAATAATTAGTCATTAAATTCTGCATTTGGATCAGTTCCCAATTTATCATCAATACTACGAACAATTTATTAAGATCCTTCTTTCAATTTTGCTTCATACCACCTACTGATAGTATTAAATTTTACCTATATAAACAATTAATAGATGATTCTAGATCCTTAATTCTTTAATCTACCTATTACACCTCTAATTAAGGTTTTTAAGGCATAGATTCTATTTCTCTTAATTTTCTTTCAGCACATCTTTCCTATATAATATTATGAATATTGAATACAAGTCTTCCTTATTTTTATTCATTGATATCTTGTTTTTTTTATACTTATTTAACATTTGCTTCTGTTCTTTGTATTGATGGAATGTATTCAATCATTTGTAATAGAGGGAGTAGTGCATCTTATTATAAACTTACTCTATTTAAATCAGCTATAAAATAATTGTTATATTGAATACATTCAAATTTATCTGTTCTTGCTTCAATTGATTAGTCTAGATCACTCATTTTAACGGATTAATTGATATTTTATATTATTTATATTATTATTATTTAAATCAATTGAATTTGAGAATGCCTAATAATAATAATAACACTATTATGATGACTATTCCTATTTTTATGAATTTATCATTTTTTTCTTCTAATATTGGTTAGAAATTATTTATATTTTATTCTTATATTTTTTGTTTGGATTCCATAATAACCGGTCTTTATATTAGTTAATCAGTTTAAAAATGTATTGGTTTATCAAATTCGGATACTCTTATATCTGAATGCATATTAGGATTAGATAATATTTATGGTTTTAGATTAAATAATGAATTTTTTTGAATGTTAATTGGGATTTATTTTTATTAAAAAATTCTCTCCTTTTATCTACTGTTGGTTCTAGATATTCAATATTAATAAATACAATGAATTATAAGAAGATTATTATAATGAACTTGAATAAAAAGATGTCTATGTATTGGTTATTGGACTAACTGATTTTGATAACTAAGACATATAAATATTTGACTAAGGATAGTAATCATCAAACTATTCATTGTAATACTTACAATGGGTTTTTTTATTTGCATTCTTTATGAGTAATTCATAGGATAGTTATTAAATATTATTAATATTTTATTAACTAAAACTAATTGAATTTATATAATTATATGAGAGAATCGTTATATTAATTATATTATTAAATATCCCTTTTTTTAGCATGTAATGGTGTAAATTATTGAGATGAAAAAATAAGGACAAGACTATCTGTTATATTTAATATCAAGGAAGATCTAAAATATGAAGGTATTTTAAATCTAATCATTCTGGAAAAATCAAATATTTTGAAAATCCAAAAAAAAAGACGAAGTATTCATTAAACCAAGGTTAGCTCAATAATAAATGTTATTTACTTAAGAAATCAAGTCTAATTTAATTGTTTTTTTTTTAATATAATAGTTGAAAATTATAAAAGTTGGAACTTTGTACATGAAAAATAGTTTATTTTTTAATAGAAAATTGATATAGCCATAAAAGAGAGGAAATTTATTTAATAATCAGTTGTTTTTACAAAATTCACTACTCCCTTTATTAATCTAATGAAAACAAAAATAATTTTTGCATAATTCTATTATAATAATCATTCTAGCTTCAATTAAAGAATATCATCAAATGATGGAACGGTTATTAGTATAAAAGTAAATAAAGTACTTGAAATTGAGAATCTCATCAAAATTGATAAATGAAACACTCATCAGTAATAATTTATAAGATAAATAGAAAATCATTAAAATAATTAGAGATGCTGAATATAGATAAAGAATTTAATATTCAAACACTAATCTCTTCTTTTTTTCAGAAAATATTAAATTATTTATATGATTATCATTTAGGAATGCCTTTCAGAAAGATCTTAATTAGAGTATCTAATTATTTTTGAATAGAAGTTAAACTAAGATACAAAATTTTAGATTTTAGATCTTGTTTAAAAGTGTCACTTTAATTCATTTAAATAATAAAGGTGATTTCAAGTTTTATTTTTTAATTCAATTCATAAAAGAGATATTAGTGTAATACTAATAACAAGTTTATAATACAATTACTAAATAGAAATTATTGATATATACAATATTTAAGGATGAGTGATAGAATATAAAAATATTATTAAAAATATTAAATATAAAATGAATAATGATATAAAGAAATTATACTGCCGATTTGTTACAGGAATGACTGTAGAATTGGATATAAAACCAGAAACAAAAACTGTATAATAATTAAAGAATCAACTTGCTGAAATTATTAATTTAACTGCGGATAGACTATATATTGGATTTGAAACAACACTTTTGGAGGATAATGAATATCTTGGGAACAAAGGAATAACAGATTGTGACACTGTTCATGTGATTACCTCTTAATTGACTGAAAAAATATGTTATAGAAATAAAAAATGAGATAATGATATCCATTCAGATATATTCATTATATTTGTATAATTTAATTCGTATAAATGGATTCTAATAGATATATACTTAGTCATTCCATAAAGGATTCTAAATTAAGAATAATCATTATTTTGCAGTATGTATCAGATTTTTAATTTTCTTATTGTCTATTAAAAATCATCCTTAAATAATTTATATATAAAAATTTATAAATGGATCTATAGGATTAAATATTTCAAAAGGAAACTAATTTAGAAATATATACAAACAATCTATATAATTACGAAATATTTAAAAGAATTACATGGTTTTTAAGCTTATAGGATGTATTAAGTTTGGGAGCAACTTCCCGTATTTTAAATGAATTTGTCGAAGTTTCATATTAAATATATATAGATAGAAACATTATTAATTCTTTGCAGAGAATTACTATAAATAATTTCTTAAAGATTAACTTGAAATAGCTCTTGAAATTTATTATCCTGATAATATTTAAAGAAATAAAATTCGTTTAAGTAATTTTGATATTTGTTCTCTCGATTGGAAACTTCAATATAAAAAGATGTTATAATAGAAGTAAGATAATTAAATAAGTTGCAATAGAAAAACATTGAAAATTCCATTTTTACTTTGTGAATCAGTATTTCCAAAACCTATTTTAAAGAGAGAAACAATAGGATTGTATTGTGAATCAGAATTTTAAATAATGCTTGCTTAGCGTTTGGAATTAGAATAAAAAGGGTTTGATAGATTGTTTAACTTTTAATTCATTTCAAATGAGGTATTTAAAATATGATTTAAATTATAGCTAATGAACTAGTTAAAATAAAATAAACAATAAATAATAGATTTAATGTACGAAAAATTAAATAATAATAAGGAAATACTTAAATCAAGATTTTTAAAATTAAGATGGAATTTATAAAATGAATCTTATGAATTTGAAGAATAAATACCTCTAATTAAAGTAGAATCTTAAAATATGCAAATTGAAGAACAGTAAGAAGAAGTTTAATTTGATTAAATTTGCATTATTGATCTTTTAGAATAATTGTATAGTTCTGTTGAATGTTATTTGTAGGGATTATAAATGTATTTTTCTACATTTATCACCATAAATTCTACAAATAGTGTAGATCTATTAAGTGAATATGTAATGTATTGGGAAGCATATAGTAATTCCATTTTAGATTTAAATGGCATAATATATCCCTTAGAAAATATTGTGAATGAAATACATCAAAAGTGTTTTCCTCAATATCCCTAATATCCTAAATTTTCAGTTTGGAGAATAATGTGTTAATTGTGGATAAAACATGTAATATAATATTTTATTAAAGATAATTAGAAATGAATAATTTTAATAATTACTTTTAGAATGTTTTATAAGAACTATGTAAGCAGAAAGATAAAAGTAGTTTCTTAAAGAATTTGATCAAGGTGTTAATTAAGACTTAGGTTTTACTCCATCATTTTAAATTACTTATGAAATTTATGATAATTTTTTACTTAAATAAAAAAATAGCATAAAAGATTAATTTCAGATTGAATCTTATCATAAATTTTATACAGAAATAGTAGATTTATTAAAAAATTTTAATAAATCAATATAAGATATTTCAATTAATGAAGTATATTATTTTTTGATAAAATAATATTAGGTATCTGTTCATTGGATTGGTCATTTGGATTGTTGTTATGAAGAATTTTATGAGTAATTAAGTGAGAGAGTTTAACATGAAACAAGTTTATACTATGATGAAACTAAATAAGTTTTTGGATCTAATGTAGCTTCTTATATAGAATTTATGAATTTTGATAAAGAGTAAAAAATATTTATTATTATTTTAGATTTTTATCTCAATTTTTGTCAGAACCTATCATTTTTAAAATTGAAAATCTACAACATGAACATATTTATACATATTTGTATTATTATCTAGAGCATTCTTATCTTTTAAGGTTTATTTAAACTCATAAAGATTAAATTTCTAATGCATATAATACACAAAAAACAATAACTCCAAAATAAGAAAGAACATCAGTTACATCATCAAATAATAATGAGCATTTAGATACTTAAGGTGATGCAATATTAAATGATGCTTAAAGATTTTTTAATTTTGCTTTAGAAAATAGTAATTTTGATTTAGATGAACTATTGATTAGCAAAAAAAATTAAAATCAACAAGAACCCTTATTAGAAGTGATTAAAGTAGCATTATCTCAAAAAAACCTTGAATAATAAATAATAGAATAAGATCAATTTGATTAATTTGATTAATTTTAATCTCAAGGTTATTTCGAATTAAATAGATAACCTAAAATACAAAGAACATATTCTAATAATAAATGTACATATAATTTAAATAATTATAGTAAATTCTGATTAGATAGAAGTTCCAGAAGAAATAATAAGATCTGCTAAACAATATCTATTAAATGATACTGAATTTTCCAAACTTTATCACATTTTCACTGATTATACTAAGCAATTTGAAAAAACTTAGATCTAAGTAATTTAAAAAAATTAAGATATTGAATTATTAAATAATGATAGAGAAATTCCAAGAGTAATATTTTTTCTTATTTATTTTTCTAGGTTCTATAGGATTATCTTTCATACTTTTATTATGTATCCAAAAATATAACAAAATCTATACTAGAAGATAACAAAATTGAAAATGATGAAGATCTAGATGATCTTGAAATTCCCCCTGATCTCTCAAAGAATTCATCCAAATTAAAAAGTAGTATAATATTTATAATATTAAGAAAACTCTTTATATATGGAGGTTTATTATTCAGATGAGGAAGATGAGAATTAAGGATGAATTCTAATAACAATGAATTTATTAATTTAATTTAGACTAACCATATTCTCATTATAAACTTCGAAATAAATTATTAAAATATCTTAAAATATTTATATTTAAAGGATCAAATAAATCAATTTAGATTATTCTATAGCTTTATTTATCATTTAAATTCTAAATATTTATTTAAATAAAACAACAAATAATTTGATTGTCTAGAAAAAGAAATTAATTTATATTGTTCTAGAATCTTAAAATCAATATATTATTAACAAATTTTTAAATAATTTGATTCAGAAAAAAAATTAATATAAATTCGATACTCTAATTCATTAATATAGATATATATTATTTATAATCAATTAATTCCTTATTTTATTATTTTCAACATCTTTTTATTCAATTCTTGCTTTCCATTTTCTAAATACTTAAATTAATTTTTAAACAAATCAAAATCAAATTCAGGATCATTTAAATTGTACGAAAAGGCTTCCCAAATTTTACACATTTCACATTTTCTTCCTTAGCTTTCAGATAAGATTTAAGAAAAACTTAATATTTTATTTTATAAAGTAGACAGAGCATCTGACTCTTAAGGTTTTTTATTTATCATTTTAAATATTTCACTATTAATGTTATTCCCCTAAGATAATGTATATTGTTTAATAATTGAATTAAATTATTTTAAAGGCCTAAAAACAACTAATATAACTATAATCTAAACAATTAGAGCTATAAATCCTAACATAATTTAGACAAAAAGTGAGATTGTAAAATTAAAGAAAGATTTCTCCCTTATTGCTTCTGATTTATTCTGAGAATCTATTTTAGTAGTGATATTAGTATATCTTTTATAAATAATAATAATTACACAATTAAAGTGAAATTATTCTTTAAGACTTCTAGAGAATAAATATTTACTTTCTCTTTCTATAGTTTATTCTCTAAAACCAATATTACTCTTTCCCTTTAATTTGAAAATTAAATCATTTCTTCCCAATCAGTTTTATTAAAACCAGTAATATTTTCATCATATATATAAAAATAATCCGTTTTATTTATCAATTTCTCTATGTTAAAATATACTACTAAACCCTCTTAATCTAATAATAAAACATTATATGGAACAGCAGGTATCAATTAGTTATTTACTAATAATCCCTCTTTAATTATTCCTATCATTTAATCTTTCTTATATATTGAATTTGTTATTGACATTTCTTTAGTTTGAGAAGCAAAGGCTTCATTAAGAGGTGAAAAAACAAAACCTGTATTTGAATCAGCTTCTGTTTTAAGTAAATGATTTTAATACCTTCAAATAAATATTAACTGTTTACCAAAATCTTTATGTGATATCGTAAGAAGGAAATAATAAGCCTGAAGGGAATTAAGCAAAATATTTTGTTTAAGAAATTGATGCTATTTGAAGTTTTCCAGTAAATGGAACATTAATAACTAAGCTATAGTGATTTAGAAATGAAATAAATTCGTGAAGAAGGAGAACTTCTTTTTCATCTTATGGTATAGAAATATAATCAGGAACTCCAATAGCTTAATAACAAAATTTCGGGGTCTAGAACTCCTTCTTAACCTAAATAAAATTTTTCATAGATATGCAAGGATTCATTTTATAATTATTTACTATATTTTCCTTCTCAATATCAAAAAAATTATAAAATTGCTTTATTTGTTCTATTTATTAGAGAACTAATATGAATTAAGCTAAATTAATACCTGTTATAAATTTTAATTCTATAATTATTGCAACATTTTAAGCTATAAAGCCAATCTAATCTTAATCTTATACTTAAAGTATCTGAATTAATGAGCTTGATGAAATTGCTGAAAATATTTCTGTTTAGACATAGTAATTAATCCAAACTATTGAAAGTACAATAACAAGAGTAATCACATTAAATAAAATGATTTAACTTTTCATGGTCAATGATTTAAAATGTTAGGCAATTTTGGCAAACATAAAAAGTACTTGGTGATTATTAATTAAATATATAAAAATATTTAACTTAATAATTACAATTATTATCTTCTAAATATTATTTATAAGTATGTCAAAACAAAAAAATTGTCAAAAATATTATTCAGTGTTAGATAGTTAGATAATGAATAATAATAAAATAAATGAAAATTATTTTGAAATGGATTATTTATTCTTTAAATAAAAATTTATTCTAAACAATTATAATTATAATCATTTAATTTGAAAATATAAAAATGTTATAAAATTCATTAATAATATATAATATTATGCAATCTAAATTTTTCATTTAAAATTTCGTTCTTTTTATTAATAAATAAAGACAAAGGAATAAGTTTAAATTCTCCATATTTATAATATAAAATCAAGCATTTATGGAATACATTATTAATTAATATCGAATTAATTTATATTTTTTAAATTATAATTTCGTAGAATTGGATGATATTTTATTAGATTTAGTAAGTTGTGAAATGATACTAAAGAAGAATCATAAACAAAATTATACTTTTAATGATAATTTTAAACTAAAAATATTTAACAATTATTTATATTATAAATAAGAACATTATTAATAAATTTTTAAGAATAAATGAGGAAATTTTAGTTTATTATGATTTTCCATAATTCTTCCTGAGAGGTTAAATAGAACAATATATTTTAATACAGTTTTAGTAATCTGCAAACTAAATATGAACAATTTTGAATCATTTTCATTATATTTAAAAGTTCCAATCATAAATTTTAGAATAAGCCACAAAAATACAGAAATACATTTTATCAATAAAATATTCTGAAGAATAAAAGTATTTTTAAATAATATATTATTATTATATACTAATTATATAATCATAATGAAACCAATTATAAGCCAACTTAAGAAATATATTAATTAGAAAACTTTTCCACTTAGGTCTTAGTATCTTTAAGGATCTAATTTAAAGTTACTAATGTTTCTATTTGCAATGAAAAAACTTGAGCGAATATTAGTTTCATTGAGCTTCCCTTTGGTAATGGAGTTGCATCAGCTTTTTATTATTTTTGTAATTTATTCATATGAACAAAAAATTCTAATGGTGGTGCCTATTTGTTTATCAAATATTGTGTGATTTCAGAAAGTTAGGTAATAAAATGTTTGGTATCCTCTATTTTAATTTTTGTTTCTTAACTTTTTGTATAAAAAATTTCAAATTATTCCTATAATTCTCTTAACCATTTAGCATCTTCTTTTTTTTATTGTTTTAATTATTCATTTTCTAATATTAAAGTCTACATAGTGGCTTCCATTTCTTTTAATCTAAAATCGTTATTTTAATTTTTTTCTAGGCTTTATTCTAAAAATTTGATTTATTCTTATAATGCTAATTCTACATTCATTGCATTTTTCTTTCCTATTTCTAATTCTTTAGTGATACGATTAATTGTATTTTAATACTATTAAATCATTAAATCCTTTTCTTTTTTTAGTGCATTAATTGTTTTATCCAATTGATCAATCTACTTCTCTTTGGAGTTCACTTTCTCTTTCAAAGCTGCATTTTCCATTCTGATTCTAGTTAAGTCATCTCGATTAGGACTAACAGAAGCAATCTGATCAATATGTGATTGTTTAACAGATATTGGAGAAGACTAGAAGGTTATATAGTATTCTTACCGAATCGATAAGACGAGAGAGTTCAGATTTATTGGGAACCACAGAATTCTATTTTGTTGATTTTCTAGTACTTACATAACTCCTTTCAATGCTACTGCTCTTAAAATTACTATTCCCGTACATTATAGTCTATTAATTTTGAATCCAATACTAATGCATAAATATCTCTGGCTTAAGCAGATAGCTTTTGGCTATGTTAATCAAGTTTTTGTTAATTTTTCTCAATTACTTTAATTAGATCGATATTCATTAATTATATAATTAAAAAAAAAAGTCATAAAATCAAGAATAGAACAGCTTTTACAGGAAGTTCATAAAAGTTATTGGATTAATGTTGAAAATAGTAATTCTTATGAAATTTGAAATGCCTAACTATAAAGTAAAATATTTTGTCTTTTATGATATAATCTAATAAAAATACTGAAACAATAAATAAACATGATAGATTTGTTAAATTGGAGTTAAAATCAAAAAAGATTGACTCTTAGATTCTAATTGAAATTTTTTATTATTTATAATGGAATTATACTTATAATTCATTCAAAGTTAAAAAAAGGATGTCCTAACAAAAAAATAGTATAAATTCTTAGCAGATGAAGCAATAACAAGTGGTTCTGATTATGATTAAGATTCTAAGCCTTTAGAAGGATACAAAATTAAGGAAAGACGTCGTTTAGGTCAAAATTACTATAGAAGAAGATTATTATCGGCAAAACATACAATAAAGAGAAAGTTTAGTCTTAATTGGGATCGTATTACTATTAGATTTAGAAGATTTTATAACAAAATAAAATAATTAGTTACTTTAAAAAAGCCTTACACTTTTAGTCCAGATGGTTCATTGAAAATGTTATGGGATCTATTATGTTTATTATTAGTAATTTATGAGATGATAGCAATTCCTTTGATGATAAGTTTTGAGATTGAAATAAGTAAATCATTTTCAAGTATAAGTGCTACTATATTCATATTTGATATTGTTCTGAATTTTAACACAGGTGTTTATTTAGAAGGTAAATTAAATATGGATAGAAAAGAAATATTTAAAGAATATGTAAGATTTTGGTTTTGGATTGACTTTGTTTCTACATTTCCTTATGATATAATAATAGATGAATCGTCTACATTAGTCTAAAGTGCAAAATTAATAAGATTACTGAAATTTTTGAGATTTGTAAAAGTCTTAAAGTTAATAAGGTTAGCTAAGTTAAAAAAAATAATAGATAAATTTGATGAATTATTATCAATGAGACCTGGTGTAGCAGCAATAGTTAATTTTTGTAAGTTATTTTTTTTTGTATTATTTTTTGCACATATACTTGGTTGCATATTCCATTATTTAGCATAATAAGAACCAAGTGATGATTCATGGCTTGGAGATATTTATTTTGCTGATTGGTAAATTAGATATGTTAATTCTTTATATTGGGGAATAGCAACAATGACTACTGTAGGATATGGTGATATAAGTCCATAAACACCTTAAGAAAGATTTATTGGTATATTGCTTTTATTAATTGCTTGTGGGGGGTTTGCATTTACAATGAATTCAATAGGATTTGCACTTTAAGAAATTAATGGATAAAACAAATTGAAAAAAGAGAAAATTAATAGTATAAATAGGTTTATGAAAAAAGTAGGGATTTCTAATTAATTATAAAATAGAATTAGAAGATATATTGAATTTGTAATGGATTCTAAATCTTTAGTATTATAAGATTTAACAAATTAAGTTTAAATTGAATTAGCTAATCATTTAAGAAAATAAGTAAATGGTAAATTACTAGGATATTGTAATATTTTATTGAAAAATAATTCTTAATAATTTCTAATTGAGGTTGTATTACCAAATATGATAGAAAAAATTTATAATCCAGAAGAAGTTATTTTTGATGAATTTGATTTTTAATAAAATTATGATATGTTCATAATCAAATCAGGATAAGTTGATATATTTTATAAAAAAACTGGTATAGTGATAGATTAAAAGAGAAAAAATGATTATTTTGGTGAAATAAGCTTTTATTCAAATATGTCAAGATCTGCAAGTACTAGAAGTGTTAATTTCTCAAGCATATTTCAAATAGCTTAAAGCCAATTTTAGTAAAGTTTAAAAGCATTTCAAGATTCTTTATAAACTACATCTTGTCGAAATTTCGATTTAGAACGGTATTAAATGATAAGGAATAAGATAGTCTTTCATAAGGATTATGGATCTATTGGTGTGAGATGTTTTGTATGTTCAATGGATGATCATATAGCAAGAGATTGTGATAAATTACATTTTAATGTGTAAAATTAGTTTTTATCTTAGATCAGCCACACATTTTATAAAATTTCTAAAATAATTTGATAAATTACATTAAGCAGCTTATTTTAGAAGAGATAGAATTGATTTTAATGCAAGAAAGTGTATATCACAAATCTAATAAGCATAAAAAAGATTTGAAACTTCAAAATTAATAAATTTAAATTTAAAAAGAAAGACTTATTTAGAAGATCTTCTTAATAGTTATAATTTAGTTGAAGAAGAAATGTTGGATAATTAATATCCTGAATATCAGATCTTTACTCTTAAATAAAAAAGTAGAATGAAGAGTATAAAATATTTAAATGGTAGGATGACAAGAAAGATTACTAATATATATACTCATACTTCAATAAGTGAAAAATATTTAGGAGGTTTAACAGAAAAAATAGATAATTTAATATTAAAGACAAAAAAAAAAGAGATGGAAGATAGATTTAAATAGCTTCATTTTAGTTCTATATCTAATTTTGATTAAATTTCAGAATTTACTCATTTTTATCCAGAAGGTAATTTTTCAATGGTTCTAAACTAATATTTAAGAGCCTTAGAAAAAGGGTTTCCAAAAATAATAGAAATTGAAACATTATTTGGAATTGAGGAATTTCAAAATTATTCTTAATATTATTGTTATAAATTAGAAATTGATGCAGAAATTAAAAATAGAAATAATAATGTTGAGATGAATTTCGAATAAATGAGATTGCTAAATATGGATAGAAGATAGAAAAAAAAAGAAAAAGTAATTAAAGATGCAAATCAATAAATTTAAAAATCACTTGTTTAATTAAAAGCTTATAAAGCAATAAATCGTAGTTTTAGAAATCTATTTGTTAAATGATGTTAAAATATATCACTTTTTTATATTTATTAACTAACAACTAATATCAATGTATAAATTTATAATAAATCCCCATAATTTTAATTAATGTGAATATATAAGTGATAACATATAAATATATCATAAGTTTGATTGTTCTTTGATATATTATCTAAATAACTATTTCCCTTAAAAAAGATTCTTATTTAATTATATTTGAATAAAACCTTTAGAATAACAACATTTTATTATTCTAATTTTAGATAATAATATGTTATAAGATTAATAAGTTATTACAAAAATAGAAATAGAAATAAAAACTTAAAATTATAATGAATAGTATTATTCAAAAAGGATAAGTTAAGTAAATAATTATTTAAATCTATTGAACCAATATAATATAATAATATTTATCAACAAAATAAGAAAATAAAATAATAGTTATTTTGATTTTGGAATTGATATTTTCAATTAATTTTAGTACTCCTTGTCAATTAATTAGAGTAAAAGTTCTTAGACTTTTATTGTCTTGAATTTTAATTCAAACGTTAGCTTTAATATTCTATAACTTAAGGTGGTTATTCATAAGACTAATTTTCATCTGAATCTATTCCTATTAGATTATGATATATCATATACCTAAATTTGTGCTAATTTCATGACTATCTAACATATCATTCATCTCTCTTATAAATAAACTAACAGAATCTTCAGTACCCATGACACGATCTTACATTTCTTGATTTTCAATTTCTAAATTTCGTAACTTAATATTATGATTAAATACTTTAGAATCTAGTGTTTTATTTGTTGAATTCTTTCTTAATTCATTTTCAAGTTAATTCAATATTAATTCTTTTTATTTTAATTTAGATAAAAGTTCTTATTCTTTTAATTTCTAATTTGTAATGTTTTCTGTAATTTCTTGTTCTTTGATTTATAGATTTTTAATTTCAGCATCTTTTGAAGCAATAACTTATAAAAATGATCTTCTAATTTTATCATTTTTATATTTTGGAAATAATAAACGAACTTTTAAGAAAGCATGATGCAAATTTCTTTTTTATCTTTTTTGAATAATTAATCCAACTTATTAATATTTTAATGCTATTTATGTAAATAACACTTTAAAATGATTAACACTATAACTAGTAGTTTTCTTAAGTTTTCTAAAGGCATAAAATTTTTATTAATTTCCTCTACTATTAACAGTTAGTATTACTTTAATTTTAGTATTAATGCCACCTTTCTCATAGAGATTTCCATCTTTAAAAATATTAATTAATATTTAGCCATCATATTCAAAGTTTCAGCATGTATAACTTGTTCTCTATATTTACTTTATTAGGCTTCTTTTTCATCTGGCAACATTAATTATAATTTATAATTAAATAAATGATTTTAAAATTCCATAGAAACATAAACATGTAATATTCTAACAAATACTAAAATCACTTTAGAAATAACATCATTAATAAAAATGAAATATTATTTCAAAATTATCTTTATAATATTAACTACATGTTTAAAAAGGTTTATGAGGGTTTTAAATTTCACTTCATAATATATATATGTAAACTAATTAAACTTTTTTTATAAAATAACATATGAGTTATAAGTATTTAAGTCTCGTTATTTATATTTTTCAATTAATAACTTAAATTTAATTAAAAAAAATAAAAGATAAATGAGTGCGTAGGTTTTATTTCGTGTTGCATGTCAAACTTAAATTTCTTAAACGGTTTACATTGTTGGAAACAATTCAGCTCTAGGTAATTGGAATCCCTAGAATGGATTTAAATTGATAACTAATTCAGAGTAGTACCCTCTTTGGGTAAACGAATAGCCATTGGAAGTTGAGCCAAGTAACTTAATGTTTTAATTTATAGATTAAATTCTTGAATTCAAAATAGTTATATGTGATGGGATTAATTCTTAATGGGAGATTGGTGCAAACAGATTGATATAAATCTCAGGCTAAAAGCTTATAGTTATCTTAACTTTTAATTCACCTTCTCTAATTATCCATAACATAAGAAGACTATTCTCAAATACTGATTTAACTAATATTACTGAGTGTATTTTTTAAATATTTATATTTAGCCACTGCAAGAAAGATTTCAATCTAGCTACAACAAAAATTATATGATTCTGATGAAGACTCAGTAATAATTTAAATCATATTGATTAGGATCAAGAAATAGAAAGTGAAGAGAATTCATAATTTTATGATGAAGAAACTTCTTTGATTTCTAATGAATAATGTTAGAGTAGTCCTAATAAGTAATCAAATGATAAAGATGATCAAGTAAACCTTGAATTTAAAAATTTTGATCTCTGATATTCTCTTTGTGTTATTATATATACTTATCTAATAAAAAATCCAATCAATTTAAATTATAGAAATTTCCAAGAATATAGATATAGAAAATTCTAAATTAAATTAAAATTCTCTATTTTATGAAACATTTTATAAATGGCAATATAATTTTAATTTATTTCCAATCTTTTTTTAGAATTTAAATTAACTTTAATATCTAACCTATATGCCAATACAGGTGTACTTTAAAGTCAGATGTGATACACATTCATCTCAAGAACTAAGAATTGTTGGAGATATTCCAGCTTTGGGAATGTGGAATCCATTTAACAGCCTGACTTTACATACAAATAATGAAATATATCCTTTTTGGGTAGGATATATTTATGAGGAACTAGAATAAAGTAAAATTTGATTGAAAATTGTAGATACTTTGATTCAATTTAAAGCAGTTATTATTGAAAATGATGAGATTATATGGGAATAAAGCGAAAATAGAGCAATATAAATTAGATACTAATCGTAGAGTGTCTTATTTACTTTTAGTGGCACATTCACATAGATGGTTAAAATATAATCATATCTTGATTAGCCATCTGATTCAGAATCAGAATCAATTGATATTAGTATATTGTTTTATATTAATAAATGTTAGAGGGAGCAAGGAAAATCTATCTCAAGACTTCTCAACATCCTTATGATTATGAGTTCGTTAGTTCAGTAAAAAACCTATTTTTATTAGGACTCTGGTAAAGAAAAGAGTGAATAATAAAGTTCTCAAAAATCAAGTTTAAATTCAAAGTCATCTAGTTTGGAATAATTCGATAACCAAGAAACTTTATAAGAAAAAATTGTTTAAATTTCTAGTTTTAGATTTTGATTATTGCATAAATGTTATCATGCATCTTCTTCTTTTAATATATTACTATCTTATTTATATTATTTTTAATTCTTATTTGAGATATTAATGAATTATATATCTCAACATCTTAAATATAAAGAATAATTTGCATTTTAAAATCAATACATATATGTCATTCAGATTTTTATTATTTTGAGAATTCTTTTAACTTATATAAGTTTTCTATCTATTCCTCATTCAATAATGCCTTTTCTTCAGATGTTAAATCTCTTCCTATTTGTTTTGATTTATCCAATTCTTCAATATAAATTGCCCTTCAATTTTAAAATATCAATATACCATCTCTTTAAAAATTCTATGTATTGTTCTTGATTTGCTTTTTGATGAGCTTATCTGAATTCCTCCTTTACATAAGCATCTCCTAGTATTCTCATTTCAGGCCTTAACTTTCTTCTATGTTACTTTAATATAGTATAGAACACTTGCATTCCTATCCCTTTTAATTAATCCATTTAACTTATTTAATATAAAAAATAAGACAACAATACTATTTTTATATATGCAAATTTCATTTGATTAATTATAAATGCTCCTTTATTAGATGATAATATTGTAATATATTATATCATAAGGGTTTTAATTAATAAAAATATTAAAATATTGAGTATGTCAACTTCATTAGAAAGTTAAATATTATTGGCTATTTGGACTATGTATTAACGTAATTAGATATCTATGGAATAAAAAGGATGCATAAAGGGTAACTCTTAAAATTTATAAAGATTTGTTAATTAGAAAGGATAATTATTTATACTCAACAATTTATCATTGTAAAAGATAAGATCAAATAGAAGAAAGGTTAATTGATATTTTGAATTGTATTTATAATTAATTTGGTTTGATTAGGGTTCTCCAAGAGACATGGATGCTGAAGAAAATACATATCCTATTATCAGATTAAGCAATTAATCAAGTTCTCCTACAACTACTTAATCCCAATGTCATTATCCTGAAAAAAGGTTCAGATTTAAGAGTTCAAATAATTAAAGTGATAATTCTTAGAATATCATTAGAATTAGATCTAACTCTTATCATCATAAATGAATTTTTTTTTGTAAATTTTTGTTTAATTATCTCAAACTTTAAATAATCTATTATTCCATTTTAAACATTATCCTAATATTAAATTGACATTTATCAATTTATAGTATTTAAGATTTATTAATATTCTTATTCTAATTATTATTAGATATTTTAGTATTTATGTTACACTGTTTAAGTTAAATGTAAATATTTTCTTTTATCTATTTATTCATAATAAATAAAGAATAACTTCAAAAATAAAATAAATATTAATTTATCATTACAAATTCGTATAGAATTTTAATTATTACACTAATTATAAATTTTATTTATTAAGATAGGCTAAGTTAGATAAAATTAATTTGAATTCAATGATTTAAAAATAACAAAAATAGTAAGATATATAATTTAATCCTTTAGGCGTGATGTTTCCAATATAAATTAATTTTATTCTTTTTAGTATTTTAGTCTCAATTTTCTAAACTAAAATGTTATTAATTGAGAAGTTAAATTAGAAGTATAATATTAATTTTTAGGGATATATAATCTCCCTACTGAATTTTTTAAATATAAATTATTTTATGAAATTTTAACAATTATTTTTTACTTATATGCTATTTTTAATTCAATTGACTGATTCCAGACTTTATCTCATAATTCTAGTCAGAATTCAATTAATTAATTATGGAATTCTTAAAGTTGAATGGAGAATGTATTTATAGATATTCATAATTAACTTAAATTTAGTTAAAAATTTAATAATTAGAAACTTAAGACTTAATCATAAATAAATAGAAATTTGATTGAATTTTTTAATCATTGATTAAAGAGTATTTGTAAAAATAATAATAATAATATGAGATTTTAATAGCATAGTATATTATGAATATTCTACTAAAATATCAATGTTGATTATTAAAACAATATATTAGTATTATGATATTATTAATCAAATACATTATTATGTACTGAAAATTTGTTACATTTTTTCAGAATAATAAGGACTTAATTATTTCAACTTAACAAAATAAATGACTAATATTTTTTCTATGATTAATGTTTACACTTAAGACTATGAGAGGTAACTAGGTTTGGTTTATGAAGATCTATGATATAAATTAGGAGTATTGACAATTCTATTTGAAGTTGATAAATTTGGATGATCTTCATTATTTTTTGTTTATCGAAAATTAAGCTATAGACTTAGAGTTCTCTTGAAAAATTGAAGAGATATAAAGATATAAGTGTAGATAGAGAAAGTTAAAGTGTAATGAAAGTTATTCCGAAATTATGTGCATTATGAATTAAAAGGTGTAATGGATCTGAAATCACTTAGAGTAAAATAAAGATAATGGTCTTCTTATATAATCAAAAGACAATATTATTATTCATCAAAATGAATAACAAAATCTTCTTATTTTAAAACACAAATACTTTGGCTCAAGCATTAACCAATAAAATACATGAATTGGAGTACCAGTCTAAAAAAGGTACCAAATATCCTTTTGGTAATAATGAAGATTTTGTGGGGATTGGGTAAATGATTTTAGAGTTTTTTTTCTCTGATTACTTGATTTAAAGAGGGTAGGTATTTATGAAATTACACATAGTTATCCAAATAAAGAAACTTAAATAAAAAAGTCAAGTGATCTTGTGTTGTTGAGACAAAGACTATTAAGTGAAAGGAATTTGGCTGATATAGCAATAAGCTATAAGATTGATAATATTGTTTAAGTAGGAAATTAGATCAACTTAAAGTAAGAAATAATGTACATAATAGAAAAAACCCTAAAATACTTGCTGAAACACTTAAATCAATAATAGCTGCCTAGTATTATGATTCTGGTTATGATTTAGATCATTTAAGAGAAGTTGTATAGCCTATACTCAAATAAGTTTTGGATAAGTATATAATATAACTACTAAAAACTTAGAGGATAAGCAGTGCCTTTAGTGGAGCTTAAATAGAATCCTAAATCAGCATTTTTAGAATTTGTGAATAGTTGTACAAATTTGAAACCAAAAGTATCAGTTGAATGGAAGAAGGATGCTTCTTAGAATGGAAACCCAATCAATGTATATTAAGTATAATTGGAATTAAATAATCTATTATTGATAAAGAGGGAGGGAATTAATAAGAGAAACACTGAATAATTAGTGTATAGAGAAGCATTAAAAAGACTTAAATAGATTTAATTAAACTAATCATATTCATAAGGCTCGCAAAATTAATCAACTAAAACATAAGATAAAGAATCTGCAGAAGAAATTACTATATTAGATGAACTAGAAACCTCTATTATAGACTCCAGTTAATTTTTTTAATTTTCTGATCTAAGAGACACTGATCTAAGTTTAGTAGAAAATTAGGGAACTTTAGGATAAAAAGTAGAATCTCTATTGGAACAGTTTGCCTTATGATTATAATTTATCACTCAAAGTAATATAAATCAATATAGAAATTGATATAATTTAAATTACTATGCTAATTAATCTATATGATTTTTATTGAAAAATCTTATTCTCAATCCTTTATATAAATATATATCATTATAATAAGATTTTAATATCTAAACTTAATATTGTAGTATCAACATATTAATAAAATTTATCATATTTAAACAAGACATTTAAAATGAATGTAATTATTTTTACAACCTATTAGCTTAACTTATAGAGAAAATAATTATTTAAAATATTAGATTATTGAACATCTGTAACAAATTTTCAATTAATTTTGAAAAGTAATTAATGTTAAATAGAATAACAAATACATTTGATGTCAATAAAACTAATAATAAAGATACATAAGATATGACATCAATTAAACTATTAATAAAATATTTATAAATAATTCAATTTAGAAAATGAAAAATTATTAATAAAATGAAATAAAATGATCTAAAAAGCTTGTTAAATAATTAATTTTCAATTTAAAAAGATTGATTAATATAATTAAAATATCTGATAGAATTTCTTAATAAGAATTTAATCTGAATATTAGTTATTATTATATAAATGTAATAATTATATAATTTTTGGATGTCACTTGAAATAATAATATATCATTTTGAATTTGACTATTTCAGGTTGTCATTCAATATTTTTTTGTAAGAATACCCATTAAATAAATAACCATCTGCTTTATAAAACTTATTCTGAAACTCAACCCTTTCATTAAAGTATACAGTACCAATGTAAACGAAGAGCATGCAAAAAGCATTCCATAACATCCATTGTCATTAATACTCCAAAAGTAAGCAAAGCAAAAACGATATAAAAGTATCCTCCTAATAACCCACCTAAGATTCCTCCAATATCTAATTTGCCAGCCAAACACATATCATAGAATACTTCTGCTAATTAACCATGTGCTAATGATAAAGCCCAAAGACGTAGATATGAAGCTGTATTACTGATTCCTCCTAATACAAATTCAATAGTTTCAATCATTTAATGAACCCAAATCTCACCTGAATCATGTTATTCATTACTCTATTCACTAAAACTCTTAAGATTGGCAGCATTTTATAAGTCATTATGAAATTATTAATTATTATCTTCATCCTATTCAGATACTTGTTTTTCTAATACTAAAGGTTAATATTGAGAATCAGACATATTCACTTTGTGTTTATCATTCTTAGAACCCAAAATTAATGGTTTAGGCAGAAGCATCCAAGGTATACAAATAACAGCAATCAATGTTAAGATTTGTGTTAACTGTAATTAAAACTCAGCTTCATTTGGAAATACAGGATTTACAGGTTTATCAAATGGTTTCAAGACTTAATTAATCATAGTTTCAATAATACTTGGATCAGTATTATTTTCATATGTATTTAACCATTTGACTATTATAATGAAATCCATCCATCCAAAGGTACAAATCATGAATAATAATTGAGGAATGAATTCACAAAAGAAATCTAGATAATTTTTAAAATATAAAGTATTGACTCCTTTCATCAGAATACCAAATAACATATGAATTACACCTAAAATAACTGATAATTTCATTTTATAGGAATTCATAAAATTCAAACTTGAACCAGAAGCTTACCAAACTGGATCAACTCCAAATGGATATACACAATCTTTTGATTCTCTTTTCCATTCTTCTTTTTCAGGTGAATAACAACTACCAAATAAATTCAAGGATATAGATAGATAATCATTATAAATGAATCCATTATAAAATGCAAAGAATCCCATCAATACTATTAAATATCTAAAGGGTATCATCAAATTAAACATAGAATCTGTTTACTTTAAAAGATAATTTTTCCAAAATATTATATATAATCCACATAAAAATAACATGAATCCATGAGCAATATCTGCAAACATTACTCCAAATAGGAATGGGAATGTTATTATGGTAAATAAACCAGGATTAACTTCTTAATATCGAGGTATTCCATATGTATTTACAATTTCCTAGAATGGCATAGTTACTTCATTTAAATTGAAATAAGTAGGAGGTGAAGTTAATTATGGTTTGATTTCTTGAATTTAACCTGTTGGATAATGATCTCTATTATTTTTCATTGCATTTCTTAGTTTTTCTTCTACCATAATTTCCAATCCTTCTGGCAACCAAAAATATCCAGTAAATATTGATCCTCTCATTGTTAAGTAATTTAAATTTACATAAAGATACTTCTCCTTCAATACATATAAACGCATGTATTCAAAATAAGAGCAATTGCATCCTTATTTCTACAATACTAATTCATCTAATGATTATTCTAATTATTGCTTTGACATTTCTATTAAATTTTTAACTTCTAATAATTGTTAATTTAATTCCATCATTTTTCTTTATAATTCATCCATTGAATTTGGATACTCAATTCTTTATCTATTAAAAGAGTCACACACTTTTAACAATTTCATTTTTAAAGAACTTGATTCTTCAGCTCCAGGATATACAATTACATACAGACATCTTGGTGATGATGTATTATTCTACATATATATTAAATTGAAACTTAATTTAAATGAAATGATTATCTCATAGAATTGTCTATTTGTTAATTGTTTAAATCCTTAATCTAGACCCAAGCATTTCCTTTAGTAACTCTAAATATTATTCTTTTAAATCTAACTTCTTCTTCTTTTTCAATTACACCTATTAATTAACCAAATTTTAATTATTAATAATCATTTGGATTATGTGGTGTTTATCTAGATATTAATAAAAATAATAATAATACTATTAGAACATAGATTGACCTAAAATTTCTTTTGCATTTTCTAACACCAATTATTATTCTGTTATTATATTTACTCTATCCAATAGATTTTGTAAATTAGCAGATTACTCTTGAATTTATATTTTTTTTTGTTCTATTTCTGACTCCAATTCATCAAAATAAGTATGTCCTGGTTTCATTCTATCATATTAAACTTATGAAAAATAATCCAACAACTCTTCTACATTTTCACAATAATTAAGATTTTTTTTGAATTCCTTTAAGAGTAGCTCTAGACAACTCAATTTAAATAAGGAATCATCACATCTTATATTGATTAATTTTATTGATACCTTTTCACATAATTAGCAAATGGTCTGTTGATCATAGGTAATTATGGATCATAATCTACAAAATGCAATTATCCTAATCTTGCTAATTCATTCATTACAACCCAAGCACTCTCTCTTGGGATTACTAAACTATAATATTTCATCTTTTTAGATCTAAAGAAACTCATATTAATATTATATTTATTGAATGTATTAAACATTTTATCAATCATCATCATCATCTTCTTTCTTAATTTGCATTTTAGCCATCTATTCTTATAATTTTAATTCATCTTCTTCTGAAGCAGGTACTTCTTTTTAAATTACTATTTCTGCTGTTTTCATAGATTCTACTGCTTTCAAGATTTCTTCAGTATATCCCCCTGGAATTTCTATATTAATAGGTGGCCTAATCTTACTATTAAGGATCATTACCAGAATTTTGTCAAATTAGCTACTTTTCCTCCATATTATTCTTCTAATTAATTTGCAGGGATACGCTCTTAAATTTTTGCATATTCATTTGGTTTCAACATTTGAATTTTCTCCATTGTATCAGCATCAGCAACAGCTTTTTGTATAAATTTAATTTAAATACCTGAAACCATCTTCCATGAAAAATTCAAAGAACTTGAAGGATTTAATAAATATAATTTATCCAAACACCCACAAAAATTCACTTGCATTGTTTTTGTTGCAATTTAAATTGCCTATCATATAGAATTTAATATTAAAACTTTAAATGGAAATTTAGAAAGTCCTAATTTTTTTGTGTCCATTATGAAAACCCAATTTTCTATCTTTCCTGGAATAAAACAATTTTTCTTTATTATACCAAAATAGTAGCTTAATGCATTGATATAGACCTCTTCACTAAACTAAATATTATCTTTATTATTCACTTATTTTAAATTGACTAATTCAAGATTCATTATTATAATGGGTCGTTGTTATTTATCTCTTCCAAAAGTATATACTATTCCTTTTTATAAAAATGCAATATTGATATCAGTTGGTTAGAAATTGTTTGGCACTGATCTCCAAACTAAATGAGATTATAAGACTTTTAAGTAATTCTTATCTTTAAATTTCCCACAATAAACCATTTTCAAAGTATCACAGTCCTACCAACTATTGTGAATATATCAAAATATTTTACTCTGCAGGTAATTATATTTTATTCTTTGCTACTATTTTCATGAAATCTGCCATCTTCTCTTTTTCATAAGCATCATAAGGCACATTCTCCCAAATTCTTCTCTAACTTTTGGATCTCTCTTTTCTCTTTATGTACTATTCTAAATCAATCAACAGTATTCATACGATCATGCACTATTGCATCAACTAAATATTAAGCAGGTTTTAGATATTCAAAATTCAGAACCACCTATTATTATTGCATATTAATTTTATTTTAAAATGAGAATATTTTAAATTATACTTATTTCAATCATAGTATTTAGTATCATTCAATAGGTAATGAATATAAAAGATTGATATATAAATGTGACTACATATCTATGTTATTATTTTGGACTTAAAAATTAAGGCATTTTTGGAAATTTATTGAATGGTATAAAAACAAAAGAAACATAAATCAAATTAATGAGATTAGAAGTAATTGTTCCAGTAAAGAATATATAATGAGATATCAAATTTTAATATTTAACTTTATTTGTTCTTTCATTTTTTATTATTTTATTTCCCTCTTTGAATAACACTTTCGAATTCATCTCAAAATAATTAACCATTATAATTTATATCTTCATAAAAAAGTTTATCATAATACTTATAATCTCTAGAGGAAAAGATTATTAGCTTTAATAGATGCTCATTAATATTAATTGATGTCATGAAAAACTCTAAATATAATGAATTGTAAAAATATGATATTCATCATAATCTTAGAGTAATTGAAATATATTCAAAAAATGAGAATTATTATTAATGACAAATTACCAATTTATATCATTGTTCATCTTCTGTAAGGATCATATTAGGTATTCCATTTGTGATTGGATAATTTCTTTTACATGATGGATTAGGGCAAGTCAATTGGCCATCCATTATGTGAGTCTATATAAAATTCTTTCTTTAAATTATTACCTCAAATAAAACTCTATGCAAGTCTTTTAAAAAAGCTAAGTCTTATTCCACATTAGGAGGAATTTATTTAGGGAATTATTTGAATCCAAGCTATCTTATAATTCAATCTTTTACTTCTCTGACTGTATTGGATAATACCTCAAAATCAAGTTTAGGAATTAACTTTAATATTGCATCTTTTTTGAATTCTAATTCCATAATAACACTCTTATTCACTTCTATTTTAAGTGGATAATTGTTCTTATCACATTTGTTACACATTAGTAAATTATGAACCAATAATCTCATATTAATTAAATATTTATATATATTTTTATGACATTTTTATTGAGTATTTTCATTTAATAGCATATTTAAAGTAATATTAATAAAATATATTAATTCATCATAAGTATTTAATCTTTATTATAAATGTAAAGTAAGTATACATTCTTCCTTTAATATATAAATATTTTAATTATAATAATACATAAGTAATTCTTCTGAATAATATTTTAGAATAGAAAGATGTTCAACTCATCAAAGGTTGAAAGTACAATAAAAATATTTTTGAACCAAATATTAATAATCATGAAATTAGTTTTTAGATTTTTATTTGATATATTATAATGTCTTTTGAATTGCAGAGAAGTTACTGGTCAAGTGATTTAAAGAGATATAACATAAAAAATAATTTTTTATATAAATCAAAGTATTAATTACTTACGTTTTTGAATTAAAGTACTTTGATTAATACTTTTTAGCTTCGGTACCTTTCGTTTTATATTGTACAATTTATCATAAACAAAATAGTATCTTTTTGAATTTGGAGAGTCATGAACACTGACAATTCTATTTACAAACTCCCTTTAACTTTGTTCCTATGTTGCTTTTTCAGAATTTTAGTGTAGCTCATCTGTGTCTAATAAACATATCTCTGAATTAGGACTCTCTCCACCAATTTTTTCTTCAACCCAACATGGAGGTTCAAAACTATCCTAAACTTATTCCCTAATCCTCTATTAATAAGTTGTAGTAATCAAATGACCACTTTAATTGGTAGATGTACATACTCCCATTTTTTAGTAAAAGGAGACTAATAATTTAATAATAAATATTCCTCAAAATTTTATTTATTGGAAACATAAATAGTTTAATTTCAAAATGATTTAAAAAAGACAAGTTTTAATGAAATATTAAAAAGATGCCTTAGAACACCATTTTAATCTGGCTAGATAAAAACTCCATTAGAACTAAAAAAGAATCAGGAATAATAAGTATATGCATATATGTAATTGATTGTGATTAATTTTAATATTCTGTCCTTCTTTTAACAATTATAGAAAATCTTATTTACCTCATTTTACAGTATATTGGAAAATTTGAATTTTCACATATATTTTTCAATTATCTAATACACAATTAATTAGTTAAAATAACACTGATATTAATAGATGATAATTTTATTTAAGCAACTCATAAATATTTGCATATTTTGTTAGTGATCAATATTTTATCAATACAAAATATAAAAATATTTACCTCTTATAAATTATAGTTTTCTTTTTAAAAAATTCTTGATCTTTTAACAGAATTAGCCATCTTTTATAATATAACAGTGTGCATTTCTTTTTAGTATTTATATTAAAATGAACTCTATATATTAATAAATGATATTTTTATAATATATCTAAGTCTTTAAAAAATACGATTATCTATTCTTATTAATACATAAAATAGTAAAAATGATAAATATCTATTAACAAATGTTATATAGAAATCTAAGAAATTATAGAGAACTTCAAACTTAATAATATTGAATTTTTTGACTTTTTATTGGTTATTCTTTTTAGAGTCAAATTAATTATTGCAGATCATATCAGACTAAGAATACTTGTCCTATTTGAAAGAAGTAATGCTTTGATTTTACTTACATTATGATGTGCAAAAGATCATAATTAATAAGATATCTTTATCTTGGTTTGTGAAACATATTTGTAAAGATTGAATTTGAACAGAAATTAAAAATGAAAAGAATGAATTAGATTTAGATATTGAAATATTCAATTTAAAGTTATATAGGATAATTTGATTGATCATCTTCTTATTAGGTTTTCTTTTTAGGTCATGAAATTTTGATATTGCATATTTAATACGTCATGGATTGTACAAGCACGATTTATCAATTATTATTTTGTACTCAATTTTTCTTAAGAGTTTTTATTTTCTCTTGGATAATGAGTAGAAGGTTCTCTATGATAAGGAACATCACGAGTAGCATAATTATGTTTTTCAGGTACTTTAGGTGATTCAGATTATTTCATTGTTTTTTTATCAAAAACATCAAATAATTGATCTTTCCATTTGCTTACTAAATTATTCTTTTAAGATATCTGACTATCAAATAGTTTTTTAGAATTATTATTATTTCTACTCTTATCATCACTATCTTCATAAATAAATTTTTATTTAGGATTTGCATTCAGACTCTCTTAAGTCAAAACTTTCTAATTCTTTTTATCCTTTTCCTTCTCTCTATAATCTTTAAATTCATTAAGATCTTTACTCTCTCTAATAGTATTTTTTTCTAATGATAAATGAGATTTATCATTTTTAGGCCATAATTCATTAAGTTTCTCTGATTTAATAGGACTAAATTTGTTTGGTCTATCTTATCTTTCAAAATGAACATTTAGTTTTGAATCTAAAGGTTTCTCATCTGAATTTTGATTTTTCATAAATAAATCTTTTTATCTAATTGATTGAGGAAAATCTTATAATAAATTAGGAACAGTTGCACTTAACTAAGATTAGGCATTTGTTGATAATTTAAGTAATTGTCTCTATGTAGCTAATATTGAAGATTTCTATAATATTATTATAATAATGATTACAATTTAGAGAGAAGATGATGGAGTATTTAAAGACTTTTCTATATCAATTAATAATTTACTAATATCTTCTTAAGATTTATTTAAATTTTAATACATTAATGAATTAATTTCTTCTTGAAATTAAGCCATTTATTGTATTTATTATTCAAGATCTTTTTCTTATTTTTAAATTTCTAATAATTGAATCATTTCTAAACTATTTATATCATTAAATGTTTAATTTTTCTTTTATTCTAAACTCAAAATAAACTAATGATTAATATAGTAATAATTACTTATTAATATTGACTATTTATTTCATCTTTAGTTTATTTACATTTTGATTGAAATTAATGTTTCTGATCCTATATATCTTTGATGGCTTCAAATTTAGATTTAAAACTCTTTTCTAATCTCTCTAAATACAATTATAGTCTTTCATTGGCCATTGAATTCTTCTAATTTGATTAATGTTGAGATCCATCATTTTATACACCCAAATCACGTAAATCATCAATTACTTCAACTACTTCACTATCGTTATTAGATTTAGAATTAATTTAATTTTATTCAATTAACGGAACTATGATTTCTTTGATGACCATATGAAGGGCTTCAACTGTATCTTAATCAAGTTTAGTAAGATGATTGCATTTAAAACATACTGCTACTCTTTCAAGTTCTTCTAGATTTTACTTCTCCTGTTAAATTTATAAGTAATTATAGGCTAAACATATCAAACAAAATTTATGATCGCATTCTAATTTTACATAAGTCTCTGGTACTGTCTAACATTGATCACATTCAACATCTTATTAAGAATCCATTTCAATATTCTATACTAATTTAATTAATATATTAATTTTATATCGTTAGATTAAAGAAAACTTATTGAATTTTAATCATTTCAAGTTGATTAAATAACTATTAGAAAAGTATTCATTTAAAATTATAAACATAATCTAATCTATCTTAAATAAATTACTTTTTATTTTAAATTTTTTAAAACACTTAAGCATTTTATAATACAAATATAAAAATTATTTTAATATTTGATAATAGTTTTAAAAAAATTTAATCAGAATTAAAATGATCAACCTTATTAATTACGAATTATTGCTGATATTTTATATTAGTACGCACTAAATCTGAATAAAAATAGAAATTTATGTTAAATTTTTCAATAATTATAATAAAAACTTATTTAAAATAATCTACACCATGCTTTTTCCAGAACTTTAATCATTAGAAGACTTTGAATATATTAAAAATCTAGGATCAGGATATTCTTCAACGTATTATACTTTATTCTATTATCATAGTGTTGATCTATATAAACATATTTAAACCAATAAAATAGTAGCCGTGAAGAAATTATCGATAAAGAATTTATCTTAATCAGAATGTAGAAAAACTTATGATACTGAAATAACTATCCTAACAAAATTAAAAGGTTGCTCAAATGTAGTTTAATTAATTGGATTTGGATTCTACACAACCATAGATAATAGTACTAGAAGAACGAAAACTTTAAATAATTATTTCTTAATTTTAGAATATATTGATGCATAACCTTTGGATAAAAATAATGAAAGAATTATTAAATAATTCTACTACAAACTTTTATAAAGTATAATTTATAATCTATATTGTAGCTGTTTAAAAAATTCATGAATTAGGAGTAGTTCATAGAGATTTAAATTTAAATAACGTGTTGGTATAAAATAATGAACCTATACTGATTGATTTTGCCTTTGGAGCAGTTACAAATGGCAAGTAGAAATTTGCTGAATTTTATGGAACTAAACCTTATGTAGCTCCAGAAATTGTTGATGGATAATCCTATCTTCCATACCCTACTGAAGTATATAGTTTAGGAGTTATATTATTGGAATTGATAAATAACAATGAATCCTAAGAAATAGCAGCCTAGATGATGCAATAAAATCCTTATAAAAGACCTAACCTGGAAGATGTTATTGCCCATCCTTACTTCTAATTTTGATTTTAATTATTTGTATTTCTCTAATATCAATTATTACTTAATATCTCACAAATACATAACAAATACTCTTGAATACTATAATTATATTCTTTATATCAATCAAATTAGTTTATTTTATTATAAATTATCTAATATACTATATAATCTATATTATTAATAACATAACATTATTATTAGAATAAATTCTATAATGAATATAACAAAATCATACTATAATTATTTAATTATTAAGCATTTCATTTAACAAATATGTTTATTATACTTTGAGATTCAAATGGTAATAATATAAATTTAAATAAGTAAATAATTTACATATATTTGATATAATTTATTTATTTTTCAATAAATGAAATCAATCTATGGAGATCCTGAATTAATAAGGTGGTTGAATAAGGAAATCAAACTTTAACCTGCAATTCTTGATATTGAGAAACAATTTTAGAATTGGTTTTATTTTTAAGAAGTACTTTACAAAACAGGAAATCCTCTTAAGAAAATCTTAACAAATAAATTTGATGAATATTCAACACAAAAGAATATAAAGATAGTTAAAAAGCACATTATAAAATTAGTAGGAATTGAACCAAAAGTTGAAAAAGGTTAATCATAAATAGAAGAATATTTGAAAGCAATTAAATCACATTCTAAGCCAATTGCAGTTAATTCATTACTTACAATAGCTCGTAAAGAGACAAAGGATGTTTTGAATGAATTGACAAAAACGTTAAAAGTAACAGATAAAAAATAAGTTTAATCTTTAGTGAACAAGTAAATTATGAAACTGTTATATCAATTTTTAGTTATGAATAGAAGTTTATAAACTCATTGCCAAAGAAATTAAAGTCTATTGAAGAGAGTTTACATAGATTTAGAGATGAGAAACTTATCCATGAGATTCAAGCAGTTTAATTAAAATAGAAGGATGAAGAAAAGGAAAGACAATGGTTATAATCATTAAGAGAGAATGAATTGGAAAAGATAAGAGCAAATCATGAATTTATCAAAGAATAAGATAAAAAAATATATGAATTCTGGAAATATACAGAAACAATTAAACATAATCGTATTGAAAAAGAGACAAAATTAAATGAAATGATGACTGGAAGATTAGTAGCTGAAATTAATCAAAAGAAAAAAGATGATTAAAAGGCTATGGATAACAATATATATCTATTTTTGTAAACTTGTATCAGATAAGGCATTGAAATAGAAAAAGATCCATCTAAAAAGCCAGTACCTGAAAAGGCTAAATTCTCAGCAGTTGCAACAATGATGAAAATAAGAGAAAGGACACATAAGACTGAAGAGGCTAGAAAGGCAAGATAGAAACGTAGAAATAAAATGTTAGTTGAATAATTAAAATAGTAAGAGTTAGTGGAGGCTAAGAAAAAATTGGATGAATTAGTTGATAAATTTACAGAATATGGAAAAATAGCTAATTAAGAGGCAGCTTTAAGATAGAGAGAGAAATTGAGAGGGAAATTATAATTTAATGAAAGGATATTGATGTGTTAAGTATTGGAGGAATAAAGAGAAATGTTTTTTGAATAATTAAGAAATGAAGCTAAAGCTAGAGAATAAGAAGTTAGATTGTAGAGATAAAAAGAATGGAGAATACTTTAAGTTAAATATATGGAATAGAATTATAATAGAAAAGTGTAAAAGAGATAGAAACATATTTAATAAATGCAACCATTAATATTGACAATTTTAGATTTGGCTGATAAATGTTATTTAAAAATGAATGAAAATATAGAAGAAAATGCTAAACCTTTAACATTAGATAAGAAGGTTTGGAATAAATTTATTGAAGAATGGCAAAATGAATTATCATAAGTCAAACCTCTTAATGATAATATTCCTGCAGCTATTACCTAAGATTTTGTTGAATATTATCATGCAGTTAAAGATTGGAAATCTACTTAAAATGATAGTTAATTAATGGCAAATATTTCATTGGCTGAATTTCTATTTGAAATTACAGATGAATTATATCCTATGCAACCATTAAAAGAAGGCATCAATTTTTATTTACCTCTTAAAATATCATTAATAGGAGGTAAATTTAGTGGTAGAAGAACTACTGCAAAATATTTAAATTAGAAATATGGTTTAGAAATTATAGATATAGAATCTATAATTAAAGAATCTTTGAAACTTGCATTTCCTCCTGTAGAAGATCCAAAGAAAAAAAAGGATACAAAAAAAGTAATTGAAATTCCTGTTGTAGAAAATGCAGAATTAAAAGAATATGGTTTATTAATAAATGAATATAAAGATTAAGTTATTCCTGATGAATTATTATTAAAAGGAATCTTAATAAAATTGAATTAAACATTTGGTTAAAGAACACCATTATAAGTTGCATAAGAAATGAAAGAAGCAAAAGAAATTTAATTAAAGAAAGATTAACAACCTATTGTTGAAGAAGTTAAGAAAACATCAAAGAAACCTGGTAAAAAGGATGCACCATAAAGTACTGGACCCACTTAAGAAGATTTAATTAAAGAATATATGAATTCAAAACAATTTTATTATACTAAAGGATTTATTTTGATAGGATTTCCAGAGAATTTTAATTAAGCTAAGATGTTAGAAGAATAATTAACTGGTTTTATTCCATATGAAGAAAGGTTGAATTAGATAGCTGAAGAAAAGAAAAAGAAATTTTAAGAATTATTAGATATACCTACTTAAGAAGAATCCAACAAAATTTAATAATCAGGAATAGATTTAATTATTAATCTTGATACTCCTTATGAATAAAGAGTTTAAAGAATGTAAAATAGAAGAATAGATCCTCTTACAGATATAATCTACAATTTAGAAGAAAATCCACCTCCTCCAGAAATCAAACCAGATAAGTTATTAAAAATAGAAAATGAAACTGAAGAGTAAATTTAAATTTAATATTAGAAAATTATAGAAGGATTTTCAATAATTTAATGACAATTTACCTAAACTATTTGATTGGTGTGAATAATTTGGATTTGAAGATGATTTTAAATAATTACATCATTCCAAAACTGTAGGCAAAGGATTTGAAGTTGCAAAATCTATTGATGGTTTGATTAACAAAGTACTTACACATAATTGTGAGTATTTAAATTAAATTACTGAAGAAATCTTAGCATCAGAATTATAATAAGAATAATAATCTTAATAAATATAGACTTAAGAAAATCAAGATATGGAAAAGGTAGAAGAATAGAATCAAGAATAATAAGCATAATTAATATAAGATAAATAAAGTTTACTTGATGCTAAATAATCAACTGAAAGAGGAAGATCTCAATTAGCATCAAGATAAAAGGATGCTTAAAGTGAATTTTTAAATTAAGATTAATTAAAAGGCATTTTGAAATAATGGGATGAAATTTCTAATACTTATATAAGAGAAAGTACAATATATATTAGGAGGATGAGTCATTAAAGAAAAAAATGTTAATAAATATTTTTATAAACTCAAAAAAGTTTTATAGAATTCTTTGAAAGTCCTGATAATAAATTAAAATTAATGCATGAATTTTAATAAAGCTATAATAAATTCTTATAAGAAAATGATGATTTATCTAAATAAAAAAATGCCAAATAATAATTAAAAGACCATTTACAAAAAACATATGAATAATTATGGGATATTTTAAATCATAAGAAAAATTAAGCATTAGATTTTGTAAAAAAATTGAAAAAAGATAGATTTGTAGCCATTTAAATATAATAATTTATGTAACATGTACTTATGCTTCTATAAACTGAAACTAATTTATTAACTGAAATCTAATTACTTGGAAAACCTTGGAGTGAACATTTTATTCTTGAACCTCCTTAATCATAATTAATTGATGGATATAAATTTCCATAATTAGAAGTACTAATTTCATATTATTTTGATTGTCTTGATAAAATTACTTAAGGTGAAGAATCATTAATTATTAAAATCTAAAAAGAAATTGCACATAAAAGAGGTTAAATCATTAGAAGTGTTGCCTACAGTAAAATGACAGAAATGTTATTAATGGAAGATATTATAAATTCAAGAATTGATGATTGGATTATTTGTGGAATTAAAAAGTAATTATAAATAATCTAATTTTTAGTGAAAATGATTTTTGTTTTGAATCAATTAATTATCTCAAACAATAAATTGAAAATAGATAACCAGCTATACTTACAATACCTGAACCTAGTCCTATTTCTGAATCTTTTAAAATGGTTTATATGTAATAACATCTAATTCCTGAATCTGAAAAATGGAGATAGGCCATTCAATTCTATGAAGAAGTTAAGTCTCTTAGTGATTCAGCTTGGATTCCTTTGGATATATATGAATCTTTCTAAAGAAGAAGAACTAAATTCCTCTCTTAATTCAAATTAAATATTAATAAAATAGCCAATTTAGGTTGTTATCCAAATGTTAGATTTAGCTATCAAACTTTATTAATAATTATAATATTATATGATTGCAGAGTACCAACTTAAGAGGAAATTTAATAATTAGTCAATGATATTTAATAAGTAGAGCCAGATGATTAGAGAGATTATTGGATAGAAGTATTCAATTATATTATAATAGTATTAATTTTGGTTTGATGACAATTTTGCAGAGTAGGAATTCAATTTAAAAATTTATGTTAAAAACTTTCTATTCAATGTATTGTAATCCCAAGACTTAGTAATAAAACATTTATATAATTTTTAGGCTGTTTCTGTAAAAGAGAATTTTGGATATTTTAAATAATTTGAAAATTAATTATTTTCATCTATTTTTGATGAAGAAGTAATTGAAGAAGATAAAAATTCTAAGTTAAAATGAATATTAAATAATTGAATTTCTTAATAATAACAAAAACAAAAATATTAGGTTAATCATTACACTTATTTTTATATATAATCTTTTATTTTTTTATACCATTTATGAAATGGAATACCTTCAGCCAAAAATTAATCATAAAGCATATCAACATTTACAACATAATATTTAGTCTAATTAAGATTTAATTTAACAGATTAACTTATCTAATTAATATTAATCTTATATACCAATGTATAAAAGTCTTTATAAGGATTTCTGCTGCCAAACAATATGGGTTCGCATTCTGTACTCAAATCTTTAGATAATCTCCTTTAAGATTTTTGACAGACTGCTTCCTCATCATCACTGTTGGATGATAAGGATTATTGGGTTTAAGCAATGGTAGCCAACTTAACCCAATTTATGCTTTGATTTTTAGAATGACAATGAGTATATTTCAAATGAAGACCAGCTTCTCTAATACTATTTGTACGTAGAATGGTCTATGAGCAATTTTCAGTTTATATATTTTCTTTTTAATTAGATTGGGGATTTAATTCTATGCTAGAACAACTTTCTTATTATTTTAGTTTTACACTATCACATGAAGAACTACTATATTAGGGTCCCTTAATGTTTAGGTAAGTTTGGAGTTTAGATTCTTCATGATCAAGGGCAGATCCAATATTGGACTGCTTTTCTTGTTATAATAATTTTCTCAATTCTTTAATTTCCATTTACTGGTCTTCATTTTACTTTTTCACATTTTCTAATTATAATTATTGATTTTTCAACGATTTCATCATTTCATAAGTACTTGATTTCATATAATTAATTTATTCATCTTTCTCTTTTTCAATAAAATATTCTTATTTAATCATTCTATCTTCTATTAATGAAAATTCTTCTACATCTTATTTGTGATGTACTTTAAGTGTCTCAATTTCCTATAATGCTTAATTATACAATGTTTATAAGTTAAAAAACTCTTAATTTAAAGCTTAGTATTTTAATTTTTCTTCTTCAAAGGTTTATTAACCTTATTCAATAAGAAAGTCTTGAAATAAAAAAATAACTTATACAAACGATTGAAATAAGTTAATGAACTATTTCTTCCATTTAAGAAAGGTCTTAACAATTTCCAATATTAGTTTGACATTCCTAAATGAACTCAATTATCTTCTTTTCCATAGGGTTGAAAATTAGGGTGAGTAATTATTTAAAATATTAAAAACCATTTATATCAGCCAATTTATATATATATATGAAATTTGTTAGATATGCTCAGATTTGTTGACTTTGGAATTTAAAAGTGTTAAATTATTTCACCTTATTTTAACAATACAATGAATAATAATATGTAAAGTATTTGATTTAAAAAAAGAGAAATTAGCATATTTTAATTTGTGTGCAATATGTAAATAGTTGTTACATAATTAAAATTGATTTGATTATTTTTTATATTTAATTATTTATGATATTATTAAATATTTAATGAGAATTGAATAATTAAATAATATAGTCAACTATGATGTTCTCCAATATTATTTAATTTATTGATAAATAATTGATATTAATGCAAAAGAATAAGATTTTCTTAAAAGGAATTAAATAGTTTGATATGTTTGCCCAACCATTATAATTATTAGTTGATAAAAAAGAATATCACTAAACATTATTTGGGTCAATCCTAACACTCTTATTGCTTGCATTATTTTCAAATCTATTTTATCAAAAATTAGTTACATTATTTAACAAAAGCAATCCTTCCTCATTAAGTTCAGAAATCTATCATTCTTAACCTGAATTATACAATTTGACTCCTTTTAACTTCACAATGACAATGGCCTTTTAAAATTCAACTTATAATACATACATTGATGAATCAATTTATGTTGTTAATGCATATTTAGTCAAAAAGTATGTTTAAGAATAAAATGGATAAAAAATTGATGTCTATGATAAACAAGAATTACCATTAGTGGAATGTAATTAGGATTTAATTAAATAAAAGGAATTAAAGCAATATTTTTCTCATTTTGATTTACCAACTAATTATTGTATTGATTGGAATTAAATTCCTAATATTCAAATTCAAGGTACTTTTGATGCTCCAAAATTTGAATACATTATAATGTAATTTAATACCTGTAATGAATAAACAAAAAAAAGCAAACCTTGTAAAAATTAAAAAGAAATAGAGTAAGCATTAATGCAGAATTATTTTTCATTTTAAATTTCATCTTAAACCACAAATTTAAAAAATCCTAAATCACCATATTAACCAAAAGGACAAGATCTATTTACAACAATCTCAAGTAATATATACAAAGAGATTTCTATATACTTAGAACCACTAACTACAATTACAGATGTTGGTTTGATTTAAACAGAATTGGAATATGAAAAAACGTTAAGATATGGCAGACATACAGAAATGTTAGATTTAAGTCAAACTGATTTAATTATGAATGTTATAATTAGACTTGATACTACTGAATATGTAGATTATAGAACTTATCCAAAGATATAAGAAATATTAGCAGAATTAGGTGGTTTATGGTAAGTATTATTTACTCTCTTTTATATTATTTCTAAACCTATTAATAAAATTAGTCTTATTCTTGAACTTATTAATTCTTTATATGAATTTTAAGATATCCATTAATATGAGGACAGCAATTAATAGAAAGATTCCTCTTAAACTAAAAATTAAAAATTAGGCTCTCCTTTGTAGAGATAATTAGAACAATAAATTCAGATTGGTCAAGATTAAATTGTAACTAATAAGACATTATCGATAAAGGATAATATTTATAAAAAATAAGGGCCAAAGGAAAAATCTTATAAAACCATTCTTTAAACATACATTCAATACATCCAAAAAGCTTTATTTCGTAAAAATATCAAATATAAATTTGGATACATAAATGCATTTTAAGCAATGAGGTGTATTGTCACTAAAGTAATATTTGTAATAATTTTAGGATGATGAAAATATACTTCAATTCCGTTAGGCTCATAATGAAATTAACAGTTAACTTAATATTCTTAATATATTAAAAAGACTATAAGATGTTGAAAAATTGAAGCACATTATTTTTAATGAAAATTAACGTATTCTATTTGATAAATTTAACAATATCCCATAAAAGGCTTAATAATTAGAAATAAAATAGCATAATGATCAACAAATAAAATAATAAGGTATTTCTTCAGATGCTATCTTATAAATATTATCTGATCAAAATAGTGAAATTAATTAAAAACTTATAGCTTCCATAGATGTTACTGTTAGTAATTTAATATAAAAATGTAAGCAAGAAAATGTTGAGAATTAAGAAAAAAATTGAATTTTATAAATTAATCAATCTTATTTTAATCTTATTTTTTATGACTTTATTCTTACAAATAATCATATCAATATTATAATAAATTCAAATTAAATTATATCAATCACTTCTAAAATACAGAAGTCAAACTATTACTCCTCAAAAATAATAAAAAAATTTATCCATAAAAAGTAGATATTTTATAATCAATATTTCTAGCTGATGCATAATTTCACTAAATTAATTTATGAATTAACATAACTCAATGGGAACATCAAAGTTTAATTTTAATAATTTAATCTTGCTTATTAACATTTGAGAATCAAATACAAATAATCATTTATATATAAAAATTAATTTTTATTATGACCAATACTGTTCTCTTTGAGAAGCCTTAAGTATTTGCATACGAAGATGAATCTAAGAAATATTCACATTTTTACTGTCTTTGCTTTCTTGTATAGATCTCTTACTTTTGGATCTAAGAATTCTAAATATTTATTATAATTATTTTTTGAATTACCCCATGGAGAGGCTTTGAATTATAATAAAATACAAATGCATTAATTGCATTTTCCTCTAATAGCATAAAATAATGGAGTTCTACCTTACTATAATATAAAGATAGAAATAATACAATGTCTTTACTATTAACTTCAGCATAATTTTTTAAAATTAAAATTGCCATATCAGGATAATCTCTAATAACTGCATGGTGAAGCATAGATAATTGAAAATGATCATAATCATAAACTAGATATTTATTTTCTATTATAAATTAATTTACAATTTCAATATCATTTACTTTTACTTTTTGAAAACATAATTAAGATTTATGGCTTTAATAAGGTTTTGTTTAAAAAACCTATTTACTAATAATATCTTCATATCGTAAATTATGTTCAATCATCCAATGTAAAAATATAGTTATTTATAATAATACTCGTTTAATTTTATTTTTTCTATTTTAAATCATCAATATTTATTAATTTTCATTTTACTCACTAACTTTAATTTTATTTTCATCAATCTATTTATTTAATTCTTAAATTTTATTAGGATGTATATTAGAAAAAGGATTTTGAAAAATTGACTTTTATTACAATTCTTTAATAGTATCATAATCTTAAGATGTCAATTCTTCATCTATTTCAATTAGATCTTTAATATCATTTTTATATTGATTATGCAAAACATTATTTTTTATACCTCTTTTGACAGATGAATATAAATTGATATGTTGAATATTTTAAATTTGTAATTATTCATAAATAGTATATTATTACTCTTATTAAGTTTAACAATGTCTTCTTAATTCATTATTTTTCTCAATAAATTCTATTTATTTTAAATGTAATAGTACATTCTAAATTCATCTTTTTGGTTTTAGCTTTTTTCTTAATATTACTAATACTCGAACTTATACCTAAAAGTTCTTTTCTAAATAAATAATTAAATTTACAGGTATTTTTATTTTTAATTTAAATAGGTTTAATAGGTGTTTTAACAACAAAATACTTGTCACTATTAATTTATTAAATTTTATTATCAATTTAACTTTATTATTGATTTATAGATTGATTATAATTTTAATTAGATTATGTTTTTGCTGAATTTAAGATTTCTAAAAAATTTTATTATTATTCTAGTTATTTATTTTATTTAGTAAACCAAGTCACTCTTTAAACATCAGTTTTTTTTTCCAAATTAGGAAATTTGCTAAAATCATATCTTGAGTCTGATTTTGTTATAGTCATAAAAGCAAGGTCTAGATTAGTTACTTGCTTCTATTGAAGATGATTTTTTGTTTTTGATATTAATTTTTGTGAATTTGATAATTGAGAGTCTGTTTTATATTTTTTAATTTAATCTGGAGTTTCTGTAGTTGAGTGTATTTTAATAGATCTGAAAATCTAATTTGATGTATTGATTTTGCGTTTCGATGAATAATATCCTTTCATTTATTTTATTTATATATGCGATAAAATATAAAAAAAATATAATTTTTTTCTAAAAAATAAATTAAAAATTTTTAAGAAAATTAACGATTCATTTATTTACTATTTTTTTATTGTTGCATTTATTAATAAATTTAATATATATTAAGAAAAGTAGAAGTAGAAATCAATAATAATAAATTTTATCTTCTATAGTTAATATTAGTTATGTAATTCTAGGTCATATATTATTGTTATGATGTAAATAGTATAGAATTAAAGAATTAAATTGATAATGTAGTATTATAATAGTTTATTGGCTATGAGAATATACAGTATGTGATGATAATATGATTAATTTAAATAATATTTTTATTTTTAATTAATTATGGATTAAGGATTAGATGCTGCATAATTGTTGGCTGAATTAAAAAAGCAAGATGAAGTAAATAAGTTACAATAAATAAATAGTGGGCCAAAGCTATAATTTTTGATGAAGATCTAAATGTGATAACTCATAAAAATTGTGCAGCTTCAAAAGAAGAGTTGGCACCTTATTTAAAGGCATACGATGTAAGAGATAACACAATAGGAGCAGGATTTGTGTTATTAGGAGAGAATTATGAGGTTCATAGATGGCATCCTCCTCTGATTTATGGAAGAAGAGGGGATGCAGATGTAGGAGAAGGGATTTCATTAGCTAGAGTAATATGGAAAAATTAATTATTGTTTAGGGGATTTGTAAAAAACATAATGGTAAGAGGGTGTACCTGTTGATAACCTATGAATTACCAATAGTTAGTGCAAGAGCTGTTCCACAATAAATTAATTTTTATAATCAATATATTGGTGAACTAGAAAAATTTGATATTAAGTAATAGTGAGATATGAAAAATATAATAAGATTAACAAAAACTTATTTGTGGATATACAATATGCATTTTACTATACTAATGATAATCATATTCATTTTTTGGCTACTTTCTTTGCTCCTCTCTTTTGATAGAATGTATCATCTCTTCTAAATTCAAATTCCAAATCTCTAGTTGTGAGTACTTTGTAAACATCTTTAATTGCATCAAGTCTATGCTCTAATTCTTTTTGATCGCTTTCATCAAGGAATCTTAATAATTTATTGACAATTAATTTACATTCTATAAAATTTAGTACCATCAACTCTGACTCTTGTTCTTCTTCCAAGAATGACTGATGGACTTATTAAATCTTCAAGTAAACCCTCATAGACAGATGTAAGTGTTCTTGAGTTAGGTCTGGTTTAAGATCTGTGACTCTTTACCCATTTGCTTTCTATTGTTCTTTTGGCAGCTACTAAGATTGTGGCTTTGACTCTCTTTTCTAATTCAGGTAATAATTTTGAGCTATGATTAATTGAAAACTCTTACCTAATCTTATTATAAATGCTCAAACATGGATATGGGATCAATACCAAATAGACTTACTTCTTTGCATTAATTTTTGCAGTGTAGTCAACAACAGATGATACTTTGAGATTCTTTACTTCAGTTATTGTTGTTTCAATTTATGTCAATGCTGATCCAACTTATTATTCTAAGCTTGATAACTTTAAGTTAGATTTAATTTCTTACTTCCTTCTTTTTCCAAAATTTGTTAGCTGCCATTTCCTTTCAATAAAATTTGATTTATTATTTAAATCTTTTTATATTTATAATCAGATGTAATAATCTCAAGCAATTAACTTAATACCTGAATCAACATCTTTAATAATAGAACCTACAGATACAACTGGAGCATTGTTATTAGGAAATATAAGTTCATTGACAAAATCATATAAATAAAACTAAGTTAAAGTATAAATCATTTAAATTTTAAGACTGCAATTACTGTTTGTGAATTCTCAAAATTTGATGATATTCACTTGGATAATCATTTAGTTATCAATATTGAAGATAGAGAAGATGAAAATATATTATAATATTTTGAAAAAACAAATAAATTTATAGAAGAAAACTTAAAAGTAAAAATTTATAGATACAAAGATAGAAAGGTAATTTATTAGTACATTGCATGGGTGGAATCTCAAGAAGTGCTACTATAATAATTGCATATATTATGTGGAGTTAGAAAAGGAGTTATAAGGATGCTTATAAATTTGTTGATGAGATGAGAGAAGGAATTTATCCTAATGAAGGTTTTAAACATTAACTTAAGGAATATGAATTGTAATTAAATAAATTGTAATGAATGAATTATTATTAATAATTATAATCAATGTTTAAGCTTGTATTTTAAATAATTGAGTTTTCATTGTCTTTTGGATTGTGTCTATTTATAAAAATAGGAAAAGAAGAAACTAAAATGAGTGGAAGAATTCTTAAGTTTGCCTATCGAGTAGAAAAGAACCTTTTATATAATTATGAATTTGGAAAATATACAAAAGTAGGTAATGAGTTTACAATAGGTTTTCAGATTTTGCCTGATTCCATTTTTATTATCAACTTTATATCGAAAGATCACAAAACTTGAATCATCATTTAATTTGTATCAGATAATTTTATTAGTGATTGATCTATTATCATTGACTGATTATATAAACACAACAGAATCATATTAAAGATATTGTCTAGTTTATGCAATTAGAATAATTAGGACAACAATTATGTTAATTGATTTAGTTAAAGATATTACAAAATTAATTATAGGACATTAAGAATAAAGACTATAAGCCAAACAGATTTAAATATCATAACAACTTCTTTAATAAAATCAATTAGAATAAGCAAAATAACAGGAAAGTTTAGATGAAGAATCAGACATAGATGAATCATAAAAATTAATCAATACAAAAAAATAGTAATAATAATAATAATAATAATAAACTTTGATAAAACGACTAATATTTCCATAAATGAAAATTCCTTGCATCGCATTAAATTTAATTATTAATCAACAATAATATTATATATAGATAATTGATCCTTGGAGTTTTGATATATCATTCTCAAAAATCTAAATCAGGGAACAATTATTGATAATGATAAAACTCAACTTTTGTTGTTAAATTTATTAGAATATAAAGAAAACTAAATGTAATTAATAAGCACTTTATTAATATAGAGAATTAATAGCTGAATATCTATCTTAAATTATTTGGATGAATTGATTAATAAATTTGTATATATTTATTAAATTATATATATATATATAAATATCAATCTACTTCTTCCATTTTTGATTTGGTAGCCTCTGTATTGGCAGTTTCACTTTTCTTTTCTAAACTTGGTAATTTCTCATCTTCTTCTTCAATTGTTGTATCATCTATTGATAATCCTAATTTAATCATCTTATGAATTCTGCTAGCAAAATGAGCTGGATCATCTAAACTAAATCCTGATGTCAATAAAGCTGTCTCATATAATAACCAAATAAGATCTTTAACAGTTTTATCACTCTTATCTTTATCTGCTTTCTTTTTCAATTCAGTCATTATAGGATGAGATGCATTAATTTCCAATGTTTTTTTAGACATCATATAACTACTCATTGATGGATCTCTTAATGCTTATGCTTTCATAATTCTTTCCATATTAGCTGACCATCCATATTCACCAGTTACTAAAACACAAGGAGATTATTCTAATCTTTATCCTAATTATACTTTCTCTATTTTATCACCTAAAATATCTTTTATTAATTTGCATAGACCTTCAAATTATGATTTAAGTTCTTCAAATTTCTTTTTCTCATCTTCAGTTTAATCTAATTCTAATCCTTCCTTACTACAATTCTTCAATTTCTTTCCTTCAAATTCTTTCAACTATTAAATTACATATTCATCAATAGGATCCACCATATAAATTACTTCATAATCTTTCTTTTTTAAGCTTTCAACAAAAGGTGAAGCTGCTACTGAAGCCTTAGATTCACCTGTTATGAAATATATGTCTTTTTATCCTTCTTTCATTTTCCTAATATAATCTTTTAAAGAGATTTAATCTTCTCCACTCTTGGATGTATGGAATCTTAAGAATTCAGCCAATTTAGTTCTGTTAGCAGAATCTTCATGAATACCTAATTTAATATTTTTAGAGAATTATTCATAGAATTTCTTATAATCTTCTGCATTTTCTGAAAGTTCTTAGAACATTTCAATGCATTTTTTAGTAATGTTCTTTTTAATCACTTTCAAAATCTTATTATGTTATAAGAATTCTCTTGAAATGTTTAAGGGTAAGTCTTCTGAATCAACAACACCTTTGATAAATCCTAAATATTCTGGAATCAATTCTTCACAATCATCCATAATAAATACTCTTCTAACATATAATTTGATATTATTCTTTTTCTTTTTTGTTTCAAATAAATCAAAAGGTGCTCTTTTAGGAATAAATAGAACAGCCTTGAATTCTAGACCACCTTCAACTGAAAATTATTTAACACTTAAATGATCTTCCCAATCATTTGTTAAAGATTTGTAAAAGTTTGCATACTCTTCTTTTGTAATTTCTTCTGGTTTTTTCATCCACAAAGGTTTATTCTTATTAACTTATTCAAATTCAGTAGTAACTTCTTTAATCTTCTTTTTCTTTTTTTTTTCATCTTTGCTCTTCTCTTCTTAAACTTCTCCTTCTTCAGTCTTCTTTTCTTTATTATCCTCTTCATCATCACTAACTTCTTTCTCATGAGTTTTTTCAATTTATAATTCTATAGGGAATCCAATAAATTCTGAGTGTTTCTTAACTAAATCTTTAAGTCTCTTTTCCTCCAAAAATTCTAAGTTATCCTATTTAAGATGGAGAATAACAGATGATCCTCTAGTCAATTAATTAGGATTCTCACTATCATCATAGATAAAGAATGTTCCACCAGCTTATGATTCCCATCTATATTATTATTAACCAACAGCTTTTGAAAGTACAACTACTTTATCTGCAACTAAATAAGCAGAGTAGAAACCAACACCAAATTATCCAATCATAGAAATATCAGCTCCAGAATTGAGTGCTTCCATGAATGCTTTAGTTCCAGATTTAGCAATTGTACCAAGATTATTAATTAATTCATCTCTTGTCATACCAATACCAGTATCTTATATAGTTAAAGTGTTATTGTTTTTATCTGGTATGATTTTAATTTTGAAATTAGGTTCAACATTTAATCCTGCACTATCTGGATCTGTAATAGATTTGTATCTGATTTTATCTAGAGCATCAGAAGCATTGGAAATTAGTTCTCTAAGAAAGATTTCCTTATTTGAATAGAATGTATTAATGATAAGACCCATCAATTGTTGAATATCTGCATTAAAGTGGAATTATTCTTCTTTATTTTGAGTTGTTGACATTGTTTAAATTAATTGTTGGTTCTTAATATATAAGAGATGGATTTAAAAGGCAAAATCTCTAGAATTTTCTAAAATCAAGAATTTCTATGGGTTCTTTATAAATTGGTTATATTCTAGAAATATTTTAAATTAAAAAAAAAATATTGTAATTAATTGAATTAATGATAATATTTATAATTGTATTATAATTGTATTATAATGTAATTAAATTAATAATGTAAACTTCAGATAATGCAAAACCATCACGTAAAGGATTGGGATTACTTCTCAACTAACATCATCGTTAACACTTTTCTGAGGACTTTCAAAGACCATAATAACTAGGAACTCCTAGATCATATATGTAAGCTTTACCAAAGATGAGTACTTAATTCAATTCTGTGAGTACTACAAACTCAAACACTAGAAAATTGATAAGTGCTGAGAGACCCACTATTACCATAGCTGAAGAATAAGATTCATATGGTTATAGATAATAAGATCATTTGGATGAAGAAATCTTAGTAACTATTTATTAAAATGCAGCGAATTCGTGAAATTCATGAAATTCTTAAATCTAGATGTAGTACTTTAGATTTATTGATCTCAGTTATAGGTGGCAAAGAGTTTGTCCATAATATAAAAAATCAAACAACATTATAGAAAATTTAAGAATTGTTAAAAAGCATTTCTTAAACATTATAACAATCTGCAAAGACTGAAATAGAATTAGGCTTCAAGATGAGGGAAATAGAGAGGAAGAATAGTATTTTAATTAACTTATGGTAGTTAAGTATTCATCATTATAAATGAAGTAACTGAAATTATCAGATAAAAATCAATCTCTATAAAGTGTAATTGATGTACATAGTTAAAAGACCAATAAATTATTAGATGAGAATTCTAAATTATAGAAACAATTAAAACAAGAAAGGAAATTAAATGCATCTAATTCTAAAAAAATTACAGCTTTAGAAAAAAGAATTGAGTTTCTTTTGGAAAATGATGTGAATTCTGCTTTAAATCCAAATGATAAATTAAGAAGTAGTCTCAATGAATTGTTGAAAGAGAATGAATTAATAAAAAGAGAATTTGAACACAAAAAATAAGAATTAGATAGAGTTTAAGGAAAACTAAATTAATATACATAATTAGTAAATCGTTTATAGAAGACAATTGATAATATGAGAAAGAAAAATTAAGATGATATGGGAAAAGATGAAAAATCAGTATTTAGAAAAGATGATATTGATTTATTAGTTAATTTTAGAATACCATAAACTTTAGATTTTAGAGTAGTTAGTTAAAGATTAAATAATTAACATTTGTTAAATGATCTTACTGATAAAGGTGTATTAGCTACTAGTTAACATAATTTTACACTCCCTGTAGAATCATAAAAAGAATAATTCTAAATTATAGCTTAATAATTATTATCTTATAAAGAATTTGCTGAAAAGATGAATTAATTTTTCTTTTATATGGAATAATTTAGTAAATGTATACTATTTGAAGATGTAAAATATATATTTTTAATTATTAGATTATACATTAAGTTAATAGAGTATTACCATAAGTATTTGGATGTGAATAAGTCAGACTATGGTTAATAGATGGAATGAATGGAACCATATTTACATATTTAGAAACAGGCAATCAAATTAGAGCTTTATAACATAAGGGTTAAGTTGCTGATGTCTTTAAATTGAGGGCTGCCTAAAATATCTCATAAGCATCTTAAAAACCATTATTGTATAGAATTAATGAATCAGAATAAGCTGATTATGCTAGAAATGCTTTGTTGTTACCTTTGTTTTGTGAAACCAATGATGCTATAAGAGGTGTTTTAGAAGTAACTAATACTGAAAATGAATTCTTTTCATTTGATGAAGAATACTTTGGTATATTGGCATCTCATTAACTTGGACATTTATTATAAAGATTAATTGATAAGTACTTCATCTTTTAGATTTAGTTAATCATGGTTAATTACGTAGAAATATAGAGGTATGATGATGGATGGATTTACTAATCTAATGAAGAGTTAAAGTAAACAAGAGTTCTCTTCTAAAGTTTAATTGAGTCTTAGTTAAATATTTGGATTCTCTTAAGTTTTATTTTACTTTTTTGAAGACAATTAACTTGTAGATTATAGTAATCAAGATGTTAAAAAATATAATGTTTAATATGGATTAGCTGGTATGGTGGCTCATACAAAATAGAAATTGATAATAAATGATGTAAAAAACTCAATTCATTTCAATCAAGCTGTAGACATTAAGTCTATTTTACCAATATTTGCATAACCATTATTAGATAAAAATAATAATACAGTTGCTGTTATAGAAGTAATTAAAAATTATAATATTTTAGACTTGTTTAAAATGTAAATTAAAAGTATAAGTTGAGAAGGATCAATTATTGTCACCAAGTGAAGGAGTCTTAGGAATGGAAGAACCATTAACTAAATAACTAGCAAATTTTGTTGATATAATAGTAGCTGCCTTGTGTAATATAAGATTCTGATTTTAATTATTTTTATATCATATAAGAGGTGGATATTCATAGTCACCAAATTCTGATGGTAATTAATAAGTACCAGGTCCAGGAACTTAAATAATCTTTTAAATTAATTTACATTATTTATTTTTTATATTTTAGGTTTATCTTTCCTAAAATCCAAACCTGAATCCACTTCTTGTAGAATATTAAGATGGCAAATAGGTTCTAAGATCTCCAATATCTCCAGGAGGATCATAAGTTCCAGGACCTGGGATTCTCTTGAGTCTTTTAGCAATTGTAGTAGATGGAGATATAACAGGAGCACCACTACTTTTAAATCTACCAAAAAAGTAATTTCCTTTTGCATTGAGACCTCCAACATCATATCGACCAGGTGCTGGAGTTGTAGATTAGAGATAAATATCTAATAAATATTAAAATTCCTTTTACGTTTTGCTGAAGTTCTCTCACCCATCGAATATTTATAAGTTGTTACTATATCTTTTACTTAATACAAATTAGGAGCAGGATTTTTATTGGGTCTTCCATGTATTCCTTTAATCATGGTTTCATCTCTCCCATATCCAAATTTAACTCCTGGATTTAAAGTCAATTTGATATTGTAATCAGTAGGTCCTGGAATATATTTATCTTTCTTAGTAAAATCAGATTTATTTCCATATCCAAGAGCAGCAGCTCTTTTATTCAATTGAGTTTGGATTCTACAATTAAAAAATAGATAATACTATGAATCATAAAATTAAATAGAGCAATAGCTTTCTTTAGCTTTCGAGAATCTTTCTGCTTTTGAAAATGTATATTATTGTTTTGAATGAGATCGATTAATTTAATCATGAATTATTTTAGTATCAAATTATTCTGATGTTCTGAGATGTAACAATGATTAAGTATTTCGTTTGCTATATATTTATTCTAAAGTTTTAAATGTTCTTTCTGATGTTGTTTTTTAGCCATATTACTTTTCAGTTTCTATTCTTTTATTCAACTCTTTTCTTTAAGTAGTGGTTTTAATCTCTTCTTGAGAATCAACCCTTTTTGAATTATGTTGAACAATCTATTATCTTATTTCTGGCTGATCCTCTATCTATTATTATTATTATTATGGAGTATCTTAAGAATAAAATTCTTTTTATTCATCATCTACTCTACTATCTTTTTCTTATTAGTCTTATTCCTTTTCATTCTCTTAATCTATTTGATCTTTTTATTCATTCATATTCTATTCATTGATATTCTATTCATCTTACTACTAGATCTATTCTTCTTGTAGTAATTAATTCATACTTAATAAATATTTTACAAATATTTAAATAATATATATTATATTAAAATAGAGTGAAAATTAGGAGATTCAATTCTGTATTTTCAAATATGGGTGTAGCTCTCCATTATACTTTTTAAGTATTGTATAATAAAATCTATTTTTGACTTAATTTTCCTAATATTTAAGAATTCAGAATTACAGATCTGTTATCTAACTACTTAGCTATTTAAGCCCAATGTGGTCCATTCTATTAAAATTCTTTCATTATTATTTTATCTTCTTCTTCATTCCACTCCTTATGATTGATTATTGGATTTATTTAATTTACATATCTATCTCTAACTTGTTTTGATGTCCTTCCTGGAAGTTCTATATTTAGTGATTGTACTTAATACTTTCAGCTATCTTAATCCATTATCTTCCATACTATTCAAAGCTTTCTAATAGTATTTTATCCTCCTCAGTTGACCATTTCCTTTTTGTTCTTTTATCTTAATCTTAAAGTTTTCTAAATTTCTATGAACACTAAGAGATATTTCTTCCTTTTAAGTGTTTAATGATCTTTTTCCAATCTCCATGATACTATTTATAGTATTTAATTAAGTTATCCACCTCATCTTTAGACCATAATTATCCTTTTCCTCTAACTATTCCACTTGCATTCGTTTGTTCTTAAATATTTTAAACTGTTTATTCTTTTTCTATATCTGAAGCCTCCTCTTTAACTAAGGTTTAAGGAGCCTGAAAGGAATAAAAATAAGGTAAGCAAAAGAACATTGAGTTAACAGGGTTTATAAACATTGAATAAATTAATAAACGCTATATAAACGATTCCATAAAATACTGTCATCTTATGGATCATTCTGTATAATGTCACACTCTTCAATTCCCTTCTTTTCTAAATTTGTACCTTTCCATTTCAAGAATGCTTTCAATATCATTTAATATATAAGTTTTAATATAATCTTTTGTTGACTTTATTATTTTAAAATCATTCACTATTAGTATTATTAATCTATTTATATCAAATATCAATTTTTCATATGATTTTATAATTGAAAATCATTTCTAATTCTTCTCATAAACCTAATAATTATTTTGATAAAACTTAGAAATTATATTGAATATAAAATAATTTAATTATTTATATTTTTATTTATATATTTATATATTTATATATAAGTATAAGATAAAAAAAATAATTACTATTATTATATATAAAAAAAAACTTAATTCATGTGAAATAAATTAAGGTAATGTAATATACTTTACAATATTTATTTAAATTTAGGATAAAAAATAGCAAAAATATCTTTATTTTATTATAGATTTAAAAGCATATATGGATTAGAAAATTTGAATTATGATGAACTTATCAAAATAGAAAAATAATAGCTTTAGTAACAATGTATATATTTTAAATTATAACTTTTCTTTCGAATTTAGACATTAACATGTATAAAATTCATGAATCCATATGATATTGTGAAATTCTAATGTAAAAAAACAAATCTGTAAAATTTTTACAAATCTATCATTTTATCAAATAATATTATTGGATAACAAAAGCTAAAGATAAATCAAATAATATTTTATTATTAAATATAATTATGTTGGTTAAAATTTAATAAATAGAGATGAACCAATAAACTCTAAAATATAAAAACAATATTTATATATGTAAGAGAAAATATTAGACAAATTTTGTTTAATAATGATATCAAATTATCTTGATTTATCAGTTTGTTTTGAAAAAAAATTATTTCATTTAATATAATAAACAACTTTTTGAATATGCAAAAAAAAACGCCATTAGATAGACACTTAATTTTGGAGATGTTTTACCAACCAGATTAAGATTTCGCATAATTTCTTCTAAAAAACCATTAGTTCTCATTCTAGTAATTGCCCACTGTTGAGGAAATTAATTCTATACTAAATAATGTAGAAAAAGCTTACAACAGTAAAAGAGGAATGTGGACTCCCTGTTAAGATGAATTCTTAAATTTATTGGTACTAGGTACATGTTTGAAAACCAAAGAAATTCCTGTTGATTTAGTATAAAATATAGATTAATTCTTTATAGACTTCTTATTAATGGGAATAAATTTCAAGAATGTTTAGATATCATAATTGGAAAGGTTGTAGAAATAGATGGTTGGAAGAATGTCATTAGAAGGTAGGTTGGACTCCAGCTGAAGATTAAGTTTTGATATAACTATAGTAATTACATCCAAATAAATGGTGTGAGATTGCAATTGAGATGATGAAAATTTGTAAGACCCCCTATATTCGATAAGGGAAATAGTGTAGGGATAGATGGGTGAATAAATTGGATCCAAATATAGTGAAGTAATTTGAATATATATTTATAGTCTACCTTGGACAAAGGAAGAAGAATTGAAACTATTTAGAGAGATAGAAAAAAGAGGGAAGAGATGGGCTGAGATCTCATTGAAAGTTTTTAAGTTAAGGAGAACAGAAAATACAATAAAAAATAGATATTATAATTTATTAAAATAGGAAGAAAATAAAATTAAATTAGGCAAAATAACAAAAGATGAAAAGAATGAAATATTAGTCAAATCTATCATTTAATAACTTGAATAATAAGTGAACTGTAAATTTCATATAAAAAATGAAGAAACATAAGATTAATAAAATTAAGAGTATTAAATATAGATTTTTGATTTCAATAAATTAAAAGAGCCCTTTAAATTAGTTTGTTTAGTAAAAAGAAAGATTGTAAAATTAAATGAAATATGATAATATTTATTATGCTATTGATTTATTTAATTCTGATTATTGCTAAAAATTATATCATTTATCATATGTAATAAAATTATGAATTGTTAAATCTGTTTCATTGATAAATAGATGATTAAACCTGGAGATTGTTCTCATCAATTTTGCAAGTAAGCATATTTAAATCAAAAAGAGAATGCATCATCATGTATTTGAAAGAAACAATTAATAATGGAAGTGTATTTAAGATAACTTGTCCTGCATGTACTATAGAATATAGTGCTTTAATAATAAAATAATATTGTGAAGATCTATATCCAAAATATTTGGAGTTAAAACAAAAAGCTATAATAACTTGTTCTGTACTAGAAATTATTATACAATATAGGTTTGTAAAGAGGATATAAAAACACATAAATGTGGTTCAAAGGTTTGTTCAAAGTGTGGTGAAATTCATACGGGATATTGTAGCTAAAGATGCCCAAATTGTTTGATTCCTATAGAGAAGATTAGTGGATGTAATCATATGATTTGTAAATGTAAATATGAATTTTGTTGGATTTGCAAAGGAAAATATAGTAAATATCATTATAGATTATGGAATTTATTTGGATGTCCATGTAATATATCAATTTATTAAAGTTCCTGGATCAATGATGAGAACTATAGAACCTTTATAAAATCCAATGTTATTTCGTTTACTTATGATTTTACCCAAAATCTTAGCATTTATGCTTTTATTTTGCATCTTGCTTTTAATATATCCATTTTTTTGTTTTATAATCACTGTTAAATTCCATTATCAATAATTTAAAATCAAAAAGTAATCCATATATTAAAAATTATATTAGATCTAGAATTTTATTGGTATTTCTATTTCCATTGACTTACTTGATGCATTTTTTTTATAAAGGAATATTTGCTGTGCAGCATAAATTACATTCTCTTAGTTGAAAATATATTAAAATAATGTATGTTTTATAATTAATTCACACTGTTTCTAGGTGATATATTGTCACTTTAAAATTATATTAGTATAATATTTAATATGCAAAAGTAAGAGATTTAACTCAATAATTATGATGATATCTCATTGAAAATATAATCATCTCAATAGAATAAATGTATATTGGAATAATAAGCAACACATTATGAGATGAATAAATAAAATGAAAGTATTTTTACAACTCTTGAAAATTTTGAATGTTATCCTGATTTATAACATAGATTAGCAGATGCTATCAAATAAGAAAATCTTTAATTTAAATAATACCATAAGAAAGTATCATAAACTTTGAATGAAGCAAAAACTATAGTCTTAGATTATTTTAAAAAAACTAAAGAAGAAATTAAAAAGATAATAAATTCTTTAAAAACTACTGAATTTCTTTACAAATTAACATAAAGTTCATAAGAAAAAATAAAATAATCATTAATTGAACAACCAAACAAAGAAAAATATTAGAAAGAAAAGTTTAATGACATAGTTTAAATGTTAAATATTTTAATTTAATATTCTAAATCATTTCATTAATTAAAATTTGAGATATCCAAAACTGAACAATTGTTTAATAATCAAGTTTAAATCACAGGCAATTATAATTTTGGATTAAAACATGGATGTCATTTTTATAAATTTTTAGATTTGTAATTCAAAGTATATTCTACTATTTCATAATAAATAGGGAGGTGAATATAAATATGGGATAAAGGAAGGATTATGGAAAGAGATACTTTGGGCAAGATCTGAACCTATAGAATTAATTTATGAACAAGGATAATATTTAAATGGTAAAAGAATTGGAGAATGGAATACAATTGATTTAATTGCAAATTAGATTTTAAGTAATGGAAATTATGATGAATTTGGAAATAAATAGGGTAAATGGCTTGAAATGAAAATAAAACATGATGAAAACAATAATATTAAGTAAAATTTTATTTAAATTTTAGAATTGTTGAATGGCATCAAAATTATATTAATGATTTCCCCTAAAATGAAAGAAGATTAACATCAATTATTAGAGTATTAAGAATTATTAAAATATATATAGAATTCCTTAATTTTAAGTCAAGTTAATTGTCCTTAAATTCCAATAACTGAAGGATATTTAACTAAATAAGGAAAATCAAAATAATTAGAAAATGAGATATTAGTATAATTGCAACCTTAAAGCTAAATGCTTTATTTATTTTAATCTTAATCCTTCAATGTTTAACCTAAGTAATAATTATAAATTAAATAGTGAAATCATTAATCTAATTAGTATACATTCTGTTTTTCATTAAAAAAACTCAAAAAAAAATAATTTAATTGAAATCAATTTTTTGAATGGTAAAAAGGTTTAATTTATGACAAAAACAGAACGTGCTGCTAAAAAATGGGTTGATTCATTAAATTAAGCATTATTGTACAATTAATGGATAACAGAAAAATAGAATTCATCTATTAGTGTTTAAGATATTTGTGAAGATATTAATAATGAGAAAGTATTTATTGAGGATAATATTTTACAAAATTAAAATTATTAGTACCTGAAAGAAGGATTTGATGACATTTTTTCATTAGATATAAAATAATTTGAATTATAAAAACAATTAGGAGAAGGACTATTTGGCAAAGTGTTTTTGGCTAAATATAAAAACAATAATATTTATGCTTTAAAGCAAATGTAAAAGAGTTTTTTAAAAAAACAGAATTACTTAAAATATGCTATTACTGAGATGGAAATATTGAAAAGTGTGGATTGTCCATTTATTATAAAAAGTTATGCAATTTTAGAAGTAATATTAAGAATTTTTAAATTTATAGAATGAAAAATGTTATTATATAATAATGGAATATTGTCCAGGCAGAGATCTTATACATAATCTAATTATTCATGGAAAATTTAATGAAAATGAAGTAAGATTTTATATGGCTGAATTAATAATTGCTATAGAATATTTACATAATAAGGATATCTTATATAGAGATTTGAAACCAGAAAATATTTTAATAGACAGAAGAGGTCATATCAAATTAATTGATTTTGGATTATGCAAAACTGATATTAAAGATGGTGAAAGAAGTCACAGTTTTTGTGGTTCACCTTATTATATGTCACCAGAAATGATTGATTAAAGAGGTGCTACAAAAGCCTCTGATATTTATGGATTAGGAGCCATTTTCTATGAATTATTAACAGGAAAATCACCATATTTTGATAAGAATTAAGAAAATGTCAAACAAAATATCAAGGATGCTAAACTAACTTATCCTAACAATATTTCTTAGTCAGCTAGAGACTTAATACTTGTATTATTATTATAAAGAGTATTTTTAGTAAATGCTTGAAGTTGATGAAACAAAAAGAATTACATTAAATGCAATTAAATCAGATAAATTTTTTAGTGGTGTTGATTGGGGTAGAATGTATAAATAATAATATAACCCTCCAATAAGAGAATTTGAAGATCTATCAGATGATGATTGACATTACAATAGCTATATCAATATTGTACTGTTTTATATAATTGATCATTCTTTCAAAGCAAACTTTCTTAATGGGAAATTGTTCAATCTTTTCCATTGTCTTTATGTTTTTTATGCTTAAATTATATATCATTTATTATTACCTCTTTCGCTTCTTGTAAGTCTTTATCTAATTGCTCTTGTTCTTTTACCTCTAAGATCAACTGGAAGATTAGTACTTGACTTGGTTGCCTTTTTGACAGAATTTCTTCTTTGCTCATTGATCACTGTTAAGTATTTAGCAATTCGCTTTCTAACAAGCTTAATTTATTGTTTAATTGTTTACTCCAATTCTGCCAAGTTTTTGAGCATTACCAGCTGAAACCTTAACTGTTCTTAATTAAATGAGTTCTCCTTTGAGCTTCTCTAAATCTTTAAGAAGATCTTCAGGCTTTTATTCTCTCAGCTTTTTCACCTTGAACTTTTAAGAAGACATATTTTAAAAAAAAGGATTTAATTTTTATCAAATATGGGTAATTGCTTCAATTAAGATGAGAATAGTAAAACATCCATTAAATCACTTAAGAAGGTAGATTAGATGTAGTCTTAGTCCCTTAAAGACTTAGACGCAAATAAAGTTACTTTAAAGGACTTTTTAAGTTAAGGTTAGATAGGAAGGGTTAGGAATATATAAATTTATTTAGGGCTAATTTGGAAAGGTTTTAAAAGTTAAAATGAAGAGCAACAATTAAGAATATGCTATGAAAGTTATTAAAAAATCAGATATCATTCAATATGGGTTAGTGGAACATACAATGCTAGAGAAGAGTGTACTTATTCGAAGTAAAAACCCTTTTGTTGTCAAGCTAAAATATTCTTTCTAGACAGATTAAAAGCTATATTTCGTTATGGAGTAATATATCAAAATTTAAAGTTTAGATTAGTGACTGGAGGATAACTTGCTAAAGTCCTTAGTAAATAGCGTGAGAAACGATTCACATAATTTTAAGCGTAGTTCTGTGCCGCTGAAATAGTTCTTGGATTATAATACATACACGAAACTTTAAAGGTCATATATAGAGATTTAAAACCAGAAAACGTTTTAGTTACTTCAGATGGCCATTTGAAATTAACAGATTTCGGATTATCTAAGTAATATGATAGTTAAGACATGAAATTCTTTACTGTAATACTTAGATTTAATTATAAGGCTAGTTTGTTGGAACACCAGAGTACATAGCACCAGAAATATTGTTAAAATCTGGACATAATTCATCGGTAGATTGGTGGAGTCTAGGAATATTGCTTTATGAAATGCTTGTAGGATATACTCCTTTTAGAGATAGATCTAATAATTTAAGGGTGATAGAGAATAAAATTATTTAAAACGAATTAATATTTCCTGATTATATATCCACTGAAGCAAAGGATATTATTTGTCAACTATTAAATAAGGATCCACATTAACGTTTAGGTAAATTTAATTTAACCGACTTAGGTAGCAGATCCATAGATTAAATAAAGAATCATTTATTTTTTTCTTAAATTAATTGGGATGATATTTATAATTTAAATATAAAATCCCCAATTTTAGAAAGTGTTACTAAGATATTAGAATAGCAATAAACAGAATGCAAAATTGTTCCTAAAAAGATATTTGAAACTCCTCAATCATAAATAGGATAAACTGATTGTTAATTTGAAGGTTTTTCAGTTGATCGTGAGGAATTTTGAAATGTGTTTAGAAGTTTTTTTAAAATTTCTTTCTTTTTTTTCAAAGCATAATAAATTTATTTTGAATTCAATATTATATAATAATTATACACAGCAATTATTTTAATAGACTACTTAATAAGAATATATACAGATAATTATAAAGAAATTATGAGATATACAATTAATAGAGTATGGATACTATATAGTTTTTTTTCTAATTATTATATAAATTATTATATAATTGTAAAGATTCATTGAGGCATCTTAATTGTCTTTTGAGAGTGAAATCTTTTATTGGTATTTAGTACCGGTAATTTAGTAATAGAACAATCCTCTGGAATGTCTTAATAAAATGGTACAGTGCTATCTCTTAATCTTTTTTTTGTTTATTCGATAATGGATTTAGAGGATTTGAATTATATTATGTATTTGTCATGTTTCTGAATATATCCAATAATATATTTCTGTAAACTTGAAATGATTTCTCTGTGAGTTTTCACGATTTTCTTATTGAATTAAGTATATGTGACATCCTGATTTTCATAATGTTACACATAAGCTTCACTACCAGGATGATTCTCAGCATAATCCGTCAAATTATATACAGCTTTCTTGTATGCATATAATGAGAGTTGATTTTTTCGTGCATATTGTTGCATTTCTTTCAAATCATTAAAATAAACATATTGATTCATTATTTGTAATTAATATTAATTAAATACAGTATTCAATAAAACTTCTACATAAATATTTATACATTTAGAGTTCAGCCTATTTAACTTGAAAATAATATATATATATAATATATATTTTACTTTTATTTAACATTATAATAATAAGTTAAATAATAATAATAGAAGAATTCTTTAAAAATTACAATTTAATTTTCCTCATAAATTTATTGCTTAATTTTCAAAAATAAAGTTTACTATAATTTCAAGTAGATTTAATCAGGATACCATTGATTAAATGATTTTGTCATAAATAATCTAAGTGTAATTTTATTTTATTTTGGTTTGCCATAACATTATTTTAGATTATTATTAGAATTAATATTCTTTTAATTGCATATTAATTCTTATTACGATATTTGGATTCTCATTATTATTATTAAATCATTGTATTTTCTGTATTAAGGTTAATAATATTTAATTCTTTATTTTAAATTCTTATATAATCTTTGAATCTCAATAAAAATACTTTAATTCTCAAGTGTAATAAATACCTCAATAATAGAGTTGATATTTACATAGTTCTTTAATTATCTAATAAAAGGAGTGATTTAATTAAGATAAAAGTAATATTATATTAAAAACTAATAAGAGACATGATTTAATATATAACAATGATAGTTAATATAGCATTTTATATAGGAAGATTTTCTGGAAATAACTTTGGATATTAAAAAATTCTAAATTTGCCATTATAGTAATCAAAAAAATTTAATGATTTTTTTTAATTAAAATATGGAGAGTTGAATATTGTAATGTATTAATAAAAATGGATAATAAAGAGAATGAGAAGTAAGCTAAATTAAAGGAATTTCAAAGGAGATTTCCAAACTATATGAATGGGAAGAAAGTGATATTTCCTATAATGGATGAGATAATAGTTCAATTTTCATAGATATTTCCTTAGAGTAATCAATTTGGAAAGATGAGAGAGGGAAATGTAATAAAGACTTTTTCACCAATTCCTTTAAATCAATAAATTGAGATTACAACTTTCATAAATGCTTTTCCTTATAATTAATAATTTGCAGCAATGTCTGATAGCTAGAATTAGTTTTAATTGCTTCTTTCCCCTTTATTAAAGTTAACAGGACATTTAATAAAAGACTATCATACTAATGCTACATTTTCAAATAGTTATCAATACTCTACCTTTGATACTTAAGAACAGTCAGATCGTATTAATTTCAAGTTAACATCTTTTATAGTAGAGGATATTTTTAAGTATAAAATGGGTTTATTGAAGCCAATAGACATAGCAAAACAAAGGTAAGTGAAAGATGAAATAAAAAAGAAGGGAAACAAACCTCAAAAAATGAGTTTATTATCTATTGTAGAGAAATAATAATAGGAAGAAGAAAAGGATATTAATTAAGATTTAACACTTTAGAGTTAGAAGTATGAATTTGAAAATTATTTGGATCCTACTTGTTCACATTTTTGGAAAATAGCCTTTGAATCATTTAATAAAATAATAAAAAAGTCATAAAGAACAAAATTATAAGATATGGATATAGAATAGGATTCAGATGAATAACCAGAAACAATATAAAATGTTAATAAAGAAACACTAAATTAAGATAATATTGAAATGAGACGATAATAAATAATTAACAAATATTAATAACTTTGTAAGTTGAAGGATTAAAATAAAAAGAAAAATAAATAAACAAAATAATATTCTTAGATTAAATCATTTAAGATTAAAGATAGATATACTGATTTAGAAATGCTAAGATTCAATAATTTATTTAAATTTTTGATACAGAATTGGCCATCATTGTTACTATAATCAATTAAATTACCTTATGTTTAATCTTTATTTACTGATTAAGAGCTTAGAAATATCAAGAGTATAGGTTAAAATGAATTAGGTTATTTTGGATTGAAAGCTAAATAGAGAGCTGACATAACAAGTAATTTAATTGAAGGAGTACGTGAAAGTGATAGTTTTAAAATAATAATAGAATATAGATAAGAAGTTACAGAAGCAGTAGGATTAGTACTAGAAAATGTTTAAGATGAATTAAACAGTATCAATTAGTCATTATTAAAGAAAGATAGTTAATATACTTAATAATAACAATAATAATATCGAAAGATTTATAAATAATATCTATAATTAGTAGAGTTTAGTCGACTTTTCATTAATGGATGCTTATATTTAGGTTCTGATATTCATGGATTTGATTATCATATATTCTCGAATGATATTGATCATATTTATTAAAATAATGGTTCAGAATGGAGAGTCTTAGATGAAAATTAAGTTTAATAATTATTTAAGACATTAAATGTTTGTGGTGTAAAAGAGAGAGAATTGTAAACGAATATTTAAAAATTAATGGCATGTGAATTATTTAATGATTAAGACACAAAAGAATTAATTACCATTAAAAATGTTGAATAATCTTAAGTATAGGCTGGTAATAGAAGTCCAAAATAATTAATAGTTAAAATATTATTAGAAGTTGTATAAAAGTATACTGATATTTTGATGGTAAGAAAAATGAGATGGGAATCATATAAAATAAGAGAAAAATTTTAAAATACTATAAAAACACTTGAAAGTCCTTTAGATATGGTAGATTTTATGAAGATTTTAATTGAATAATTTGAAACTGCTTAAGTATTGGTTATAGATTAATAAAAAATGTAGAATGGAAATTAATATGATTAAAAAGATTTAAAAGAATTTTAGTAAAGATTACGTATATATGAAAATAAATTATAAGGATTGAAAGAACCTGAAAAGATTTTATTTTATGATAGTCAATTATTTTAAATGATGGAATCTAAAGAACATATTAAACCTAATGGTGTTAAATTTAATACAAAATTCTGGTAATAAAGTTTAGGATTAGAAGTTAAAGAAGCATTGATGAATTTTGCTAATAAAGTAGACAAAGATAACTAATAATATGATGTTGTATTTATGGCTAGTACATTATTATTAGCAGTTTAAGAATATGAACTTTCAAATTCTACTTAAGATAATGAAGATGATGAATTACTTAGATAAATTGTAAAAGATGTAAAATTTGATAATTCTAATTTTCCTTCTAAAATAGATAATAATTAGAATAATAACCAAATAATTGAATTAGATTGAATTTGTTTTTTTATATCTAAATTTATTATTATTATTATTATTATTATAATCCATATCTATTTAATTAAATTCTATAACATTTCAAATGCAATTCTATTTTCTACCAAATTTAATATCATAAAATTCTTCTTCACTTTCTTCTTCTGGTTCAGCAAAGATAATAGTTCTTTCACTTGGATACTTTTTATCATTTACTGTTATCCTTCCTCTTACTGTTTTTAATTTTGCATTTTTTTTTAAGAATGACTATTATTTAGGTTAAGATATAGGATTTATATTTAAAAACACTTTATATTCCATTTCTTATTAAACATCAACTGCATCTGAATACATTTTATATTTTTAACAATTGTCATCTTCAAAGAAATAATTATAAACGTATAATTTCTGATTTTCTTTGATAGTTGGCTATAACCAATAATCAGGGGTTAATTAATCATCTCGTGTGATTTAACCTTGACTAATACATTTTAAGTCAAACATAAATGAAATACAATTTAATAATAAATGGAAATTCTTCTTGGTCATTTTTTAAGTTACTGTAGAATAGAGTGCTGTAATATCTTCTCCATCATAATCAATACTAATCATTAATAATAGAGACAATTGATCTGACATAAATTTTAATTTATTTGTGAAAGAATCATCTGATGGAAGAACCTTGCACTATAATACACGAGATATAGCTGATCCAGGAACTCTAACTAATCTCTTTCTATATTCTGATTTCTTTTACACAAATACTTAAATTCCTGTTTCTATTGCTGTTTTAAAGGATCGATACATTCTGCTTTAGAACTTTTTTGATTGAATTCTGTAGATATAATTAAAATCTTTACTATATTCCTGAAGTTTTTTGAAAGTCAGGCAAAGCTTATTTAATAATAGCTGAATGTTTGATGACTGTAGTAACTAATAATCTATGTTATTATTTATCCAATTCCACATTTGGACTTATAATAGATTAATAGGCTGGCTTAAGTAGACAAGGCTTTGAAATAGTAATACTAAACATGTTTTCCAAAACTTTAGCTATTTCTGGCCATCTGATTGCTCTATCTTTTCCACATTCTACTAGTTATTTTAAGGTTTCTGCAAATTTTGGATTTTCATTCACATAGGTGAGCATTAGATGATAATTTTATGTAATAACTCATAATCAAATAAATCCTTTAAATAATATGATCAATCAATTTTAAAGTTGATAATTTTTTCATTGAAATCTTATCTCAAGTTAAATTAAATTAATTAAGAAATTTAAATAAATTTTAAAGCAATTTCATATAAAAATTAGTAGTTTCTATAATTAATGATACTAAATTTGTTAAATAAATATGATATATTTTTCACATCTTAATTAATTGGAATGTTTAATTAATGAATATAAAAAAGAGATAAAAATACTTTGAAATCTTTATAATTATATTTTAATAATATAGAGTTATATCAATCACAATAGCTAATTCTGTTGTTATGGTTAATCATTTCCAAGTATATTATCTACATTTATTACAAACTACTAATTAATTTAACCTTCCTGAATCTATGGTTAAATCATACCTTATTATTATTATTATTATTATTCTTATTATTATTATTATTATTATTATTATTATTATTATTATTATTATTATTATTATTATTATTATTATTATTATTATTATTATTATTATTATTCTTATTATTAAGGTAATTCAAGTTAAACTTAAATATTTGGAACTTAAGCAGGAGCATTATCTTCAATTGCTATAGGTTCCTCTTAATTTAATAGATTGTTTAATAAGATATAATTTTTATCTACAAGAGCCAAATTCTAGATTTAGAAAAATCTAAAGTAATTTAATTATTTATACCTTCTTCCACATAAAGGAAAGAACATAGTCCATAAAGTTGGAATATCATTGACCCAATTCATATTGAACATTGGACAATATAATACACGTGGCCTATCAAATGAAGGTGTGTATGGAGATATTGTTGACCATTCTAGGGCAGCTATTTCAAAATGGAGCACAAAAATTGATATGATAGCAAATTATGAAAAGATACAAATTTAAAAAGCTAGATTGTAATATCCATAAATAGTAGATTCAAAGTAATATATAAACAGTAGATAAGTTAAGGTAATGTATTTGGGAACAAAATAAAGGGATGATCTGGTTCTTAAAAATATAATGCTCACAAATTCATTTAATAGAAATGATCTAAATGATTTATAATTCTTACGAGAAAAAGTTTTCACTTAATCCTCTTGGATAGCTTTTTGCAAACAATTGTATTGAACCACTATAACCACTAAATTAAAAAAAGTAGACCAAATAAAATAAAATCAACATTTATATGAAAGCATTAAGCAACTCCTATTTCAATTTATGATTTCTATTCAAAATAGTCAAATATTAGCCTACCCAAGGAAATGCACCAACTAATGCTTATGCTTATATATCTTCATTTTGACAGATTTACATGCAACTCACTGTAAAATACTTATATATTAATATATACCCATATATATTATTAAAATAGGAGCACAAATAATGGACATTTTCATGTAAATTGAAGCTACAATTGATTATAGAAATGTTCCCAAAACACATTTAATGAATTATATTACAGTTGTATAAATTCTTTCATCATAAGCAACTACATTATTACCTAATATTAATTAAAATATTTAACTTTCAAACTATTACACATTCCAACTCCAAGTTTCATTTGTGTGTTGATTCATTAGTTAAATATCATTTTCTTAATAGAAATCAAGGAAATCTATTATAAACATTGTTTCTAAATCTGTTGCTAAACACAAAATGGTATTAAATCCTTTCATATAAAAATCTACATCTATAAAATGAGTAACAACAGTGAAATTATATTTCTATTAAAATTCATCACTCATATATAGAAATGTTTTGTTAATTGTAAATTTCATAGAGAGGTATGATTCATTTTTTTCTTTTAATTCAGTATCAGTTATATTGAAAATGTATATTGATTCATTATTAAAATGCTCTATTCTTTTTGATTAACTTTATACCATGATTCTCTTAATCCAAGAATTAATTATACTATTCTCTGAATTATAATAACAATAGGAAAACGAGTCCCAAAATTGTTAATATTGGAAAGAGATAGGAACCAGCATTAAAAATCTTTCGTATTAATAATCCAGATAGTATTCTTTCATGAATTCTGTATAATTGCTTTTCTAATTCCATTATAAATTTTAATTAATATCATTCATTATCAACATGTTCTTCGTCCTCAAGGATTTAATGGAATTGAATCTAATTTCTATCCACATATGTCAAATGTTACCGATCAAAATACCTTTAAAAATTATAAACAATTAATATATACTTTCTACCACAAAGTCCATAAAAGACAGTCCAAATTTAAGGAATATCACTAATCCATTCAATTTAAAATAGTGGCATATAATAACATCTTGGTCTCTACTCTGTTGGAGTATAAAAGGATTGTCTTTGCCAAGTCAAAGCTGGAATTTCATAAAAGTATAGAAATGCCATAAATGTAGTCTGACTCATTAGAAACACTATCATTAATCCAATATAATAAAATCCATAACCGAAACTTAATTAAAATCATACTTGTTTTTTCGAGATAAAATAAATAAGTAATATAGTAACAACAGATGTATTTTGGAACAAAGTATATTGAAGATCTTGTCCTTAAAAATAGAACTCCTTCTAATTCATTAATAAATACTATCCTATTATTTTCAATTATTTTTACATCATAAAAAACACATTCAATCCTTAAGGAATACTTTTACCAAACATAAACTAAGTTGCTTAATCAAGTCCCTCATTATAGATTATTGTATAAAATAAAATCATAGTTAAAAAAGCAGTTATAATATAATATTTTGCTTTGTTATTTCTCTCTAATAGTCTTATGTAAATTCCAATCCAATTTTCTTGTTCTTAATTATTTAATTATTAATCTAATCTAAAAATTATCTATATCAAATTCTCTAAAAATAATTATATAGTATAATTACTTATAATATATGTAAATATAGGAGTAGATATCAAAAATAAACGTATAACAATTGATGAAGAACAAGAAACAAAAAATATGCTGACTAAAATCTATTGACACAAAAAAAAGTTTCTTATCATTTTAATGTAAAAAGATGTAGAATCATCATTTTTTAAAGAATTACTTCTCCATAACCATGCTTCTCTTGTATTTACATTATATATCATGATGTCATTTTTGCTATCTGTAAAATATTGTGTAAAATCAACTAAAAACATTGTTTCAATATCAACAAAGTTTAAAAAGAATAGATCAAATCCTGATTAATAGTTTTTTGCTTCAACAAATAGATTCTCTTAAGATATTTTATGATCTTTTGCTATATTTTGTTTAAGTGTTAATAGATATCTGTTAAATGAAAATTTCATTTATAATAGAGGATCACTTAATGCATGATCAACTATATTTACTGTGTAAACTACATTCTCATTAAATTCAGAAATCACTCTATTATCTCTCAATTAAAATTCCAATTTCCTTTCTCCTTATCTTATACAAAGTGATGCATATACACTTATTAATAATAATGAAATTCCTAATAATCCTAAAAATAGTAGCTTTGCAATAATCCTTGCATATTTCCACGAAGTTAAACAAAAGTGGAATTTGTATATTTGTTTTTCTAATTCCATTACTTTAATTTAATTAAATGTAAGAAAATAATGAATAAGCGTTAGACGATCTGAGTAAAGAAGTATTAGTTTCATAATTGAAGGATAAAGTATATAATACTAAATAAATGATAAGATAAAGGAGAACAAAACTATTACCAAAAAATTAGATAAATTATCTGAGAAATATGTTTAGACTTATAAAGAGTATAAATTAATTGCCAAAGACAGGGATACTTTATTTTAAGCCATTTCATCAATTTTAAATGATGAATTATATAAATTTGAATAGAAGCCTTTGGGTTTTATATATAAATAAATATAGGATAATTTGATCAAAATCAAATTCTGGATTTATTTAAGTAAAAGGATGAAGACAAATCTAAAGCTTTAACAAATCTGATTAAAGAAACTAATAATGAAAAATTTCAATTAGAAGAAAAATATCGTTAAATGATAGAGAAATAAGGTTAAAATACTGATTAAAAGACTCAATAAATAATTAAATAGCTAAAATAACAAATAAATGATCTAGATGTAAATAATACAAGATTGGCCAAAGAGATAATTGAACTTAATGACATAATACAAATTAAAAATTAATAATTACAAACTCTTAATTAATTAGAAGAAGATAATGCAAATTTGAAAACCTAATTAATGGTCTAAGAATTATAATTATAATAACCTGATAGAGCAAATAAAATAAATTCATCAGATCTTATGAATGAATAATTAAAGTATAAATAATAGATTGACAAACTCTTATAAGAAATTTAAAAGTAGAATATTAAAATCTAAGATTTGGAATCATAATTATAATCTAAATAAAAAGTAGAGACTGCTAAAGTTATTTAAAAGAATTATGAAACTCCAACACCTGATTATGATGAAATTAATCCATTTGAATAGGATAATACTTTAAAATAATAAGAAATTATTATAAACAAATAGATATCCAATAAATAAATATAAACAGATCCAACTACATAGAATAGAGAAGAAGGTGATAATAGAAATGTTAATTTTGAATATTTAAGGAATGTTGTTTACAAATACTTTTTGTATTAAGAAACTAGGAATTATAAGGAAGCTACTATTTTAATGAATGCTATTATGACAATTTTGAAAATGTCTAATGAAGAGAAAAGGAGAATAGATTAAGCTAGAGAGAGGGGTTTCATTAAGAATGCTAAGAATCTCCTAAGTGATAGTTTTGCATGTCTCAAGTAACCACAATTAAATGATATGAATTTGGATAGACCTATCAGTAGAGTTGAGTAAATGAATAAACATATGATGAATTGATTTATTTAATTATTTTATATGGCTTCATAATAATATATGTAGTTCTTATAGAGTCATGAAAATCAAAGGTTTAATGAGATGAAATTAATTGAGCAAGAATAATATTATATCAATCTATTAAAAGAGTAAAGGGAAAAGGTATTATATTTTATTGATTAATGATAGATGGAATTATTAAAAAATGAATTTTTAAAGAAAGATCAAGTGATTGTTGATTTACAAAGTTAGATAAATGAATTATGGGAAGAGAATGAATAACTTAAGGAGATTTATTAGAATTCAATTTAGAAGAAGGAATAGGAATTTTATCGAATGAATAAATTATAATAAGAAAAAGACAGTTTAATAAAAGATATGATAGAATTAAAGGATATGATAGATCATTTGAAATAAGAGAATGATACTTTGAATGTAAGAAAATAATAAGAAATTTAATAGACATTATACATAAAAAACGAAGATTAATAAAGATAATTATAAGAATAATTAATTATTTTAGGAGAAGAGAATAGCCGATTAAAGACTGAAATACTAAAATTAGATGAGATTTTATTTTCATGTGAACCTTTAAGGGTTGAAAATGGAAAATTATAAGAAAAGTTATAATACTATAAATTAGAGAAGAGAAGACTTTAATAAGATATGAAATAAAGCAAATAAGAAATTAATAAATAAATAGAAGAATTTAAGTCAGTAGTAACTAAAGATTTTTAAAACGAAATGGAAAGATTATAAGAGTATAAGGAATGTTATTTATAATTAAATTAAAAATTATAAGATTTAGAAGAGAAGTGTATGAATTTAACTGATGAAAATAATCAATTAAAATAAGAGATCTAATCCTTATATTAAAAGGAAGAAAGTGATATCAAAATGAAATCTGAGATAGATAGAGTAAATAATTTATTTATATGAATAGGTTAGATAAGATCTAATGTCAGTAAGACAATAAGAAACATAAAAATTATAAGAACTATTTAATGGTATGATAAGTTTGGGCAGTTTAGCAAACTCAAGGGAATAATTTTATTGAATATAAATTTTATTGAATGTTATTTTTGTTAGCATTACTATCAAATATAAATTGCTCAATTTATGATAAGTTAAAATACATAGATAATTAAATAGATTTGACTTAAAATATTGAATATTTTGAAGCAAGAAAAAGATTTCTAGATGGAGTTAAAATAAAAAACATATTTGAAATGGACAAAGTTATAATTGATATTCATTTATTTCATCTAAAATAATTGCATTATCCTTCCTCATAATTACTTGTTTGTAAATCAAGTGATAATGAGTTAATGATAATAAATTAATTAGGAACAATAATAGCATAATACAATCATACAAGTGATATATTAATGACAGATATTTTGCATAATGTAGATGAATTTTATATTGGATTATATGATATAGATAGAAATTTAACAATAATCAATATGACAATAATTGATAGAAATATAAAAGATTAACCAATTGATGATATACGTAGAATAGACAAGAATGGATTTTATCATGATATTGAGTTAATTTGGGCATCTAGTTTTTAGCTAAATCATAAGGCAACATCAATATTAGTTAATTCTGGTAGAAATACAAGAGTATTTTTGGTGGGTGATGAAAATGGAGCAATTTCATATTATTTTTAAAATGGTACTTTAAAAAATAAAAATGCTATATCATCAACACCAATTATTAATTTATTAAGAAGGCATCCTCATGTAATGTTTTAAACAGAGAAATTGATTGGCTTCTTGAATTCTGTATCCTTAACTATAGTAACTCCAAAATGTGATTAACCTGCAGCTTCTATAATATCAATATATTAGGAGAATATTTACAGTCAAAATATTTATGTATTGTTATCCAATTAAGATATATTAATATATCAAATAAAATCAGGAAAACATCATGAATGTTCAAGTAATTTTAATTTTTAAATGAAATTTAGTATCATATAAGATTCCAACTTTATAAAAATTAAAGAATATTAGAGTCATCAATTCATATTTGATTGGATATGATAAAACTTTGTAAATCTATAATACATCCTTATATAAGTCACTTTATTAGGATGAAGTTCTTTATCTAACATCATTAGATGATTAAAGATTATGGTATTAATATTATTCGATTCGTTCGCATAAAATAAATGCTTAATCAAGTAATGCTTATGAGTTTTACACTTTAAATAATAAGACTACAATTAGATAAATTGAATTGACTCATTTTCCTATGCCTTAGAGTTCTTCTTTCTCTTTAATGGAATCTTTCAGATTTCCTATGATTTTAGTTGCAATATTCATTGTTTTTATATTCTAATTTTGGTAAAAAAAGAAGAAAACAGATCATGAAAGTGATGAATTAAGTGTAGACATGAAAAAGAAGATAGATGATATGGTTAAATAGTATAAGAAATATGATAAGCCAGAATGAAATGTTTATAATAATTCTAATAATATTTTAATAATATATTATATAGAGTATAATATTCATTAGATTGTATAAACATATATCAATAATATTTTAAATTAGTTTTAAGATAAAGGAACTTAGACTAATTTAAAATAATTAGATTAAGAATATTATAATACTAGACATTATATTGAGAAGGTACTCAATAAATTCACAATTTAAAAGTGATGCTTTTCATTCAATATTTGAATATTAATGTACGAATCATGATGTTATCAATCAAATAAGCCTCCCATATCAACATCTTCTTCAGGTTCTTCAACTTTCTTAACTTCCTTAGCTGGTTCAGGAGCTTTAGCTTATTAAGAAGCTGGTGCGTTGGTTGTTGTAGCAACTTAAGCAGCAGGTGCACTTCCACTACTTCCATGTAATAAATCTCCTACTCTCTTTCCTTTGAGTGCCTTTTCAAATACTTTAGTCCAAATTGGTTCAACTCTCAAATTAGCAGCTTTGATGATTTGAGCCAATTTTGCTGAATTGATCTTCTCTTAATAATTGATTTTACTTCTTAATTGTCTTCATATAAGATGAGAGCAGCGTAGGTACATGCTGCTTCTGATGTATTTTAATCTGCAATTGGTCTAGTGTCTTTTTATGCTCTTGCCATTTAAAAAAAAAATTAAAAGATTTAATATTTTATGTTCTTCACATCTCTCTATTCCAAATGATTATTCTATAATTAAAACTAGAAATGTTTGTATATACAATCTTAATGATTATTAGTTATATTATAACATATAAATATTTGATATCATTATTATGTCCAATCACTCAACTAATATTAATATTTCATATTCTTTATTAATCATTTATATAATCTAAATTCATAATATGAATGTGCAAAGGCTGAATTTAATTTACATTAATTAATAATATATCAGAAAATTAAATGAACATCGTCCTTCACCTCTTTTAGAAATGGATGAGAATATATATCATCCAAAGAAGCTCTAGATGTAGTATCTGGTTGTATAAATTATTCCAAGAAATTCTAAGTTAGAGGATCAATTTGAATTTTCGATAATTTCTAAACTAATACCCAATATTATGACCATTTCTTTTATAATATTAACTTCCATAATTTACAATTAGCACTAGGTTTAGTTGATATAAATGGTTGAAATCCCAATATGATTTAAAATACTGTAACACCAAGTGAAAATACATCAGATTTAATTAGGATTTAAGTATTTATGTTTTCACTATTCATTCCTCCTAATAATGATTCTTGATGCAACTCTGGAGGCATATAATTCAAAGTGCCCACAGTTCTTTTGACTGAACAACTATTTAACAACTCAGCAAATCCAAAATCACATAAGACTATTCTACCAGCTTTGTCAATCAGAATGTTTTCTAATTTGATGTCTCTATGAACAACTTGCATTCTATGAATTGAATTTATTATCCTAATCAAACTTTTGCATGTTTCCTTTTGTAATTAATGATTGAGACTTTGAGATTTTATAACTTCAAACAAATCATGAGATTATAGTCTTTCCAAGATTAAGTAATTATCTGTATAAGTGATCAGTTTTACAATATGTTCACCTCTCAGAAGTTCTAAAATATAAGCTTCTTTTTATCTTAATGAAGCAGGGTATAAAGATTTGAATTCCTTCATCACATAATTAGGATCCTCTGTCAGGAACACATTTGATGATGATCCTTCACTCAATAGAGTGGTTTTGATATGCATATGCTTTTAAGAATGTTTTGATTTATTATTATAAATGAATAAATTAAATAAATGTATATATATTCACTCTCTAATTCATTCCGATAAACTCTTTCTCCCTCTAAAAGTAATTATATTATATCAAATACAATATTAAATGAATTAGGCACTTAACTTAAGGTCAAATTTACAATTTTTAATAATAAAAATCATTAACATAAAAGATTTCTTTTAAATATGATCTAATATGAATGTTTAGTTTATAAGAATTTTATTTTATATCATCTTTTAAATTTAATTTATTTACTCCATTTTTTGTAACATTAATTTAATTATTATAAATTGAATAATTATATAACATAATATAAAAATAATAATTTTTTCATTATGTTATTTTATTCTCATTTGCATTACCTAGACCATTGTATTAGTTAAAGTGATGTACTTCTTTTGCTTTTTTCTTAGAAGAAACTTCTAAATTAATTATAAAAAGCCTAAATTTTATTTGAATAATTATTTATTTATTTACATTTCTATTAAAATTAAATGGAAATTTATTTAATGTGTTACTTCATTTTTGTTTCTTGAACAATTATAGCTTACTCTTCAATGATTATTGGTCTTATCTATCTATCTATCTATCTATCTATCTATCTATCTATCTATCTATCTATCTATCTATCTATTATATTTAGATATTTCTAATATGTATTAACTCATTTTCAGTTAATAACAATTTCTGTTACAATATTTTTTAATAATCTATTAGCAACTAAGTTATTAAGTCATTCCTACTATTGTATTAATTTATACAATTTAATCTTTCTTATTTGTTACCATTATGTAAAAATTTGAATTAAGTTTTAGTTTTTTTATTATCTGCTATTGCTAAGATATTTAATAGTATAATGAAGATATATGTCTTAATCATCATGATTTAAGAATTATTTTCAGATATTTTTTAAGTTCGTTATTTTTTCCTTTCCTTTAATAATTGTGAATAATACATATAGCAATTATTAAAGGAAAGGAAAAAATAACAAATAAGAGTTTGATTATTAGAATTCATTATTGCTTAATCAATATATTTATATGTTTCTATGTAAAATGTTTAAAAATCTCCCCATATATATTTATATTTATATTTATCTTAGGGTTTATTTGCTAATTGCTTAAATATTCATCTTATTTGATACTAATAAAGATAGAGTGATAATAACTAATTAAATGGTTTTACTTTCTACTATAAACCAATAAATTAGTCTCACTTAAACTGAACTAATGTTTATTCAATAATACAAATTAAACATGTCAAAATTTTTCGTTTAAGTTCAAATAAAAAGCATCATTGAACTTTGATTATAGTACTACTAAATAAATATAAATATAAGTGATTTAAAATGATAAAGGCAGTAAGTAAAATATATTAGCATATATAATAAAGATGTATAAAATCAATCTTGTATATATGATCTCTAATTTTTCATAGAAAACTTGCTTTTTCTTGTTCTTTATCTTGATTTTATTTTCATTGGTTCTTCAGATTCACTTCCATCATCATTTTTAACATAGACTGAGTCAGAAAAATGAACTTTTTTACCGATTAATTTTTCAGAATGAGTTTCTTAATTCAATGATTTTAGGGATTTTGAACTGTACCTCTCAGTTTGTTTTCCAAGCATAAAATCAAGACTATCAAACCCTTGATCAGATGATTCAGTCTTGATTTTACTTTATGGACTATATAAATATTTATCTGGCAAGCTGTAAGGATCAGAAAAGAAATCCCATTATTTTAAAGATTCCAATCCAAATTTTGTTAAACTAGTTTTAGGTTCTTGTGTATCTCGAATATATTGTCCTTATGTAGGTAAACTAGAATTATGTTTGTGTTATGATCTCACAAAAAATGTCTTTTAAGGAGTTTAAAACTCAGATTTAGGATAATCGAAATTCATATAATTATTTAAATTTAGTTCATTTGCTTGCCTCTTAAAGCATTATGTGCAATAGATGATAGTTCTCTGTTTCTATCTGGAATTTATAATTCGTCTAAATAAAACAAGATTTGGTTAATTTTTAATCTGCCTTTCGGATTCAGTTATAGTAATTCAATTAAAAGTGATTGTATTTATTTAGGCAATTTCCCAATCACTTTTTACAATTAAGGTTCTTTGTCATTTATAAATTCCAAATACATAGGTAATTAAGAGACTCCTTGCCAATTTTATTCCTTATTTATAAATTACAATATTACATTCACACTTCCTAATAGTTCTGCTATTTAAGACATTATCTCTATTTCTGAAGTTCCATTAAATAACATTTTGCCAGTGTACAATTCTATTAAAGTGCAACCCAAAGACCAAATATCAATAGAATGATCATATTCTTTTAATCCAAAGAATAATTCAGGAGCTCTATAATTCTTTGTACATGTTTAAGGTGTCATAATTTACTTAATTTAAGTAGAAATTCCAAAATCTCCTAATTTCACTTTTCCTTAAGTAGTAACAAATATATTGCTTGGTTTTATATCTCTGTGTAAAATATTATTACTATGTAAATAACTTACAGCCTAACATATTTCTTTAAAAATGTAAAGTTAACAATCTTTTAGATTTCCTATTATTTCATGTAGAGGTGCCATATATTCCATAGTAAGACATAGATATTTTTTGTATTCATATTATTCTGTAAATGCATCAATGATATTAATGATATTTGGATGTTGGAGTTATGTTAAAAATTTATATTCAATTAGATTGGTATGATTTTCAGGATCTGATGCCTAAAATTTGTGAATTGTAATTATTACTTTTCTATAATATCTTTTTAACACAATAGGAACAATTTGTTTATTAGGAGGATCATTTTCGGTTCTTTTTTCAATTAAATAGACTTTTCCTGCATATCCTTTAAATAGACATTTGATTTTGGTATAGCTATAATTTTGCTACATTTTTTTAATTTTTCAATTTAATTCGTCTGATATTTATATGTAAATAGTCAACTAAAATAATAGTTACATTTTATTATATGAAATGACTAAAATAGAAATTTTGAAAGATTTATATAATATAATTGAGATATCTGAGAAAATATATTGGGAAGATAAAATATATAGTTTTTTGGATAAATAATGTGATTGTATGTGAAAAAAATTTAAAAATTTAGATATTATTTTTTAATGGTAAACCTTCGTCTCTAAAAAAGATTAGCTTCAACTTAATTAAAGGTTGGTATTAACAGAGTTTGGTTAGACCCAAATGAAGCAAGTGAAATCAGTCTTGCAAATTCAAGAATGTCAATTAGAAAATTAATTAAAGATGGTTTGATTATGAGAAGATTGAGAACAATTCATTCAAGAGCTAGAGCAAGAAGATATCTTGAAGCAAAGAGAAGAGGTAGACATACAGGTACTGGTAAGAGAAGAGGTACAAGAGAGGCTAGAATGCCAACTAAAGTTCTTTGGATTAGAAGACAAAGAGTTTTAAGAAGATTACTTAGAAAATACAGAGCAGCAAAGAAAATTGATAGATAATAGTAATTAATGAATTATAATAATGTAGATATCACGAATTCTATTTGGCTTCAAAGGGTAATCAATATAAAAACAAGAAAGTATTGATTGAAGCAATTCATGAAACAAAATAAGAGAAGGTTAGAGTTGATAAGATTGAGAAAGAGTAAAATGATAGAAGAGAAAAGAATAAGGCTTAAAGAACAAAGAAAACTCAAAACAAATTTGCTGCAGAATGATATATACATATTTAGTACAATAAAAAAAATGTTGTTTATATGAAAATCATTTATTACATCTTGGACATAAATACTTATCAATCTTAGTAATATCTTGATCTTGAAGTTCAACACAATCCAAATGATACCAATTTTCACATTCATCACATTGAATCATTTAAAGATCAGGATTCTATGGTAATTAACAAACACAACTCTTTTTCCATAATTTAATATTTGGTCTAGGTTCCATTGATTCTAGATCTATAGCAGCTCTACTGAAGAAGATTGTTTCCTCTTCAAATTCAAGATCAGAATATTCTTCAAAAGTGAGAACTTTGATTCCTATTTGTATTTTGTTTGCAGGTAAATATTCAGAGTGAGTAGAAAAGAAGAGTTCTTTATCAGAAATACATTTAATTAGTTTCTGATCAATTTTTAGATCTTATTTAGAATAATACCTAATGAAATATAGATATGAATTTACCATTAAACTTAAATGATAGGGATGTATGTGTTTGAAGGATCCTTAATACAATAAATTTTAATGAGTTTTGCTGAATAGATATCATCATTTAGAGCACAAACAGCTACATCTTGATTTACATGATATATTTTATTGAATTTTTGTATACTATTATACTTTTTAATTCTATTATATGGTAGAATATAATAATACTTAGTTGGATCTTTCTTTAAGTAAAGTTAAATTAAATGACCATATTTATCATTTTTCACTAATTCATTAACTGTATTAGAACTTATTTGATTGACTTTTTCTTCTTCGCTCATTTATTATAATAATTATTATTGAGTGTTGAGTGCCTTGTTATGTTTTTAGAGTATGTCTATATTAATTAAATAATTGCAGGATTTCTATTTTTTATATTAAAAAGATTTAAATTAATTTTTAGACAATGGTAACAATAACAATTAAATTAAGGCTGACAAAAAAGAATAACCTGTTCAATAGCCAAAAGGAAAGAAGGGAAAGAAAACTGGAGAAGAAACAACATAATAAGTTGTTGCTACTTTGGGACCAAATGTTGCAGGAAATGAATTAGTATTTGGAGTAGCTCATATCTTGTCAACTTGGAATGACACCTTCATTCATATCACTGATTTGACAGGCAGAGAAACATTGGCAAGAGTCACTGGTGGAATGAAAGTTAAATCTGATAGAGAAGAATCTTCACCATATGCAGCCATGCAAGCAGCCAAAGATGTTTATGAGAAATTGAAAACACTCAAAATTAATGCTTTGCATATTAAATTAAGAGCAAGAGGAGGTATTTCATCTATCTCATATATTAAGGTGTCGATACTAGACAACCAGGACCTGGTGCTTAAGCTGCTTTAAGAGCATTGGCTCGTTTGGGACTTAAAATTGGTAGAATTGAAGATGTTACTCCTATTCCAACAGATTCTACTAGAAGACCTGGAGGTAGAAGAGGAAGAAGATTATGAAAAGTCAAATAAAAAACATACATTATATTATACATGTACATTTATTAATTAAAATATGATTTTTGATCTCTAACCACCATCTCCATCTCTCTCTCCCAATTCTAGAGTTCGATACTATTAGGAATAGTTAGATAAAGCTCATGAAATTATAGATCAATTAGAAATTTTACTCTAAGAAAAAGAACTACAAAAATAATAAGATCACCCCTCTTCTAGTTATGTTCCAATTCCTCCTCTCTAATTTCATTGTAAATCTCCTAGTGTCATGAGTGAAAGATCTAAAAGCTATGTAGCTACTCCTCAATAGTATTCCACACCAAGAGATCTCAGGAATCGTATGTCTATGGGTAATTAAAACTCAATCAAATATATTGAGGAAATGAAAACAAGGCATAGTGAACTTGTTTTATAATTTAAAGAAGATAATACTCAAAGAGAGTTGAAAAATAAGGAAATCAATGATCATATCTAAGAACTAAAAACAGAATTAATTTATTGTTAAGAAAAACAAACAATGACTAAAAAAGAAAAAAAATAATCTTAGTAATAATTGGAAGTTCTTTAAAATGAGATTGAAAACATTTAATCTTAATTGCAAAAATCTAGAGAACAAGGATTATAATTATTATAGAAACTATAACAATATAAACAAGATACTTAAGAAATTGAGCTGGAATAAGAATAAGAAATAATTCTATAAGATTAACAAACAAATTCTAAACTTGAAACTCCTGATCCATCAAAAAAGAGAAAATACAAAAATTCTACTAGTCACAAAAAACTTATGTAATCCTTACAATAAGAAATTGAATTACTTGAAGCTTAAAAAAAGCATTATTATAACAATTCTATTTCAAACTTCTAAGAAAAAGAAATTGAAACTAATCTAATAAACGATGAAATTGTAATAAACTTTTATTTATTTTTAGATTGAACCTAAATAAAATCAAAGAATAGATACTTTAGATGATATGAGATTAGTGACTGATTCTGGTTTTAAATTTAACACTTAAATAGATCATGAAAATGAATCAGTTCGGTCATTTAAAATTAAGAAATAGAAACCAAGAAGTTGTGAATCATGTATCATATTCTGATTTCAGTATATACAAATAATTAATTTATTATTACTAACTAATCTTGTTAAATTGAGTAGTCTATAATTATATATCTCATGAATTAGAGAGGAATTAAGAATACTAAGCAATAATATAAAACTTTAGAATTACAATATAGAAGATTGTATTTTTATTAATGTATTTCATAATTTATAAGTTGAAATTTTAAATAAAAAGGCTTTTTTAAATAGATAATAAGAAATATGATTATTACATGTATATTCTATTATTCAATTTAAAAGATCATAAAGATTCAAATAATATTGAGATAAGATATTACCTTATTATAAATAAATAATCGAAACTTTGAAATAATAAAACAGTTTTATAATAAAATTAAATGAATAATGGAAATATTAAATATAATAAATGGAATGTCCAATGTGTTTTGAATTATATGCACAAGATAGGGTAGCAAGAAATCTTCTTTGTGGTCATACATATTGCACTATATGTCTTGAAACATTGTATAATGTAAGTAAGAGAATCGAATGTCCTCTTTGCAGGACAAAACATGAACCTAATCTGAAACCTAATAACTTAAGCAAAAATTTTGTGGCAATGGATTTGGCTTCAAAGCATTTAGATGAATAGTAAGTTGGACTCTTTAACAATTAGAAAAATATTTGAACTATGTTCATTACATTAAAAATTTCCATTATAATTTTATTGTGAAGATGATTAATAAAATATGTGTACAGAATGTATAAGTGAACATTATGGTCATAAGTTCTTCAAATATGAACATTCTGGTATTGAATAGAAATGCATAAATTAGTTTCTTTATAAATCAATAGAGTAGGGAGAATACAATAAAAATTAAGGAGTCAATATGAGATATTAGAAAAATAGATAAAAGATTTTGATGATTGTAAAGAGAAATTAGAAGTAGATAATATAAAATTAGTATATATATATAAAGTAAAATTTAGATCTAATAAATTGATGATTAATTTGATAGAATAGTTGAAAAATGTGAAAGAAGGAGAAAAGAATTGAAAGATAATTTATTCAATATGTTTAACTCAGAAAGTGAATAAATAGAATCAGATTTAGCATTGAATCAATCATTATTAACTGATATGGTTCTATTATTATAGAAATTGGATTAAAAGTATAAAGAATTAAGTATTATTGTTTTAAAATATGTAGAGACTACAAAAGTATTTAAAGGAAATGATCCTATTAAGGAAATTAATGAATTAGATGAATTTACAGATAGAGATATTGCTTAATTAAAATAATTAAAAGGAAGTGAATTAAAAATATTACCTAAATTATATTTTGAGTAAAAATTAATAAGTGATATTATTAAATATGGATAATTTAAGAAGGATCTTCAAAACCCTTAGATTTGTTATTTTGGAGAAAAACATAAAATTTTAGTTTACAATATTGAGAAAAATGATTGGTAATATAGATAAATGCCAAATGTATAATTTGATAAATAGTTAGAATACATTTGATTACAATTATTATGCTGCTGCTGCAAGTTTACCTAATGGAGATATAATAATAACTGGAGGAGGAGTTAGTAGAAATGCAATGTTAATATCACCATCTAAAGGATTTTAATAGTAGGCTTTGAAGAGTATGTACTATCCAAGAAAAGAACATGCTTGTGTTTATTTGGATGGATGTGTTTATGCAATAGGAGGGTAATAGACATAAATGATCTAATAAGTTATGATGGTACTACTAAATAGATGTTATCTTGTTGTGAAAAGTATAGTTTAGTTGCAGATGAATGGAAGATGATTGATCCATTATAAAAATAGAAGTGTGCATTTGCTGCTGCTACTGCTTTAAATAAATATATTTATGTATTTGGTGGATTTGATGGAAGAGAGAGATAAAATACAATTGAGAGATATTGTATCAAAGATAATCAATGGAAAGTTTTGGAATTCAAATTTAAATAAGGATTTAGTAATGCAGCAGCACTCTCTTATGATGATAATTAAATTCTCATTTTAGGAGGAGGGTATTATCTATTAATTATATATTTAAGTTCTAACTAAGGTTTTAGTAATAGTTTACAAATGTTTGATACAAATAATTAAACAATTAAGATTATTAGTATGATGACAGATGGGAGAGATTTGAGAAATAAACTAATTATTTATAATAATAATTTATATGCATGTGGAGGAAATACAAATTCTATTGAAAAATATTCAATTTCATAATAGATATGGACTAATCTTAAGTATTTTATAATTATTATCTTAGAAATTATGATTATTTAGTTTAAGATAATTTGGATTCATGGTGTAGTGCCTTCACTTTTGATGTTAATGATTCATATTCTATAACAAATTTGATGAAAAATTGTTAATCTAAAGAAGTAAATTATTAATATATATATATTTTTAGTTATAATAATAAAATCAATTATAAGAATAAATAATGTTTGAAAATGATTCATTTTATTAGGATGCAATGAGTGATATATCAGATAGTTAATTTTATGGCAATTAAAGTCAAGTTTAATAGAATGATTGGTATTGAATTATAAGATTAATTGATTTTAAATATAAAATAAACAAATCAATGTGTAAATAATCTCAAAAATTAACAATAATATCTCATAAAATATAATTGCATTTTATGTTTTAATGGTAATTTAATTGTTTTTTTATTGGCCTATTATTCTGTTTAAGGTAATTTATCATAAAATTTTTATCTTTTGAAACAAATCTTCATCAATTATATTAAAATTATAGATAGTATTGTTAAAGGCAATAATAATGGAGCAAAATCTATAAGTATTTTTTAAGTGATATTTGATTAAGCAATTCCATCAGCATAATTTTTTATTGATGTTAATAAATCCTAACATTATCCAAGACATATCAATACTAAGAATATCCCTATTTTAATCATTCACACAAAAAACGAGTTTTTATTATTTTAATATAAATTATATAAATTTTTGTTCATTTTTATCAATAACTATTAATTTATTATAATATAGCAGATCTTTAAAGCATTAGAGTCTATAATACTTTTCTTTTCTCTTAAATTTAAAACTTATTTAATGAAAAGTTTTCATTTAATTCTCTTTCCATCTATCTAATAATTATATAATAATTCAATATACTTAATCTTTAATTCAAGATTTTAAAATTCAATTCTCAATTATCCTACATCAACATATTATTTTTATTATTATTATTATTATTATGGTTATTCTTATATAATTTATTATTATTATTCATATTATCTTTATTATCTTGGTTCCTCTACTAACATTTATGAAGATGTAGATTATTTACTATTTTAATTTGCTTATTTTTATTTTATAGATTATTATTATTATTAAGACATTTAAGATTAATTATTAATGATTGCATCTTCTATAATAATAGGTTGAATTTTAGGAGGTATCTAATTTAATGGATGTTTTTTGGCTAAATAATCTAAAATATGAACAGTTCCTTTGTCTATTATTTGTCTACTAATTAATTTTGTTGGATTGCCATCAATTTATAATGTTTTAAGAGACATAAAACCTAATATTGTAGGAAATGTCCTCATATTATTATTCTAAAGATTTAAATGTTATAAATTTGGCATTTTAAAATAGATTTCCTATTATTATAAATATCAATTACATCATTCAATTAATCTATTGAATTATTACTAATATCAAGTACTTCTAGAATTGATTCTTTTTATAATAAAATTTCAATTGAATCTATTTAATTATATGCCAATAATAATCTCCTTAATCTTGGTAATTCTGGTATAAAGTTAGGAATATTTGAAAGTAAATTCTTTCCAAGATCAAGATGAATTACTATAAAATAATATTTAAAAAACTTACAATTAGGTATATATACTTATTCTCTTGATGGTAGGAATTATATTTTATTCTATCTTAATTCTAATTCTACCAAATCTGGTAAATTGAATAAATGTAATGATATTTAAGTAATTTTATTTTCATTAAAATTAACTTTCTTTAAATTTTTTAATTATTAAATTTAATCTGGTATCATTTCTATATTATTTTATGAAAAATCTATTATAATGAGATTAGTTAATCTAAATACACAATTATCTATTTAATTAATATTTTTTTGTCTTATAGCTAATTCATCTTTATGCAAGAAATTTCTTAAATATTCTTCCCATATATTATTAGATTAATATAATTATTATTTAAGTTTAGGATCTGCTTACACTTCTAATTTTGCAGCATCATCAGTTCTTTATTATAAATACTTTTTTAATTGAAGAGCTCCTGCACTTCTTATATTAGATCTAATGCACTTTAATGGATTACCCTCAAGTTATATTCTCACTAATTAACTTAAAAATCCTAATTAAGAAGGTAAATCACCCAAATCATTATTTGATATATCAAGAGTCTTTAAATTCTTTAAGTTTATTATTTCTTTATGTAATTCTTTTATTTTATTATTATTTAATAAAAGAACAGATAAATTTTGTATTCCTTCATAACAATTATATACATCCAATTAATTAAAAGATAATTATATTGAATCTAAACAATCATGATTATTTCCAAGTAATTCTTGAGTAAAATATTTAAGTTTATTTTCTTTTAAATCTAATATTCTTAATTAGAATAAATTATAAAATGCTCCTTCTTCTATAAATGATATTTAATTTTTAGACAACTAAAGATCTTCTAATTTCTTACATTCTATTAAATCTGATTATTTTATTGCTTATATTTTATTTCCAATAGCAGATATTTTTTTTATTAAAGGTGGTAAATATGATGGAAGTTGTGAAAATTAATTATTAGTAATATCAAGTATTTCTAAATTTGGAAAGTAGAGATTATCAATTCCTGTTATTTTATTATCAGCTAAATTTAATTCAACTATGGAATCAAGACGACATGAGAATTCTACTAATTGATTGTTTTGAAGTGTTAATGATTTCAAATTTTAAAATTGCTTTGTCAAATCAAAATGAAATCTGCTAAGTTTATTGTTTCCTAATCTTAATACTGATAATTCTTATAATCTAATTATTTTACAATAAAGCTTTACGTATCATAAAGAGGTATTTCTTGTATATTATTATTGGTTAAATCCAATTTTGTTAATGGACATTTCTACCACCATTCTTCACCTTCTAAATTAATTGTGTCAATATTAATGATTTCATCAGGAAAATCTTATAAATCATAATGCACTAAGGCTAAATTTCCAGTTTGCCAAGCTTTTTTAATTGCTGCAACAAATGCTTTATTATTAAGCAAATTTGATTTTCTTTTATTTGTTGTTTAAACTGGTACAACAAAATTAGCAGGTCCTTTCTCTTCTTTAATATCTTATTTTTATTAAAGATGAGCAAATGGCTTTTATTCTTTTAATGGAACTCTATTTTTCATAAATAATTTTTGAAATATTTTATAAAAACTTAATAATTTCTTTTATAATTACTATTTGAATTCTATATTTCATATTAAAATAGGGATGTAAGAGTATATTTTAAAATTATTTGTTACTTAATATATAATTTGTATTTTTAGATAAACAAATAATAAATATAATAATTATTAATTAATTAAGTGTTTGTTTGAATATTGAAGAGTTAATATTTTTTCCAAGTAAAATATTTTGTATGCTTTTTTTTTTTAATATTCCAATATTTTGCAGGTAAGTAGATTTTCACTAGTGAAATCTAATAATATAATTAAATCAATGCTAAAAAAGTGTACAGATAATCCAAAAATAGCTGAAACTTTAAAATAACTAGTTTAAGAACGTGGATAAAAGAGATGGCCAGAAATTGCAAAAGTGTTAGAATCTATGTATGATATAAAAATTGAAATTCCATTTACTTTAAAAGCTATATACTAAGATATAATGAATCCAAGACCTGGTTTGAATACTGAACAATTAAAATTATTAGTTACTACAGCTATGAAATATAGATCAGTAATTAGATTGGCATTACCAGAGTTCTAAAAGATTTCAGGAATAGGGTTTTATATATAATTATGATTTTTAGTATTTCTAGACACAAATTTGTAAGTAGATTATATAGATTTTACAAAAACACAATTTTAGCAGGAATTCAGATTTTCATTAGAAATAAAATGGATTATCGAAAAAGATTAGCTAAATTTCCTGGATAATCAATAGGGAGAATATTATAATGTAAAGAATTGACAGGAGAGGATGATTTTACATAAAGATTAAAAATAATGGCAGAATAATTGGAAATATTACTTAATTGTTATTTATAATTAGAAGATGAAAGAGATTTTTCTTTATTGTATGATATTCTTACTCCAAGAATGAATAAGAAGACTTTTTTTTTATTATTGAATTGTATATCATTTATGGATGATTTGAGATGCATATAATAAAATGTTATTAAATCAGATGATGAATTGATGCCTGATTATTGGTTATAACCAACAATAAAGGAGAATAAAGAACTTTTGGTTTACAAAAAATTATTCTTAGATGATATGGATTATAAATTTAGAATGTATACTGATTCATAAGATGTTTAAACTGAAATAGATTTCAAATTCTTTTTGAATAATGCATATATGAAACCTAAATCAGTTGTAACTTAAAGATCAGCAAAATTAAAGACTGTAAGAGGAAAAATCACAGTAAATGATAAAAAATATCCAAGTGATAAAACTATTATTTTTGATTAACCAGAAGAGGAGAGTGAATAAGAAGGTTATGAAATAGATTTTAAAAAACATAGATTATTAAATAAGGATTGATATTATTAAATTATATATATATATATATATATATAATATTATTATTGCTATATAAGAATCAATTAATAATTTTTATTTATTATTAAGGTATTATA